TCGTCTGAAACTTTTAGAGATGTTAGAATAGGTCTGAGAAGCCTTATCAGATGAACCAACGTATTTCGAAGTTGAACAAAATGTAGAAATTTAAATTTATGTTTGTCTTAAAATAGTGAAGATTTTGAAATTGTTTTAGAGCGGTTTAAAATGATTAACAAACTACACACAATACCTTGAATTTTTTGAAGCAATAAGAACTCGAGAAAAGGATTAATTTTAAAGCAAATCAGAGTTTTTTTCTTGATACAAGGACGGATTCCGATGATTATATATTTTACTGACAAGACAAAAAAAAAACCGAGGCTAGCAGTTTGAAAAAAATCTCCCCCTTTGCTAAATTTTTTTATCGGAAAGATAATCTCTTCACGAATTTAAATTGAAAAGGGAAGGGCTGATAATCGAACATAGAGAAAGCGGGAACTTGGAGGAGCCACAACAAAAATGACTTGTAGAATTGATGATAACACGACGTTTGACGCACGAACAGATACAACGCAAACAGCACGAATCCGTAGGCCCGAGGCGACAACTGTTGCCGGTGCCGAACTTTTGATGAAGCCTCGTAAACGCAGCGAGTCTTTTGGCCTCTCTGGTTTTTCTCAGCCAACCGTGCAGCTGCAAACTCGCGCGTTGAGATTAATCTCTTCGAAAGATTCGAGCGAAAATGCAAAAGAAACGAAAATCTCTTTACACCTTATATTACAACGTTTTTGTCAATATATTTTTTATTTGGTTTTTTCTCGTGTGAACAGACAATTGCTTCTGATTGAGTTTTTAATGTGAGAATTTCGCCTTCAAAGCGTCTTTGCGCATCTGTTCATATGAAAGACGACAGGATTGACGTCCTCAACGGTTTGTAGGGAGAATTGGAGTAAAAAAAGAGTCTTTTTTGTCAAAATCTTGAGATTGTTCATTACTTTGAAGAGAAAGATATGTGTAATCAGCCCCGTTTACAACAATAAGTCGTTTGAAAATTGATTTTTTCTGTTTTTGAAAAAATGATGGGTATCAACAAGGGAGGTCTTTTTACTTGGCGTTTTGGAATTTTTTACAAATTTTTCTCGAACACTCTTTGAAAGTTTGGATGAAGGTCTATCAGACTTGCTTCCTGCGCAAACTTCTAGTTTTTAAGATATGATTTATCAAAGTTGCAAATAATCGGCTTTAGGCCTAATTTTTCGACCTTCAAAATTTATCATCTTGAAAACTAGAAGCTGGCGCGGGTTGCAACTTTGATGAACAAAGATAAATCAGCCAAAAAAAGTCGTGTTTTTTTGAACCCACGCCGAATAATTTCGAACTTTGCATAGAAGTTTCTTTTTCCAATCTGAATAAATTTTATTTTAAGAAAAAAACAACTTAAAGCGGAAAAATTTGTCATTACGTCTAATGAACAGGTTCCAGTAAATTTATTTATAAAAAAATTCACAATCTTTTTGACTTCGAAGAAGTTTCTAAAATGCTCAGAAAGCCCCACAAAACCACAAAAAAGGCAAATTTTCTTTTTTGAATCTGTGAAGGCCAAGAGTATTTCTAGGCTTTGGATTTTTGTCAAATCGCCACCTTGGATTACCGTACCAAATAATTCAGTCAGGTTAGCCAAAATATTATATGCCAAGGTGTGAATAAGGCGTCTAAAGTTACAAGTTTATATAATTTTTGCTTGAGCCCTGCCTCTTTCTTTGTAGAAAAACAGGTAGTATAGGCCATTCCACGCCAGCATTTTTCTTTCCGCTATAATACCGTATAGATCCAACTCCGTTCCAAGACTTTTTTTCTGTTTTGAAAGCTGAATTGCGATAAAATCGTTTTAGGGTAGCCTTTTCTCTGGGGTTTTTTTTTTGAAACCGTGAGCGCCTCGCGCGGAACTCTACAAAACTGAAGAAAACAAAAAGCAAAGGTCCAAAGTAACCGAATTTGGTCAAATTTAATCAAATTTGGTATAGGGTCAAAACGTGGCAAGCTGGCGCGGAACGGTCTATAAATCATTTTTTTTTCTTTCTTGTTTTCAGAATCTTGAACTTTTTGATGATCAACTGTTATTATCTTTGAGCCTACAATATAGCCTTTCAGAAACCTTTTTCTGCTGCTCTGTTTTATTTTTTTTTTGATCCGCTACATATTCAAATCTCGCACCCGGCATATAACTTCTTCTTCAAAAAAAAGTTCAAAGATCACTTAATGATCAGAATTTGAGTGTTTTTTGGAAATCGTAGGCGGACGAATTCTTTGAGCGACGCAATTATGTCTTCATGGACCTTCTCGGAAGGTTAATAATGCAAATGACGCGCATTTTTTTAAAGTGCAGACATTTATCATGTTTTCAAGATGAAACGAATATCACAAAAGGCTTATAACTTTTTTCGAGTAGCCGGATATTTTTTAACGGGGGGAATTGGGAATATCTTGAAAACCATCGCTGCTTGTCTATCGACTCGCAACATTTTTCCAATTGAAAGGTTTCTTCTCTCTGCACTTGACCGAGTTCGGAAGGTTTTTCACATTCCTTTTCCGCTTTCTCTGATCTGTCACGATGTCCTTCTTGACGGCCATAAAGAAAAAAAGTTCTCGCGCTCCGAGTGTAAACTTTTTGCAAAGAAAGAAACTGACCAGCCACGACCGTCTTTCACCGTCCAGATGTGGGAAAAACGAAAATTGTTTGATTTAGCTGTAAAAAATTAGCATTTTTTTACTTTTTTCTTAACTGATTATTGAATTTTGAGTTTATCATTCTAGTCAAGTCAAGTTACATCTCACTGAAAACACTGTATATTTCAAAGACAACTGGCTTTCTGCTTGTTTCTATAGTTGATCATCGATTACCTTTCTTTCAGATAGAACCCCTAAATTTGAAGGAGTAGACGCCAGAAGAATTTTTTTCAAATCAATAAGATCCCCAACTTTCGATCGAGAAAACAATATAAAAAAAAATTGCATTACATCTACTCAGACTTCAGAGGCCGTATGCAGTGCAGTAGAAAACGATTTCCCGCCATTTTACTGAAACTTTAGAATCCCACAATTAGTCTTTTTTAAACTGAAATGATTTCGTCCATATCCGAATCTTTTTATAATAACTCATTAATACAGATGAAGCAAAATAATGATCTCCTAGCAAGTTCAAAACTATTATTTCAAGAAACTGGCGGATAATCATTTTCCCGTTTATTGCATACGGCTTCGGGTAGAACTTGGAGAAATACATTATAATATCAGAAAAATAAATCATCTTGCTTTTTTTCTTATTGAGTGGATCAAGCTTCCACGAGTAATGATAACGAAGTACTCCACTAGATTCTTCGACCTCAATCAATAAATGAGGTACACTTCAAACAAAAGATTAAGATAATTTTGTTCAACCGTAGTTTTTTGAATAGCTGCTGAAAATTCTAATGACAAAATAAGCCATCTTTCACCCAACGAAGAAGAGCTGTGAACAACAAACAGCGGCGGCTAATTAAATTCCAAGCTCGTTTCTCAGATGAAAAATCATCAACGTCGGATTATTTCAGTATTTTTTATCAGTTTTTTGAGCAACTTGGACTCATTCAAAGACTTTTGAGGAAATATATCAGAATCAATTTTTCGGAAATTCTTGTATAAACTGGTTTGATGAATATCGAAAAATTTTTTTCGTGTGTATATTTTTTTATAACTGTTCTTCTAGTACGTAGAGAAGTTTTTCGCAATGCTTTGGGATGAATCATCAGAAATAAAAGATGTAAAAAAACACGTTTCCTGCTTGTATTTACTCAAAAAAATTCGAGTCATTCTCAATATTTATATTTATTATTTTGTCTTTTTTTCGTAGAACCAAGCGTGTAAAACTGTTAAAAACCATTCTTGGAATCGCAAAACTTTTACAATAAGGTTTGAAGAAAAAGTTTTTTTGGAACTTTCTCAATGGAAATCAAAGTTATTCTCATAGTTTCTGACGGCAATTCATGTTTATCGACGATTTTCATAAATTGTCTTTTTTTCTTGAAAGATTAGATTCAATAAATTCAGACCTAAGAAAGAAAAAAACTAAATCTGAAATTTTGTTCTCAGTCGACTTTTATCAGCAACTATTCAGTGTTAATACATCTAATAAGCATCGTATCGACGAATTAGTTTGTCGGGGAAGGCAGCAGAAACGGACTATCGCACTTCCAGGCCGTTATCACATTTTGAAGGCAATGGGAGCCTCTAGCAAGTCCCAGAGTGTTAATTTTTCTCTCCATGGGGCGCTTGACTGACACTTCCGAAATAGACTACTATAAACAAAGAAAATAACTCGAATATCTTTATATAGATTATTTTTTCTGAATGCGAGGTTTTGGGGGTATATTTTTTTCTTGGGTCATGTTTAGACTACTGATAACCCTGAGAAAAGGTCCCTGAACTCTTTTCATTTCTACCGGCTGCTCTATTATCAGAAAATCGGGATTTCGTGACATTTCGTGGCTGCTCTATTATCAGAAAATCGGGATTTTGTGACATTTCGTCACATTTGATTTTCGAAACTCTTTTTTTCTATTATAATACCGTCAAAAAAGACACGGAAAGCCGGGGTTCCGGTCACAGCTTTCTTCTTAGAAAGACAATCTTTCTGAAGCTGCGGTTTTTTCTGTGAAACTTTATTAGAGTATTAAAAAAAACAGTCAGCACAACTTCAGAAAGTTTCAGACAAATTGAATTCCTTACAAGAAAGTTATGACCGAAATCCCGTTTTTTTGAAAATTTTCTGACGGTGCTCTACCTTGAAACCAGAGCTTTTATGTTGTTTTCTAAGTAAAAATTACCATTTCTTTTAATTCTTTGTGAAAAAATAAAGTTCCAATCAACAGCGGCAGCCTAAGACATTGCTAAAAGTACCAACTCCTCTGTTTACTTTGCCGTTTCATCGCTCTTCAAAGTGCAACGTGTCAAATGAGTTGATTTGGGAGCGTCGTGAGCTGTTTATGGCTGTCATATTCCTATCACAGACAATTGCACTTTGCAACTCTTTTTGAGTGATGGGAAGCTCCGCCCCTTCCGCATTACAGAATACCCGCACGGAAAATAGGGTCCCACAACGACAGGCGCGCGAAGGAGGAGAGACCCTCCCACAGGCGGATCGCGGCGCGGCCACGTCGCGGCTCACGCTCACCTATTGTCTTGTTCAGTTTTCCCTCGAATTTCCCGCAATGGACAGTCAACTCCTTCCAAGGAGTAGGTCAAGCCTTTCGGTAAGTCAATATTGATTCGATCCACAACAAGTAGGGCAAAATTCGATCAGTTATGAAATTTTTTAACATTGTTATTGATGATGAAGTCTCACGTTCATGTTGCCAAGGTGGATACGGTAGTCCCTTTGAATTGTATATTTTTTTCCCATAACTTTCAAATTTTATCGTTCCTTCGTTTTTCCATTTATTTTCGAGGGAGTCATCAAATTTCCACGCATTTTTTTTTCTTTTTTTCTCCATTCCGCTTTGGTTTCGAAAACATTCATTTTTTAAAAAGTTTTCGAGTAGGGAGGCTTGAAATTTTTTTATTTATCAAAAGTTGGGAATTAAATTTTTTCTTTGTCGCGAATAAATTTAAATTGTTCCTGAAGGTACAGGAAACATTCTTTTATAAATATTTGAAGTTGCTATGTATTTAAAAAGTCAATTAATTTCCAATTCATCACAAATTTGCATATTCATTCAACATTGTAGCCCCCTGAATATTATCAAATTAAAAAAATTTTTTTTTGATTATTTAGTAGGATTTCACGAGAAAGACAAAAAAATAAAAAAATCTTGTCGTATTATATAAAAACGAATTGCAAGTTTTTCTCGATTTTATATTTTTTTGCCGTTCTTCTTGCATAAGTGAAAAAAACTGTCTTTTAAAAATCGTTAGAAGTTCCGAAAAATTCGAGACCCAAAAATTTTTTTGATAGAAAAAGAAAAATTAATCTCGAAAAAAATTCAAATTTCAAAAAAATAATACTGTAGATCAATGAAACTTTTTTTATCTCATAGTTTTTTTTGAAAAAAAGTACCATTAAAAGGGAATTTTTTTCTTGAACTTTCAGTTGATTGATTTAGGAAACTTTACACAAAGAAGATCGAAAATAGTTTTTATAATGTTCGAAGTTAAGCATATCTTTCAACATTTAACTTTTTTTGAAAAATCTAATGAAACAACTCATAACGTTACAAAAATATTCTTGAAATACAATCATTAAAAAAAAATTTTCCAGCCTCCGCCGCTATTATCCAGAGAAGACATCGAGGAAGTCGCCGATTCAGACGACGAACCTCCGCAGTTGACCAATTCTTCCTTCGGTCCATCTTTCCTTCTGCGGAACCTCAGCCTTGAAGATAAACCTATAGACTCTAATGTCTCTAAACCTTCGACTTCTGAAGCCAAGACGGATGAACGCGCAACAGGCGCTCGTTCATCTTTCACAAGGGCTTTATCAAAATCGAAACACGCTCAAGTGGGAGATCCAGGACCTTCAAGCCCTCTTCCTTCTGTGAGACCTCCTTCTCAGCGACGACCGTCGGACAGTGTGCTTAACTTCCAGAACCCACCAAAGCTTCACGTAGAGCTCAGAAAATTCTCTGGTCCTCCGAGTAGAAGCAGCTCAGAGTCTACAGCAGCATCCAAGGATTCAGATCAAAGTGTTCAGAATAAAGTCCAACAAGCTGCAAACTTACCCGCTGCTGAAGTCGTTCTTGATGTTGTTCCAGCACCACCAACTCTCGCCCCGGTGCCGCAGAATGGCCCACCAACTCCCGCTCCGATCCCGCAGATTGCTCCACCAGCTCCCGCTCCGATCCCGCAGATTGCTCTACCAGCTCCTGCTCCGATGCCGCAGAATGCACCGATTCTACCGCGACCATCAGCTGCACAGTCGATTGCCGCTCCGTTAAGATCAATCAAACCGGCCGTACCTATATATGCAGCAGTGCCGACGAAAGCCATTTTACCCAATCTTCGACCTTCTTCTCACAACTTGCAGCCAAGCACGAGCAAGATGAACGAGACTCAGTCGAAGCTTCTCAGCGCAAGATGGGCACCGCCACGTCCGCCGAACAAACGTCCTACTTGTGAACTTTTGGTCTCTAAAGTTACCGACGCTTCGACCCAGTCTATCAATGACTTCCTGTCTAATTGGAGACGCATCTCCTACTCAACAGCGGACTTCTTCTCTGCCAAGCGATTTGTCCCAAAAGTTTGCTTGTATCGAGCAGGACTAGAGGAGTCTAAGTTGGTCGCGCATATGAAGTTGGCGCCCATCCGATATCTTTATAAAGATGAGACACTTATGCCTGAAACACTTCCTTGGATCTCCATCAAAGGACTCAAGGTGAACTTTGTTTTTTTTCTTAATAACTTCTGTTATTTTTTTTCAGCCAATGGAAAATGACGCATCCAACATAGAAGGCTTACGCAAAACAGCGAATGAGCTATTGAAACTGGAAAAATCAGTTCTGATCCCGGAGTTTCTTTGTGTTATCTGCGAGCGACCTTGCAATCTCCCCGTCAGAATCAATGGCGTGAGTTTTTTTGTTTGAGTTCAAAAAGGCCGGGAAAAAATTTGAACGTTCAATTTAATAAAGCAAAAAAACATTTACTGAAAAATTCCGAACGAAAAAAAAAATAAAGTCAAGCTTTATTAATTATTTTCAGTGCTTACATCGTTTCTGTTTCGCCTGTGTCGATTCGCACGTTTCGTCGAAAAAAGCCTCATGTCCAATGTGTAAAACATTGATTCAATATGTCCTGCCGGACAGACCAGGCGAGAAAATGATGGACATGGTACGTTTGATTTCTGACTTCAAGTTCCTTTCAAATCAAAAAAAAACGCCAAGATTACAATTTTTTTCAGTTGGGCATCGATTTAACTATCACCTATCCAAAAGCTATATTCTCTTCAACGACCACAAAAACAACACCAGGTTCGAAAAAAAAAATCTCTTTTTGCAAACTTTTATAAAGTTCCAGCAACGACTCAAAAGCCAAAGTTTTCTGAGTTGTTATTCGCTAAAATTGAGCCTCGAAAAAGTGAGTTCATCGTTCTTTCGTTTCAAAACTGATTTTTTTTTCTCTCAGATTTTTCGACTGCCTTTTTCTTTCAACCATATGACCGTTCTGCCAGAGAACTTCGTACTGAAGAAGGAAGAGCTCAAATCCTTTTGAATGCGAGAAACCAAAGGATCATTGGTTGCGACAGTTTTGGAGTCCCGTATGTGGACCCTATGTCTTCTTTTGGAGTAAGTTCTTTCTGTTTTTATTTTTTTTTCACTTTTGGAAGTGAATGCATGGAATTCTATTTTTCAGGGTGCAGGTTCAGTCCCAGTCAAAGATGAAAAGAAGAAAGAAGAGCCGATACAAAAAAAGGAATGACAGGATTTGACGTTGTATGTTTTTCTTTTTTAATTTTACTATAATTATTTATCTTTTTTTACGCTATATCTTATTTTTTTAAATATTCACTTGAACTTTAAATACTTTTTATACTAATATACTTTCACCGAAGAAAAAGAACTCACTTTGAAATTTGCAGGACGAAGTTGTGCAAAGTCATGAAAACGGAAAATGCTTAATAAAAGCGCTGCAAGGCGAAGATGCAAAATATGTTCATGTATGTTTTTAGTCAAAGTTCTTCATTTCATCAAAAAATGACTATGTATTATGATTTTATAGGATGAGATTCGAGCTCTCGTTGGGCGAGCGAAACGAAAGAAAGCCGAGGAAAAAAAGCTTTCAAAGCAGCTAGGAGAGAAGCTGAAGCGAATGCTAGAAGAAAAAGTTCGATAAACATCTGGATAAAAAAATTAAAATGTATTCCAGAAGCCCAAGATCAAAAAAATCGTCGAGAGATGACGAGCCCACAACTCCTATTGCTTTCCGAACATTTGTGGAATCGGTGAGTCGAAAAATATTAACTTTATATATCTCACATTACACTTTTTTTTGAATTCAGATTATTTTTATTTCATTAATTTCAGGATGACGAAGATGAATTTCTTCCTGCTAAAAAAAGGCTCCTATTGTCGTCAAAGAAAAAGCCTTTGAAAGAACCAAAAAAAGAAGTGGAGATTTTGGAGGAAGAGGTTAATTTCTCTCGAATTGAGCTTATATAATTCATTTTTTTAGTTAAAGCACGTTGAATCTGTTGGTCCCTCGGAAAAGAAAAAGACGTCCGTCCCATTCACCATGAAAACTAGAGGAGTCCGAGTGAACAGCTTCGTGAAGTCTTACAAGGTAACATAGAGATCTGGTTTATTTCTCAATTTGGAAATATAGCCAAAAGGGGTGATTGATGAAGACAAGGCGTGCGACGACGAAGTGAGACGCATCGTGTCACGGAAGTACAAACAGCAAAAGAAGCGTCCCATGATGAGTGAGAAACAGCTCACGCGGGAACTCTCCAACACAGCTCTGAACTTCGGAAATCCGACAAGACTTCAACCTTATAAAGGAGATTTATCGCAAAAGGAGTTTCTCACTTACATCCCGGACGAAGCGAATGGTTCGTTCTTTTCTTGATATGAGATGAAAATACCATTCTTTTAAAGTTGGTCATGTCATTTCGTACATTCGAAATCACTATTCTTCGCGTTATCCTGGCCTCGAATACGATGTGCAGCTTTTCCACGTTGACTGGACGGCAAAAGCTAAGGAAATCAACCTAATTTTGCAGGTTAGTTTTCCCAATGGTTTTTTTTCACATAGAGTTCAAACCACTTTTCGAATTTTTTTTTGATAATGGTGCAAAAAAATATTTTTCAGCCGGGCGAAGGCGGTGTTCCAAACGATCAAGGTTTACCCGAGAAAAACAGAGAAGTATTGGAGGTATGCCTTTTATATTGAACCATATAAATAAAATTCCTTTTTCAGAAAGCTCAGCAGAAGCTCGACAAAAAGGAGCAAATGCGAAATCGCTTGAGGAGCGAAGTGCAGAGAGCTCAAAAATTGAAGAAAGAAGAAGAGAAGACGGTGGAAATTGCTAAATCCCAAACGAAACAACAGAACAGAGCAAAAACCCCGGCACCTTCGAAAATTCAACAAGTCAACCATGTCGCTCCCGTGAGAGAATACGAAACTCGCAAAAGGACAGCCGAAAAAGCTTTTGGAGCGGAGAAAAAGAAGAACGGAGCAAAGAAGATAATTGACACTGACGTGGAATGCGTCAGTCATCGATATCAAAACCAACCAGTTCCAATCAAGCATCCTTACGGTCTTCGAGACGCCAAATCCCGTCGAAAACCTCCAAAGCGATTTGACGAGGAAATCTACGAAACTCGCAAAAGGACGTGCACCCAAAAGCCGAAGGTGTTGCCGACGAAGAAAGCGAAAGTCGCCAAGGCCGAACAGGAGATGATCAAGGAGATCAAGCAGGAAATCGAGGACGACTACGAGATCTGCGAAAACAAAGAGAACGACGTGAAGCCTCCCGAAGAAACGCCGAGGATGGAGGAAAAGAAAATCGTCGTTAGAGACAAACAAATTTACGCGTTGGAGCTGCCAAAGAGACCTGTCCTGCTAGACGTCACAATTAATCAGGTTATTTAAAGTTTTTTTTTCGATTCATAAAAAGTTCTCCGTCTGTTTTATTTATAGAACCGTTTTGAAATTTAAAAAAAGCAAACACGCTCAGATTGATCAAATTTGGATTTTAAGATTAAAAAAATTTTTTTTTATCAAAAATTTTCATTTAGTCGTCTTTATATAAACTAGACAATTTTATGCAAATTTTGTTTATCATACTTTTTTTCAGCTTCGCAACTGGCTCCATCTGCGTCCTGGAGAAATTTTGGACCTTTCCTACGTGGTCGTCACCAAGAATCACATCAGAATCAATCCTGCCATGGAGGTCGAGAAGCCTCAAAATCCAGAAACTTCGAAAAATGTTTCTTTGACTCCTTCCATCATTCTGCCACAAATTTCTGTTCCTGAGAATCCTCTGTCAGAAATGCCAGAAAAGGACAGTGATTCACATGAGAACGCCGACGAAATGCAGCCGTTACTGGGTGAACCAGTATTCATTTGTCCCAGTAATAAGCCCGGAAGCGTCTACACACCGATCGCGAGCAAGGCCCCAACGATCACCCTCCTAGAAATGGGTCCTCTGAGTAAGTTATCAGCGATGCTCGACCGCCCTGAGCCTTTCATGGGGCCGATGACTCCTTTTGCGGTAAACCTCAAAGGAGTTGGCCAAAATTTTCCAAAAACTGGGAAAAATTCATCGAAGCGTAAGAGACAAGAAGAGAAGAAGAAACCCGTGCGCATGTTCCCAACAACTCTCGACGGAAATCATGTCTCTTCATCGAAGCTGAGAGTTCGCTCGGTGGAGAAAGAACTTCGGGAGCTGAGCCAACCGCCACCTGAACAGAAGAAAACGGATCTTCTTGAAGGACCTGAACCAAAGGTCTTCATTCCTCCAGGACTGGGCAGAAAGACAATGATGACTACACCTTCTGGTAAGATTCCCATAACTCTTGGAGATTATGGAAAACCATTCCCTGCACCCCACACTATCTTCATGAAACGTACTATTGATAAGGAATTTTTATCCAGTTTCCATAGTTTTCCTGAGAAACAGCCCGCTTTTCCAGTGTTCAAACGTTTCTGAGAAGTTTCTGCTAATATTTGTTAAGTTCTTGTTTTTTTTTTTGTACAAAGTTACGGCTCCCATAATCTCTTAGCAAATTTAGATCTTATTGTTTCAAATGGTTATTTTTTTATTTAGTCGTATTCGCCAACAAGATGTGTCTCTTAATAACTTTATCGGTGAATGTTTTCGAGGGTGATTTTGAAAGATTCTCATGCTAGCGTTCCGCCGGCCACTTAATTCATTATTCATGGGTAAATGTTTGTTAAATAACGTGTTTTTGTTTTCACTGGTTTTAATTTGTTATATGTTTTCGTTATCATTATCTTTGTGCAACTGTCAGATCTGTTCTTCTTGTCAACCTGTTGTTTTTTGACGAATAAATAATCAAAAAAGCTGATGAACGATTTAAGCAATCAAATGTGGTGAGCTAAACATTATTCCGCAAGTACTGAATACAATAAAAAGAGTGAAAGTAAAAAGGCACATTCTGTCGACTACCATCGCTGCAAATTTCCAATCGTTTGCTGCTTGTTCGTCCTCAATTAATGAATGAAGAGTCTAACGAGAAAAACAAGAAAACTCTTTCGTCTTCTTCCATCCGGCGACGCATCACTTTTATTTGAGCAGAAATATTCTTCAGTTCCAGGCAAGCTTTTTGCATATACTTGTTCATCTCATGGATGACTCCAGTTGCTGAAAAACGGAACTGATTCGAAAAAGTCGACAATCTCACGTTGTTCCATTTCGCTTTCGCCTTCCATCTTTGAGTACATATATCGTGGAGAAACACTCGTATAGTTAGGAAGGAGATAATTGTGCGAGTTAGCATGGTTTTCTGGAAAAAATACGTTGATATAAGATAAATGTGACATTTATCCATTTGGAAAAGGATTTGAGAAAAATCTCAGGGCCACTATTGAAAAATCGAAATTTGTTCAAACGTCTCAAAAACTTGGCTTCTCAAACATAACAGTAGTTTAAAGAAATCAGGCTTAGTTTTAAAAATAGGCATTACGAGGAAACAAAATACCCACCGTCCTCTATGTCAATGGAAAACTGTCCCTTTTTCGCTCGAATGTTTTGCATCAGGGACATGCTATTCGAAGCGTGGATTTTTGCTGGTTGACCATTTGATTTCTCGATTTTATTACCTTTCCTAGCTTTTTCTTCCGCTTTCTCCGCCTGAATTTCTTCTGTTGAATGAAAAAAATATTTCGAAACAAAAAAGTTAAAGATGTATAAAATATTTGAATAAACGGCAAATTCAATTTGTAATTTAACTGAAACTCAGTTGGCACCTTTGAATCTCTAAATCTACCTTGATCAAGTTTCGATTGAAAAGAGTTGTCCCAGGCCTCCGCATCATCAAAAGCCAAGGAAGCCAGATCAACAAACATTCTCGAAGCTAAAGATTCTTTACGACTTCCAAAAAGTTTGATGATTAACTTACGAACGGGCTCATTTCATGAGTTTCGGGCTTCCGGTTGTGCAAATTCAGAACTAGCACTGTGAACACAACTGAGGCGGAGACTACGAGCATACAACAAGAGAAAAAAGCTCCTGCATGTTGAACTTGCCATTTGAAACCGGAATGTGGAAAATCAAACCTATCAAAGGGACCGCTTCGGAAGTCGGTGGAGTCATGTCGGCGACCATACTCAAAAAGAAGCAAACTGAGAGGAGAATTGTGATCTCTGAATGATAAAACTTAAAAATCTTTTGACTCTGAGATACGGTTTTTTCTTGGATCTGTACATTATAAAGATGAGAAAATAATTTTCAACCAAAAAAACTTTAAAAAGCCAGTTAGGAATTTTCGTCAAGTGATCTTTTTGTTCTGGAATAATTTCCTTTTCGTTCTTCTCTTTTATGAGTTGATTAATTTTTCTCGATTTTGCTTTTTATCTGTTTGATTGGCTCAATCATATTCACATGCAAAATGTCTCAATGCGTAAAAGCTGATAATCGGTCATGATCAAAGTTCTCCTGATCAAAGAGCGATTTTGCCACGCATTGGAGGACATAAGAGTGGCGGGTCTGCACGTGTATTCCGCATCGCAACCGCATTTCATTCGTAAGTGTTACAAGACACTGGATAATTTAGATAATGACTTTGAAACAAATTCTTTCATGGAAATAATGATCACCCAAAGTAATTTTTTCTCCTGCGTCTGGAGGCAACGTGAAACCAAGAACGGTCATCAGCGATATAAGGAGAGAAGGAATGATCAGGTTGAGTCCTGAACATCAAACTGAAGTTTGCAGCTTTCGAATCTCGTCTTACCGTAGTAAAGCGTTCGTCTTTGAATAATTAGATAAAAGTAGAGCGAGGGATATGGTTCGTCATCGAAGACGTTGGTCTCATTCCTGGCTGGCACAGCTGTAATTGCTTCTCTGAAGTTCGTTCAACTCGATTTGTACTTACCCAACAAGTTCCATTCTCCATTCTGCACATAATACTGGATATCGATTCCCTGTTCCGAAACATTCTGACCATCTGGTCCGTTGATTCTCAAATCGATGAAGTTCCCACTGTAGGTCCACGATCCGAACTGAATGAGAAGTTGAGATTGCAGGAACATGGAACTGTGTAATGTCGGCGTTGGAAAAAAATGCAGAAAAAAATACAAAAAAACCCCGGGAGCAATTGATAATTTCATTTTTTTCAAAAATTAGAAAAAAATCTCATAACACCTGAATTCTGCAATCACAAAAAAATCTTCACAATTTTTTTCAAATTAAAAACACAGTCGAGAAGAGTTATAGCTAATTCTTGAATTTCTTCAAAGAAAATATTTGAAAAAAAGGTTATTCACTAGGCAATAGGCCACTAACACCGAGAAAAAAACAAACTTTCATGGAAAAAAATTCAACAGGAAACGGAAATTGTAGCACTATAGTATTATTTGAAAAATTTGCTACGACCTCTAAAAAAAAGTTGCGGTGCACCCCGTTTACCTTTTAGCTCAAAAAAACGGTAGTTCAAAAAAATAAATTTATTATCCACCGGTTGCCCCAGGGGTGCGCGCCATCCAGGTCCAACGCGGGGTGCCCCAAAAAACCAACGAAAAGTTCCCTTTTTCCGGGTTTCACTAAGAAGTACATTTTGATTTTTTTGTTAAAGATATATTTTTAACATTCCGAACTTTTCGAAAAATTTTTGTCAGAAGATGAAAAAAATCCTCATGAATAAATCTTTCGTATCGAATCAAAAATCTGAGTTAATTCAAAAATACTAATCCATAAAAATCTATGAACCACGACCGAAAAATCTTTTTTTCAACTTTTTGGAGAATGCATACGGAAAAACAGCTTCGAATTCTTGGAAAGAGCTTCTATAATTGTTTTGCTCGACGACTCGCATCTAATATTTTTTCAGGGTGTGCAAAAAGCGTCCGAATTTGCAATAAGTGGAGGATTAGAAGATGTAGTGAGCGATAGCGACTACCCGTGCTTTCTGGTAAACCCCCATAATTCAAAAGAGCGGTTTAAGAGATTTCCTCGTTGCACACCCGCCAAACAATTGAATAACCATTACAACACGAAACGTGAACCTTCAAATGGCACATTTGGTCGTCGAATGGAAAATAGGTGATGTCGATCTTGCACGAGAGTTTCAGAATACCGGGAGGCACTTGTAATACGTGTCCGGTGTAACTCACTACGAAATTCACTGGATAAGTAGAGTCGAAATTTTCATCGGCGCTGAAAAAATAATTTTTACAAGGGAGGTCTTTATACTTTGCGGCTGGGAATTTATTGAAAATGGGCCAGAACAGTCCTTGATGTTGAAGATTTCGAATTCTCAACCTGCTTATTAATTCGTCAGTTTTCCAGAATTAACTACCGAAAGTCTCCAAATAGCCTATTTTAATCGATTTTGAGGGTTTTCTTCGACTTTGAGATTTCTTATCTCCAAACTGAGAAGCTGCGTAGCTGGAAACACTCAGAACCTTCTTCTGGTACTTCAAGAAAAATTCTGACTAGTTTTCAGGAAAATCCTAACCGCAGAGTGAGATGACTCTCTTGTCATACGATTTAAAAAAAAAATTAAAGCTGCAAGTTTTTATCATTCGGCTTCAGATTGCATTTTGATTTTTTTAAGAAATTTGGCCTGAAAAATGAGTTTGAAGTACAAATGCTAAATGTTTATTTTTTGCCATTTTTTGCCCGTTTACTCAAAAATTCTTGAAATTCACGCATTTCTGAAAAAATAAGTGTTATTTACTTTGCGCAGGTAATGCAAAAAAGGTGAGGCTGATTTTCTAAAGGTCATCGTCCTTTTAAGGGAGATGCAACTAGAAATTGAGAAACGTATTGATCAAAATTATTCAGAAGGCGGCCGTTAAGAATCTCTCAGAAGCGAAAATTGTGTCCCACCTGTTATAAAGTAACACATCCGGCTTCCAAATTTCGTTTGCGTTACCGGGAAAACGTATGTCTTTTATACCACCGTACTCGGATGGATCCCATTTCAATTTATAGTCCGTCCATTGGTATTCCACCCACGCCACCAAAGTTATCACCTGATTTTTTTCATCCTTAATGAAGTTTTCAAGGTTAAACGACACGAAAAAACTGTCAAACCACGTCCAAAATTTGCTGCAGATAAATTTTTACAGAAACAACCAGAGGTTCACTTGAATTTGCCACGGGCCGTTCATAGGGATCATAGTTTCGACGTAAATCGGAGAGAAGTCGGTATTCTTCGGCGCTTGCTTCGATGTGGACAAAGATTAGAGAAAGGCAACACAAGCGCTGTAAACATTCACAGATAAGGAATTGTATCTTAACTTTATAATTTTGAGAAAGTCTCATATCTCAGCTTTGTAATGTTTTCAGATTACATGGATCCATAGTTTCCTATTCAAAAATTGAGAAGTTCCCTCACAAAACCGTGGAAAATAGTTTTGTTTTGGTTCTTTCTATAACATTAACGTTTCAGCACTTCAGTTCAAAACACCCTCCCAGTCAGAAAAGAAACAAAAAAGGTTTTTAATTTTTTCTCCAGTTTTTCAAGGTAAGAAAGATTTTTCTTTGGAGTACGGTATCTCAAAAAAAAAAGATTCAGTAAATTTCTATGTTATTGCGAAAATTCATGACTTTTCATTTTCACTAGAAGTTGAGACAAAATCCAAAAATGCACTTTCATAGGGAGTGAGATCACTTGAAACATTTATTTTTGCAAACAGTGGATAATTTCAAAACAACATGAATAGAAAACCAATGAAGAACTCACAAAAAACAGCGGAATTAGATGCGATGTCATTTCGATGGTTTCACATCATGAACGAAAACTTCTTGAATTGAGAAGACGCGAGTGGAGGTGGAAAGCGTCCGGAACGCAATAATCGACCCCGTGGGAGTTGAGGCCTGGAAGCGATTGGGCGGGGGGCAGCTCGTCTCATGTCTCGTCACAGACACTTCATTACAAACCCAATTCCTTGTCATCTGCCTTTAAGTTATGTGCAAATAAGAGAAAAATGATTTTATGTGTTTTGCAGACGGAAAAGCAAACGAAAACAGCAAAAAATGGACATCAAACAGTCCAAAAATGCAAATGAAGCGCTGTACCGTGGTATAAATATGAGCCGACGGAGCAAATTGAGCATCCAGCAGCGATGATTCGAGCTTTTATCTTCTGCACGCTTTTTTGTCTTGTTCAAGCCAACTTGCTCGAGAAGGTTTGGAGCAAGAAGAATCAAGTGGAAGCAGCTCCAGAGGAGGTAGGACCTTGAACTACTGCCTCTGAACTTTTGAACTTCAGGTTAAAATCGTATCCGACAAGGAAGATGCTCCTACGAACCCTCAAAACGACAATGTGCCCAAAGAAACGTTCGCTCTGGCTCTGCAAGAAGGCCAGGACACGTCTTCAGACGGCGAGAACTCTTCTGAAGTCGTTATCCGAGCCAAGCGCTACTACGGGTGCGGCTGCGGCTGTTGCGGCTGTGGAACCATGGCTCCTGCTGCTACCATGATGCCTTGCGGATGCGGATGCGGCTGTTGCGGATAACCTTCATCACAAGTTTTAATTTACGTATTTATTGTACCTTGGGATGAATGAATATTTATGCTTAGAAAAGTGAAAAATATAAAATTTCGGTTGAAACTTGAAGAGTTGAAAGATAAGCTGCTCGTGTTTTTGACTTCAAAGCTAGAGTTTTCGCTATTCATCTGGAAATGCTGGATTATGATGGATCATAATGTTAAGAATATCGAATCCTATAAGAATGATAATCAGTATATTTCTATGTAAAGTTTGTTTTTGTCAGTGATTTGATCAGCAGTTTTTTTTTGGTTGAAGCTACAAAAAACCTTGAAACTTTGAAGCTACAAAAAACCTTGAAACATCAGAAGAGTGTTCTCCAGTCACAGCTCTAAAGATTATCAGAAATTCTTCGATTCAACCGGTTTCTAATGGAGCATCAGTTCGAAGATTGGGTTTTTTCCCAGTCAATGAGAAGCACATTTTTCACGACCAATAAACAAGCCATTCTGAGCAAACATTTATTCCAATAATTTATGGTATAACTATAAATGGCTTCTTTAATAGCCTGGTGGGGTACGCGGAGTTGGGCAGTGGAAGCAGTCTCCATTAGGTCCCTTGGATCCGAGGCCACCTGGAGCTCCGGCTTCTCCCTTGTGTCCGGGACGTCCCTATAAAAATTTTCATTCAAAAAATTCATGATTTTTTTTGAATTCTCACCTTGCGTCCTTGGTCTCCTGCTGGTCCCTGAGGTCCAGGAATAGAGTTTCCACGACGTCCTTTTGGTCCTTGTTCTCCTTTGCGTCCAGCCTCTCCAGGGGCTCCGGGTGGTCCTTGTGGGCCGTTGATCTGAGTTACAGAGGGTGAGATCAAAATTATGAATGGATCATACGTTGATGACGCGTCCATCTTCTCCTTTCTTTCCTTGTGGTCCCTGGACACCTGGCTCTCCGTCAAGTCCGGCAGGTCCAACCATTCCTGGCTCTCCACGACGGCCATCGATGCCAGCAAGTCCTGGAGATCCGCGAGGTCCTTGGGGACCTTTTGGTCCGGCGTTTCCGATAGCTCCTTGTGGGCCAGGTGGGCAGATGATGCAAGGCTCTCCTTGAAGACCATCAGAAGGAGCGACACCGCCGTCCTTAATTGATAAATCAACTAGGAAACAAAAGTGTTTTCAACTTTGCCGTTCTTCGCGTCGTCTCCTTGGTTTCCATCTTTACCATCGTGTCCGTCATCTCCGGGTGGTCCGGGAGGTCCAGCTCGTCCTTAGGTTTTGAAAGTAGGAATCCAAAAAGAGATAGTAAAATACCTTGCTGGCAAGTGCAGCACTGAGGAGCCGGCTCAGCATTGACGACTGGTCCGTATCCACCATTGTTGGATGGAGCTGGAGCTGGAGCGTAGGCCTGTTCGGTTGCTGGAGCTCCGTATTCAGCGTTGCCGGCACCACCTCCAGTTCCGCTGTCAGGGACCCACTGACCGAAAAGCCAACCTCTCTTGACACGCTGTTGAGGGGCCATTTGGTACATGTTGACGAGCAAATCTCGCGATCGGAGCTGAAAGGTTGGTTTCGATTGATGAATATTTTCAAAAAACACTTTTTTTGTTTTTTCAAAAATAGGTTTTGAATAATAGATGTTCGTTTGTTTTTCTTGATAGTAATTTTCAAAAAGTTTTTTTCGAAATGTCGGAAACTGGGTTTTTTTGATAAAGGAGTACTAGGATTTTTTTGAAACATCCGCTCCACTGAAAATATAAAAAGAAAAACCAGAAAGAGAACAAATTTTTTTCAGAACTAAATCATCAACCACTGTGAAAAAAAGGTTCGGTAACTGTATTCCAAATTTTCTTTGAATTTTTTTCTAATGCAGGCAATGTTTTAGAAACGGGCTTATTGAATTATCAAAAAAAAAAATCAAAACATTAAAGCTCCAAAATTATCTAGCACGTGAGAAGATTCAACCTTGCAGAAGTCAGTTTCGACGATGATTTCGCTCTGCAGACCCTGAACGTAGGTGTACAGCAACGGAAGCGTCAGCACGGAGCAGATGACTGCCGCCGTGGACAAAGTGATCGCGAAAACCGCGATTCGCTTCATCTGCCTGAAAAAATAACACAATGAGGAAAGTCCGAAAGCAGAATATTACCTGTGCTGATCGGTTTCCTTGCCTTCCATTGTGGTCAGGATAGATTAGATAATTCGAGCCTTCCTTTTATATCCCTTCATTATTGGGCGTTTAGATATCCGGTTCCCGGGAAATGTTGGCGGCGACCAACTGGAAAACCTGAAAATAGGGCGACACCCTGTGGACCGTCGGTATGCAAATTCCATCTCCATCATCAAAAATCTTGATTTTTTGCGCATGTTGTCGTTGAAGATCGCGTCAGCTTGACAAGGAAAAAAATATTTCTAACTGAATTTTTAATGTATATTGTTGAAAGTATGAACCGTAGTAGTACCTCACAGCTGAGTTAATGAAATGATTTTTTTCCCATTCGACCATAAGAAAAAGTGAAACTGCTTGTCATAAACCCAAAAGAGTTCATGTTTTTGAATCAAAGCAACGGAAAAATATGATCAGCAAACCATTAAAACTTTTCTTCAGATTTCATTGAAATTTCTTTCTAGAAGGTCTTATAAACTCAAAAAATAAAAAAAAATAGTGTAAACATCTCATGATTCTTCTTTGTGTCTCGAAAATAACTGATCTTTTCTGAAATCCTTGAAAGAACCCGCACATCAGGATCGAGGAAATTTTTTTTCTGATTGGTATTACTCATAGAAAAAATAACTGCAATAATACAAATATTTATTCAATCTTCCCATTTTAAATTATTCAGAAACACAATTGGATTTATCAATTATCCGCAACAGCCGCATCCGCATCCGCAAGGCATCATGGTAGCAGCAGGAGCCATGGTTCCACAGCCGCAACAGCCGCAGCCGCACCCGTAGTAGCGCTTGGCTCGGATAACGACTTCAGAAGAGTTCTCGCCGTCTGAAGACGTGTCCTGGCCTTCTTGCAGAGCCAGAGCGAACGTTTGATTGGGCACATCGTCGTTTTGAGAGTTCGCCGGAACATCTTCCTTGTCGGACACGATTTTAACCTGAAGTTCAAAAGTTCAGAGGCAGTAGTTCAAGGTCCTACCTCCTCTGGAGCTGCTTCCACTTGATTCTTCTTGCTCCAAACCTTCTCGAGCAAGTTGGCTTGAACAAGACAAAAAAGCGTGCAGAAGATAAAAGCTCGAATCATCGCTGCTGGATGCTCAATTTGCTCCGTCGGCTCATTTTTATACCACGGTACAGCGCTTCATTTGCATTTTTGAACTGTTTGATGTCCATTTTTTGCTGTTTTTGTTTGCTTTCCTACCTGGCTAACGTGGATCTACATTTTTTTGCCACGCCGATATGTTTGCCAGTAATTCTCGTGCAAATTTTCGTTTCAGCTTTCCGATGCACTCTTTGTAAAGGCTATCCGTTCGGAAAAGGAGTAGCGATTCAGAAGGAGCGTGACGCTGATGGTGAACAAAAACGTCAGGCAGTACGCGCATTTTGAAGCTGAAAAATCGTTTTCAAGTGGAAATCTCAAAAAAAAGATCTCACTTCAATAGGCGAAGAGTCATCGAGTGAGTTACTTTGTTCCATGCGAAGCCTCCGAATCTCTGGTCGTATTTTGGAACCTCAGTTTTTCTGATCAAAACGTATGGTTCGTAGTGTCTTTCCCATTTTATCTGAATAGAGATAGTTTTATTTCATCCAGAAAAATAACTTACCTCATATGAGATATTCGAAGTTAACCATTTTTCATAGTTGGTTGCAGAGTGTGCCCGGGAATGAGCTTTTTGTCGGAACGGCTGCATCTGCTCACGTGAAAATTTTTATAAGCAAAAATGGCTCTAATTTACCGATCCTCGCAAAAAATTTTGAGCGATTTCTTGTTTATTTCGTGGGCAGATAGCAGAAAGTTCAGATTCGAACGTCTCGACAGCCGGCAAAACGAATAACTCCAGCTTCTTCAAAGCGCCTGCATATTTCTCCATATTCATTAGTTCTGGAAAAAAAAAACCATTCAAGAACTTTTTTTCATCATAGTATGTTTTTTTAAACGAATTCTTTCAAATTCACCTCCACAGATGAGAAAAATCAACGTCGAGTAACAGAACACAGTCGCCTTCAGCATAATCCAGAGCAACATTGCGGAGATAATTAATAGGGTAAACATTCTAGGAAGATTACGATATTGATGATGTGAAAAAATTACCTTTTGTGTTGTTTTAAAAACGAAATGGACACTTAAACCAGTGCGATTTAATCCTTTGAAGAATTTCAGAACGTGCGCCTGAAATTTATTCCAGTTGATTATTTCTACTCCGGAGATGCTTTCCTGGTCTTCATCTTTGATGAAAACCGACACAGATATTGGTAGTTTATGTGAAGCTGCCATCCGAGCGAAATTTTCCAGCCGGTCCAGACTCATTTGAGTAACTACTGTTATTGCATTGCTTTTCTAAAAACCAACAACTTTTTGATTGTATAAGCGCTCAAATACGTTATTTGGCATAGCGAAAGCTCCAGGAATCGTTCGATAAGCACTTTCTGGAGTCATGAAGTCACAGTTGCTTTTCTGAAATCACCAGAATCTTGGGAATTATTGACTTACTGTACCTTTTTCGGGGTTTTTTCTTCTCCACGGAGTTTGTCGCCATCAAAGGTCTCAATGAACTCGCGATGTTGATCAGCCATCACTTCATGGGTACCAATTTCTTTGTTTTGGGAGTTCCAATGATAAATCTGGAATAAGTTGTGCTGGGCAAAACATATAGAAACTGACCCGAGCATCATTTTTGCATATTGAATTATTGGAAGAAGTTCCCAGCTGGAAGTTGAAAGAACATTCGAGTTTGTGAACAATGTCAGGATGCGTGAAAATTATGGAATTGAAGATATCCTGCAAAAAGGGAAATATTTTACAGTTGAAAATTTGGAAGACTTGATCTGCAAGAGAGACTTTCCCAAGGTGAAGAAGATTTTTCTCAGCGCAACTTTTCCAAACTTTTGACCAATCAAAATTTCTCATTCTCCGTAAATCCAATAACATAACGCCCGTATTGAAACCGCGATTCTAAAATCTTTAAAGAAATGATTTTTTTCAACTTGACTCACAATCGCTGGCCACGTTTTTCTGATTTCGTCTGATTTCAAATACCAATTTGACATGTTTTCAACAACTCCAATTAGATTTTGTGCGTTGAAATTGTCGAACTTCTTCCAGAGATCGTTCAGATCGCACTTTACCAGCGTGTCTACATCCAAATAAATAACCTGAACTTTTGAATTTCTTCCTTTGTCTTATTTTCTTTAAAAACCTTCTCCAAACTCTCCGGAAGAATAGAAGGGAGTAGAAGTTTGAAGAGTCCGTACTGTTTTGAGTAATGCGAATTAGGTATCCAAGAAATACTGTTAAAATGCGGTTCGAGCAAATGGAACTGGTAAGTGACTGAAAAGTCTCGGTTTAGCAATTTTTTGAACGATTTGGGTTCTCCGACCTTTTGAAATATTCCATGTATTGAACAGAGTATTAAGATCTTTTCTATTCTCTTTGTCGGTAATTATCCAAAGTTTCATTGTACAATTGGAGTGAATCAAAATGCTTTTCAAATTTTCATAAAACCATAGTTTAGCCATGGTGTCACCACCGACAACATAAGCCAGGTTTATCGAACACTGTAAAAGTCGTCTTTGATATTTAATTTTGCATTTTAAAGATCACCTTCTGCAAAGAAACATCCACAGCTCCAATTTCATAAGCGCCAAGAATTGTCGATCCTACAAACTTGGACTGAAAAAATCACTAAACTTGAGAATTAAACCTTGAATAAGAAAGAAGCTGCAAATTACAGCAGCCAGAAGCATCCTGTAGGACAGTGCAAGCTGTTTTTTAAATGTTGTTGCTTTTCCGAAATTCATATTCTCCTGAATAAATAATATGAGAAAACACGAAAAGCAGACATAATATTATTATGAAACATAGGGATACAAATCAAGTCGGATTGAAAGAAAGACAAGAGAGCTCAGAATACTAGTTGATGAGCTGCGGAAGGGCGTTACGAGCGGCGGGAAATGAATCGGAGACTCAGCCGCATCTTTGAAACAAACGCCATCTGAATGGCCGAGACAATGTCATTTGCTAGTACTTCCTCCAAACAGATGGAGGAGATCCGATAATCTTACTTCAACATCAAGGAAACTTGGAGATAAACAAAAACGAATCGAAATTGGTCTAGTTTGATTTGAAGATTTTTAAGGAAACGGTTTGACGAAAATGTCCTTATTTGAACAAACGATTAAGACGATGAAAAGCTTTTTAAGTATTTTTTTTTTCTGGATAGCGATTATGAATTGAATATTTTTCTGCTTATGAACTTCCTGCGCGATTTGTTGTACACCTTTCCGTTTCTCAGATTTTTTAAGCATTCTTTCTCATTGAAATTTCCTTCAAACAAACAAAAAATGAAGAATAAATAACTGAAAGAAATTTCACTATTACGAACAGCAGAAGAGCTGAAATTACTTTCGAAGAAGACGGCAAGATAATGAAAAGCCACAAAAAGGATGTGCTCATGCATTAGACGCATGGCTAATTGAATCTCAAGCCGAGTGTTCTAAAAAGAAGAGACGCCGGAAATTTTTATATAAAATTCTTCTTTTTTTATCAGTTCACATTATAAAAAAAGTTGTATTATTTATAATCGATATTGATAATCAAAATGAGTCAAAAACACTTCCATTTTCGGGAAAATTCAATCAGGTTAGAGTTTAGAACTTTTCGATGGAGACGAAAGATTGTTCTCTTGTCAAATTCTGATACGTATTTCGTCTTTATTCCAATCAGGACCTCTCAGAAAGAATATTGCAAGACCGATATAGCGTCGTTCAAACTGAAAAGGATGTCAGTTTCATCTGTCAGCAAATCAACCAAGCGACATCTTGCCTCACACAATTTCTACTTTAAGCATTCTTCTTTCGAATATTAAGAATGGAAAAATTTTATTGGAAACACATTTTCAATACTGTCATGTTTTTATGTAAAAGTGAATATTAACAAAATTTACAATATGAATTGGAACCAATTTCGAAAAGAGAGCTCTACATGTCAACCCGAAGATACCCTTCAAGCAAAATAACTACCTGTTGGAAACTGGCAAATTTGAAAGGAGGATACTAATAAATCAAAGGTGTTTAAATGTATAAAATTAAAAGTGTGTGTACATGTATGCACATACTGAGTTCGGAATCTCAGTTTGAAGTGGAAGGAACTGAATCCAGGCTGGAATGGAAGTTTTCGTTATCATATGGTTGCACTATCTCCCACGGCGCGTCGTTTTCCGAAATCGAAGAAAAGTCGAATCCCAGCCAATCCTGTAATGATTTTCTAATTAAAAAAGTTGAAGTTGAGAAATTGAAAAAAGTGAAATAAAGTTTACCGCCGTTTCGGGAATTATTTCGCATGCGGCCAAACAGTAAACAGCCTGGAAATGAACAAATTATTCTTTTCACGGAGTTTTTCTTTACCAGGTACGCGACGAAAAGAAGGTACAAAACTGTTGGCAAGGACAATACGGTAAAGATGTACCAGCTGTTACCCAAAGCCGTTGTGACATAGTCAATTATGAAATAAACGTTGATCGAGAGAATAACCACAGTAGTCACCAGCGCGAAAATTTGAGTGACTCTGTTGTAAAATCAAATATTCTGCGTTGGAAAAAAAAAAACTTACTTTGAGCTTTTGAACTCGTGCATTATTTTGCGGCTTGAGGTAAACGTGATGATTGGGATAAGCGCGAAAGGCAGTTGCACCATTTGAATGCAGTTGAGGAAGTCGTTCATTCCTTAATAAGAACATTAATACTTTTTATTCTGCAACTGGATTAGTACTAAGTTTAATAAGTTCAAAAAAAAGTGCAGTTTTCACCTCATTCCTTGTTTTTTACATTGCTTCTTTCAAACCTGCTCAAGAATCAGTTTCAAAAACGTTAAATATAGAAACTCTTAACACAGAGACTTTGAGAAAGATTTTAGATAGACTATTTCTGCATCATTTTGTTGATTTTGATCTTGGAGAGCCTTCTTGGGTATTTCTTAGAAACAAGACTAAAAATCCAAGTAGAAGGTTTTTTCCTTGCTCCAACCTGTGAGATTCTGCACTCCGTTGGCGTAGAGCGTCAAAGCCAGCGTCGGAGCGATCGCGATAGCTCGAGTGATAAGAACTCGTTTCCATTTGGGCCAACTCACTTGAATAAAACCCTTCAACACATTTTTAATCTTTCCATTTTCTTCATTTCCACCAACTTCCATGACGAACTGGCCTGTGTAAGTACCAGTCATAGTTGAACTTTGTCCGGCTGCAAACACGCCGACGCCCCAAACATAAAGGGCAGCCAACCCAAACTCGCACCCCAGAAAAATACCACCCTAAAAGTATGTTTTGAATTCTTTCCAAGCAATGGTTGGTTTTCACTTTGTAGATATCCACATCAACGGGTTCTGTATTGTTCGGAAAAGCGTGGGGATCCGGAATCCCATGACGGGCCAGGCACATATCACGCTGAAGAGCAGAATCATTTTAGAAAATGCCAAATCGAAACTCACGACGTCTTTGTTGGTTTTTTTGTAGAGTCCTTGAGCGAAGACAGCAACAACAAAGACGTTTATGATAAAGCTGACAAGAAGTGCGATTGCTGATTCGATGGCGAAGTACATGTTGGCTTCAGTGACCATTTTTCGATCTTTTCGGTTGACTTTTCGGGACTGTAAAACAAATTGAAAAAACGGAATCCAAAAAACTATTTTTCTAGAAATTCCAATTAGTTGAAAAATTTTGTCTGAACTTAATGGGAATAACGTATCATAAGATTTCATTCTTTAAACGTGAATTTCTTATTTTTTTAATTACTTTGTTAAGAAAACAGCCTTAATCAGATACTTTTTGACATTGCCAAAAATCGTTCAATGAGTTTGTAAAACTAATCTTCATGCATCAAAAAAATACTTCAATATTTCTTCTTCCTCCTCATTACAAAAGGGATGCTTCAAACAATAAATAATGAACAGATGTCTCTAAATTTTTCTAAGAAAACCAGATAACCTTGACAAGCGCCGAATGGAGGTATAGATTATGTGGCATAATGACAGCTCCAACGACAGAAATCCCTTGTATGAACTCTTCATTTCCACAACCACTGCACCAAGGAATAAACATCCCAGAAAGAACTTCGGGAAAAGATGGTTGAACGGTGAAATACTGAACACAAAAATCATGTTGAGATCAAAATTTTCGAATACCTCGAATCCAAAAGAAACAGCCATTGTGGTGATCAAGGCGCCAAATAAAAACTCGAGCTTCCTCACTCCGTATCGGTCAATGAACAAAAACGTGAAAGTGTCGAGAATGGTCAGTAGAACGCCAAAATACAGCGGAACTCTGTAAATGAAAAGGCATGGATAGTGAAAATATAATGAAGGTCACCCTCCATTGCTCAGAAGGAAAATCGCGATGGCCGTTCCGATGACTTCTTGCATGTCGCTGCAGACGATGGCGATTTCGATCATGAGCCAGAGGACGATTCGCGGCAGTCGAGGGTAGAACGAGTGGGCGACCTTTATAGAATAGCTTGTTTTACAACTAACTTGATACTAAACTACGTTGGATATAGAACGAAAAAAAAAAGAAAATATGGCTAATTTCGAGCATTATATTGGATTTTAAGAATTTGAGATTAAAAAAAAATGATAGGAAATGAACCTCGGCCATGTGCTTCCCACTAACAACTCCCAAACGAGCTGACATCCTTTGCAACAACATTCCAATTATGTGAGCTGAGAGAAGAACCCAGAGAAGCTGAATCAAGTTTATACTCGAGTTTCTAACAGAATCATACCTTGTACTGCGCTTTGGCTCCAGATTGGAGATCACTCTCAATATTTCCGGGATCCAAATACGCAATACTCATCAGAAAACCGGGACCAGTGAACGCCCAAAGTTTACGGAACGAGAATCTTTCTGTCTGAATTAAAGTTTTTTTAAAAATTATTAGATACTATTCCTTTGATTTGGGTGTTTTTTTGTAAAAATTATTTCTCAAAAAAATGATTTCTGAGGCGCGTTTTTTTCTTTTAATGTTTAGATTCAGTACAAAATTAATTTTTTTCAATTTTTCTGTTAACATTTATGTCTCATTTGCGATAAATGCTTGCAAAAAATACATTAAAAAAGAAAAAATAAGGAAAATTTCAGAGCTGGACTTCTTCAATTAAAATTCTTTCAAGATTCTCTCAATTGTAACAGAACTATTTTTTTAAATGAGGCATTTCTAAAGACTAAAAATAACTATGCTTGTTCAAAACCTCACGTCTTCATATTGAGGGATTTCCACTCGGTCGTCTTCTTCGTACAACAGCTCTTCTGGAGATTCCGTTTCATATCCACTTGGCGGCTTCCTTCGAACTTCCATCACTGAGTTTTGACTTTCCGACATCTTCAACGTAAAAATTCTGGGACTTCAAAAACAGTAAGAGAAAGAAAAAGGAAGAAAAGGACGTGTACGATTCACACTTTTGCTTATTTTTGTGATTTCGCGCCTATCAATGTTTTCTTTAGACGGTAAAAACAGAACTGAGTAATCAAATGAAAAATGAAAAAAGTAATGATAAAATCAAAAAAGACTAGATTATTTACTTTGTGATATTATTTTTGCTAGATTACATCAACCATATGTACCTCGTCTAAAAGCCCTTGAAAAAAGATCAACGACGCTAGAGGAGATTCTCTATTTTCCGAAAAAAAGGAAAGGAAAAAAAAAAAAAAACTAACAAAACTTTCCTGGAAAGCCAAGGAAAAAAATCCAGCGATTTCAAAAAAAGATGACAAAAAGTTATTATTTTTGAATAACAAAGCAAAGGACGCGGTCTGTAAAGTTACGCGACCGGGAAATACAAGTGCTCTCTCTTTTTTGCCCTTTCTAGGCCTTATTAGTAAGTCTTCAGGTTTATCTTCCAACTCAATAAGGATCAAGTAGGGATGTAGAATAGTTTTTTTATTTTTCAGTTGGTAGGATTTTCTTCAAAATTTTACTTTTTACCTGGGGAGTTTTATCCCAATAGGATGCAAAAAAACTATGAGGTTCTACTGAAAATTGTTTTGAAATTTAATTATCCGGCGGGAATTCGAACGAATTTCTAGTTTTTTTTAGGGCTCAAAAAAGTATCAGACCGATTTTAGTTCATTTTGAAGTTTTTTCGCCCTGCTTCTTTCAAAATAGCGAATTATTTTTCAAGCTGTTAGATCCCAAGAAGCTCAAATTATACAGCACCAAATAAGGACCATCGTCGCGCAAAATGATTAGCAAACGCGAAAAAGAGCTCTGTTAGCGGAAACAAAATCTGTACGGAATTCAAAATCTTAAAAGGCTATGTTGAGGGTTTTTATCTTGGTTTTTAGAAGATGAAGCTTCTTAATTTTTATTTTATACGTACTGATATTTCAAGCTCGCAAAGATTGGCAAATTACCAGACTTTTTTTGCGAAGTTATCCAACTTGAGAGCTTTTTTGACATCTGATATAAAAAAATAAGGTCTGTATTCGATACATTTCTCAAAAAATCAAAAAGAAATTGAACCCAAAAATTTATGAAACCGGGAAACAGGAATGTTACAGGAAAAAAAAATCAATATCACACGTTAAAAAATCCGTTGAATTCTATGCATACAAAAGGCTGTACTCACCGTTATAATCTCCACGGGGCCGAAAAAAACATGAAATGTTTGCCGTATTTAAGAACCCTTGGGCGTGGCACAAAATGAAAGCAAAATTAGAAGATAAAATAAAGCCAAAAAAAAGCTAAATGATAAAACTAGGACGAGAAAAATTTTAAAAAATACATAAGTAGAAAAACCAGTGAATAGGAAATCTATTTTTCTTAAACGAAATAAAAAATTTCTAATGAAAATCACAGGGTACTTACACACAGGTATTGGGAACACAGAGAAAGTCTCGCTTTCCGTTTGAATAAATAAAATCATAAATAAAAAAAATGAAATGTTAACTAATCAAAAAAATAAACTATTTGCAGAAGTAATATATATTTCAATAGTTATCGGTTTGGAAAGTCCGTAAGTCTTACAAAAGCTTTTTTTTTCAAAAAGTGGAAATGAGCTCTTATTTTTGATTTCCTTTTGGCTACGATCGTTTTCTAATTTTAAACTCGACATATTACAAAAACTGAATGTGTTTCGAAGACTTATCAGGACTTCCCAAACAAAATCTTACAGGTATACAGACTAGAATACAGTGTGATTATACATCGGGCAGGAGAGGATCCTTGACTTCCAGAGCCGTCGAGATGCCATTCGTTGGACTTTTGTTCCTGAAACTTTATCAATAACTTGGTTCAAGGTTCCTAAAAGACAGTTATGATCCATTAGTTTCTTTCTCTACATGAGTTAGAATTAGTTTATCGGTTTTACTAGGAGGGATCTATTCCACACGCTGCAACAGAAACCAAAAACCCAAAATATGGCAATTCTAGCAGGTTTTAAAGAAAGCGATGGATGAAGCAACGTTTTCCGAGCTCGCTTCCTGAATTGAGTAATTTCATCATTTTTACTGAAAAAGATAGAATTTTTTCAGGTTGGATCTTCATACTTTTTGAAAGATGAGAAGAAAAATTCCAACGTGAATAAATTCGAAGAAAAGTAATATTCAACTCAAACTCGAACTTACATTTTTCTGCGTTTGATACCTCGTCGGATACTACAAAATTATTTTTGGCACTAACAATGAGTTTTGAGAGAGACATACAAGAACTAAAAAAATACATGACTACTTGAGAAAGTTGTTAAAATAATACAGGAACCTTTTTTTCAAATATTTTAAGGATTCCTTCTCAATTTCCGTGAAAGAGTTTGTTCACAAAAAATAAAAAAATATGTGATTCATTTTAGCTTTTCTATTCAGCGTTAAGAACGCCGTAAATTTGCAATACACGGTTCCAGATATATTCAGTCACAGAACGATTACAATTTCCTTACATGAACGTTCCATGAAAAAAAAAACTACTTGCCAATTGAAACTGTCTTCAAAATGAATCAAAAACGTCTCCATCCATTTTTGTAACATCCAGTCTTAAACTAACTCTTCTTCTTCATTTCTCAGCCGGATAGCGATTCTGACAAGCACGAGGCCACTTGCGAAAAAAATAAGAGACGAAAAAAAGAACACCAGCGTGTACGACCCGAATCCGTCCCGAAGAAGCCCTGCATGAGATTAGTTCTCTTTCTTCAATAAAAACTGACCGAAAAGCGGTGGGGCAAGAATTGTAGCAAGTCCTTCGCAGAGCCCAGCAAAAGAGTAGGAACTTTGGAACACGCTCATGTCCGTGTTTATAGTCGTCAACAAGATGCTTTGAAACACGAAGTTGGAGGAGATGAGGCATCCGTAAAGACCGCTCAGGAACTTCAAATCGATTTTTCATTAGGATGAACTTGGTATTGATTTTCCTAACGTAAAACTTCATGATCACAGGATGAACATTTTGATACTGTAACATAGGGAAATCAAGTATAAATTGCGCCCGAGGGTTTTTGAGTTACACAATATCCACATTGAAACATAGGATCGCAGCGAGATATTTTTGGCTCGAACAAAAAACTTGCTGCTTGGAAAATTTTTTCCTTCAGAAAGTTAGAGACATATAAAAAAAACTTTCACGGCTTCTAAATAAATTTTACTTCTGAGCGAGATCAAGAAAAAATTCTTCCTGGGATCATGACTTTTTAAATCAGGGTGTTGATGACTCACAATCATGCCGTAGAAGCTCGTAACAAAAATAGCCGCAAAAAGAACTCCACTAATGCCAAACACGGCGAAACTCGAGATCAGGAACAAGTACTGGAAATATTGGCTGTTTGAAATGACCCATAGAAAACCCACTTTTTTACAACATTTGATGTCAGCGAGGAGTCCCCAGCAAAAAGTAGACACGAAATTACATATCCCGATTGCCGATGTCAGATATTTGGCACTTGAGAGTGGGATCTGAAATATGATAAATGGTATTGATTTATTTGAAGATATACCATCAATGATTCGGTACAGTGGTCAATGAGGAAAACGTAGGGAACATCCAGAACAGCATACAGAAGAGTCAAATGAACCAGATACCTGAATATTTCCATTTCAATCTTAAATTTATTTCATCACATACAGAACGAAATTCCGGTCTCGAAGAAGACTCCGATAGGTCCCGACTTCTTCTGTAACACTGGATGAGGCCTGAAAATCAGATTTTGAATGAAAACCTTTTGCTCAAAAGTTCAGACTAATGGACCATGATAATCGAAAAACTTACGTCTCTAACCATTCCAAGACCGAATTTTCCGAATTTGTTCTTCCTCTTCTGTCGTGCAGCAAGAGCCGGGGCGGAATCGTAGCGGAACTTCAGTCCAATAGTATGCATAGATAAACGATTTCTAAATTTCATTGATAAAAAAAAATCGGTTTTGATTTTGTTCAAGCCCTGAAACCTTGCTTCAACGGCATTTCCTGCCATAACTCTTCCAGCCGACATTCCTCGAGCGATCGAAGCACGATCAAATCTTCCGAAGTTTTTAAGGTCCATGGCAGGTGCCGCTAAAAACAAACTTCAATTGTGAGAACAATCTGACAAAAATCTCACGTGGAATACTTTTGACTTCTCGCGGCGTCTCTGTGCTAGGCAATTCTTTTGGTTTCGGCTGAAATTTTGAACTCAGAAATGTTTTTTTCGTTTCAAAAACCTGAATAACTTTATCCGTGAGCTCAGAACTTGAGGAGTCTCCATCATTACTCATTTCAGAATCGGAAGTCGATGACTCCTCTAAATCCTCATCTTCGCTTTCTTCGCCGCTGCTCGAGTAGCAGTGGAAGCTCCTGAAAAATTTTTCTGAAAACTCGGCGGGATTCATGTGAAATTTTGAGACTTTTGAAATTTACCCAAGTATTTTCTAAAGGTCTGGACAATGAGCATATCAGTTCAAGCGAAATTTGATTATCTTAGAAGTGACATTCCAACGCAAAAGTTTTCGGAGCTAGAAACTATAAAAAACTCCTAGCAAAATCACAGAAGATATTCAATCAAATCCATCAAGACTCACAAATTAAGTTTTTCTTGGCTCCCAATGTCGTCGATGCGGTCCATGCTCATGGAGGTCTTGCTGAGAATGCGACGACGGTTCTTCCTTCTCGAATGGATCGTGACAGCGGGAGAGTTGGATGTCTTAATAATATCAAACTTGCAAGTGAAAAAGCTCCAAAACGGACTTGGAGATCAAGATGCTGCAGGTGTTCCAGATTCTCGTCCAAAGTCAACATGGTGTACTCGGGGAGAGTTTGCAATGCTGTTCGTCGTGCCATGAAAGTCCCGACAGAACGGGAACGCGTCGGTATGTCCAGCACATCGGCCGCATCTTTCACTGACTGAAAAATTCCTTTTCTTATTGTTAGGTTTTTTTTCATTATTTGGACTCAAACTTCAGTTAGTCACAAAGATTTCTTCACATACAAGAAAAATTCATTCGAAATATTTTGGATTAAAAGAAAAACTTTAAGAAAGAGTATAAAGCAGAATTTGAACGAATTCATCTGGTTATTTCGAACTCAAATCCACGAGTTTAGGAACCTTTCATTGATCAAAGTGTTGCTCTGGCGTAAAAAGTGGATAAATTTTGACCGCAGTGTAACAAAGTAAGGTTTATGCACCATCTTAAGTTCTGCCGCGCAAATTGCTTCAAAACTAGCCACTGTGAACTACAGCTCAATAGACCTACCTTCCAACTTTCCTTCGGTGCTGAATCAAAACTTGTTTCCTCTTACCTGAACGCTTGATCCGATGTCACGAAGACGAGTGAGCAAAGAAGTCGAAATGTTCGGAAGCGAGCAAGCCCGACGCAAAGGTTGCTCAAATGCCTGAAAAACGGTCTCTCACAGTTCTGATTTCACGTACTTCGTCAGTGTAGCAGTTCACTCGAAGGCTCTCCCCATCTTCTTGCATCTGCTTCATTCGACGGAGAAACATTTTTTCCTGAAAAATGCATGGGAGCCCCGCAAAAACCTTTTCTTACCTTGTATTCATGCGTGTCGCTGACCCACTGCACATCTTTAACGGCAAGTCCGATGACGACAATCAAGCTCACCCATATCAAAATCGAGATCAAGGACCCGTAGAATTCGTTACCAATTAGTTCAGATATCTGATGGACAGAAGATTTTTAACAGGGTTGAGCCAGGAAAAAAATACCGATCCGAGATAGCTAGGGAATAAAAACGTTCCAACACCCGTTCCAGAAACAGCGATCGCCGTAGCGATCCCCCGTCGTTCTTGAAAGTAGTAGGTCACCATGACAATTGCTGCATTGAAGACGAAACTCATACCTGTAAACTTTTGGCCTTGTTTGGTAAGCCACTAAGTTATTCAGTATTTTTTTGGTAGTATAAAAATACTATGAGTTAATTTAACATGCATTCAGGATTCAATATAATTAAACAATTATTCGATGTCTTTTTCACTATTTCTGAATATCAGCTCATTTTTGTAGTATCGTTAAGTGAGAAATTGAGTGCCGCGAAATGAAAAATTAATCTTTTTGATGGAGTTTTCATCTTTGTGATCGGGATACAAAGTTTTTCTTTATTGTTAAAACACTGATAATTCTCATCAACACTGTTAGGTATGATTTTCAAGGTTTTTCTGATGAAAGTTTGTAAAAATAGGTTCTAGATCTTACGCAACAAGTCGTTCAGATGGAGGGTGTTTATTCAAGTTTGTAGGAACTGTTTTCATCCACTTTAAGTTTCTGCAGTCGAAAACGCAAGACCGAGATAACTGCTACTTTTTCTAATATTAAAAAAATTCAGTAGTTGCAGTCAGGTATCATGAAATCCCAATTTGATGTCAGACTATTTTCTGGAGAGGCTCAATTGATACCAACTTTGAAAGCTTCGAATGAACTCTGCTTTATTTTCTCTCTGATTTTATTTGTCAATTTGAAACAGAAACTTACCAAGACCACATCCGCCACCAAAAACAACTGCAAACATCCCGACAGAATCACACCACAAGGAAGCAAGAACTGCGAGGAAACAAGTGAATCCTCCGATCAGAATGGTGATGCTGAAAAATGAAGACTTCAATGATTTGATGATCATAATTATTTACCGGCAATCAAATAAATCTGTGACAGTTCCAGCGATCGGCGCCAGGGCCAAAGGAAGAGAAAGCAATAGAGCTCCCACGAAAGAAGCGCCCGTTCTTTGAGATTTGAAATGCTGCAATACTGTTTCCGTTACACAATTTGACTAGTATTTCCAGAATTTCTTTTAAACTTCTCAAACTGATTGAATTTTCTTTCTGGAACTTTGTTCATAAGAAATAAATGAACCTTCTGAATTAAGGGGAAAAAGATGCCAAAACCAAAAGAAAGACCATCCAATATAACGTGTAATACAAATGACGCACACACGATAAACCAAGCATACCTAAAAAAATATTTTATAAATCTGAAAAGAAAACAAGACCAACCCGCCATCCAGATAACGTGGCTGTTCCACGAGCGTCGAGTCCGAAGACTCGGTGTCAGAAACTGAAAAAAAGATTGTTCGAGCATATAGGGGGTGAAAGTACGGTCATCATCCACGTTCTCCACAGTTGTCGTTGGAGCGAAGTGGACATGGGCGACTTGAGGAGTCGGAGCGTAGACACGCTGGAAATTTGTTTTATGATTGATTTTGAGTGAAGAAGTTTTATGCTGTGCCCACATTTCTTCACTCCAAGTCTTAGAAAACGCTTTCAACACGACTCGATACATTTTTTGAAATTTTCGCAAAGCCCACTGCAAAGCAAACAAATGTATAACTTGCACCCGACCAAAAACTACTTTCGCGTGGCCGCGTCACATGGCGAGATAAAAGTTCATATCTATTGAGTAAGTAACAAAATCTCACTTTATTATTCATACACCTAGTATCGACGAAATTTTAAGTAACTCTCTAAGGACTTTTCAAGTTGCGAAGACACATGTAAATTTCGTAAGTGCAATTTTTTTCATTTTTTAGTCGGCACGTTTCAATACTGTCTCTGTATTTTCCTTCTTCTTACTGCGCTCCTATAAGTATGCGCCATTTTATTCCTCTATGACCGCCCCTGTGAGGAAAAAAAGCAAAAAATTTGACTGCATCATTTTGAAGTGTTTTTCGTAATCTGTTGATTTCTTGGATTCAAAATGAAAAAGTTGAAACAAACTTTGTTCGACGAGACCCAGGTGGAAACGTCTTCGGTCTTCATGCGAGTACGTACACTGCTTCTCCTGTTGCGTTCGGTCATCTGAAGATCCATGAAGTTTATCTAACTTCTGTAATAAATCTTACTTTGTTTTTGGATCGGCCCTTTTATTTGCATAAAAATGAGTCGCCGCTGTAAATTGTTTTTGTTTGAAAAATCGACGAATTTGTAACAAAAAAATGCGAAAGTACGAAGAAAAATCTGACGATTTGAAAAAAATTATGAAGCGGAAAGTCGAAAAATGGCGTTTGGTTTCAAACGTATGTGGAAATGTTTGAAGGCGCAAGAAATGCGTTTGGCAAAAATATTGCTCTGATATCCACGAATTTTCGATTCAAAAAAATTCGTAAAAAAATTATATATATATAATCAATTTTTTTTCTTATTTCAAAAATTTTTTTCACGACGCATTTTTTTAAATATCCATTTTTCAAACTCAAACTGTCTTTCTTCCTTTTTGTGTAAAAAAAGAAAAAAAGTGATGGAAAAAAATTGATAGCGGAATAGAAAAAAATTAGTTAAAGTAAAGCTTGAAAAAAACAATATTATTTATCATCAATTTGATGCAAAATCGGAAGTTTGCCCTCAGCGCAGTGCTTGCCAAACTATTCTACAAACACAAAAGACTAACACACAAGAGTTATGACAATAGGACGATTCAAACAAGGCGTGCCCATCGAACCTAACCGCAAATATCGTTCTGAACCGCCACTGTGTGTTCTCCGGCTTGTGGCAAGAAAAAACGGAATGGAAAAAAACGGGATCGTGACGCAAACCCAAACTGGTTGAGAACCGAAGTCAGTTTGGACGGGAAGGTTTTGTCCTGGGAGCGCAAGGAAAATGAGAATTGGTTTTATGAAGCAGGTCTTCATTGATTTCATATTTCACTCTCTTCTCTCAAAAAAATTTTCCTCCCCTTATTATTGATCCAAATTCAAATTTCACAATGATCACCGATGACTTATGCCAACGATTTTTCAAATTTGAACGCTTTACTCCTTCGCATTTTTAGCCGTAGACATGTAGAAAATAGCCTACAATTCTTTATTTTAATGTCAAAAAGGCAACCTGGAAACCAAAGGTAGCTCTTCTATTTCTTTAAGGATCAGTTTGGAGAAAAACGTAGGAAAATAGCAAGTCATCTCTTCCAAGAAAAGCGATTCATCAGAATCGGACACACTGCTGGTTTTTTATAACTCTCCGGACGACATGAGACCTATCTTGAATGAACGTTTGCAATGTAGGTCTTACTGAAACTAGAAAAAAGCCGATTTCGAAACTTTACCTTATAAAGGGATAGGTTTTCGATAGTAGAAAGACAACTCAAAACTTTTTCTCGACTTGAGATTTGTGAAACTTTAAGCATAAAGCCACTTGTTCTAGACCGATTCCTTAAAAAGATTATCAAAAAAATGAAGAACTGAGGGGAAAAAAATAGGAAAACTGAAAGAGCGAAAAGCACAAGTGCTGATTCGACGTTTGATGGGCTTTTTATACCGCTGAGAATAATCGTTCCCATAGACAGAATAATTGAAAAATGAGATTATGTTCGAAAAAAAAGTCTAGAAGAAAAACGAAAAGAAAGTCGGAATAAACGTTCTCAAAGAAAAAAAAATTTCCAGACACCCATTTTCGCAGTTTCCAAACATGCGAAAGCGCAAATAAATCAAATAGCGTGGCATCGACTTTTTTGTGAACGTTTCGTGAAGTTGTAAAACAACGATTATCCTATCGCATCTTAATTTATGACCATATACTTTTTGCGAAGGAAAAAAAAACAGAAAGCCTCGAAAAAGCCGAGCGATCTCATGCGATGCCAGTTGCCCTTGTTAACGTCATGCCGTTCGTCTCAGTTGCTTCCTCCACGAGTTTCCTGAGCTGAACTCTAAAAAACAAGACTTCAAAAATTTCACGGCGAAATCCTTTACAACAAAGATTCTAGAAAGCTTTTTGCATTTTCACTGAAAAAAAAAGGAAAAATTCAAATGAAGAAGTGCGTCGTCATAGAAAAGCGCAAGACGTCGTCCGAATTCGAATATCCGATTTCCAAACAAAAAAAAAACGAGGAAATGCTATATAGGGGAACACAAGGATATTTTCTCGCATTGTGGATGCTGTGTCAATAACCATGACGACATTTTGGCGAGTAATTCAAAACTTTGAGAAAATATGGGAGGGGAGATAGACGGGGTCACCAACAACGGAGATTCGAGAACGTTGAAATGCAAGAAGGAGCAGAACAGTTTATCTGATTATGAACGGTCTGATGACTCAGAAAGGACTCTGGAATATTCTTTCAATCGCGGATTGATCTTTGGTCATTTATAAAGATTCTGATTCATCACTGTCTCGAATCTGATATTTTTTGCATAAAATTCAACAAAAAAGCTTTTTTTTTTGAAATATGAAGAGGAAGACAGAAAAATCTGAATATTTATAAGTAACCGGTTTACCTGATCAAACAAAGGTCTGATTACTAAAAAAATGAACCTGAAATATTCTTTTTCAACTCGAATTAATTTCTGGCTTACGATAAAAAAAGACGACTTTGTCATCAATAAGAATCAGTCGTTTTAACCAAAAAAATCAAAAAAAAAACCATATCTTTAGTTTCACTCAAAAACTTGGGAGAGCACGCGATTTTTAATAGTTTTATAAAGTTGAATTTAAAATATCCTGAAAAGCTTCAGAATATTCCGGGAAGAAAAGAAAAGACATACACCTGATATTGAAGAAAATCGAAATGAAAGAAAAAGCAGAACAGTTTAACTGATCAAAAACAGTCTGATGACTCAGAGAGGGCTCTGGAATATTCATACGAGATTGATCTTTGACCTTTGAAACAATATTCTGATTCATCACTGTCTGGATTTTCATATTTTTCATAAGATTTCGTTAAAAGTTATTTTTGACAATGTTCTAAATTTTCAAATGACGCCTACAGATAATTTTTTTGGAACAAACACAACGATTCTCGTCATTCTTCATATAATCTTGTTTCAAATAATGATTCACTCAAAAAAGGAGAAAAAAAAAGAATTTTTCACACAGGCCTTTTGGATTTTTGACTGCAGTTCTTTTCTCAGAGCGTAACCGGACGTTTCAAAATTCAGAAACGTTTCAGAAGTTTTCTGAAAACTCTTAGGATTCTGGGAGAATTAAAGAAAGATAGGAAGGCAATGTCAGTCAGATGCCTGCAAAAATTCTTCCACGACTTGCCAAAACTTTTTTGGGTAATGACTGCGGCATTCACAAGGAGAGAACGATTTTTCACAGTTTCTCTCTCAAACTAGGCTGAACGAAGTTCGGGTCTGAGCATCGATTCCTCGAGACTGGAGGCCCTCTGAAGCGGGAGAAAAGTAGTGACATGTTTCCGCCTGCACCCAAAGCTCTTTTCGAATGTTCATCGGTTCATAATTGCCACCCGACTCTTCCATTCTCACGATATCATTCAAATATGCGGACCAAAGAAAAACATAGACACAAAAAACTCTTTGCAGCCTCTTGAAAAGATGGAAAAAATCACATGAATACAGTAAGAGACCTCAAAAAAAGCGAAAAGGCCCACTTCTTAAATCTTAAGCTATGTCAGACACGAAAAGTATGTTTTTGATAAAAAGGTAGTAACCAAACGTTTTTGAGGTGAGAATAAGTTTTGAAAAATTCTCTCGTGTAAACAGTTGATTATTTATTCCATAAAAACGGGAATATATGAACACAACTGAAAAATTCAAGCTATTGAAACTTTTCAGAAGCTTATAGTCCATCCTGACCAAACAAAGGTGAGAAACCTAAGTACCTTTCTTAGGGACAGCAAGCTGGGACAAGAAAAAAAAAACTACGCCTACGTAATTAAAAAGTTAAGAACGTGAAAAATCGGATAATTAAACTTTTTGAGAGCAGCATTCCTGTTTCAAAAATTTTTTTAATTTCTAGTTCGTCTTCATTGGAGTGAAATGAAATGAAAGGACATTAGCGTTAGTTATGAAAACCAAGTTTCATGATTGGAAAAATCGAAAAAACAATTTTCAAGCTTCGAATTTGAAAAAGCACATAAACTGCAAGATTTCGAAAAATGAATGAAAAAAACTCGATAAGGGAAGGAACGGATCCGAAAAGAAGCCTTTTTTGGTATGAATGTCTACTAGAGCCCCTGCATTTGCTCAAATCTCCACAACAACAAGCCGCTCTGGCCTTGGAAGGTTACAAAACGGATGTCTCAGAGGCAAAACACGCGCAGCCGTGCTTTTTTTTAATCTGCCAAATTCCTAATTTGCAGATGGCTGCCTTCCGGAAAGATTTTTGCTTTTTCTGTATAGTCTGTTTGAAAAATCTTCCTGGAGACTTTGTAGGAGGGAAAAAGAAAAATTACAGTTTTAATCTTAATACTACTTGACCTTTAACTATTGGAAAAAAAATAGAGACATATTTTGATAAATGGCGCTAAAGAATCTTATTGCTGATTTTTTCGGACTTTTCTCGGAAAATCTTGAAAGCGGAAGTCATCGTGATAAGTGGACGCAATTTCATGCTTATGCTTGTTCTGATCTTTTTTCTTTGTTTTTGAACTAGAAAAACAGCTCTTTGCCAGCTGTTCGCAGCTCCATCAAATTCTCTCACGTTTCTTTTTCTTGCATGCTCATGTCCAAACAGCCGTCAAATCGACTTCAAACAACAAAACCGCAGTTTAAAGATGCGGGCCAAAAAAGCGGGAAAATGAGCCAGTGATGACGTCAAGTTCAACTGATTTTTTTGAGGGAAATTTTTACGAAACTTTTTTTGAACCAATAAATAAATATTTTCTGGAAATCTCGTTAAAAGTTGATGTGGAAGGTGAAATTCAAAAATTTATCATCAAAAAAAAGTTTGCTTCTTTTGATCTAAAAACAAGAGTCAAAAATAAGCTAAAAAAAGCGTTTTTACGAAAATATGTTTTGAAACACGAATAAACAAACTTTTCTATTCAGAATTTCCACACAATGAGAAGATAAATTTCCAACGAATGAGTAGAGGAAAAGGTCAATAAGAAAAAAAATAGAAGAAAAGGTCTAATTTTCTCGTTAACGTTATCAAGCAGCTTTCCTTCCCGCGAACTTTTGGAAAATTGCCCTTGGGACTAGATTCCCTGAAGGTTCAAAATACGAATTCGCGAGCCATCAAGCGTAGAAATACCAGTTTTTTTTTTTGCTTTAAAATGAACGTTCTAAATTGTTCTGCGTTGAAAAAAATGATATTAAAAAAAGCCGCGCCCGATCCATTCTCATTGCCTCAAAGGAAATTAATCCTTGTGGAGGATTAATTGAAAAAATAGTACGAAATTCGGGGAAAAGGCGTTGAAAATCCTCCCTAAAACAATGCAAAAAACTTGAAAGAGATAAAATATTCGGTAGCAGAAAGTAAAACAGAAAATAACACGAATCGTAAAGATAAACCCACGAAAAAACAACCGAAAAAGGAACGTGCGGCTTAGCCAAAGTCGTCAGGATTGACGAGATTCGCGGTGGTCCACGTTTTCTCGATTTCCAGAGGAGGTGTGGTAGGCGAGGGGCGGAGAGAGAGGAGAGAAAAATATAAACCACACAACCTCCAATTTTCTCCTCCCGTGAACTATTTCAAAGAGTAAGCGGATGGCGTTTTGAAAACCCAAAAAAAGAAAAAGGAGAAACGTATAGTTCATTTTTTCGCTCTTTTAGTTGGGAATAAATGGCGTTTTTCACTTCTATTTTTTTTTGCTTATTGCTCAGGTTTTGAAAGTAAGAAAAATTTTTTTAAAAAAATTTTACTTTTTCTGAGCTGAAAAAGGTGATTTTTTTACATATGCATTGCAGAAATCGTCAAAATTTTTCAGCATTTTTCAAACCAAAAAGTTGGAACAACGCTATTAATATAATCTGTCAAAAAAATACGAAAAATCACAGCAAACAACTTTTTAGTCTATTTATTGTTGTTTCAAAAAAATAATTATAATTATGATGAATAATGTAAATGAATAATTGGATTAAACAAGAGAAGGTCGAGGAACTTTTCGTGCTCGGAGTCCCGCTTGATGACACTGCATGATTTGGTCCCACTTGGCCAGACAAACGACCATATCTTTCCGCAAGGATTTCACGCCCCAAAGGCGTCGAGGATTGCTCTGAAAATCACAGTTGAAAAGATTATCAACTAATTCCTCGAGAAAATTTTTCCATCTGGTTCCTTTGCTTCGTTAATTTAAGTAATGAGACGCTTTTATTTATTTATTTTTTCAAAAGTATTAGTTTTTTTTAAATAAAGAGTTTCTTTAAAAAAAGGAAGCATTCAAAGATCTTTTTACACTTTTTTTAGCTCTTTTGTCGTGTTTTCTGTATTTTATGAGAACAAGGTGTGATTCACGCACCATCGAATTGAGAGACTATTTAATGAATGTCTTCCCATGGTCATCAAAATAACGTGCGAGCAGGAAGATTTCGACGTCTCTCTTTGATTTTTGGAACAAACTAGCGATTAGGTAGGCTTGAATGATTTTTTTTTAAATCATTCACATTTTGATGCTCCTTTGAAAGCTCTGAAATTGCTCGCAAATATGGCGCAGTGAATGTATAAGAGTTATTTTAAAGAGAGCTCATTCACATGAAAATCAAAATATTGAGTTGTTTATTACTACCATTTTTTCGTTTTTCAACTTGGATTTGTTTTTTTCTCTTGATTTTTTTTTGATTTTTTAAATCAGCCTATCCACAAAATGAGATTGAAAAATTCTTTCACTCCCGTTGGTTAACTTTATAACACAAATAACTATTTTTTAAAGTCGGCCTAAAAATCTTGATCTTTTCACATTTTAAGCTCCGTAGAGTAGTTTGAAAGTCAAATTTTAAGCAATTAATGAAGCCTTTTTATGAATATAAGCACGATAAAGATTTTTGGGATTTTCCTAGAAGTCGAAAGTCGAGCTATTTGAGCCAATAAAAGAAAAAATCAAAACTAATTCGACGATGGACGGTCAGAAATTTAAGAGTTTAACCTTTTGAACGCTTTTTAACACTAGTAAAAAACATAATTCCGGCATCATATCTACTGATTTTTTTAAATACGCAAAAAGAAACCTGAGGTTGGCACATCTGCAGGCACTGCTCTCCGATGTCAGCGACGCCGTTTGATCTACAGCATTCGGTGTTGTCGTGCGTCTGCGCGGCGCAGTGGACCACAGCTGGCAGATATTTGTACAATCTGCATCGGGAAGGTTGGATCGTATGCATCAGCTGAAATTCAATTTATCGAGTCGACAAACAAAAAAGGTCGGCGTACTCGCTTTTTGAGAATTCTTGCCAGAAAACCTTTCAAAAAAGCTCACTTGGGTTAAAATTTTGATGGAACTTTGCTGAAGTGTTCTTCAGTACCTCCTGATTTGGATACAAGAAAAAAATCCCCCAATAGGTCTGGTTTTTGAATTAAGATGCTTCAAAAACTTGATTTAGCGCTTTTTTGTCCTCGTTTGTTCATTTTGCAGACTCTAAAATTTTATGAACCAAATAAAAATCAATTGCATTATACTTTTTTTGTATCAAATCATCAAGTTCTGTTATACACCTTAGAAAAATTTCAACAACAGTTCAACTGAGCGCTAAGAAATCTTTCCTTCTAATTAAAAATCCTGTAAGTTGCGAATTTCCCGTCTCAAAAGTTTCAAAGATCCATGCTCTTGCATAATCTTGAAAAATGATCTTTGAGGCGTCTATCCTCGTAATTCCACAAAATTCGCGACTCACAGGGTGATCATCCAGCTTGTCAGTAGAGTGTTTTATGATAATTAGAAAAACCGTGTTGCCATGGATTTTTATTTTCAGTGCGTAACGGTCGCGTCGCGGTTTAAAAAAACCCTCTTCTTGTCGAGATTTGATGCTTTTTTTTCTTAATGTCGGATCAATACTTCTTGAGCTGAGATTTTCCAGCGCGTCCAAACAGCTTTGGATATTTTACAAACGAAACAAATATGCTTTTCGAAAATTTTATGATTTGGAGGCGCTATAAAAGCTCGTTTTCAGAAGGAAGATCCCGAAATTCATGTGCATGTGGATACGTGAAAAGCGGCCATATCCTCTGTTTTACGACCAAGAACGACTTGCGCATTGCGACATCGAAAAAAGAATTGTTTCTCCGCTCTTTTTTTTTCTGAATCGAGGGAGGTCATTCCAATCAAACTGCAAATCTTTCTGAAAATCGGCTGGAACATTCTTGGTTGTTTCAAATGGAAATTCTTAACTTATCATCACTAAACAACTTTTTTCTCAATTGAAATGAGTTTGACAGACAATGACAAGAATTCCAATTTTGCGGAAAAATGATTTTTTGCATTTTGGACTACCAAAAATTACACTCAGTATTCTTTAAATTTGTCTCACGAAAGAGGTCATTTTACTTTGCGGTTGGGGATTTTTTAGAAACGGCGAGAATATTTCTATATCTTGATGTCGCTGTTAAAGATCCTGTGAGTCTCAACTTTTCCAACTTCTTATCTTTCGAAAAAACAGGTCTTGAAATCGAAGGAAATCCTGAAAATTCGTATAAGTATGCTATTTCTGAGCTTAGAGTCCTTACTCATCAAAAAATAAGATATTGTGCAGATTGGGAGTTTCAGAACCTTTTCTGGTACAATTAGAAATATTCTGGCCAAGAAAATTCTCGAGCAGAAAGTAAAATGAAATTACATGTCAGCCAATTTTCAAATAAGTGTGAATTATCTTTCGTGATAGCTAACTGGAATTTGACAAAAAGCACAATTTTCCCTTTGATTTGCCACTTTTATCATATCAAACTGCTTCGTAACCACAAAATGAAAGAAATGAAACTGAAACTCACGACAACTCGAGCTTCAATAGCGTTCGTTTCGTAAATGCAAAGTCCGCGGCATTCTGGCGGCACGAAACGCTGACAACAACTTCCAAACACCTGATCTGCCACTTTCCGTTCGATGCACGGTTTCCAGTTGCTTCCTTCGTTACCACAAGTCTGAATTTTTAAACAAATTCTTGAAAGAAAAAAAAACAAGCTCTACCGTCGGGTTATCAAAATCAATGGCGTTTTGAGCTATTCCAAGCTGACTTATTGCTAAAACGATTGCCAATCGCAGCATCCTGAAAAAAAAAAATATTGATTATAATTTTCGAAAATGCGCAATGTGACAAGTTTCCATTAAGTTTCAACAAAAAACAAAAAGTTCTAATAAAAAAAAATCCCAAGCAGGGCAGATCAATTCAAATCGAATTTCAATTCTGGAAGGTTTTTTGATTTTTTGTCGTTTTCAGAAAAGTTGCACCCTTATTCTCAAATTTACGGTTTTCTAAAAATACCAAGTAATCAAAAAACATATAGGGTTCATATACAAAAAAAAAGAAGGAGGTTCAAAAATCCGAGATTGTAGCAGGAACTGAACTCAAAGACTTAAAGGCCAAAAACAAGAAGGAAAAGAAGGTTAAATACTAGAGAGAAGCAATTGGACTCAAGTACATGAACTACATGCAACCTGTTTCTTGTTATGGAATAAGCGAATTCTCAACGCACTTTTGTTCTTGTCTTAATCGAAGTACCAGGAAACAAAGTAAATCAAAAGATGTAAAATGTGGTTTTTTAAGTAAAATTGAGCTTGAGGCATCTCTTCATACATAATCGAAGTATTTGTAGGATTGAAGATTGTGAAAACTTTTGTTCGGAGTTTACTCGTCGACAGGCTAAGTAGTACTTAGCGATTTTGACTCTGCCAATTACCTTCCTTCTGAGAACTTTCAATGTCATCATGAAATTTTTTTTTCAAAGATTGAAGGATTATTCTGGAAATGAATTCCCGTAGTATTTTTTTTTTGAGCATTGAAGGGAAACACTTAGAAACCTGACTTATCTGTGCATAAAAAAACTTGAAAAAAATCAGAAAAAAACATTTTCATCAAAAAAATCAAAAAAACATTTGTGTTTTTTTCTAAATTCTTTCAGTTTTTTTCGGGAAATTTAGCCAGCTTCTTGTTTGAGTATTTAGTCAACCTATCTCAGAAATCTTGACTAAAAAAACTAAAAATCTGATCAAGGATGTTCACAAAAAAACACTAGCAAAAAAATTTGCATGACATTTTAATTTTCAAGAAAATGATCTGAATAAAAAAACTCAGTATTCCCAATTTAAAGTTTATTTATTACTTCAACTTCTTCATGAATCTCAAACTAAGTCTCTTCACAAGCCATCTTTTTTTCACACATAAAGCTTCCGTGACGCGCAAAAAAGGAAGTTCAATGTTGCGAAAAAAGGCAAACGCGAAGATAAAGCACTGCGTGATCCACTTCCTGTCAAAAAAGCTGGAAATTTCGCACGGCATCAGATTTGTTGATAAAAGAGCCGTACGGCAGGATTAAGAACAAGATACGGCGACGACGAAACTTGGCAAACGAGTTTTTAGGTCGCACGCCGACGACGTCGTCACACCAGGTGAGCGCTGCCTTGGTAAAACCGCAATTCTTGGCCCGAGGCGCCGTTTCTACGTCGTCTCATCGTGTTTTCTTTGTAAATCCGTGCCGCCGCGCAACCCACGGCTGTCAAGAGACCATCTCCAGGTAAATCGATCGAAGGCTTGCAGAGACAAAGTGATCGGAGAAGAAGAAGGAGAGTAAGAAGAATTACGAGAAAATTGTTTTTTTTTTGAAGGAAATGCTTATTAAGACATCTGAGATTTTTTTTTGTCGAAAAAATGTGAAAAAAGGGAATCTATGAAAATTTCAGAGCGAAAATTTAAAAAAAATTCGAAGTTCCTTCAGAGTGGAATATTAAGAAAACCACATTTTACAAAGCGCAATAAATTTATAAATTTAGTTTCAAACGTTTAATTTTTTTCCGTTTCACTGTCTTTTTTTCTCAATATTCTCCTAGTTATTGATTTTTTTCGGTAAAAATCGATCAATCTCGTGGTCTCGGGCTTTCTCTATAATATTTCATGAAAATTTCTGTCGTCATTTTCATTATTGAAACGGTAAAGTGATCTGTAAGAACAATACTGAAAATTTTGCGCATTTCGAAGGATTTTTTTTTCAAGGCACAAAAACTACATTATTTTCAAAGTTTCAAAGGGCAGAGGACTGTTTCCAATTTATTTATCTTTTTCGGGTTTTTGAGAATACCCCGAAACGCATTTTTGAATAAATGTTGAAAAAAAAAACAAGCTTCAATAGTGGATTTGAAAAAGTTAACATCAAGAAAAAGCTCTATTGAGTTTATTGCACAATCGGCATGATGAGAAAAATGTTCAAGTCGAAAATCAAGTAAAAAATTTCTGAGTTCAGATCTTGTTCAATTGATCAGACACATCAACAAGGAAAAAAAGGAAGATATAAAGCGTAGAACAATAAGAAACATAGGACAGTAGTAGAGCGCAATTGTGAGAAACGGCGAGAAGATAAAAGGAAGCGAGAAGATGGCTGGAGACCGGTCGGGGCATTGCCCCCGTCGCCACCGCCAAATTGGAATATCAACGACTTCTCCTCGCTGTCGAAAGGCGTCACCGGGTTGTATAGCCGAGTCTGTTCCACACGCCCACCGTCGGATATCCTGACCTCTGACTGGGTGAATCCAACTAGTTCAAGCTCGTTTACGATTTGGAGGCAGACGATACGAATAATTGATCGGAATCGGACTGAAACGCAAAATATTCTGACTCCAACTAGCTGTTGAAAGTTTTGCAAAAGTTTTAAAAGGTGCAAGAAATGTTTTCAGTAGATCGTCTCTTCTTGAACTTCGAATTTTGCATCTTTTATCATTGAAAAGCAGAAAAAACCTTCATTATAGTTTTTTCCAATCATTGCTGTGGTCCTTGAAAAATAAGATAAACGGGCGTTTTTTCTATTGACTTTTTCGTGAGCTACCGCTTTCTAGGAAAATTTTGCCTCTATCGACTTTATTGCGAGTTTTGTTCCAAGTACTTTCGGATATTAGTTATCCTGATAAGTTCATAAGTCATTAGATTTTTTTTCCTTTCCACTTTTTCATGAAAAGCTCTAATTTTAAAAGGAATGTCTTATTTTTTTTTCATTTAAACTCCTGCTTAAAATATCTTTCTCACATAAAAATTTCTGCAGTTTCATACTTCACGGGGCCCAATAAAAATATGTTTCCGAAGCAGTTTTTATAACTGGTGGCATATTATTTTGTCGGTGAGCACGGTATAAAAGAATATTTTATATTCACTAGGAAAATTTTTTTAAAACGTTTGAATTTTTGATGAAACTTGTGCTGAAGGGCACTTTAGGATCTGTGATCTCGTTTTTGAGTTAAGATACTTCAAAGTTGAAATAGCGCCTTTTTGTCGTAATTTGGAAAACTTCAATAGTTGCGAAGAAAGTTGATAACTTTATTTCAGTGAGGTTTAAAAAAAATTTGGTCTTTTATGTTTCTGGATATTTGAAGCTTTTCCCACAAAGATCAATTGTTCGTGATCTAGGCCTTCAAATTGATGAGAAGCTCTCCTTCAAAGACCATATTTCCCGTATCTCTGCCTTTGCTACATTACGGTCTAATCAAATACTAAATACCTTTAAGTTTTCTTCCCCCCTGCACTACCTCAGAATGTTACAAACCTACGTGACGCCTATTCTCGAATATTGTAGTGAAATCTTTTTCTCCCTCTATCTCGTCTGAGGAATGCTTCAAACTCGAGTCTTCTCTACGCCAATTCAGTAGAAAAGTTTTTATAAGATGCAATGTTCGCTTCAGTTCTTATTCTGATCGTCTCAGCCAATTTGGCTTTAAACCTCTCTTTGTACGTCGTTGTATTAACGACATTATTTCTCTTCATAAAAATAATTTGCGGCTCTGATCATTTTCTCAATCGCAATGACTTCTTCACTATTTCTCCTTTTACAGAGGAATCCACTTCGACTTCGCACTTCCGGTTAGTTCTCTAAAGATTTTTTTCCAAAAACTATTCCATTATGGAATAAACTTACCTCTAGAATAAATTTTTAACGTCTCTACGGATGCGCTACGGGTTAAACTTAATGATCTCCCTAACTCTGCTTTTTTTTCGAATCCATTCCTTCCCGTTTGCTCTGACTTCCTTTCTATCCCCGGGTCATAGTCTACTCGTTAGGGTGGACTAATTCCCGTTTTGGTTATTCTGCTGCTTTCGTATTCTGAACTATTTTATTTATTATTTTCTAACAGTATGCAGTGAATAAACCTATTATTATTAAGCGTTCCCGACACAAAATAAATTTATTCGTCGAAATAATCTATACGATCAAAGTATGGAGAAAAACGTGAGGAGCGTGACAACTGTAAGAAGAGGAGCACTGACGGGAGCAGCGTTCGGAGCTGAAAACTTTCCAGTTTGATACTCTGATTTTTTCAAGTCGGGTTCTCCATTAAAAAAGATCCTCAGTTTTGATCTTCAAACTCACTACAGACAGTGCCATTGCTTGATGCCGGTCCGAACTTTGATACTGCGTTGCAAAGCGGTTGATCAATTTTAAAGAAGCTGTCTCCTACTAGAGTCTGTTCCGACTTCGAGATGAAGTTGAGCTTGGGAAGGTCGAGCTTGGTGAAGTTGGCGTTTCCGTTCACGATGATAGCCGGATCATTGGCTAGAAGATCGTGAAAGTTTGAAAATTGAGACTAGCTTGAGAACCAGTTTTCACAGGTATTTACTTGGAGCAGTCAGGCCACTTTAACTTTTTCTGTCCCTATCTGCCCTTTAGTGATCATATTTTAATGACTTCCTAAGTGTGAGAAAAAATATCAACAAAATCAAAATTTCCTTTCTTGCATGTACCGGCTACACAACTTACTCATCGTGGAAACTGCTTCTGCGGCGTAAATTTTTTCCAACAAAGGCATGCTCAGCGCCGACAAATCAGTGTTCCGGATGTAAAGTCTTCCATTAACTTCACGGATGTACTGAAGCTTGTTGGTGATGTTTTGGTTGGAGGTTCCGTCGATGAAAAGAGAGCCCAAAATGATCTCGCAGTCGTCGCCAAGACCCGCGTTTGCCTGAGACTGTTGGGAGCTGCACTCGTGGATCGGTCCTGAACTTCTTGACTGAACTCTTGTTTGAGTTCTGTTTTCTGTCTTTCAGGCCTCTGAAAAGCACACTCTATCTCTAAAATTTGTTCCAAAAGTTAACTTAAAGAAACTTTAAGTGATCAAATTTCTTCAACGGAAAGGCGAGGAGTGAATCAGCCGACTTTTAGTTTCATTAGTTTCTAATGATGCTGGATAAATGAAAGATCTACCTCCTCATTATCTAATTAGAAAAAAGAAAAACAAAATATAAGGCTGGATGAGTCAAGCAGTAATGAACTGAAAGTAAAAAGCCAACCAATTAGATATATCCTAGCAACGAATATTTTTTTCGGCGCGGGAAAATGAGCAATCAAAATCTCATAGAGCAATTTCTAACTTGGTTCTGCGCAGGTTTTTCTATTGAATTTTGAATAACTTCAAGTGAAAGCACCGTATCAAAACTAATCAACTTGAGGAAGTGATAAAGTTTTTTTCTGAATGAGTCAACCATTTTGTCCCAAGCACACGGTTGCGTTATCGCCAGGGCCTCGTTGTACGTAGGTATAGCGCTGCTGCTCTTCCGGAGTCATGCAGAGCTGAGGATTGCTCATCAGAGCCAGGCGGTTCACTCTGGATTGAAAATGAACTAGTTTTCATCAAAAAGTCACATTATCACCTCAAAACGGGCATTCCAAGACGCTTCAGAGCCGTGTTGTTAACTATGTTCAAATCGATTGTGTTTCCTGAACATTTTTTTCACAGGGTTGAATTACACAAAAAGAAGCTTTCGTATAAAAATTTTAATTATCTAGTAATGGAAATATTTGAGGAAGTAAAAAAACTCTCAAAAAAAGTTTTTTTGTCACAACCACCAAAATGGAGTTTGAAAAAAAAAAGTTATGAAGTAACGCGATCGTTTGCGTGACAAACTATCCCTGAATAATATTCAAAAACATAAGAATCTAGAACAAAGCGTGTTCAAGATAAATTAAGAGTCTACATAACTTTTATTTTTTTCAAGAAAAAACTTTTCGCAGGTCGCATTTACTTAGGTTATGTTAAAATTGAGGTCTGACTTTGAAATTCCCTCCACAAGGGAAAATAAGTTATGATCTCTCATGATAAAAATTTTAAAAGCTTTTCGAGAAAGTAAAAAAAAAAAACCTGATTACAAGATTTGAAGTAATCGAAAATTGAACTAACCGGTTTGGGTGCAAGAAACTGATCGGAGTCTGGCGAAGAAATCCAATCTTTCATAGTTGGATTGAGTTATCTGTACGCATCCGCTAATACTTTCCACGTAGGCGAGCTTTGAGTAAAGGATCTGTTAGCCAGAAATTTCTTAAGTTGAGACTCGATGGTGTACCGAGGCGTTTTCAGCACCTAGAATGATGTCATTTCCGGTAACCAGAGTGCAGTTGTCCTCTAACGCCGCGACAGTTCCATTCCAAGCACAAGACTTCGTGGGCTTCCCAGCTAAATCATGATTAATCGATTAGATGGATCAAGAATGGGTCTAAACCAAAGCCGAAAGGAGCGAGCAGACCCAGAAGGAGCAGGAGCATTGTCGCTGGCGGAGCTGCGCCTAGTGACAAGCTCGCCGCCGTGGTAACAGAAAAAATGGCTCACGCCAAATTGGAGAGTGAGAGCTATGATTTTGAAACACTTATGCCTGCCGCTCGGAAAACGAGCTTTTTCGCGTGACTATCAAATTATGTGGGCGTCCACAATAGGTACTTGTCGAAAAGCCAAGAGAAAATTGTTGGAAATAAAGCAGGTGCAGACAAACGTTGAAAATAAAAATTTATGAGGTCGGCTTTTTTTAGAAAGAAAATTGAGAGTTACAGAACAAAACTGAATTTTCGGATTTTCGGAGCATCGAAAGTTGGATTTTTATCTGGAAAAATAAGGTGGAGAGGAAAAGAAACTTAATGAACTTTCATTTCATCTTGAGTTCTTATTACCGCCTCCCCGGTTCAACTTTTGATAAAAATTTGCTGAGATGTACTTCAGGACCTCCTGACTGCAGAACAAAAAAAAATTTTTTCGCAATAGATCTTTTTTCGAATTATGAAGCTTCAAAGCTCACATGATTCACAGATTATGGAAAAAAACAATACTTCAAGCTTTTGAAGTGTCCTAACTAGAACGAGAAAAAAGCTCCCTAGTTAGGAAAGTCAAAAAAATTATTGTTGTCAACTTTTGGAGATTCGGCACCTTCTACATCCGGCGAAAAAATATCAATTTGAAAAGTTTATGAGATGTTATGAAGACTTCTCCTGTCAACTTCGAGAAAAAAGTTTATTTTGAGATGAAACCGAAAAAACTTCAGTCGAAAATCAGAATGATTATGCTCAGAAAAACAACTAGACCAATGCTAACGAAAAATACTTTATATTATTGTTTTCAGCCTCATATAATAAAAACTCATTCCGATTTCTTTGTTTTTCAACTAATTTTTCGTGGACAATGCGATTAAATTTATAAATTTCTTTATTTTTGAAAAGCAGTCAGGATTTTTCTTTTTGAGAAGAAAGTCGAAATTCATTGTTATTTTTAATTGACAATTTTTTTGCTTTTGAAATTTGAACTGAATTGGAAAGAAATTGATTTTTTTGAGTTCAAACACAAGACTCAAAGAAATGTCAAATTTTGCTGGAATTATTTTTAAGTTCCTGACAGTTCAATCATTTGAGTTCTCTTGACGTTGATGGTAGGTTCTTAATTTTTTGACGGTGAAAATTAAAAGCTGAACTTTGTTAAGAAGTGGAAAAATTTACTTTTTATTTCTGGGTCATAGCTGCAATTTTATAGAACAATTTTGATTTTTGATCCGGTTTTCCACAGTTTCTCTCATATATTTGCAATACAATGGCCGTTGAAATTGATTTTTTTTCGAACTCTTAAAGGTGGTTAACTGCTCAATGGTAAGGTGAAAAATCACGAGGAACAAATTTTTCACCATCGCACTTTGGTCAGAAAACAATATGTACCTCCAAATCGAAAGTTTGTGACCCCCATTTCGATATTTTAACTCGCAAATTTTTCATTGTCTTTTTTGTTGGACAAATCTTTTTAAAATAAACACCAGCTAACTGAAAATTTTCAATTCAAATGACGTCATTTATGAGTCACTCTTCATAAAAGTTTCGCAAATTTTCAGAAATTCAAATTTTTTCTCTCTCCTCCCGATCAAAAGGTGGGATAGACTGTTGGAAAACAGCTAGAGTCTCCGGAAAAGCGAGAAGCGCAGAGAAAAGCGTTATCGGAAGGGGAAACTCACACTCACTGGCGCTCACACAAACACGCGTGAGACATTTCACAAACAACAGTCTACCAAGTTCGAATCCGCCATACTTAAGTTGTTATTTTCCCATCGCTCCTTTCCCACTTTTTTCTTTCTTTTTTGGAGACAGCCGTTTGGAATGTGCTCTAAGCTCTTATTTTCATTTTTCGAGCTTTTGTTTTTCGAGAAGTTGGCCTCTTGGGCTTTCGGGTAAACCTGAGTTTCATCATATCTTTCGAAAATTGTTTTTCTCACTTTACGATGTTTTTCGACTTCGTCTTTTTATCAATGATCGATATTAATCATTGCTCGCTTTTTTTGAAATTTTTATTCCATTTCAGATCGACAGAATGGAGCAGACAAATCCTTGTTTGTGGCCAGAACTTTCTGACACACACGTTGAAGACTGTGCCCAATGTTCAGAACAAATTCAAGGTCTGGTTTTTTTTTTCGAAAAAAAAGTCTCTTCAAAAAGTTAGTAGTGTGAGTACTTCATTCACAAGGAAAGTTCATAAGAAAGAAAAAATGTTTAGGGAACAAAAAAAAATTTAGCAAACTTAAACTCAAAGAATACAGTTAAGCTCGAAATTTCATTTCACGTTCATAGAAATCTTCAAATCTTCATGTACTGCGCGAAAAATTTTGAGCAGTTCTCTAGAAATTTCTCAAAATTCCAAGGGAATGATCATGTTTTTCAGCACTTTCCCAGCACTTGTTGTTTTTTTTTTTAAAAATAACTAATTTCAGGTTCAATGTTCACTTGCAATCTATGCGCAGACCATCATATTTGCTCAAAATGTTACAACGAAACGGTCGTCAATGAGACTTTGCACACGCAAGAATCAATGAAGTTTCCGGAAGAACACCCTCACATGCACCACCCATATCGCCTCGACATGTCCAACTTCGGAAAACGTTTTTGAGAATCCATCGTGACGGTTTTCATATAATTAATTTTAGTAGCCTATCCGGTACACGAAAAACGATGTGCTAGTTGTGGATCGCGAGCTTTTCCAGGTCTTCGATATGTGTTTGTTTTCAGCCGTTTTTTAAAATTTCATAAAAAATTTTTCGGTCAATTTTTCTATACTTCTGAAAAATGATAGCAAAGCAAAATTTGGAGTTTAAAGCATACATTTTTTTTAATTCCAAAAACTCAGAGCTTTCTCAATTCAAAAACTCGTCTGTCTCACCTTTTGAGCAACAATAAAAAAATTCCTCTAAAAATTCAAAATGAATTTTTTTTTTTTGTATAGTAGAACTCTAGAAGCAGAAAATCTTTATGCATAAGATTTCTGTTCTGAGATCCAGTTTTTTCTTCGAGCTGCGCAATTTATGTTTCTAGTTCTTTCGAAAACAAAACTACTTGCAGATGTCCTGAGATTTGCCCCGACTATGGGATCTGTGCGACCTGTTTCATCAAAAAGAAGGAAACGCAGGAGATTGAATACTTCGAAGCTGAGCAAGCCGAGCCGAAACTTCAAAAGATGAATCAAATTGGCTCTGCCATTGTGACTCAGAGATTTTTCGGAATCGGTTTGGCACGTCTGGATTGGATCAAGACCAATTCAAACAATGCTGTTAGTAAACTTTTCTAAATCCATTCCTATTTTTTTTCAGGAAGAGGTCAAAAACCTCTCTCGTAAGATCGGGTTTGCGATATACCAGTATCCCACTCAACTTCCCGAAGAAGAACGCAAGAGTTTGGACGCGGAACAGCTCGAAGAACTCATTAAAAGCATTGAGTTGCACGAAGAGCTGGCTGAGAAGGATGGTGGTGAAAAAAAGAAAAAGAAGAAAAAAGAGAAGAACGAAAAGTTCGTATCGCAATTCGGTTACACCGAGGAGGTAAGAGCTGAAGAAATTTTTTTCCTTTTCAAAACTAGTAACTTTTGCTGAAAACTTCCATAAAAGGAGAGTTTTCAGCAAGAAAAGCACATTATCAAGCTGCGAGAGGAACTATTTGATATCAACCGCAAAGAGTCTAAACATCGTGACGGGGATTCTGAAGTTTTAGAGACAAAGTTTGTCTTTGTTTCTTTTTTCGCGGAAGGATCTCATTCTAACGTCGTGAGTTTCTCATTATCATAAAACATCTGAAAGATAAGTTTCCAACTTTTTGTTCCAGCTTCCTCTCGTTTGTCTTCGCATAAACGATGATAAAATCATTTTTGTTGAATCCTCCGGAAGAGCCTATGACGGCTGGGACGACTTCATTAACAAGAACAAAATGCCCGAATGTTTTATTTTATACCCAGCAATGGGAAACTATAAGGTTCTTATTTTTTCGGAATCGATTTTGAGCACAGATTTAGATGGAAGAAGGTGTGCTGAATTTGCGTTACGACTTGTCGAGAAGAGCGAAGTTGCCGAGTAAAATCATCAAGGTTGGGAAATGAAAACTTTCTCGAATCTTATATATATCTATAGGTGAGCGACAGATCAGCCATGGGAATTGGAATAGCTGCCACCGTTGGATCTATTGTAGGGCTTTTCACGCCTCTGGCGCCTGTGGCAGCTACGACTTTACTTTACACCGGTCAGTTTTCATCAGAGTACGGGTTGAAGTCCGCATTTTCCAGCCATTGGAACTGGATTCTATACCATGGCTAGGTCCGGCTACCATCTCGTAGACCGGGCAACTCATAACGAGAATGTGAATCCTCTAAAAAGTCGAGAAAACTTTGTGGACTGGCTGGCCGTTGCCGCTTCGTTGGCTTCCTTCGGAGCGATTGGTGGATCTGCGGTTTCAATTGCTGTATTTATATCTGAAATAGTCTCCAATTACAGTATTTAACCGTGATGTCAACGCAAGGCGTCGAAATCAGTCAAGCAATCGAATACACCGTTAATGCTGCCATTTTCGCGAACTTTGCTGTCAGCGGCCTTGCACTAACAGCATCGGGTTACAATATTTTTGAAAAGGTTTCAATCGACTTTTCTCCTTGATAAATAGTCGACATTTTTCAGGTGGCCAATGGAGAACGCCCTACCGCATTGGAGCTTTTCCAATTTTCTACAAGTTTGCTGTTTTTCACTAACGCCGCTGTTAACCTGCAAACGGCTGAAAGAATGATCCAACAGGTCAGAAAATTACAAAAAATTCACTTTAATGTTATTCTAGACTTCCCAAGAGAAAATCAATGAAGTTCGGGACAACCTCAAAACAGCAGAGGACCGACAAAACTTCGATCAGGCCATGAACGATAAGATAAAAAATGCCGACGGAAAGCCTGGAAGTGAGAAAATGAGTTTAATTCAAACTTTATATGGTTTAACAGACGCCAAATCTAACGCAAACTTGGAGACAATTCGAGAAATGCACAGAGCGATGTTAGCAGATAAGCATGTCGAAGCACATATTCGTACGCTTCATTTTTCAAAACTGAGAACATTGGGAAGCATTCAGATGAAGGGACGTCTAAAGGAGTCAAATCGAGGCCAATGCCATCTTCGGCCGTTCCGAAAGCTCCGCAAAACAAGCAACTTTCTTCAGCTGACAAAACCATTGTAGAACAACATCTTCAGAATCTGCAAGCAAAAGGCGAAACAAAGGTTTTTCTAATTCAACTTTCTTCTGGTTGAAACTTACCCGGTTCAGCTACCTCCGACGAAACAAACGGCTTCAACTTATCTGAATCTTCCATGGGCTGAAATAGTTGCCAAAGTGAAAGCCGTACTGTCCGGAGGGATCGGTGGATTTGTGTAAGATTTGAAAATTAAGTAGAGAAAATAAAAATTTTTCCAGAAGTGAAAAAGTTGTCGATGGAAAGCGCCAGCGGACTGTCACATTGGAGAACGGGGAAGAAGGCTTTTCTGGAGCCAAAGTGGAGCCGGTGACTTCGTTTGTTCCAATCAAATTTATAGAATGTTCTAGGCTCCAAACGGAGTTACAATCAAGAAAGGAGTTTTGGAAAACATCGAATTCAAACTGAACGATCAAGGCGACCCTGTCCCTCACTTTGTCGAAGGGACTATCAGAAGTGGACCGGAACAAAAAGTCAGTTTTGCCTTCTATATTTCAATAAACCTTTTTTTTGCAGATCGTTAGAATCCGCCTGGAAAACCGAACCATGGGCAGAATAACTGCAAAGCCAAAAGTTCGTATGTACCCAGAAGACTTCTCGAAAGGTGTTCCAGCAGAAGAAAGAGAATTCAGCGATAACTATTTCATCACTTATGATTGGTCATAATCATATTTTCCATTACGGGTTCTTTTGCTGGCTTGTGATATAACTTGTAAGAAGCAATAACATTATAACGAATTGCCTTTTATTGTACATGTAAATGGTTTGAAAAGCTTCCAATTGAATAAAAATATTATCAGTTCTTCAAATAAACAAAGTCCATCAAATTTTTTTTAAGTCTATCGATTTCTCAGATAAACTGTAGTGCTTTCTGGTGTAGTCGTTGAGCATCCACTAAGACGGAGTTCTTTCTAAACAACACAGTTTGAGTTTTCTTCACACGTTTCTGAATACCTCGGTGGCTGGACCTGATGTCAAAGTGTACTTTTTGAGGACATGGCACAAAGCCAGCTTCATTTCAACCAAGGCAAGCCGCATTCCGATGCACTGACGTGGTCCAGCTCCAAATGGAATGAATGACATCAGATGACGTTCAGTGGTGAACCATCTGTAAATTCAAAGAATGTGACTCGAAAACACGGTTTTTTGTTTGAAAGTTCTAAAAATCAAGTGAAATCTTGAGCTTGATCTACATTTTCTCAAAAAAAGACTACAAAGACTTTGTCTTCAAGTCTGAAAGTTGAAATTATCAAAAACTTGATCCTTCGGAAACTGGATTGAGCCCTGAGAAAAGACCAACCTTTCAGGACGAAACTCTTCAGCATCTTCTCCCCAAACGTTTTTATCTCGATGAATCGTCATGACGTCAGCTTCTACGAGTGTTCCTTTTTCTATTTGAATATCTCCAAGAGTCGTCGGCGCGACGCATTCTCGAGAGCTCGCACTGAAAAATTCACTTTGAAATGATTTTCGGGGAAAAGCTCACAAAGATGCGACAGGATACAGCCGTAAGGCTTCTTTAGAAACAGCGTCCAAGTACTTCAATTGCATGATTTGTTCATAGCTAATGGTCTGGAAGTTGAACAATTGTTCTGACTGCTTTTATATGAGTCTGACCGCTTCAGTGCAGACTTCATCGATCTCTTGATGAGCTTTTTTCAATGCCTCCTGGTTTTTGGCAAGAAGATAGGAGGTGTACGCCAGTGTGTTAGCCGTTGTGTCGAATCCAGCGAGTAGGAAGACGAAACATTGAGCCGCGATTTCTCGTCCGGTTACTTTTTTCTCGACCTTAATGAGAACGAAATCAATACAGCTACAACTAAACTGACCTGTTTTTTGCTGAAAGCGCCATCAGCTACATCTTCTTCAGAATAGGCATCTAGAAACATGTCGATGAAGTCGTTGCCTTCTGGAATGTCTTCGCCATTTTTTTGTAACTCGACCTGAAAAACGAACTTATTTTTGAAAGTTCCAGTGTTGTTGCATGAAATAACGATTATTTATTACCCTTTGCTGAATTCGCGAAGACACGGCCTGCACGCAGATACGGAGCAACTTCCCAACATCTCCTCCTTTCACGTTCGGATGATTGATGAAAGCTTTTTTGACGTAGTACTCATAACCAGGAAACATGAGGGCCAAATACCAAGGCATGGTGAGATGAGGCTTCGCAAAGATCTGGATGATAGGAAACTATATGAGATTATCCATTTATCGTTACGTTTTTCAACAATTGGACATTATCCGAAGTGAACATTTCACTGTGTTCTTGGCCCATCGCTATTCTCATAATGACGTCAAAGGTGTATTCTTGGAAGAATCTGAATGAAAATCGTGAATTAACAATAGTTGGAGCTTCAGGTTTTCACTTGTGAATGTTGATTGGTTCGCTGTCGACATGAGGCTCCAAAAACTTGACCAAGTGAGTGGCACTATCTTCTACGATTGGGTGAACCTGAACTTTGGTGCGTTCTTTCGCTGATTACAAACCAAAGTTTGACCAAAAAAAGGCTTGTGACGATTCCTCTATGCTCATGAACGTGGCAGATCAATTTTAAACATTTGATGAATGTTTTTTCAAAAATATAACGCAGGTAACTCGAAAACATTGCCCATGTAGAACTATGAAAAAAAATGCTGAAAAGCTCATTTTCTCATAAATAATGGTCTCAGTTTCAGCAGCAGAAAAAAAGTATCTAAAAAAAAGAAGACAAATGGCCTCTCCGCGATCGTCCAAAAAAATGGCACAGGTTTTGGTTCATTCTTATCAGTTTACCTTTTTTAAACCCTTGACCGAAAAACGCTGCACTTGCGAGGGTTCGGAAACGTTTCCAGCGAGAACCGCGAGAAGAGAAAAGAGTGATCTCCGGTTCCTCTTTCACGTCTTCCAAATCACCGTGAATCGTCAAACTCTTAAAAATATTCGAAAAATTATTTCAAGAAAAATGAAATTACCAACCTTTCTGGCGTAGAAATTATCAAACTTCTTGATAAAAAGTTCCTGGAGCATATCCAAATCGCTGACCACAAGGACTTTTGTTGCTCCTTCGTAGTAACCGAAAATTTTTCCGTACTTCTGAAAATTTCAAGTACCATAGAAACATAATATTGGAAAAACCTTTGTCCATTTGTTTAGTACAAAATATCGTGGCTTATGTACGTTTGCGACCTGCATATAGTTGCCGAGAAATGGAATCCCAGGCGGTCCTTGGATCCCTTTGCGTTTCCAATACCCGTGAACCCATTGAAAAATATCTGGAAAGAAGTTTCTTATATGAACTCCAAAAACCCTTGAGATCATTTTTTTATCCATTCACCTCTTTTTATTTCGTTATTGAAAAAAAGGTGTTTTAATGAAGTTTTTAAAGAATGACATTTTTTTGAAGAAACTACACTCTCTGAACACTTTTTTTGCTTCATTTCAAAGGTTAAATTAAAAAAACTAGTTGGAGTTCCATTCTAATAGTGAATCGCTGAAAAAATGTGAAAACTGAAAAAAAGAACAACATTTTCTGTGATGTTTGCACACTTGAAAAAACTCGTCTATTTCTTTTTCATATGCCCAAAATTATGGAACTCTCGAAGTACTTTAAACCAACTAATAGAAAAACTTACGCGAAAAAGGAAAATATGAACGCCAGAAAGAGAAGAAAGAAAGCCATCGAGATGTGATAGCGCGGCAAAAAACTTTTATTGCAACTCAACTCGGCTACACTGTACTCAACAGTCACTTACTGTACTTTTTCTGTCCCGCGCGAAAAAATAACTCGCGTCGGCTACAATGTACCGAAAGTCTAGTTACTGTACTTCTTTATCACTCTGACATATATTGACATCTTTTTTCGAAAAGGACATTTTTGTTGTGAAGATCTTTTTCTCATTCTGCAGATTTTTTTTTCTAGTTTTTGCCAAAAATTTGATTTAACTAATCCATACAACTGGTTCGCGGCTGACTTGAGTCGTCGAATAAGGGTCCTGGCACGATAATTGAAGGGACAGTGCCTGGCTCGTGGAGAGCACAGACACGCCACGCCCCTTCATAGTCCCAAGCTATCCGAAAATCAGCTATAAAAAACGGAAGAGTTGGATGTCGTGTAGATTGAGAAAAAAACTCGAAACTTAACACAACCATTTTTTTTATATGACAATATTATTTTCTCATACGTTTTTTCTGAGATATCGACACTTTGAAAAATGCAATTTTGATTCCCTACCCGAATAGATACATTAGGAAACTCAGAAGTACGAAGAAGAGAAACATCGAAGAGAACCAAAATGAATCTTTCAACACAACCTCCACTCGCTATTTGTATCTGTAAACCACTTACTTATGTCTTCCCTTTTCTAATACGCCTAATTGAACTAGTTTTTCTACCTGATTCAATTGCGATTTTCTTTCATTTCAAATTTGATGAGCACACAAATTTTCTTTGAACATTTTACTGAACAACTTCGAACAAACTTATGCATTTGACAACAGAAATATGAACACGTAACCCGGAATGTTTTTTGACAACTAAAGTGCAAAAGCATTCGCATGAAGCAGTGTAAAACTTGGCAACTCGTCTGTACAAAATAGAACCTGGAAAAAAAGAAACTGGGAGAAAATCAAACGGGAGAAGAAACAAAAATTTAAAAACAAATACGATCTAGCTTTTTTTAAACGAATAAACTTCAAAACGGAATGAGCGTTTAAAATGATCTGCTTTCCAGAAAACAGGGGTAGTAACAAAATCTAGCCTAAAAGTGGACAAGATTTATAAATAAATACATATAATACAGTGGGCAAATTCAAAAATAATTCAGTTCAAAAACGCGAAATCAACAAATAATTGCACATGTTTTGGTTTATTACAGATTAATCTCCGTTTTTTTAACTTTTTTTACACTTTTACAACTGAATGAGGATCTAATTAGCAAGTTCCCTCAAATAACCGTCGACTTCTTCCGGGTCTGGGGCATCGGCAACTTCCCAAGACGATTCGATAGGCTTTTCAATGCGCATCTTGCAGATTGGACAGCAAAACTGAGGGCGAAACTCTATTTCGTTGGAAATGCACACGAGGCAGAAGGAGTGAAGGCACGGCAACAAGACCTGAAATGCAATCCAAATAAGGAAAATAACTTCGAGATTTCATTTTCGGAGAAAAATGGGAAGGAATTGTTATACCAAGATAAAATTTGGGAAGCTTCTGGCAGGTTTTCTCCATTTTCACCTTACGAAGGCTTTCACAAGATCTTCTAGGTTTCCGACACCTTTTAACCACGTGTTGAATTTGTCTGAGTAAGCAAAACAATAAAGCTGTGGGCTTGGTTTCGCGAAAAGTTTCTGAGGGTTTGAAAAAACTTTGATAGAAAATCTCCCTAAAAATTATGTCCCACTTGCGTTGGCTATGGTCTTATTTTGAGCTCAATTATTCTCTCATGTCCGAGATCGAAACACACTAAAGCTCTTGCTGAATTTTAGAATTATTCAAGAAAAACGAAAAATTACCTCATTCGGGACCTCCATGCAGATCACACAGTTTCCCTCATTGTCCGAACTGAAAAAATATGATAAATAAAAATATTTTCTTGTTTCAAACTAACGTTTCACTGAACACATATTTGCTGGATGTCATCACGTCAACTTGGTTCGTCTTTTCCATCAACATCTTGTGGACTTCATAAGCGTTGATAAACTCCTTGAACGACAGATATTTGCAAGAAATAAGCTTCTTCGACGCTCGATCGACCTGTAAACATTGTATTAATATTTTTCTATTTTCTATTGAGATATAATACACTCAATATAAACATTTAAATCTCAGTTGAACCAATTTTTTTCCGTTTGATAAATACAGACATATGACAACACTCAAAAAAAAAAATCCTTCCTCAATATTTTCCTAGTAAAGACAGCAAAAAAGATAGATATAGACCAAGATTATGTAGTTTTTTTCCCCAAAAATGAAAGCGAATTGACAAAAAAAGCTTATATTTAAAAAAAAACCTTGCAGCAAATGATTTCGACAGTCGATTTCCATTCGAAAGGCAGTAATTCATCAATGGCACTTTTTTTGCAGAGCAAAGCACAGATAATTATCTTCTTGAAGTTGAAACTTCCGGTAGCTAAAAAAATTAGTTCAATCTTGTTTAAATAGCAAAAACATACTTCCTATTCATTTCCCGAATATACTCCAAAAAGTCGTTGTAGGAGCATAAGTCATATGGCGAGCGTTCACGAATCTTTTTCGTAGGATTGTTACCCATTCTAAAAAGTGAATTAAAAAAACTTAAAAAAACTTGAGTAGTAATATGAGCGAGCTTTCGACACGTGATGGTGGCGCCACGAGGTAAAGTTGCCCTGTTGAGAATATCAAAAAAACTTGCTGATTCAAAAGGTTTTGAAATTTTTCGGTCAACATTTTTTTGGAAACTATGATAAAAAAACTTTTATTCTGAATCATACAAAAAAATTGGAACAAATAAAAAAAGAAAAAAATTGTGAAAAAAACAGCATGAATGTCTTCAAAAAAATTTTTGTTTTGAAAAATTCAGATCAAGCTTTGAAAGAATCCTATTCAAAAATCACATTTACAGAAAGGAAAAAGACAGAAAAATAAGAGAAATTATCAACGAGAACGCTATAAATATTGATGAAATAAAAATTCAGAGAAACCGTAGTCAAGGCCCATAAAACTGGCGTAACATTATGCGTTTGTGTGCAGGAGTCTTTCTGCCCCAATGAACTATTTGTTATACCGTATTAATAAATATAAACTTTGTTGAAGTTTTTTTCAGAAACATGATGAAGATAGATCTTGATTAAATTATAGATCAAAAAAATAGACAAGATTGGTTGTAAGATATATGAGGAAGAATTTTTTTAAGATGATTCAAACTTCTATTTTTCAAGTATTTCCAAAAAATCTTGCAGTAAATATACAAAAAAAGTTCATGGAGTGTTTGAAAAAAATAAATAATGAAACCGATGAAAAATATGAAAAAAATTCGAATTAAAGTTTTTAAATGTAACTATGAAAGGAAATATCATTAAAGTCAAAAAAAGTGCGAACAGTTAAAAAAATTCAGAGGTAAAACTGGGATCAAATTTATCCGAAACGCAAACAATTTCAGAACGCTTTTATTACTCACTTCATTATTTTATTTCACGTCAGCATCGGCGAATAATCAGTCCCATCACTTCACTGCTGATAAGAGCGACACCTTGGATCATCTCCTTTCTCTTCCCAACAAGTGAGGAAAATTCGGTTTTAGAATGATATCAGAATTATTGAAAACGCCTTTTATCAAATATTAAGCCTCCCGGTAACAGTTGGGACGATAAGGCCGACGACTAACCTTCCCACGTTGCCGGGAAAACGGAAAATGTTTAGCCGTCTTGTTGCTTCCGTAAGTTGTTGTTTTATCTTTCAGAATGCTTTTCCAAAATTGATATCACTAAAGATGAAAATTTCCCTTTTTTTTCTTTGACTCGAAATTTTTCAGGTCCTGTTGGTCCTCCACAATTTCGATCCGACACATGGTGAAATCCGTTCTCAGTGTTATTGTAAGCTTCTCATCCATATCAGTAATTTTGTGAGTCAAGATAACAACAGTGCAAAAAATATCGTCGACTGTTCTTCCTGGAGGTCCCTTTCCCTCGTGATGCTGGAAAATGACGACTCTGCAGCAAACTCACTCGAACAATACAAAAAATTTACAAGAACCGTGAGAAACAAGTTGGATGAAGAGAAAAATTGATATTTTCAGGTTATAGGGGGATGCGGACAAGAAAACGGATTTCGTTTGTACGCTCCAGCTCTTTTTGACGATCTGACATGTAGGATGTATCATGTGAGTTTTTTATGGAGCTTTTGAAAAACCAGCAAATACTCTGTTTCTTCTCTGTTTCATGGAATTAATTTAAGAGTTTGAGCAGCTAATTTTCAGCTAACCTTCATGAAATATGGAGTGCAAATTGCAATGAAAACTTTTTTCAAAGATTCGGATCAGTCCTTACTCGAAAAAAATTTTTTTTTCGAATTTTTCAAGTTACGAATTCATAGTAAATTTTTCGAAAAGCTCTCTCATTCATTTTTTTTTTTTATCGTTTCAATAAAAAAAAACTTATTCAGATTGGAGATACTGACCAAATCAGCTTGATAGACGACCTGGTGCTCCCTGAAGTCTACAACCCTTTTCCGAGCGACCCAGGAACGTACTTTGTGCGACTGCTAGGCAACGCTGTGAGATTTTTCGCCACATTGAGTTTGTTCCAAAAAGTGAGATTTTCTAGTCGGATTGCTCTACAAAAATGGATTCGATGCGAGGAGAGGCGTTGTACTTCTTCTTCGATTCGGATTGCTCCTACCTCACCGCATATAGTTTACCAATAACGAGCTTGATCTCGAATATAATGAAAAATGGATTCTACGTCAAAATTCTATGGTACAACAACGGAGAAACGAAAGATGGTGAGCAAAATTTCTGATATGGCCCAATTTTTTTCAGCATGTATGAGTGAAACTTTTCCTCTTTGTATCAACGGCAGCATGTGCGAAGTGAAACGGTACAGAAACGACGATGAATTGGCCCGAGAATATTCCAATAGCTTACTTCCTTGCAAAAGAGCCGTCACGATCAAACAAAACGATAAACTGTGTGAGATTCTTCTGATATTTGATCATATCAACTATGGAAGGTTTCAGTTATCATCCTGGGATGCGTTTTTGGGTCGATTGCGCTGATTTCAATCATCGTACTGGCTTTGTATTGTTTCCGACTCAACAGACAGCGACGAATCGCAGAAGAAATCGCGGCTCTCAAAATGTGGGTTATTTTGAAAAATGACAAAATTAAGCTCTTTTTTCAGGAAAACTGACTATTCCGCATTTTCAAATCACTACACTAATTTGAAAAAATTGGCTAAAATCAATAAGTAAGATTGGGAAGTTAATTTTCAAAAATGAAGGTTTTCAGGTACGATGATTGGGAAGTTCCTCGATATGAGTTGGTAATAATGGAAACGGAAATTCTCGGCCGAGGGGCCTTTGGAATGGTGAACAAAGGGATATTAAAAGGTTAACAGAAGTTTTGATATTTCAGATGAATTGAATACAAACAAAATTCAAAAAATTTGTTTTAAGGTCGGATTCCATTACTTAACTTTTACCCTACAATGCGCCTCGAGACAAAGACAGACGGTGCTTGTGAGGTTTTTCGAATTATGTGTTGACTGTGAAGCCACAAAAGTTTAGGTAGCTGTGAAAAGACTTCCGCCGTATTCTGATGACAGCAATCGATTGGACGCTTTTCATGAGATTACTTTCATGAAGACCCTCGGCTTTCACCCACATGTTCTATGGTAATCGTCCCATTCTTTCCTAATATTGATTCGTTTTTTAGTATGCTTGGCTGTGTTTCTGATCCGGTAGACCCGATAATCATCGTCGAATATTGCTCAAATGGAGATTTGCTCCATTATTTGAGAAGCCACAGGAGTGATTTTAAAGACGAGGTGAAATTGACGTTGACAAAAAATTTATATTCTGTTTCTCAGATAACCGAAGCCAATATAACTTCTACGCGGCTTGACATGAAATGTCTGCTTTCTTTTGCTTGGCAGATTTGCGATGGACTGGTTGATCGAATGATTCTTTTTTTATTCACAAATTTTGTTCAGGACTACATGAGCTCGAAAAACTTCATACATCGCGACATCGCAGCCAGGAACGTTTTGCTGACAGGAAGTCTAGTAGCAAAGGTTTCGTTTTTCTTTCAGTTCAATTTTGATTCGATTCGATAGATTGGAGATTTCGGACTGTGTCGACATACGGAAGACGCTCAGTACACTTCAAAAGGAGGCCGTTTGCCGTTCAAATGGATGGCTCCCGAAGCAATAACTTTGTATGAATTCACAATCAAAACCGATGTGTGAGTTTTTTTCTAATTTCGAGAAATCGTACTGAGTTTTTCAAAAGTTTGGTCAGAAGTGAATTTCTTCAATTTTTAGTGGTCACTGTAGAGGCTCGCCAAGGACTACTTGGAAAGGACACTAAAGTGGTCACTAAACCCACGTTCATAGTGGCCACTATTTTCTGTTTTAGTGGCCACTTCAGTAGTTTTTCATCCAGTATTCCTTCCAGTAACTTTGATAACTTTAAAACAAACAAATTGGACCAGTTATGTTGATCCATTTACCCCTAAAGTGGCCTCTAAAGTTTTTAGTGGTCTAGTAGTAGCACTTAGACTTCCGTAGTGCTCACTAATTTTCACCCCTTAAGTGACCACAAATTCGACTACTATAGTGGCCACTAAAAGTTTTCTCAGTACATACATTTTTTTTTGTCAAATGACTCGCAGTTATTTTCTTTTCCGCTCAGAGACGCTTGATCTTCAGATGGGCCTATGCTGTTTTGCTCCACGAAATCTACACTCTAGGCGACACCCCCTACCACAATGTTCAGCCGGCCGACATGTCCAAATACTTGTTAGATGGAAACCGTTTGGAACAACCAGAACGCTGTCCAGATGAGATGTAAGCCTCGCTAAGAAAAATACCAAAGTCGAGATTCAATATTCAGCTATTCAATCATGAAAGATTGCTGGGATTCGAATCCTAACAAGCGACCTATTTTTTCAGAGGTTTTTGATTCAATCTCCTTCTCAAATTATCAATTTACTAGATTCGTTCATGTCTAGCAGTCATGCTCCATGTGAACGATGACTATTATGGTTATCTTACGATGGAACAGCGAACTTCCTCGATGAACTCAGTGAGTTTCGTTCAAAAAATATAGGATCAAAGATTTTAGGGCGCTACTCACTGCACGATTGACTATGAAAACATTCCAGTTCTTGTAAAGTTTCTGGATAGAGATTTGAATCAAACCAGCGAAGACTCTGTGGAGGTTAACGAGTGATGGGAAGAAATATACTTGAAAATTTCAGAGGCCTCTTGAGAATGAAATCGCAGAAGAAACAGAGTCGGCGTCGGATGACTCTGTCAGTAACTCCTCCGATTCAAGCCGGACGAAACATCTTGAGGTTTTTTATTTTGGGTTTATTTTTCAGAATTTCTTTGTCGGTTCAAATAAAAACCAAAAGACTAGAAATGACCGAAATCTTGCAGGCTGGCAGTTCCACGCGAGCAGCTTCCCATTGACTTTTTTTCCTTACCTTGAACAGCATTTTCAACAACGGGTCTTTCAATATTTGTATAAATTTTTGCAATTTCTCTTTTTTCACAAAAAAACAAAGGCTGAAACATTGAACTAAGACAATCAGAAAGAAATTTTTCTCGTTTTAAATCATACTCGTAAACGAGGCGCTGATTCAGAAAAATAGGATTTAATGAATTGAAAAAAACAAAAACTGAAAAAATCGAAGTTTTTGAAATCAGACTTTCCCGGTTCTCTTTCTCCACGCCACAGATCTGTCTGTGAGCGAACAATAAACACTTCAACAAAAAGAGTCGAGTGGTAAAATGTAACAGAAATTTCTTTGAATCCAACTTCTGGTGTCCAGAATGATTTTTCACAAGTTGTTGATTTTTCACGAGGTCTTTATTCTTAAAACGAGCTTAAAAAAAGACTGTATCATTGAACACTCAAACCAAAAAGTGCTGATACTGCGTGTCAATACGTTGTTCTTCGAGTACTTGCGTTCGCGTCGGACCCGCAGACCTCTCATGATTGTACAAGCGAAAGCGGTCACTTTGTTTGTACGGCTTTAGCACAGGAGCCGTTTCATTACAAGAACGGGCGGCGCAGTCCTTGTCTGGTCCTCGAAAACGTCGGGAACAGTGCAAAAAGCAACTTTTGTCTGGGTGGATGGCCGGCGAAGGACTGTCCTTCGTCTTGGTTCTGTGGCTTGTTTTTTGTGCCAACGCTGTTTTCATCGACCTTAACTGCACCTACGTCATCAGAAATATGCCCAAGGTTTGAAAAAAATCTCGGTATAAAAAAACGCAATATTCTGAAATATTTGTTGTTTTTTTATTATGATGTGCGCTTTTTTTGACTTATGTCTCAGGCTTATTTGGACAGCATTTTTTTGGATGCTAATACAGAACGAAAATGAAATCAGTCCTCCAGACTAGAGTCTAGTCGAAGCTTCTAAAGTTACTTCACACTTCAAAATACTTCATACTTTAAAATCTACCTATAAAGATGTCGAAAGATTCTCGGATGTTGATGGATTTTGCTAAAAGACTTGAACTACTCCTGCAAAAAGTAAAACTGAACATTTTGAACTGCCTGTTTTTGAAATTGAGACACTTCTTTATTGAAAAAAAAAGGTCATGTAGATTTTAACTGAAGGACCCTCATCTGGTGAAAATGGTATTTTTAGCCTTGAAAAATTTGTCTCCTGTCAATATTAGAAGTAGGTTTTCAGTATGCCTGGAATGCCGTCAACTGTGAGAACCGATATTCCGATGCGGCTTGTGAATCAATTTACCCCGCGGACATCGAAGTCGACTCCACTGTCGCCAGACCTTCCCAATGTTATTCGGTGTGTTTCTGGACGTTGTTTTTGAAATAAGAACTGCGGTCTAGACGAAGCTGGTTTGTTTGCAGATTGGGGGCGAAATCAACGATGAACTGAAGAGGATCGCAATTTTGACCTGTCCGAAAACTTGCGGCTATTGTTGCATGACTAGCGAGTACTATTGCAGAAACGCTGCTTGTGAGTTTTGAGGTGACTATTTGGATAATGTAGAACATTTTTTTCAGATCCTCGAGTGAAATGTGAAATGGTGTCCCGAAGACAGTGCGAAGACCCTGTCTGGATGCCTATCCTTGCTGAAGACTGCCCTAACATCTGCGGGTTCTGCACTGCAGGTTCGAAAATGCCCTCTTGAATTTCGCATTGATATTTTCCAGGCGGATGTGTAGACAAAGCTGTGGAATGTGAGAACGACCCATCAATTTGTAGGAACCAAAAAATGCAAGCATTCGTGCAGGTAATATCTTTGAATATCATCTCTTTGTGATTATTCAAAATTCCGGTTATTATCTCTCAGGTCAATTGCCGGAGGACATGTGGTCTATGTAGACCTACGTTAGGAATCCCAAGCGATTCAACTGCAGGAAAATCTTTGTCTGGTTCGGGTGGCTCTGGTGTTTGCAGAGACCTGAGTTCAACGTAAGTGGATTTGAAAATGATTTCTTATGAAAAAAAACATGAAACTTCTCGGATTGAAACGAAAAAAAGACGAATGAGCAGAGTAGTGTAAATAAATGACCTAGAAAATTCTCAAGACCTCTTATAGTTCACCTAAACTTTTTAGAGTTCCTCAGATCTTAAAGCAAACTGGCCTGATCGAAAAATTTAAAAAATAAAAATTTTCCAGATGCACAAGTTGGGCTGAACATGGTTTCTGCTACACGCCTTTTTACAGTAGACAATACAAAAAACTTCACTGCGCAGCAACTTGCAATCTATGCTAAAGTATCTCAGACTTCTAGAATCTTTCCTACCCCTCCGGTATGGGTATCAAAACGTGTTATTTCTTTAATTTTCACGCATTTTGGGAACATAAATGACAAATGAATATGTCTGCCATATTCTGATAAAAGTCTTTTCCACAAAAATTGTTCCATTATTCAAACACTATCGTGTTATTTTTTCGCTCAAGGTTCTTTTTATTCATTTTTGTTGCTTATTTCTCGACGTTCTTATTACCGAACCTTTTGTTCACGTATTCGACTAGATGAAAAATGAGACAAAAGATGAATAATTTCTTGTTTTTCAATGATCTTCCATTCCTCCTTCTCTTCCATTCTGGTTTTGTCGAATTGAATGCTAATTGTCTGTTAAAAAACTCATTTTGTTGTTTTGAATAAATTCCTGAGCAGTTCCTGTGTGTTCTACGACGTGTTATCCGGGTTAGCGCACCGTTGTGGCTTTAATCCAAGAAGCAAATAACGAAGATAGAATGGTTCTAAAATCATTTTGCGTCAAAATTAGCTGGAATCCACTAGCTACCTTATTTTGTAGGAATCCGTCACTCTTTAATTCCACTTTTTTCAAAAGTTGTTTTTATTCAATTTCCAACAAACTATCAAAAAAAACAAGGAAACTGGCTTCCGTTTTTTTTTTACTGGGAAAAATCAACCTGTTCTTAAGAGGCTAATGGAAATATTGATACCTGTCATATTTTTGAAGTGGTAACCATGAAAAAAATTGGACCTCAACTCCCTATGGATAAGTTTTTCATCAAGACATTTTTTTAGAGAGTTTGCCTTGGCTTCTGAAGGCGCCTACGTTAATCATATGTTTCCAGGCAGGACATTTATCAAGTTTCTTCTTGCCCTTCCGATCCGGAAAGTTTTTGGCAGATGAACCAAAAAAAAACAAATTTCAAATCTTTGAAGTGTAAATTCAGTGCATTTGAAATGAAAATTGTTGTGTGCGTAGCAGCAAAAAAATTTCTCTTTTCTTAGGAAAAATTTCAATATTTTCTGTGGCGTTGCTTCGGCCATTTTGTAGTATTGTTGATAAAAATTTTTACAGCAGGCGGATTCATGAATCTATTTGAAATTTACCTCGAGATGACCGACCTAAATCCCGAAAAACCCGAAATTTGTCCTTTAGCTGGAATTATTTCTTGTACCTTGTTTGTATCCAATTGCCTTCGGAAATGTATAGACAGGATAATTGGACAAAGAAGAAGTTCGAAGACGCTGACCTGGATGCTCAGTGCATTTGAAGTAATTTTCGTGGCGATGTGTGTGCCATGCATCATTCATTGGCCATCACTTTTATGCCCCGACGCCTCATTGTGCACGCTACGTTGAATGCGTAAGTGCGAGCATCCTCACGCCTTCTACCTTACTCGTTTTGTTCTTGAAACCAAGACTTTTTTTCCTATTGACTCAAGCTTCCTTTGTACCAAGAAATTTGGTCTAGTCAGAAACAGGCATCTCATCTACGGATAGATAGCCTCGATTTGTGTTCTTTCAACATGAGAGAGTCGGAAGACGATTCGAGACATTTTCAGGATGTCTTTTCATTTTGTTTATTGTTTCTCATGTTGTTGTCTTCACGCTCTCCCGAATTTTTCATTTACATCCCCAATTCAGTTAGAGTGAAACATTGAAACAAATTGAAACTAGTGCTACGTAATTTGAACTGGGATCTCGTAACAGACAGGCTCCGAAAAATTTTAAAGCTAAGATAAAATTGATTTTTCCACCTACTTTTCTTCTTCTCAGAAAAATTTCTTTTTCGAGGAATGGTCAAATTTCTAACTCTAACGAGAAGAGCAAAGGTAAGCGCCTACTGAAAATACTAGGTTTTCTTCGTACTCATACTTCTTGGAAATTCTACACCTTCGTTTTTTCGTCATTGCTCCAAAATTTAAATTTTTTCTGAAAATTGAATGTTTGAAAAACTTTCAGAATGCAAATCGTGTACCATATCTTCTGAAAACGACTTTTTTTCTGTTTTTATTCTTACTTTCGCACCCGCCACTTTCCCTGTCTGTAATATCATCGTCGATTAAGGATTTCAAATTGATCTGCTTTTCTTTTTTTTTTTGGTCGTCCGATCAACTTCTTCGAAATGTTTGATTTTCCGTTCTAGTTGCTCCCAAGTTTCATCGATCACTTGACATTCTTCCTTCTTTGTATCTTAAGAAATTCGGAAAAATGCTCATTGTCCAAAGGCGTTTTTTCTTTGGCGTGCGAAAAAATGTGAAATTTGATACCAATCTTTTCTGCAACTCTTCCTCGAAGCGTTCCTTTTCTTCAGAAAACGTTTGGTTTCTGGAAGTACTAAAAAAGCTGAGCGAGAATGTACGAATTTTCAGAATGGATATTTTTTTGCAATATTAAAATTATAATCAATACGAATAATTGAATATGGAAAAGGTAAAAATGTTTTTATTTTTGTTCTGAGGATCATCAAAGTAAACGGACGTTGAAAAATGATCAAAAGAGGATTATTATACATGAGGCGAGTCTTTTTTTCCTCAGACGACAGAGTTTGCTCCGAAACCTTCAAAGTTGCAAACAACACAGATCCGTGGCTGCCATTCATCACTTCATTTGAACTGGAACAAGGCAAAAGACGAACGGATAAGTGAGACTGAAGCTCCACGAGTGAGGAAGGACCTCCACTCCTTCTTCTGGGGATTCTCCAGGGACGGTGGCGACCGGCGGCAAAGGCGCCCGCACATTATCTACTCGCGCGTCGCCGGCTTTTACGGCGTTCCGCCGCCTGAAAAAACCAGTCCGCTTTGCTTCTTTGTTTTGCGTAGTCCAACTTGTCAAAATGGCAGAGTTTTTGGCAAACGAACCTATGAATCTCATTTTTTCTGTTCTCGCGTGTTTTATGGGCTGTACCAGTTTCTGTACAAGTAGATGATTCATTTGTTCTGGACTTTCGGGAAATTTTGTTCTTTTTCTGTTTTTTAAGTTGATTGAATGAACATTCTCGACCTTGATTGATATCATTCAAATCTTTCTTCTCAATGTCTACAATTATCTCCAGAAAACGGTAACTTGTATAAAATTTTAATTATAACCATGAGATTCATGAAACTTCGGTTTGAGAATCGAATTGAATTTTATTTTTTGAATGATTCCAGCTTTTCTCAGAGATAAAAAACCTGCATTTTTTTTCGATTAACTGGGAAGAATGAAAGTTGAGGAGTATCTAGAAGATCGTTCATTTTTTGTGAATTTCCTTTTCCTAGTTTTTTTCCTCTTCCGCCTTTCAATGTTGCATTCATCGAATCATATCATAAAAGCCATAAATTCTCAAAACCGAGTCAACAAACAAAAAGGCGAGCGATGAGAGGAAACGACGTTTGACGGTGCCGAAAACAGTTCTGTCGAGTTTGGCTGATAAGGCTCAACAACGGGCGCCGGTTTTCAATTTTGCTTTTTTTTTCGTGAAATTTTCGTTTTGAGAGTAAAGCCGATTTACTCTCTTAAAAATTTGTCTGACCTTCTATCTTTGAGATGATAATAAGATGGTCCTTTCCGAAATTTCAAAAAGTTTGATTAGTCGTTCTTCATTATCACCAGCTCGATTCAACTATTGCAAAAAAAATCTGAACCTCTTTTCTTGGCTCTGTCTTGAAAATTTTGTAAGAAAAGCGTATACAACTGTCTAAAAATATAGGTGCGGATAGAAGGCTCAACTATAGCTGCTTTAGATTTGTAAGATTTTGCCTTACTTGCTTCAGGACGCCATAAGGATTCGTCAGACCTCTTTGAAGAACCGTTACGAAGATTCTCACCATTTCAAACTAGCTGATTTTCGACTGACTTTTTTTGCGATCAAAACTATCCCAGCTGTGTTTTTTTTTTTCAAACGGTAGCGTTTTTTCTGTTTTCCAAATAAACCATCATTCACTCCGTTAAAAACCTCGGACGCCCTTGGTAATAGAAAGAAACGATTCTTCTCCCGTCAGTAACTCATAACAATAATCCTCCTGTCCACTTGATGCTCAGCCGTAGTCTTCGAAAAGGAGAACATTTTTCAGAAATTCGGCGCAGTGAAATACGTTTCCTTTCATTTTCTTCCTTGCCTGAAATGACCCGTCATTTTGCCTAATCTCCCAATTTCGGAGCTCTATGAACGCGCAGACAGAGCTTTAGTTTTTGGCTGTTGTTTCCCTTTGAAGTCTCGAGATTTCCAGAATCTTCCGAGTTTTCAGTGATCCGTTCGAAAAAATGGATTAGCTGGTGAGGGCGTTCAATGCGGAAATTGCTCGCGGGTGTTCTACTTTCCGTGTTTTTCGCGTCGTTTGGCGCAGATGGACGATGTGTTGGCACGGACTGCGATATGTTTGAGTGCACGTCAGGTGAATATTTTATCCATTCTATCTGAAAAATAAAAACTTAACCAATATAGTTAGGGAAGCTGGAATCAAACGGAAGGGTATTCTTGGCAGGCTTAAGAAGTTTGGTTTAAATTCAGTGAAAAACTTTTTCTAGTCCTTTTCTGAAAGGACCTCAAAAAAATTCTCAATGAACACTATCATAGTTATCTTCGACATGGAAGTATTACTGAAGCATTTTTTTGAAGCTGGGTAAGCGTTTCAGATGCGTTCGTCCTGCGACCGATGGACGCCTACTTGAGAACTGGCTCTACATTTGGATCTCCTTGTGCCTGTGCAGCCGATTGGAACTCTGTATTCTGCAACCAGTCTTCGTCTGGGTCATCCTCGAGTTTTGAAGAGCCTCATCCTACTATCTGCATATGCAGGTCGGAGCATAAATAATCAAGAAATTTCAAGAAATGATTCAATTTTTTGCAGGAAATTCAGTGACAACGGCTCGAAATGCGATCAATTCATGTCTCGCTGTTTTGCACGTAAAAACCACGAGTTTAAATAATAATCTAATAATCTTTAAGCATATCATTTCCAGGTGTTCGTGTTGTTTCAATCAACCAAAGGCATACTGTAATCACTTGAGGTGCAAACACAACGAGCCCGATTTCAGGTGTGTTCGGAAGAATTTCTTCAGTAACTGATTGTTTCAGCGGGGCTAACACAACTTGTGTCTGCTACCATAGTCCAACAAACTATCCGTACCAGATTTGTAAAGCTCTGTATCCCCACGAGAATGCGCTCCAGTCAAGGAAAACAGTACTTTTTGCCAGAAACCAGAACGTTCCAAGCACAGCTGAGGTTGGTGAATTTCTCAAAAAGAAAATATTTCGTTATTTGTTAGTACCAACAAGTCTGAGAACTTGAAAGAACACGGTGACCTTTTTCCAGCAACACATAGAGCTTTTCGGAAGAAAAGTGTCGACCTCCACATTGACCTACGTGGTTGTCAGTATGCTGGGACTGACCTGCTTGATGACGTTGGGTATGCTGATCATGGGAGGCCAGAGAATCCGCCGACGTCGTCAGGAACTTCTTCGGCAGACGCGCGTCGCTCGCGAGACCCTCATCATGCAACGTGCCGACGACGACCGCTACCTTCCTTCTGCATGAACTTCCTTCTTTTCACTTCCAATGTGCCTTGTTGATTTAATATATACTGCCTTGTGATTGTCATTCTATCTGGTCATTTTTTTCTAGGACTTCTAACCTCTGCCAGGTCTCACCGCATATTTACCAAATTTCGCTTTATTCATTATTTTTTTTCTTACACGTTTATGCAATTTTCAGTCTTTTTTTCTACCCAAGGAAAATCCTCTTTGTGCCGATAAAAAAATAGCTTTATATATCATATTTCTAATGCCTATGAAAGTATGCAAAGTTGAAAAAAACTTATAACTTTTATCGGTATTTTTTTCGAGAAGTAGAGCCTTATTCATGAATCATTATTTTTTTCCAAAAGATCGACAGGAATTGATAAGGTTATTTGATAAGGAAAAAAATTGATTTTAACCTCGAACGCTCATCTCAAAAAAACAGTCAATACACTTTTTCATCAAAATATTTATTTCAACTCTTCAAAACGAAACGTACAAAGTTAATCTCGAAAAAGAAATTCCACAATTATTTTCCAAAAAGAAATGGTGACAGGTAGCAGTTTGATATTGCATACAGGATCATTTTTATTTCTGGAATCCAAACGAGAAGTAGCCTTTTGCGGCCGTGAAAGCACCGGTCACAGCATTTTTTGCTCTTTCGAGAGGCTCCGTGAGTCCGAGTTGCGCGAGGAAACCTGCAAAGCTCAAATTTCGTCCGAAAAGTTCCTTTGAGAAAAACCGTCATCTTCCACTTGGTTCGATTCAATGGCAACCTGCTCCGGAGTTTTTCGCTGGCTAGTGATTCTTCCAGCAATTTCTTGCGAGCTGTCGTCCCGCTTCTTCAGTTTGTACTGAAAATTTTGAAAGGGAAACTTGTGAAAAGTGAATTTTTTAAACCTTGTCACGAATGTTCTGGCGCATTTTCTCTCGCTCAGCTTCCATTTTTCGGTGTTTGTCTTTGCGACGACGCTCTTGTTCTTGACGAGCCGCAACCAGCTTAAAATGCGGGTATTACAAGAAAAAGATAAAAAAGAAAAAACTGCAAAGATAAGTGCTTGTGAATAAGGGAAGTGCATGCAGAACGCTCAAATGATTTTTTTAATACGCACATCGATGAGATTAGCGAGGGGAAAGAGGGAAGCCCCAATTCGAGTGCGGCTATGAGAAAATGTTAATTTTCAGTGCAAAGAAATGTTTCTAAGTTTTCATTGTCCAACAGGTTCTTTTTGAAGCTGTTGTCTTATGAGAAAAAATTTTTGAAGTGGAAATAAAAGAAACGGAGTTTTTTCAAATCATTCCGATAGATTGCACCAATGATAACAAAAAATTTTACCTCAGGATCTTCCATTTCCTCTCGATTGTCGTCGTTCTCACCGGTGAGTTTTTCAAAACCACCTGAAAAATTTCAAATACATTCAAGCGGCAAAAGCATAGCTTTATGGGGTGTTCAACTGTGGGAACCAACAAAAAGGGTCACATTTTTTTATCGATGAGGTCTTACTTTCCTACGTTCCTTATGCTTTTTATTTGACTCACTCAAAATTTGTTTCTTAATAAACCACTTGGTACATGGTAGTATTCACTGAAGAAAAGAATTAAACCACCCAAGAAAAAAATATCCCAATCGAGTTATACCAGTGGATTCCCGTTTCAAATCATGGAAACTTCTGAAAACTCTGGAGAAAGGATAAGGAAAAAATTAACACTTTTCCAGAGAAATTCGAGCGCAACTTGAAACAGTGCTTCAAAGTAGGAAGAAGCCAGGACGCAATCCAACTTTTTTCAGAAAAACACGTATGAAACTCGGAAAACCTTTGAAAAAGCCGGAAAACGGGTTGGACCCGAGCCCGATCCCAGACAAGGCGATGCCAGTAGCTGTTGCTTCCATGTGACTAGCGAGCAAATCGCTGCCGATCCAGTACATATTATCCCCTCTCAACGTCTTGCAATTCAGCTTATTCAGGATAATCTCTACCCATGTCGGTGATAAGCCGTTTTCATTAGCCTCGGGTGCATAAGATATACTTCTTGTTGTCCGGAGAAAATCTTTATGACATTTTTCTTCAGATTCAACATGAGATAGAAAGCTCGGAAATCTTGAAAAGCTAAGCCGAAATTTCCCAGTTTTGTTTGAGATAAAAAGTCTCTGACTATCCAGAAAAGACTTTGATTATAAAAAAAACTTCGATCTATTGTTCCTGGATAGACCGGTTTTCTATATTTTTACCCATTTAAGTCACCTTTCGAGACCCCCAACTAATCCTAAAGTTTGACCTTCGTAACAGGAGAATAAATTATTCAGCGATCCTCTGCAAAAAAAAAAAGAAACAAAAAAGTTTTCAATTTAGGTGTTGCCGCGCGAGGTACACGATTTGCGGAAAAGTAAGCAAAATGAATCTTGGCAAGATTTTTTTTTGAAGGTGTTGGCCAATGATCCAGTTGTCTTCACGAGAAAATTCATTTTCTCACAATGATTATGACTAACCTTTGAAATTTAAACTCTTGAAGTTTCCCTTCTTGAAAAAAAAAAACAAAGTACCTGCACGGTTTTTAACGGCCATCATCGCGATCTTATTGCAGTTCATAGCGATCCAGCCAAATGTCAGAAATGACTACCGCAGTCAAAAATGACGAGTCGCCCCGGAGAAAATTTATGGGAAGAAAGGACGAAAATAGAAATAATTTTGATTTTGGTGAGAATCACGACACGCGAACAATAACGACGCGTTTTACGATCTCGAAAATAATATAGTGCGGCTGGTAACTATGGGATGCGGGCCATAACGGTCGAGCTTTCGCCCGCTCAGCGTTTTTTCTTTGCAAAACGTCCAAAGGGCGATGGAGGCAGGCGGTAAAATGACAAATAAAACGAGTGTCGAAAATGTGTTTTGGCGCGCTAGTGGACGCTCTTTTGTGATATTGGTTCCAGGCACTGAAATATTTGTTGCCAAGGCTCTCTTTATGGCTCAAGCAGATAACGAGGTGCTCTTTCACAGACGCTTTATCTCAAAAGACAGCTGGTTTCGAGATTCAATTATCTTCTGATCAAAAAAAGGTGAAGAGAGAAGGATGTAAAAAATTGGAAATTTCGAAAAAAAAAAGTATTTAAATGTATCGTTCTCTCGAACCGGTAAAATGAACTATGCGAAATTTCGCAGTACAACTGACAAAATGATGGGAAGATAAAAAATTGAAAGATGGGAAACGGCACTGAGAAAAAAGCTCTCGAACAACGAAAGTGTTTCCTTTTTCACAGATAAAATCTCAACGATGCGGAAATTCCTTGGCTATAGTTTTATGTTCTGTGAAACGGATTTCTTATCTCCTAGTTAAAAACGGCATCAACTAAGCCGTTTACAAAGCTGTCTGCAGGAAATCACAAAACCGAGAAAAAATCCCATCATCTGGCTCACAACGATGCTCCACCGGACAATATAACCTACTAGACGTGATTCATTTGACATGAGAAAGGTCTCAATGGGGCGAGGTTTTCTTTTATTTTAGATGTCTGTTTTTGTCGGAGAAAGCTTGATGTCATTTTTCAAGCAGATTAAATGATCATGCACACCTTAGAAAGAGCGTAATTCAAGCGGATATAGAAAAAGTTGAAGACCTGTTCTTACCGCAGTCGATAATAACTATAAGAGTTTGTTTAGAATCATCTAAGAAATTTTCACGAAATCCAAGAAATCATAGAAAATAGTTTCCTACATCATCATAAAAGCTCTAAAACAACATTCTTTTTTTCGAAATTCAGAACACAGAAAAATCATGAAATTATATGTATTTTTTCTGCCCAAGCTTGCTGTCCTCATTAATATGCTTTTCAAACGCATATGATTCTCACCATGGTTTTGTGCAAATGGCGACCTTGCCGATGAACCTACGGGCTTTCGGGTCGAGAACATAGTGTTGCTCCTGAACATTTTATTATACCTATATAAAACAAAACAGCCAAAAATAGGTACAGTACGAATAAGTGCAGAAACACACAACAAGTGGAAACAATAGGCGATTTGGAGGTGAACTTCAGCCGTTTTTCGTTTTTTCTTGACGCTGAGATACAAGTACAAAACGCAGAGTCGTTCCTTTTTGCGACTTGCGCTGCCTAAAGTAAAAGAAGAAAGGAGAAAAGATAGATTTCACACAAGGCAGGCGTCGTTTCCTCGGAATTCCCCGAGACGAACATGACAATGTTTTGGATTGAAATCGAACTTCATTGTTTCAAAAGGCGGAGCTGATCGATTTCAAAGCTAAACGTTGCTTTTTTATTGAAGGAAAACATTGGAAACCGCCGAGAGGAAACGTTAAAAATTTTGGAAAGCTCCTCCTAGAAATTCTGAAATTTTTCGTTGCTGTGAAATAAAATTTTACGGAAAAGTATAAAAAGCATGTGACGTCAGAACAAAAAAAAATTTTATACAGTCGTTTAGTCGAGTATTCTTAAAATGAACTTAACTCATTAACAGCGACAAAAAAACTGAAAAAAAGATAAGGTAACGTTTTTTTCTTCTGAAATAAATGAATAAAATGTAAAAAAAGGGAAAAAAATGGGCATAGATCGTTCATTTTTTTCCGTTCGATCGCCACATTTCAAAAATGTATTTACAAGACCGAGAGTTCAGACTTTTCTTGAAAGCAAATCGATAATGTTTTTTAAGTTTTTGAGCGACTTTTCTATGAGTTACATGAGAAAGCCGTTCATTTCAATTATAAAAAAAATCATTATTGTTCTGTCGATTCGCGCAGTACCCACTTGACGATCTGTTATTGTGTGGGTTTCAAATGTCACCCAAACACTGATGCCACAAAACGCTCATCATCAGATTTGTCCGAATGAAGCATGCGAATAAGTACAAATTCTTCTTGTCTTCTTGTTCAGGATGGTGTCATCGAAGTCTGCCCATCGAAGTACTTTCCAAAGTGAAAATTTGCGCGAAAGGGCATAAGTGGCTCGGGATTGTGATTTCCTCTAATGGATAACAAACAGTTGAGAGTGTGAGAAATGTATCAGATGCGTCGAGAAGGGTGTATAAAGTTTCGAAAGAGGATGAAAATTTTCATTTGGCTCCTTGGCCATGCACGGAGTTCCCCAGGTTCCCGACTGCTCCGGACGTCTTCTGCCTCAAGTACCAGCTGCGCCAGACCCACGCCTGCTCTTCGAGCACTGTCACAGCTTTGTCGAGCTGCCGAACCCATATTCCACCATCCCACATCAAACTTCAGAACTTCTTCCTGAGCATCATAATAATTACATTGGTATGTCACCTTTGCGGAAAAAAATCAAGTCCGCCGTATGAAAAATGACTTCAACGTATTTCAAAGCTTTTTTTAAATATTTTATTAAAAATCATAAAAAAACTTTTTTTCATGAGTTTTTCAATCAATCGTCAGAGCCAAGAACTTCTTGAGCGAGGTCGAAACATCGCTTTTTGCAAATTAGAAGTTCATGCGTGTAGTTGATCAAGTTGGCGGATTGATCTTACGATCCTTCGATTCGTTTTTTTCTGTGCATAGTTAATCCAGTTGCGACTTAACGATCCCAGAATTTATCTAATGTTAAGACTGGAACACGGATACCGTACTCTAGGTGAAAGCCTCAAAGAGCGACTACAGAAGAGTTAATAACTAACGCGGAATCGAACCTCGGAAAAGTATTTTAAGTAGAAAAACCCAAAAAAGATGAAAAAAAAAATTATCTTACATTCACCAAAGCTTTCCTTTAAATTACAACTTCAAAAATCTGTTCAGCTGTTTAGAAAAAATATACCATTTCCGGATTCAAAACTTAATACTTTCTTGCTCCCTTGAAGGTGGGAAATTGTGTATTTTTCTTTTCTGCTGCGCATGAAAAATATTCATATTGCATTTTTAGCTTTATAAAAAAAAGAGAGTTTTATGCCGATTTCAGATCAAATACTACCAAAAAACTTTGCTGAAACAAAACATTCGGAGCCGACGATTCAATTACGCAGCCAACAACACAAAAGGAAACCACGCGTTCTTTTCACCCAGCTACAGGTCGGTAGACTTCATTGTTTTGGTGGTCGCAAGTGGAATGGCTTTCACGTTGTGGTTATTCCACTGCCTACAGAATTTTTTTGATCTTTAGATTTTAAATTTGACGTGAAAGGGCAGACCAATTTTTTTTCCGAAGAGTTTAATCATAGGTTAATGAGCTCGAAGAAAAATTCAAAAAACAACGATACGTGACGGCTCAGGAACGGGAAGAGCTTGCGAGGATTCTCGGTCTGTCTCCAACTCAGGTCTTTTCTCTTCACTCGTACTCGATCGCTAACTTTTTCAAATCTAGGTAAAAATATGGTTCCAAAACCGAAGGTACAAGTGCAAGCGCCTGGCTCAAGATCGAACTCTCCAGCTGAGCCAAATTCCGTTTAATCCAGTGAGTCTTTACCATTTTTGTATGAATCGATCTGAAAGTTACAGATTTTCGCCTCCGCTTTGCCCTTCAATCTTAATTGTTTCACGGCAAACACTTCCTCATGAAAATGAACTTCCGCTTTGTTTTAATGTTACGATGGCCGTTCTATGTATAGACCCAATGTGAATGACGCCTTTTGTGACTAATAAAAACATTATCTCAATTTTTTTTGTTCAAGCTGAATTCCGTTTTAATCATGAACTCCCTTATTATTTTTTTTGTGTGGTCTTCCTTTTATTGAAGAAGTTTTCAAGTTCAGAAAAAGTTTTTTATTCAGAATTATGTGAAACGAAAGAATTTCAAGTTTATTTCAAGTTTTCGGACAGATGAAATTTTTCAAAATAAATAGGTCTACCTGAACGTTTTCCGATGTCCTCATATTTGAAAATTTTTTTAAAGGCATAAACTAATTTTTCAAAAGAAAATTCCCCCTCCCTCGCACGAAAAAAATAATCTAGAAACTTCGAAACAGTTAGGTGCAAAAAAAGTTGAAGAGGAACTTGTTCAAAAATTTCCCTTTTTGTACTCTTTTTTTGTAATTTAGAGATTGTTTCCCCGATACCCTCACGACTCTCGAGAAATTTTCAACGAGTCATTTTTCTTATTTGAAGATACATTTCACTATGAACTTCCTTGTTGCAAGAAAACATTAACCGTTTCTTTTAAAAAGGAAAAAAATTGCATAATTATTATATATGTTTTTTTGCATTATTATTCGATGAAAAAATGAATGAATGAATTTCATTAATATTCAATCAAACAATCAAATCTTGAAAAACCAATCAGAATTCCATTGCATAACTCATTTTCAAAATCAAATTTTGGTCGATAAATTTTTCAGAAATGAGTATGTAACTTTATAATCTTATGAATTCTGAAAAATATTCGAATAAATAAACCAGCTCTAGAACAAATAATGCGGAAGTTCCAACTCTAATCGGATATTTATCCAATACTTCGTGTGTTCCTTTTTTTGACCAATTTCTGCGGGTTCGATCAAAAAGTGTTGGAATCAAAAAGAAGGCGGATTTGCGCGCGAAGTGATTCACACGTGGTCAGGTCGCCTGGGCTGTATTTGCGGGCTCTGTTTGTAGTCGTCTCATACCAAATGATATACGACGTCTTTTCTTTTTTTTTCACTTGCATTCGCTCAATGTGGTTTTTTCTATTCATGATGTTGTTCTTGTCACCCGGTCTGACGCTCACGACGTACAAATTTTTTCCGGCCTTCGTGCCCCTTGACGCAATCGTGTTCCGCATTTTCTCAAGTAGCCGCCAAACTTCTTTTCTGGGAACTGACAAAAGGCTTGATGATGATTTTGAACCAGGAAAGAAAGTCGTTCCTGCAGACATTTTTTAATCTTTTGAAGAGTGTTCAGCGTGTTTCTACAGTGAAATTCTTGGAAGACTCTTTTGATTTTAATTGGCAGGGATCAAAAGAATGACGATCTCCCTTCAAGATTGCCATTATTATGAACAGAGCGGAATAGTGCCAGTTTTTGTGATGCAGAGCCCCAACCCGTTTTGTGACGTCCTTTTGACCTCTGAGTTACCTCAGCGGGACGAAAAAAGTACGTTGCGTAAATTGGAAGAGAACGTAAGAGGTTAAGTGGCGTCATATTTAGTTTATTGCACTGCCAAGTAGCCAATAACTTGTTTTGAAAGTATGTAAAAGCTGAATAAAATTTTGAGCCAAAGTTAGAATACTTTTTTTCTTTTTTTTTTCATTTTTTTGACTGGGATTGAACGGATAAAGTGAACGCGCCGTGAACTTGCTTTAGCGGGGTCTAATAAAGTTGTTTCTGACGTCATTTTGAGAGGCTCGATACATGTTCAATCTCTCAACCTGTCCCCAAAAAGAAGCCCTTTCAACTAATATCCCTTTTTCCGCTCAATACAATAATAGAGCCTAAACTCCATGAGAATGAAAAATGGAATATAATGCAAAAAAATCTTGCTTTTTCGAAAGAGATGAAATATAAATCATCTCCATAACAACCTTGAAAATCCGGGCCTTTCTTCATTCCTTTCGGTCTCATGGAACCGTTAAGTGAGCAACCCCGAATTAGAAAGACCCTAAGATACTAAGAGAAAAGACCAACGCGCCTATTAAACTTCCAGCCTTGACACTTCGCTGCGATTTTTCAATGGCACTTCACCTTTCTCCAATTTGACGCATTTTGAACCTTTGCCAATTCGTTTATTGGGCCTTACAGAACTCTCTCAATTTCCAGAATTTGACCTGGAGATGATTCACTCCAGTGAACGCATAATACTTGCTTTTATGCTATTCGGGGTGTACATCATTTTCTCAACGGTCACTTATTTCTACGCGGGTACAGCTTTTTTGAATGACATCATTTCGAGCGAAGAAGCGTCTGACCAATTTTGGACCGTCTGTAAACTGCCGGTGCTAAACCCATGGGATCCGGAACTGATGCAGGTTAATCGTCTTTTTGTTCTCATTACGTGGTTGTTTTACAGGCTATCGCGCAAAGTAAGAATAAATGGAAGAAAAAGTGCTGGGAAAGGAAATCTCTCACAAAACTCGAAAACGGAAAAGTGTTTGTCGAGCCCCCGTATACGGGTGAATACTGCAGAGCGAGGTCAGTGAAAAAATGAGCAAAACGAAATTTTTTTATTTATCGCTGGTTTTTTTTTATCAAAGTGACTGGAAAACTTCAGGTGCCATAGACATTTGAACGACGTAGAAAATGTGATTGGAGGATGGCAGGAACTCGGAGAAAATATGAACTGCGAGTTTGTCGAGACGGCCTGCTGGAGAAACAACACAATGGTTTACGGTAGAATGGACTCTCAAATCATCCCAGGGTTCGAATAAAATTTATTCCTACAATATCTCATTCAGGAAGATCAAGCCGCTGAAGAAAGCTCAAACTAAAGATTCTGGCCCGAAACACAAATACGACGTTTACATTCTGTTGCTCGATTCTGTCGCCTATTCTCAGTCGCGCAGGTGATATAATCATATTATCTTTATCTTTTTTGGAATAGCTCATTTGAGAAAAATCTGATCCTCAGTATCTGTGTGTCATATTAAAAAATCGGGTCTCATTTATTTGAATTCTGAGGGCTGAAAGTTGATGGCTATTAGAACAATCGAGCTCTCTGAACGTTATTCATACTCCATTTACTAGTTTTTGGTCGTGATGAGAGTCGAGTGCTAATACGCCTGTATTTTTATATTTTGCCGTGTTCCCATCATTTCTGCCTTGATTTAACAAATTTTTTAGCACAGCCCTTGTCGCAGTTAACGCCAATCGGCTTTTGAAAGACGTTCAAATTCATAAAGTGCGTACACTTTTCTAATGTATCACATAAGCATGCCGCAATTGCCGTCTCGATTTTTATACTCTGATTTTCCGTGAAAAAGGCTCCATAATTGACGATATTTCAGAGTCCTCCGAAAGACAATGCATTACTTCGAAAACGATATGAAGGCGGTGACATTCCCACATATAAATAAAGTCGGTGACAACAGCCGTCCAAACGGAATCGCTCTGTGGTTTGGTAATAAAAGGTTATTTTTTCAGATTAAACAAACCTTTTTAGGGAAATCGGTAGAAGCTCTCGACAAAACTCTGTTCGGCGGTGGAGTCACTCCAGCAGACTGGGATTTCCCACATTATTGCGATACGTATCTGGATGATGAGATGTCGATATTCAAGGAGTTTGGGCAGAACGGCTATACGGTAAGTCAGAGTAATTTCGATGCAATCAAAATTTCATCAAGACTCTCCTGGGGGAAGACTGGGCTGACGGTGTTCTGAACTGGCCGCACTGTAAAGGTTTTCTCAAGAAACCTGTGAATCACTATATGCGGTAATGTCTTAACTGATGCTTTCAATTGAATTTGAAACTGCAGACCCTTTCAATTGGCGACCGAAAGACTTGGCAGTTATGTGACGAGAAACAATTCGAGAGACGGCAGCACTTGCAGAGAGCCTCACCACACTCTTCTCAAATACCTCCAACAGTTCATGGACGCTTATCCAGATGGTTCGTTTCCAGCGTTATGACTTCAACTCCTGAGCAGAACTCAGGAAAATGGCTTGGCTGTGGATGTCGCATCTGGGTCATGATTCGCCAGTCAAAGTCGAACACGCAGATCCCGATTTTCTCAACTTCCTTAAACACAACAAGAAAAAAGTATGTTTTGCTAGTTTACTCATGTCATTAGTCTTTTTTCAGTTGGATAACTCCTTCGTCGTAATTATGGGGGACCATGGCCTTCGATTCGGAGAAGTTATTCGCGAAAAATCGCTGATTAATGAATCTTGAACTATAGGTGACTAAAACAAGAGTTGGCGCCATAGACGTCAATAATCCGCTGTTCTCGATTTCGATCCCTTCTACACTTCGCAGATCTTCTAAGATACTGGAAAACTTGAAGGAAAATGCTCGACATCTCCAGACTCACTATGACATCCGAGCGACTTTACTTGAGCTAGCAAGAGTTTATTTTAATCGAGAATCCTGTTTCAATCTCTGATTTTAGCACAAAGCGCCTGAAGATTTCAATATAGAGGAAGAGTTTTATGATCCAAATGAAAAAGGAACTTCGCTGCTCAGAAAGCCAAATGCAACACTGACGAGGTCCTGCCATAACTTACCAATTCCATTCGAGTACTGCATGTGCGAATACAGTGTCATTGATATCGACAGGTAAAATTTATGGTTCTTTTCTCGAATTTATCTTGTTTTGCAGGAACACGGAACTTGCAAAAACCTTGGGAGAGTTTCTCGCTCTTTCTATCAATAAAAGACTCGAAGAGAAAAAGTTCGACAAAAAGTGTATGAAAATGCAGTTCAAAGCGGTTTTTGTCCCAACTCTTTCTTTTTTAATTAAATTCTTCCTAGGCTCAAAAACTGACGCGGTATCGAGAGAAAATGAACGGGTCTTATATTTATACTCTTTCTGTGGTCATGGATCAGCCAAGTTTTGCAAATTTCAAGGTTTTCTACCTTTTCAAATTTTTGGAATACTTCTTGACATTTTCAGGCGAAGATCAGAGATTCGGGTAACGGAAGCATGGAAATTGTTGGCACGATCAATCGAGAGGATTCTTACAAAAGGACCGCAAATTGCATTGATGTCAACTCCTATCGACCATTATGTTATTGTAGAAAACATCAATAGGACGTGTTATATAATATGGACAGATTTATAGTTTTATTGAATTGCAATGAACCCAATACGTGTAGTTTTACCATAATAAATATTCATGTAAAAGGAAGAATACATTCTGATATTAAAAAAAATCTGCAAAATTGAGTGGTTCTCTTCCGAAATTCGGAAAATAGCAACATCTTCTAGCCAATTCTGAAACATCAACGAGCACAAATAAATCTTTAATGCGTTTCAAAATTGCCACGTCATTCTGCACAAACTTGATCAACCGGTAACCGAGATAATTGAAATATTTTATTCATGAAGTAGTCTATAACTTTTTATTTACAAATTTGACATTTGTCGAAGGTCAATAATTTCCAGAAGGTCCACGATAGTTAGGCATGGGGCGATTTTTGTGTGAGTTATATCCATAGAATCCGTTTGGATTACCGTTTCCGTAACCATAAGGCTTTTGAGGCTGTCTAGTGGTCGTCGAAGACACTCCGACGCTCCCTGAGATGCCGTCTTCTTTGTTTCCTTGTGGCAGTTCAGCACCTCCGTTCCAATTTCCGTTCCACGGTTGGCCGTTCATCTCCATAGGAGGTTGAGGGAACTGTCCGCCACCTCCTAAACTAGCGAAAATGCATAAAATCGTTCATTTTTAAATGATCCACAGTATTTATTCAAAACTTTCCCGTTACGAGGCGTCTAAAAATCATTTCTTTTAACAACATTCTCGTAAAGAAGTATCGAGAAGAGAGAGACTTCAATCAACTTTAGAGATCCTTTTGCCTTCACGGTTTTTAAAACAACTTAATCTTCTTGAAAAAAAAAGTTAGACAAGAACTTAGTTTCAAGATGAAGTGGGAAATGAAATTTGTGGAACTTGCAAAAAGATATAGAAAGATTCAGCCATGTAATTTCTCTGAAAGAGGTCTGAATAAGAGCCAAAATGTAAAAATCTACACTTGAAGCAACTTTTTGTCCCTAGCCATCTTCGACAAAACTTGAGTTTTTTGATCCTTCAAGGTTGTTTTCCTCAATGAACGTACCACTGTTCCAGTTGTTGTATCCAGAATTAGGTTGAGCTGGCTTTTCGACATTTCCCACGCTGCCTTGAATCTCGTCGCCGCCGCCCTGATTTTGTCCGTTTTGATTTGCATAGCCTAGAGAAAAATCTTCCTAAAGCTGTTTTCAACTTAATCACCACTCGGCAGCCAATTTCCGGCACCCTGCATTCCATAACCAGCTTGTTGCGTCGATCCTGAATAAATTGTCTATTTTTGGGACGTTGATGGAGTTTAGGAATGAATAATGAGAAAAAAACTACGACCGCTGTTGACGACGACGCCGAGGAGGATGGCGACAGCCAACAAATTTGTCGAAATGGAGGGCCTCATATCCTCAACCTGATGTTTTTCAGTGTGAAACAAACAGAATCTATTCGAAAAGACCTGTCCTGGCGAATTCGTCGTCTTTGGCTTTATAAATAATGCCCATTTGAAATTCAAATTTACCAGCGCTGAATAAACACTGCCGGACCTAATTTTAGCTTTTGCTGTTTTTTTGTTATGCCGAAACATTAACTGACCACCATAGTATTTTTTAAAATAATATTAAACTCCAACAAGATAAGGATGATCCTCGAATCTTATCATTAAATCGTTCAAAGGTTTTATTTGGGTTATAAAGATTTATATAAAAATTCATAAATTCTTTAGTTTTAAAGGAGAAAAACCCTATGATTTTTTTTCAGGATGAATTTTTTTGATCAATATTTGTAGGTGTCAATGAGAAAACAAAATATTTCATAAAGAAGATTTTTTTCACAGCATGCTCCTAACAAAAAATTATAAAGAAATATCAAAGAAAGCCTTTTTCGATGTAAAATCAAAAAATCAAACAAGCCTAAAACTCCAAAAAGTGCCTAATTATCAAAAAGAGTGTCATCCAAAGTCCGTTGATCATCTTCCAACGAAAGTTTTTCGTGTTCCAGTCAGAACCGCTTGAGAGAATTAGGTCTTCCCTCGAAACTCAGTTATACATCGGCCGGTACCTCAGGGCTTGCTCCGACCAATTGTTACCTTCCAAGGGCCACCCTCTCCCCTCATTCAATTTTTCCACGTTTTGCCTCTGGACATCCCAATTCGTCTGGTTTATAACTTTTGATGATTTTGTTTTGAAAGCGTGTTTCGACTTGGAAACTTCTCTAGGAAATTAAAGTAAAGCAAAAAGTTTTGTGCTTATTTTGTGAAGGTTTTCATCGCTGCTGAAGCATCTTAAAGTTTTATTTTCTATAAAAGGTTAATTTTATTAGCAAAGCTGCATTTTTCTTATTTTCCATACAACACTGTGACAAAGAACTTAGCCTAATAAAGTTTTTCAATCTTCCAAGTTGGACAGTTTATTTCTAAAGTCTTTTTTTGTGAAATTTCATCAGCCCCAAAACTTGGAGATAAACCCCCAAACTTCAAATAAACTGAATATTTGTAAACTGACCATTTAGGTTTACCTTTTTTCTTAGTCCTCACACATGATTTGTGAGTTATCAGGACCATGTTGATTTTTTTGATTCACGAATTGGGAGATAAAACCCTAAATAACGATGATCATCTATTCATTGCACCCTGACAAGTTGACTCGGAAAAACGTTGACTTGAAAAATGACATCGGAAGACCAGGTCATACAAAATTAATAGGTAAGATGTTCCAGTTTAGTTTCCGACGAACACCTCGTTTCTCTTCTTAAAAGCTTTTTTAGGACTTTCGTCATGAAATTAAACAAAGAATTCCAAAAAGCGCTTTACTAAAATCAGAAGATTTCAATAAGCCTTTGCCCGTGTCGAATTTCGAGCTCTGAGCTCATCGGCACAATTTTTCTTCTTATCTAGACGCCCATTGTCCTTTCATGACAATTCAGTTCGTTTGTTCCCTTTGCATCGTCCTCTGAACTTCCTCGGGATGCAAAAATTTATCCCTTTTCCATTTTTTTTTTTTTAGTTTTTTGCGTCGTTTTTTCATCAAGGAAAGGCTCAAAATCTTTTCATTAAATGGATCAGAGTCAGTTTCTCTTCTCACCCGAAAATGTCTCTAAAAATAAGAATTTTTCTGTTTTTCTCGTATTCTTCTTTTGTCATAATTCACATCAACAAACGTGTCGTCATATCGATAACGTCAAAATTTCAAAAGCGGGCAAATAATTGGACTTACTTGTTATTTCTAACCTTTTTCCCCGAACAAAAAAGAAGAGACGCATTTCGTTTGAAGCGGTTGCCAACAAAAAGAAACCCTCCAAAACCTTATTTGCTGGATTTCTTGTTTTTCTGTGTCTCTGTTAATTATGTGTTCAATTGCTTGTTTTTGAAGACCGAAAAATTATTGTTTTCGAACGCTAGCAAGTACGAAAAAAAGAAGATCAGAGCTGGCGAAGACCTAAAAGTTATGAGGAGTCGACGTTTTGTGATGGCACTCGCCACAAGTTGTCCATTTGAATGTCCATACACTTGCGGCGTCTCGGTTGTCCATCCGCCAGATGTTCGCCCGGAGGCACAAAAGTTTCCGAGGCGCGACTTTGCAATTTTTGACAGCAGTCTGCCAATTGGTCCTGCGCTTTTCCGTCTACCGGCTATAGCGGAATCGGATGGTTCCAGCCTTGGAAACTATATGAAATTCCTCTACAAGGGAAAAATTCCACAGAGGGCTTGTTTTTATGACTATTTTTCCTCACTGACAACGGATCAATTTCCATATGATCTATCTCAAAAGTTTTTCATTTAAAGTTGATATTTTTTTTCATGAAGTTGTTTAAAAGCTAAAAAATGTTCTAGAAGTTGAGAATCGTGGCAGGTACAACTCCTCATGTTCAAAAGTTGATCGGATCAAAGGTACCTTGAAAAATGCAGAACTTGCAAGATCCTCTTGTAACTTTTTTAAGGATCACTTCTTGTTCTTCGTTTTTTCTTCTTGTCAAATTTCATTGAGCTCAGAAAGGGCTTGCCAAAAAAAGTGGAAAACTCGAAACTTCTGATTCTTTTCACTCTTCGTTCCGTTATTACTCAATCTTTCAAGACTTCACTCAACGTTTTTCATCTCGACGCTTTTCAGAATATTGCGCACTTCTTCTCGAAACAATGCCTTCTGGAAATGATGAAGAGAACTAGAAGGTTAGAGTCTTTTCCCGGAACTTTATGAGCTCGTTGGACGAGGCTAAACGGCGGCTTTCTAATAAGGATGTAAGCGCCTTCTTGCAAATTGCTTGGTAATTTAGGTTGTTTTATTGCCTGTCGATTCATACAAAGCCATATTCAGGCTAAAAATCCGTGACTTGTGAGCAAAAATTTTTTTTTGTATTTAACGTCATTTTGTGATAACAATTTGCTCATTGCAATAACTTGCAGTTATATTAAGTCTTGTGAAAGTCAATTTTTTTTTCATTATGCCTGTATCCAAAGCCAAAATAGTCCCATCGAAAATCCGTCTGGGAAAAAAACGGGCTTCCTCTTGCTAAATTTGCTCTGAAACGGCATTTTGCATGCGTCACTGGAACAAATAATCGAATAGCGCGATTGAGAGACGCATTTCATTTGAATTTGGTCCACGCCCGAAGGCATGGCAAGACCAAAATGACCGAATGAAACTTAATATCTTTTTGAAAATGACCCAGACAAATACAAAGAGCCTCGGTTTCCTTTCAATTACAAGTGGTTATTGGACTCGAGTGGATAAAAAAATTGGGCCGGCCGCGCATCTGGGTGCTCATAAGACGTATTGCAATCGAGTGAGGTCTCAATCTCACCTAATTCGTCGGCTCCGTTTCTAGCGTGTTTAGCTGAAATTTCTGTTTCACGAGCCGTTTTTCTGCGTTCAAATGCGTCGTCATTACCATCAACCGCCTCGTTTCGAGCGTGAATGGCCTCGCCAGAAGAAACTTTTACTGTGCAAAATGCTACCCAAGTGAGTAGGTCGAGTCAGTAAAACGAGCTTATTATCACGTTTTTTGCTCCGTGGCGTAAGCCAGCCGGCTCCGCGGCAGACAAGTGGACATTTTGTTTTCCAACAATTCGTAACACTTGTCAATGGCGTCTACGCCTTTCTTTCAAGGATAACATCTCTTTTGAACTTTCGAGAAAAATACGTGGAACTTTTTCTGAGATTCGATCTTTGTAGTGGTGATACCAAAGTTTGTTATTATTCAACCGGAATTTTCTAGTTTTTCCATTTTTCTCTAAAAGCTTTTTCAGTTCTCTCATGAATGCTTTGCTTATTAGATTCAACTAAAAAGAGCAAGTTCAGATTCCAATTTTCGTTTTCGAGTTTTTTTTCATTTCACTAATTGGCTACAGCTTTTTACGGTTGACTCAATCAATATTTCCCTTTCCAAACCGTATTCGATCAGAATTCTGATCCTATTTTAGGGAAATCGCAAACTCCTGCAAGTTCTACAAAAAAAGCCAAGCTTTGGGAAATTCGAGACGTCGTACCTGAACATATGAAAACTTATACCTTTTCGCAAAAAAAAAAAATGACGGAACACATAAGTTTCTGACTATGCTCAAAGTCACACGCTGTTTTTTGTGTGATGGAATGACGGACTTGTAGTAGAAGACCAAAAAAGTGCACTTTTGACTCATAGATGCGTCTGTGCTTCTTCAACCAGAACCGGCGTTTTCTGTTTTTCTCCTGTTTTTTTAATTTCTCAAGAGCTTTCCTGTTATTAGAAAATTCTAAGTATCCTATATTCTAAGTATCCAAATCTTTTTCGTTTGAAAAATTTTTTTGAATTTATTATTATTGAAGCTTCACAACAGAGATGTCTAGAGATCAAATTTTTGAATTTTTCAGTTGAAAATAAGTTTAGAGCTGCTAGTTTTCAACTTCTGTTTTTTTACACCGATAAGAAAAAAACCCGACTCTCAAAAATTTCTTTTTTTCTCTTTTGCAAACTGATTTTTATAAATCTTTCACTTTGGTTCCAAACCTTCTATTGAGATATTTCCTAAAAAAATTTTCAAACACAGCCGATTTAAAAAGCTTTTTTTAAACTTTCAATTAAACTTTCGAACTAATAAACACTGTAAACATTCTGAAAAATCTTTCATACTTCTTTTACAGTAAAACGCTTCGCAACCGCGTCGCTATCAAGCAGTCTTCAATTTTTCAGGACTATAGCAAAATTAGAGCCATTTCCCTTCATTCCATTTCTCTGAGTAGTTTTCCTGAGTTATGAACCCGGAAACCAGCCTATCAGGTCAGATTTCAGGTCGATGACGCTGTCAGTGCCAGAATGCACGGAAGTGAGTCGGATGCGGATCGCAAACAGCCGAAAGATGAGCCTTGGGAACGCTCCACTTCTCGCCAACGGAAGGCCTAGTCCACCTCCTAGAAGAACTAGTCTCGCTGGTTTGATATTTCTTAAAATCTTCAAGTTTTTAAATATTACCGACCAATTCAAAAACAAAAAGCTCTCATGTTTGGAAATTGCATGAAAAGGAAACAAACCGCGTTTTTCACTTTTTCTTTGCAATTTTGTTTTTGAAAGCCAGCTCATTTCGCTCCATCTCAGTTTTTCGATCAGCTTTTCCAGAATAATCGTTCGCTTTTTTTTTAGTATGCTATTTGAATTCTTCATTTTTCCTCATCCAGCCAAAAATTTTGGAGGAATCTTCAGTTTTTTTGCGATTTCTAAATAACTCCATTTGAGATATTCTCTAGAAATGTTCAAAAAAATAGTTGTTGAATCGTTTTGAATATAGTTACCATATATCACAAAAATCATCATAATCATCATCATGTCACAGAAAAAAACCCGTCATTTTTCCGGATTTTTTTCCTCTATAAAGTTTTTTTCCAACAAGGATAGCTACTATTCAGAGACGTCAAAACTTGAATAAAATGTTTCCCTAAAAAAAACTCCCCTTTTGAGTCGAAAGATAAAAAATCAGGAATTTACAAAAAAAAAATGATCTACGGCTTTTGCTGAACAATCTAGAAACTTCGTCATGAGTGAGGTGCAATCGCTAGACTGTAGGGACTTTTGATCCGAAGATCTGTTCTCTGAGAGCCAACTCCCGAAGAACCATTAGATACCACACATTATAGTTTTATAACAGGCTTCCAACCCTAAAAGCACCGAAAAAGATGAAGAAAGTGGTCCCTCGGCATTAGAGGAGGCATGTTCCATTTGGGAAAATGAACGTGATATTGGCCGGCTCTTCTGGAGCGGCTCGTTCTCGCATTACTCATGTCGCGCGTCGGTCCTCCTCTCCTTTCTCACAGCTTTTGTTTGTTTTTGAATCCATTAAAACAGTTCAGAAGCCTTCTCGGAAAGCATCCGCACGCTGGCGTTCACCGCACGACGAAACTCTTCTCCGCTCTACCGGAAATCCACCAAGAAGACTAAAAAGAGCCGCTTGGTCGCCAAAAATGGCATTTGCAATGTCTACAATACCAATGTGCCTAAGAAGGACAGACAGTACCTGAGGTTACTGTTTCAAATTTTTCAATGTTTTCATTTCTTAGAGGCTACTTTTAATTGAAATCATCGAAATTTTTGCTTTTTTTGTAGTTGCGAATTCGAAAATCATGAGATGATTTTAATTCAGTTAGCTCCCAAATTCTCCGAGAAAAGTAGCGGAAAAATGATATGCCTGTTTCAATGACGAAGCTCATCATTATAACTCCATCACTGTAGTATTCTAAGCGTCTCCAGTAGAAAATCATTTCTCAAAATTATTTTTCCGATTGAAAAAGATTTCATTCTGCAATATATTTATTTTTTTAGGGATATTTTCACAACTCTGATTGACGTCAAATGGAGGTACATGTTGTTGCTTTTTCGCCTCGGCTTTCGTTTTGAGGTAAGCTTTCCAAAAAAAGATAAATAAAAAGCTAATTATTCAGTTGGAGCGTTTTTTTGGCACTGCGTATTACCTTATTGCTTTGGTGCACGGGGATTTGAGTGAAGGGCTGAGAAATTATACCGAATGCATCGTTAATATCGATTCTTATTATTCTTCCTTTCTTTTTGCTGTCGAAACACATCACACGATAGGATACGGTCACAGGTTCGATTAGCTTTCTTCAAAAGGTTTTATTAATTGTGAGATTTTAGGTACATAACAACCGAGTGCTTGAGTGCGGGACTTGTGGTGTGCGTTCAGGCCGTTTGCGCGCTACTTCTCCAATCTTTCATGGTCGGAATAGTCTTTGCAAAAATGGCTAGACCGAAAAAGCGAGCTGAAACTATCATTTACAGGTTTGCCTTGGGAAAATCGTTCAGAAGCATGAAATTCGGTTGGAAAAAATGAGCTCTAAAAATTGTAGAGTCTATGTTCATTTAAAGCTTTTCAAGGAAACACTCCGAGCTTAATTTTTGCCAATAATCCTCAACCTTAAATAAATTGAAAAACCCGCGTTAGCTTCTTTAACACTATAAATAAAAAAAATTCTTCTGAGAAAATCAACTTTTGAAACAAATTTTGAATACGCACCGAAACGCTTGCACTTCTTTGAATGATAAAGATGCAAACGCCGCAGGTTTCTGTTTAAATTTGAAAAATATATGGACTATGAAGCACACCTGACAAACTTTTTCTTACTTTTCAATGTGTCGGCAAATTTCGAGAGCTTTTTCATGCTATTTTATTGAATAGAGAAAAAATGTTTCTTGAAGAATTTCACAGTTAGGGTTTTGATATTAAGCGAGAATTTTGCTCTAAGTCCCTTGGTTTTTTTATGCACCGATAAAAAAATCTGACTATTTCTTCGATCTGAGAAAGAACTCCTGATTCACAAAGTAGATATATTCAAATTTTAAAAATTCGATAAAAATCCGAAATTGTCGATTTTTCTTCTAAGTTTTGAAACAAAGGACTTCCGACGAAATCTTTTTGAAATTCAATCTAATCCTTTAATGGTTAATCAATTTGATTTTCTCGTCAGCTTTATCTTGTTAAGGTACTCGAAAATATTTCACAACTCGGTAACCAAAGATTCGCGACTATATTTAGCAATAAATTAGAGTAGTGTTCTTTGAATTACAGCGACAAGGCAGTCATTTGTTTGCGAGATGGTCAACTTTGTTTTCTTTGTCGAGTGGGGGACATGAGAAACACGCACCTCGTGGAGGCTCACGTTCGTCTTCAGTTCATTACCGACCGCGAAACTCTCGAGGGCGAGGTTTGGACAGCATGAAACCGCAATCTGATGTTATTTTTTTTCCAGATTGAACCATTACATCAGTTCGAAATGAAAGTTGGTCCTTCCATCACTGATGACGACCGCTTGTTTTTGGTGACTTTTTGTTGACTTAGAGTTCTTGGAAAACAACGAATGGCTTAGTTTTCAAGTATTTTTGTGGTTCATTAGGCAAAATAAGCGAGCTTCCGGGTTTTTGAAGTGGTCTATACAACTTCTTGAAGAGAAATCGGGGTCGTCTTGATTTTAAGAATTTCGAAGTGAGTCATAGTTCATAATCATTTTCTGAGAGAAAATAAGCAAAAAAAAAAACACTTTTTTTCAAAAAAAAAAAAAGAGAAACTTGACTTGAAAAAAATTCGAGCTTTTTGGGCCAGGACGGCCATTTTTGCTTGACGCCTCCCTAAGGCCGTCGTGCTGGGCCGGGTTTGGAAAATGGCTAGGGTCGGCCCTCACACAAGCCTGGTTAAAAGTCATACGAAACTTTGAAGAATTATTTGATTATTCGCATGAAAAATTGAGATAAAATTTTGCTCTCATAACTTTCAACATCATAGTAATCGTTCTCTCCTACTCAAGGTATGGCCTACTACCCTTTGCCATGTCATTGACCAACGAAGCCCTCTGTACAACTACAACGCGCAGTCTTTGATGTCAGCCCAGTTCGAAATAATAGTGTTACTCGAAGGAATCGTAGAATCTACGGGAATGACTGCCCAAGCAAAGACAAGTTACCTTCCTTCCGAAGTTTTATGGGGACACAGGTTTGTTCCCTTCTCTATAGTATAATAAAACTTTCTCGGTTTTCAGATTCAGAAAGCTGGTGACCTATCAACGGTCAAACGGCTCGTATCAGATCGACTACGACTTGTTCAACAGTACCTATCCGGTCAGGACACCTGGTTGCAGTGCTTCTGAGTACTACTCCCAGAAAGTCAATGTAAATAATTCATGGACTTCCGTCACGCAGAGAGAGAGATTTCAGCCCAAAGAATATTACTGTCACGACAGTCATGAACATAAACTGGAAGAAAACAGATCTTCTGACTCCACTCCCTTGCCGTCGCCTTCACCTTTCAGCTATCCTGGCACGCCGACGAACAATTTCTCCCAGCAACCAAATCGTTTTGGCTCGGAGGTTTGGTTTTGATTTTCCGATTTTGTATGAAGGATGATTCGATTGAAAATTACAAGAAAAGAATTCATAGCTTTTGAGTCAATGAACTATTTTGAATCAGGAAAGTTACCTTTTTTTCAATTATTTTGTGTAGATTTTGGTTGCCTTGGCTGAAAATTCGAAAAAAAAAATACAAACAGTTTTCTACGGAAATTTTTTCTATCCAAGAATACTTGAATTTTGGCTTTATAATACCACAAATAACTTGGAAACTGTCTCTGAGGTCTGGATTTCCATACCAGCTCCGAAAAACTGAATAATTATTAATGAAAAGCCAACGTCCCTGTCTCTACATGATGATATTATGAAGTAGATGGAAAATTATTGTACAGGAATTTTTGAAAAAACATGGCTTATTTCGGATTAATAGGCATCTGCACAGTGTAAAAAATCTACTGAAACGGTAGCTCAATAATCTAGCTTCATTGCATTTATCTGTTGAAAAATCAAAAAAAAAAATCGCGAGCAACTTTTGTCACTTTTTCATCTCAATTGTTCATTCCCTTTTCCTATGTTTTAAAAAATACTATTGGGATCTCAGAAAGTGACCAGCGATTCTGGGATGTTATGTCCCCCTACAATCGTCGTGCAATGCCCTTCTGCATGTACGTCTCCTAATCATCTGCGACGGATTCGGAACAACTTGGACAGCGGTCGAACCAGGCAAGAGTTAAGACAGGAGCTACAGTAACGTTTTTGTACTTGACTCGGAAAATTAGTGGTAGGGCTCGTTACTGTGGTTCATTTTAACCATGTCAAAGTTTTGATTTCAAATCATAGAAGTGCAGGTCTTTCAGCAGCAGCTGCGACCTGACCCGGCCAAGCACAGCGCTGTCGGACCTCGAAGAGGAGTGTTCAGAACCAGGCTCACCAACAAAATGCGTTTCTCCTTCCAACCCCATAAGTATCGAAGTAGTCAATGAAACGTAACTTTTCCATTTTGACGCTTTATTTTCAACGTAAATTATTTTCTGTCATCAAAAGTCATTGGGTCTCACGTTTCCTTCTCCTTTGGAAACTGTTCTTCTTTTTAATAGCTACGAAATTATATTAGCCCTATCCTGAAGTCAGTCTCCAGTATAAAATGAGTTCATATTACCTAATGAAACATTGGTTTTCTTCACTTCTGAAATATTCTTATTGTGTATAGATTTTCAAAAGGGATAACCAAGAGTTTGAAGTTTTCAAAGCAGTTCTGAGTTTTTCGCAAAGTCATTATTAAAAGGAAATGTCAATCAGTTTGTCTGAGCAGAAAATTTTTCAGAACTATTATAAAAGATAGCACTTTGAGCTTTTCTGTAATGTACCCAACTGTAAATATTGAGAAATTTCCAGCAAGAAAATTCTAGCTTTTTAAAAATAACCGACTAAACAGAAGCCTATTTTTATCGCTGACAGGCGAACGTTTTTTACCCCCCGGTTGAACTTTTCATGAAATGTTTTCCTTGTTCTGCAACCAAAAGGTTGTGAAGTTAAATATAGCAAAGATTCCTCGAAAGATCAACCAAAGGTAAAAGACGTCCCCTTGTGAACTTTATATCATTTCTGTCGTATCGTCTTCCCTGAAATAACTTATTTTTTTCCTATCAACCTCTCATTTTTTTCCAACACCTTTATACTTGATCTCTTGACGTCTTTCTTTTTCTTTTTCTTTACTTATCTCATTTTCTTTTCCTTTTTTTGAAATCTGTAGCCTTACTTGCATCTCATTTTAGCAAAAAAAAACGGGAGAATGAGCGAAATTCATCAGAAATTTGTATATTTTTGTTTTTCTGGAGAATTTGTCATTTTTCATTGTTCCAACCTGTTATTGTATTATTTTTTTTCAGAGAACCAAAATGAATAAAAAAATTGAAGGAGTAAGCTTTTGAAAAAAAGTTTTTGCTACTCAAAAAAAGCATGGGAAATGAAGTCAGAATGAATAATATTACAGTCAGCATGGCTTTTTTTCAGAAAAATATCGTTCAAAAGAACCATGTAGGTAAGGTTTTTATAAAAAGATATTAGGTTTCTGTGCTGTTCTTTTTTTAGAGCATATTCTCAGAAGTTAGCAAACTCAGGTTGATTTCAACTAGTAACTGAGGAAAGGGTCATTTTCTTCGAAATAAATAAGAAATAAAGAAATAAAGAAATAAATAAGTATTCCAAAAGAAATGAAGATTCCGTGTATTTTCTTCACTCGAAGTAGTAGCTCTCTCAATTGGCCGAGGCTGCCCTAGAGTGTACACGGTGTCCGTGCCCGAGCCCCACCATCATCACCGTGCCCGTACCCGCGAAACTGAGGGATCTACTTGTGGAAGAACGAGGCGAAGGACCGTAGGACCATGCTTTCAATTCAATCGACTACACGTTTTGACTTCTTTCTCGCCAAAGGCGGTGTTAGTGCCGCTCAAAAGAGCAATTTTTTCACCGCCTAGTCGATTCCATCTGAATAAAACAATAAACAAATATTGATTGATTGATTGATTGATTAAGCTGTCACATTATTATCATTCATTGGAATTTCGACTTTTACTCCGCTAGATTTTTTTTCTTCCATCATCTACATTTTGCTTTTTTTTTTCTTAGATAACGTTGAAAAGACGCGTTCCAAAACAGTTCTCATGTGTAGGAGTTGATTAAGAACAAGAAACGATTTTTGAATTATATATTTCCCATGTTATTTTCCACGATCAGACCTGCATTTAAAACGTGTGAAAATTCTTTCGATTGACCGATCAATAGATGTTTTGTCTACAAGAATGTACCGTTCATCTTTCTTTGTTATATTCGTTACTCAATTTTTATCCTTCTCTTTATATTTGATATCATGAGGTTTTTTTAACAGATATAGTCGGGGGAGGTTTACCGTTAAAAAAATAAGGGCTCAGGAAAATATTTATAGAAAAAGTCCGCCAACGCATTTGATACAACAGAAATGATATAAAGTTCACTAGGGAACGTCTTTTTACCCTCGGCTAAACTTTCGATGAAACTTTGCTATATTTAACTTTACAACCTTTTGGTTGCAGAAAAAGAAGAAAAATTTCATGGAAAGTTCAACCGAGGCAGGGGGGTGGGAGTAAAAAAACATTCCCAAGTTCCACACAAGAAACAAGAGGGCGGATCTGGTAATACTAATTCTGGAAGGTTTGTAGATTTATTTCTTTAAAGAGAAATTTGAAAAAAATCTCAAAAAAATATCGTCAACACTTCTTCTAAGTTCAGAACACCATTTCAAACGAGGATTTTTTTGCTCTGTCAAAAGTTCACAGATAATACAATCGATAACAAAAGGCTTTTCAAATCGAAAAACGAGTATAATCGAGAAAGCACAAATGGACACCTTTATTAAAAAAAGTGACTTATTCAGCCGGAAAATTTTGATATTTTTAACAGAGGTTCATTTACTGCTCATTTCAGTTTAATTTGAACTACTGTATCAGTTTCCTTCTTCCTAGTGGATGCCTAGAAGTTGATTATGTTTCCATATTAAAGGAATATATTATCATTTGACTTAGAAAACTAGTAACACAGAGCAACCTAGAAGAAGTCGTTTAATTATAAGAAATCGTATTTTTTTATCATTCCTATCTAATCAATCTAATAATCTCTACCAGTCAAAGATCTCTAGTCGTGGTAACTAAAACCAATAGCAGAGCAAGATAATCTTAATTCTAAACCATTTTCATGAAAAATGGCCTATCAGGTACTGGCATCTTTTTGAAACAGGAAAATTTGTTATGTGCCGTTTTGTAAAGATGGTAAGATTTAGTAGAACTTAAGCACCAGAATGGAAGTCTCTTCTTTTTGAAAATACAAGATACAAGTTAAAATAGATTTCAGTTTTTAACGGATTTCGAATAAATGCTTTTTCCTGTAAAATTCATTCGAAAAATCTTCTGATACAGAAAAAATAAAAAAAGGGTTAAGGAGGAGTCAAGTGGTATAGAAATCAACTTTTCTCACAAAACGTTTGCCTACAGCAAAGAAATACTTGATGACAGATTTGGCACAAAAAAGACTGGCTAGTGAAATTTCATGTTTTGGGCGGCTCGTATCAAGATAAAGTGTTGGACGGCGGCCATTCATTCCGAGCGGGTTATGTGTGGATAGATCCACCGCCAAACAATGGCTGATAACCGCCCAAATGACGTAATCTCGGGTTTTTGTCCTCTCCTAGCCATTTTTTCTATCTTGACATACCTGATCGATGTACTTATTTCCAGCGTTTTTTTGTTTCTTATTTTTCCGTTTATTCGCCAAATTCTTTTTTTCGAATTACTAATTTTACAAATTGGATTTTTTTAATGTTAGCACCATTATATTCTATGTTTTTCACTGTAATAATTAAATTGAATACCATTTTTTTCACTTCGTTCCCATCAAAAACAGGAAGACATATAATACAAAGTTTCACGGAATGAGTTCTCCCTTTTTGGGCTTTATTTTTGAACTTCTCGAGTTTCCTGATCAACTCCAGCCTAAGGCGAGTTTTTTGGGGAAAAAAAAACCAAATATGGCTCATTACTGTTTTTTTCTCACTATGTAAATAAATGTACCTTTTTAAAAAAACGTGCGGGAAAAAAACTGAAAGTATAAAAAAACCACTCACATATCTTTCTGATAATGTAAACTTTCTGACTTTGAAAAATTATTGAACAAAAAAGCTGAGAAACATAATTGGGTTGTGAGAGCCAACAAAAAAGGAATAATTGAAATGTGTAAGGATCAGAGTGGGAATCACTGAAGCAGGTAAAAAATCTTGGAGGGTCGGGTCCTGCTCTTCACGCCACAATTGAAGCCTCCAAAAAATAAATGTCAATGTTTTTGTTTTCATTTCTTTCTTTTTTTTAAACTTCAAATCCCGTTCGTCCAAGAAAAAAGTCGGCAAGAATTTCCCCCAGGGTTTTTGATCATTTCAACAGTTTTCTTTTTACTGTCTTTTTCCGTCTTTTCATCGGCCTTTCCCCACTCTTTTTGGGCCCTTTTGAAAAAAAAAGTTTTAAACTGAGAATTGCCTTCACCAGTGACTGCGTATGAACCAAAATGTTCTACAGTATAAAAATCGGAAAATCATCAATTGCCGAGACTTTCAGCACCCTTTTTGCACCCTCACTCTTTTTTAACCCTTTCTCTCCTTTTCTTCATCCTTTTTCACCCTTTTTTAAGTTTTTCAGCCCAAAAAGAAAGAAAGGCTCAATAAAAGCCGCAAAATGGACTTCTCTCTTCAAAATGGAAGTTCTGAACACAACTCTTGAAAAGAAGGGAATTTCAAGGATGATTCTGAAACGTTTTGATACGATTGATACTTGATACTATTTTCATTTTCTTTTTGAATTTTGACCATAATTCAAGCTTCGAAAAAAAAACTCAAGTTCATTTTAAAAGTCTTTGAAACTTGCAAAAGTGAACATTGAAAAAGTTTGAAACAATAATTTGTTGAAATTGGGCAGTAGCATGTTTCCCGTTACATTTTCTGTGTTTTTCAGCTCTAGTTGAAAAATATATTTGAATATGAAAAACTAAGAAATGTATCACCAAAAAATGGAAAAAATTGCGCGGCATTCTCCGTTCGCCGAACAAGCCGCGTATCCTTTTTGATTCGACGCAAATGTTCCGACACTTCATTAGGATTTTGTGAACGTTTCATGCGATTTTTGTAATGGAAAAAAATAAATCTTAGAAATCTTTTTTTGTTTGCAGAATTTCATAGGTTTTTCATAGGTATATCATGTTTTGATGAAATTGGGAAATATCTGAAAAGTTTTCATTTTTACTGTTGTTCTGCTATCAGAAGAACTTGACGCCAACAAATCGGTCAAACGGTACATTTTTCTAAGCTTGAAACTCGTCGTCAAAAAGGAAAATATCGTCTTTTGCTCAGAAATTCTCCGTTTACAGTTTGAAGAGAATCGAATCCCTGATAACTGTTCAAAGAAATCGATCCATAAAGATATAGAACGATATAAAAAGATAATTTGTGTTGATTTTTTTGTTCTTTGATGATGTGAAGATTGAAATAGCGGATCCTGTTTAAACTTTCGTGGAAGGTAGCTTCAAGAGAGGTCCTCAAAAAAATTAACAACCTTTTTTTCAGGTATCATCAAGAAGATGGCCGAGAACGAGAACGAAAAGAAAGCAGAAAAAGACAAATTTTCTTTTTTCAGCGGAATGAGGAAAGACATAAAAAATCGTGCACAATATTATAAGTTGAACAGAAATTCTTTTGAGAAGTTCAATATTCCTATAACAGGTCTGATTTCACCGATGTCGCCAAGTCTTTGCAGTCTCTCACTTCTGTTGTTTTCATGTTCTTGGCAACCATCACGCCTACAGTTACTTTTGCAGCTCTCATGGGTAATTTCAATCTTTTTTCGCAAAAAGATAATGAAGAAATGTTTTCAGCGGTATACACTGGCGGCTCGATGGGAATGATTGAAACTCTTCTGTCGCAATGCTTTGTTGGGATGTTCTTTTCTCTTTTTTCTGCTCAGCCGCTGATTATTGTTTCTGCTACTGGTCCTGTTCTAGTTTTCGAAGGGAGTTTGCATACAGTGAGTTTTGAATCAAACACTTTTTTTTCAAACTTTTATTTCTTTAATATGGAAGGTCATTTTACTTTTCGGTTGGGAATATCCAGAAAATTGGCCAGAATACTTCTTGATGTACCAAATGAAGATCCTCAAATTCTCAACCTGCATAACATCCTAGTTCTTGAGAAAAAAGACCTCACAGCCCTAATACAGCCTATATTCATGGGTTTTGGAAGTTTTCTTTGAACTTGATGCGTCTAGGGAGTTGTACAGGTTGAGGCTTTCAGAATCTTCTTCTGGTGTTTTGAAGATCGTTTTGGACATTTTTTTAGAAAACTCCAATCCATAAATTATGATGACCTTCCTTGTGTCTTCTTGGTATTTTTCCGATTTCGATGCCAAGAGAGTTCAATGAAATTTCCAACAATATCAAAAAATGTTTTCTTTACAGATGTGCGAAAGTTTTGGAATCGATTTTCTAACAATACGGCTTTACGCGGGTATCTGGGTCCTTTCCTTCTGCTTATTGTTCGCCGCATTCAATTGGGCTAGAATTGTCTACTTCGTCACTCGTTATACCGAAGACATATTTTCATCTCTCATTTCGTTGATTTTCTTCACTGCGAGTTTGTCATTCCTGAAGGAGGTAACTGCGAGAAAACTGGTTAATTTTCTGATTTTTATTCAGACGTGGAAGAATCATCCGGCAAAAAATTTGGAATATCACATTGCCCATTACAACGAATGTGCAATGGCACTTGGCCGGAATTCAACGGATTTGACGGGTTGGTCATTTTTTGCTTTTTTTTTCTATTTGCAAATTCCTGTTTCACTTTGAGTACAAAGAGATTGAACTTTTTCAGTAATATGTCTTGAACAACAGCCCAACACTGCTCTTCTCACTACTACAGCAATGTTCGCTACTTTTGCATTATCCATTATGTTTCTGAAAATCCGTCAGAGCAACTGGTTTGGTCGTCATGTGAGTTACAATTTTTGAAAAAGATTATTCAAAAAAAAAAGAAATTATTCAAATTTTGAAGCTTTTCATACATAAAAAACTGTAATGTTAAGTTTCGATTTGAAACCGGAGAATGGTGTATCTCAATAAAGTGCACTTTTACGGAAGAGCCTCAACAGACATTTTGCAGTTCCGGAACATTTGTGGCGATTTTGGAGTTGCGATTTCTCTTCTAATGGTGTCCATAACTATACAGTTCTTCTTGGGAGACATTGCGATTGAAGTAAGACCCAGAGAATCTAAATAAAGAATTCTTTAGTACCTTCAAATGCCATTGCAACTGGCGTTTACAAACATAGCAGCTCGAGGTCATGGTCTTGTGGTGATACCAAAAGAAGTGGATCCCGTGGAGTTTCTGGCTTCCTTCGTTGTAGCTCTACTAATCTTCATCTTAATCTTTGTGGAAACGGAAATAACTGAGTGAGGGAAAAAAGCTTTTGGATGATATCTATGGTCCACGTTAAGGATGTTGCTGAGTCGTAAAGATCGGAAAACGGTAAAGGGATCTGGCCTGCACTGGGATCTTGTCTTGATTGGTTAGTTCTTCAATTTTATCATGATATTTCAATGATTCAGGTTTCTGTACCTTGGTTTCTTCTATTTTCGGCGTCCCTTGGATGTGTCCGGCGGCCGTTCAGTCTTTGGCACATTGCTCCTCACTCACAATCGAACAGAGAAAAGCTCCCGGCGAACAGCCAAGTATGGCATTGTGAGAAGAAATGCAGCGTTTCAGAATATCTCAAATCCAACTTCATGTTATTTTCTGTTCAGAACCGGTGGCAGTGATTGAACAACGAGTCACAGGTTTCCTGATTTCGGCGCTGATTGGAGTTTTTGCCTTGGTTGGGAAGCACATCGCCTTGCCGACATCTGCTCTGTTCGGAGTCTTCATCTACCTGGGAGTGATGAATCTTCGAGGTGTCAAGTACTTGGCTCGCTTTGGGCTCATTTTCCTACCTCGGAAGTACTTCCCTAACGTCCCATATGTCAACAAAGTTAGTTTTCTTATCATCTTCAGTTTTAAATAAGCTTCTGAACATGTGAAACTAGAACGGATCTCATCTTTCATGATCATACAAGAAGAGATCATGTCTGAAAAGTCTAATATTTGTCGGTCCCTCAAACTCAAAACTCTCGAAATGTCGGCGCACGCACAAAGGCGAGACCAAACTTCGGCTGCTTTTTTCTCTTCTTTTTTTCTCGACGACTTCCCAGCGAATGGCGTTCGTCTACGGCTTGTTCAAGCAGACATAATGGCTTCCGCGCAGGACTCCAACGCCCCCTCGAAGCCTTTTTTTATCATCGGCTTTGACCTCAGGAAACTTGTTCCATTCTCTTGCGCTGAGCAGAGAAGCTTTTCACACAAAAGAAAAAAGGCTGCAAACTCTTTGCTCCTGTTGAACTCATTTAGAAGAGAAGGAAATGTTATTTGAACTTAGTAACCTTCAAGTTTCAAAAAAGGCATCATCGTGGAATAGACAATTTTCTGAAACCTTGCTGTGTCGTCAGAAGCATCGAATTGCATGACTGAAATCTGTGAAGCGAAGCGGAAGTTTCATTCATTCCAGAGAGTAGTTGAACTTTTGTGTTCCCCTGATATTGATGGCAAGAAGAATTTCTTCGCTCGCTTTTTTGAGCTGAAATAGGACTGGTTAAAAAGGAATTTTTTACCTTCAACTTTAATTTTGTGTCTGCTTTTTTTTTGAATCGAAGAGAAAATTTTTTTAACAGGAAAATTCTGAGCAACAGATTGTTAAACGCAAGGTTTCCCGAGAAAAAAAATTGGGTTCAATGTTTTATTTTCTGTTCGATCCTATTCGTAATTTGATGTGAACTTCCGATACTTGAAAATTTTCAAAACAGAAAAAGGTGTGATTTTTGTTCTTCATACGTCACACAGTGACTTTCTTTTCGAAGACGGTGCTAGAAGCAAAGAGAATGGCTTTTTTTGTGATATTAATGTTTTTTTATGAAAAACTAGCAATTCTTTAGTTAAAAGGGGTATAAGTTACTGCATAGCTATTTAAAACCTGTGCCAAGTTTCAAAACTTTTAAATCATTTTCAGAGAAGTAATGCTCTAAAAGCCACTCTAAAATACCTTTACAGGCAATACTGAAGTTTTAACAGATTCTCAAAAAAGTTAGAGAATTGCTAATGGAAACTTTTGCAGGTGAGTCTGCCCAAGATCCACCTTTTCACTGGAATCCAAACGTTCCTCATCGCGATTGTTTTCCTCTGCAAGCAAAACAGAGGTAGTTCAACATTCCCTGTCAGAATTCACCATTCAGGAGAACTACTCGCAATCCTCGACTTTCAGAAACCACCGTCGCTTTTCCATTCCTCTTGATCACTTTCGTACTTTTTCGCCATCTTGTGCTCCCTTACTTTTATACCGAGGAAGAACTTATTGCGGTACGTTTTCGCCTTATTTGTTCAACATTCCTTTAAAATATAGCTGGACAGAAGAATTCAAACATTTTTCAGCTGGATGGAGAGGAAGAAGAGGAAGAAGTACACGAGCCTGACGCAGAAGACTGCTACACCAAAGCTCATTTTCCTCTTTAATTCAATTTTTCTAGCAGAAGTTTTTTTAATGCTTGATTTTTCGAAATGACATCGGTTGACTTTCCGGGTTCTTCGTAAACTTAAAACGAGATCTTGACTTTTTTTTCTTATTGCTTAACAATTATTTTATTTCATGAGTTTTTCTCACTTTTTTGTCATCAAAATAATTTTATCGTGTAAAAGATTTTTTTCACAAAAACTGAATTCTTGTTTTTCAAGTTTTTTTAGAAGTTCAATTTTGTTATCTTAGCTTTTTCATTCATTTTTTGTCCACTAAGTTTTGTTTTTCAAAGTATTGGTATCTGTTCTGAGCTGCTTTAATTATCATTTCTGTTTTATCTTGAATAAAAAAAGAATTATTGGGAGCATGTGAACATCATGAAAAAAACTGCTGTTGACTTCATTTTGAATTGAAAAGGGAAAGTCAAATCAGCGTCAATTTTTTTGAGTTAATGTTCAAATTTGTTCTCGCATGTCATCAAAATTTAGTTTGTGATGGTTTTTGTCGACATTGCTCTATGAATTTTATACTTTGTTCATAGGGCTTCTTGGGGGGAAGATATCTCAATATGAAACTATCTCAAAGATTCACTCACACATAGAAAAAAAAAATGAACAAGTTTTCTGAAATCCTTGAAAAAGCCACCCATTTCTATGTACCCCAAGCTAAAAACGAGCCTTCCAGTCTCTGCTGAAAAATCAACACGTGAGAAGTTAAACATTGCAAGAACCATATGTGGCGGTCTTTTATCGCAGAAAACGTGAGATATTTAATTTTCTGGCGCGTCAAAAACCGAAAACTGATATATATAGAGCTGACTTTGAACACTTAAGCAAAAAAGATGAATAGTCGTTTTTGAAAGGTTGGGCACCGTACAACTTTTGGATCACCTTAAATTAACTATGTGATATCAAACTCGTTCATAGTTTTTTTCATCAATTATATTTTTTTAGTGACACATGAAACTTATCACTTTTTACGTCATTAGAGCCAAAAACGAACTTTTTTTCCTTGCTCTGTACGTTATCATTGGAAAAATAAACTTTCCAGTGGATCACAGTTTTAAAGAAGAAAAAAAGAAAACATCTGAGAATTGTATTATCAAAACTGCTAGACTCCGAGAAAAAGTTCGGTTAGTAAAGCTCGATGAAAAAAATTTTTTTCGATAAAAAAAGTTTCGGTCATAATTTTCTTGTAAGAGATTCTTTATTTTTTTGAAACTTTCTGAATTATTTTTTTAACAATTCAATGAAGTTTCAGTTAACAAAAAAAAAGCAGCTTCAGGAACTTTCAGGAAGAGTGAATTCTTTACAAGAAAGTCGGGACCAAAGTCGCATTTTTTCGCATATTTTCTGACGGTACTGTAGGTAAGAACCATTTCATTTATTAGAGTTGTTTCTCCTAGTTTTTGAAAGTTAATAACCCCCAAGTTTTTTTTCTCCATTTCTTCCCCAGCACAAAACGCCGAAAATAATGACACAAAAGTGACAAACGGTTCTGATTCGAATGGTTGCGAAACAGAACTCCCTCTTAACTTTCACGTGTGTTTGTGACCATTCAAGTTTCTGTTTGCTTGTGACGCAAATATCACCTAAACCCTGGTACAAGAATTTTCTCGTTAAACTCAACCATCGACTGCCACACCATGGTGCTGTCCTTTGACAAGAAACTGGATGAGAAAAGGAAGTTTCCTGAGAAGGAACGTCCCAAGAAAAGTTGTTTTTGTGTCAATTTGGTATAGGACGAAGAGCGTACACATACACTATTATCCCATATGATTTAAAATCTCCACTTGCGGTCAAGATTTATGTAAAAAGTTGTTTTGGAAATTTTTTGGGAAGCGCATGATATAATGGCGATGAAAAAAAAACGTCGAGTTTGGCAAATGAAGTTCGGAAAAGACAACTGAAGCTCACGTCATCATTTCCCTCTAAAAGTGTCAGAAATACCGATGTATCAGTTTCAAATTTTGACCAATCTCAAATATCAAAAGAGAAATCTGCAGTTGAAATCGTTAGATAATAATCAAATGAAAAAAACGGTAGTTAATATTTTTTTGCAAATTTTTTTAAATCTCTGACTGAGATTCCATAAAAAAGTGCAGCTTCAGCAAAAAAAATTCAAGTCAATATTTTTTTCCACATGAAGCAGCTGATTTTAGGTGACCTTATCAAAATATTTTAGACTTTCTTTTTCGAGTCCATGCCGATTTTCTCTTTTGGTAACGGGCAAACGAGAGTGGTCACAACCGAGCAACTTCCGCTCAAGACATCATTGAACGTACAACGTTTTACAGCGATGCTGTCAGGCCAGATCTTCTCCACGTGCGTTTCGGAACAAGCAGAGGAGTTTGGCGCAAAAGTCACTGCGGCAGTGGCAATTTACAACGCGGTTGTTGTGAGGATTGTGAAAGCGATTCACAGTCGCCGTCTTTGTTTTTGGGTACGTCGACGTCGTCCACCGAAGCTTCCAACAACGACGGCACGTGGCGTCCACGTGTCTAGGCAGCAGGAAAAAATTGCCAACACCTCGAGGGCAAAGGCGTTGTTTGTGCTGGGTGCGACGATCTGCATCCGGAGGTCAGTGTTCTGGACCACAGCTTCTCCTGCCTTCTGCGGTGTCTTACGAACAATCCGATCAGAAAAGGCAACAAAAATCTTTTTAGGGGTGAGTGGCATCATAAAAAAGATTTTTCTTTTGCACAATTTGGGAAATTTGAACAAGCCAAAATGTTTGATGATCTACTTACATGGAAGGTCATTTTACTTTGCGGTTGGTAGTTACCAGAAAATCGGCCAGAACACTCTTTGCTGTACCAGAAAAAAAAAACTTGAAAATCTTAAAATTCCTAGTTTTTGGGAAAAGACGACTCAAAGTCAAAGAAAACGCTCGAAACCCAAGAAAATATGCCATTTAGAGCTTCAAGTTCTTATTGTTCAGAAACTAGTGAGTTTTGCCGGTTGAGACTTTTAGGATCTCCATCTGGTGCATCAAGAACCGTTCTGGCCAACTTTCCGGTTTGCCGAACGGCAAACTAAAATGACTCGTCGTTAGATGACGATTCTGAAAACCTCCACTTGCCCAATTATTCATTTTTTTCCAAAACTGTGAGCCTGTCAAAGCTGTCCACACTCCAAAAAACAGCGCTCTCATCATTAATCTCTTGTTAAAAAGCAAAAACAACTTTGCAAAAATGTACAAATAAATTTTTTTCTGTAGCATATTCAATTTTTTTTCATAAATTTCAACAATCTGCATTGAAAAACTCAGCTTTCTGAATTTTCAACTCTCCTTTCTTCAACAAAAAGATATTTTTTTAAACAAATTATAAAAAAAGCAGGATGTCAGCCTCGCCTAGAAAAATTACTCTTTTTAAAAATAAATATAGCAATTTTTTTGGAAATTTCTTTCTGTACAATTTTACACTCAGAAATCAGATCAAAAAAACTCGAAAAAAAAAAAAAAAGGAAAAAAATTCTTTATGATTGAAGCGATAAAAAGTTTGAAAGCTTGTGTAAATTTTTAACGACCGAAGGAAAAAAAGTCCCTTTAGTGTTAAGTTCAAAGTTCACTGTGGCTTTTTAATGATTCACTTCTGAAATTATATATAATGATCTTTCAGAGGTGCTACTTTTTAAGACTTTTTTTGAGATCTTCTGAAGTTTGCTCAACAGATCAAAGGCAAAAATAAATTCCGTGTAGTTTTAAAAATCACATATTCAGATCTGAGAATCTCCAACTGAGGAAATATCCACTTCGAGTGTTGGCGGATTTTCCACAAGAGAAAGAAACTTTTTCTAGAATAAATCGAAGAATGCTTCGAAATTCATGAATGATACTCTGTAAGAGCAATTTCGCGCGCTCGATGGACACAACTTTTAATTTCAAGACATGTCCCGCTCTCCATCAAACATGCCACTTATCTCTGAAAAGATCAAGAGGTAAATCGAGTGAGTGAGAAACTCGTTACGGAGAATCAAACCTTCTCAAAGACATTTTTCCTCGTTTAAAAATAGAAACGGTCTCTTAAAACCAAACTTTTTCCTTCAACCTTTTTGTATTTTGGAATCACAAAAAAACATAGATTCCACGGCACAGTACTCGAGATTGACTTTTAGATTAAGGTGTATTTTTTGATCATCTTTTCTGTTTTTTTGAATCTTCCCATGATAAGTTTTTAAAGTTACGTGCTCATTTCACTATTGAAAAGACTGCGGAAAAATCTCAACTAGTTTTTACGACAAATAAAAGTTTGCTCAATTCGAGAGCTGGCAGAACCAAGGACGGAAAAGCTTCGTCGCTGCCTTTTGCGAACAAGTCGGACCACTCTGTCGGCGACCCCCAGGGAATATTTGAGAAAAATGAGCCAACAGCTCACACACTCATATACGAGAAGCAGCAAGGCTCACAAACACCACCGGGTCGCCACGTTCATGTTGATTCCGAGGTTTGACCAGAGAAAAGACTCGTCGACGTGGCTGTCTCACTCTTCGCTTTCCGCCTCACTTTTTTCTCCCTTCTCTCTTTTCCGATCGTGAATCAACAAAATGCAAACACGGAGTTTTCTCAAAGACGAATCTTTATTTAATATTTCAAACAGTCCGCACTGGAGTTGCTTCAATATTATAATAATAACAAATAACGCGTTCATACCACGCAAGCAAGAGAACAATTGGAAAAGGACACCAGGAAAAAGCTGAAGGCATTGGGATTAAGAGAACCAATTACTAACAAGGACTTGCGTCCACGGAAAAGCGAAACATCAGTATCTTTAGAAAGCGTAAAGCGAGTTTTTTTTTGTTAACATATTGCTAAATTTCATCTTCCAGAGATTTTTTCTTTTTCAAAGCTATAGTATTCAGCTCGTTTCCAAAGCTATCCTACCATGTATACCCAATGGAGAATAACAAATGACACAATAAAAATTATGATTAGAATATCAGATGAACGTAATGGCTTTGAGGGTATCAGTAGTTTTGTTGTGACTGAGATTGTTGGTTTTTAAGGCAATGATTGATCAGACGCTGAGATTGATTGGCAAGAACGCACCGGAAGAATTGAGATCGAGGTAGGGATAAACGGAAGGCCGTGGGAAGCAGATAGGCAAGGCCGGAAGTAGGCCTTGGGCCATGAGATCAGAAATGGAAGGCCTCGGGGAATGGGAAGGCTTTGAGGAAGGAGAATATTCAAGGAACACCGGAGATTCTCTGGCAGAAGCCATACTGGAAGCTTGGCTTTCAGGTCGGGATGCTACGACTGGGCTGCTCGATTGTTCTTCTTCCCGTAGTCGTTCTAGTTCTGCTAGCAATTGAGCATGTTTTTCTTCGGCCGCTGCTTTTTCACCTCGAAGAAGTTCATTTTCATCGTCCAGTTCCTGAAAAAATCAATTTTTGAATTTTCCAGCACTGATCTAGAAAGTAATCTTTTTCAAAGCGGGTACTATAGATCTTATCGACTTCAACCCTTTTCTCTCAAGACTGATTCACAATTTGTCAAAGTATTTGCGAGAAGAGATCATACGATAACACGGTCGTTTCCAAAAAGAACAACTGTAAGCGTAGTCACAAGATGCACAAAGCATGGTGACACGTGAATAGGCGACTTTGCTACTGCGGAACCGGTCGTAAACACCGCACCTTGATGTGATCGCGGGCACGAGTGAGCAACGCCAGCGTCGTATTCCGACACGCGTCGGCTAGGCAAGGAACAATGGTTTTGAGTTTCTCCAGGCAGCCGCGGAGGTTTGCTCGACGTGTCTTCTCGAGCTCGTTGTGTGCCGTTCTGCAAAAAAAGACGTCAGTCAGTCAGTTCGGCAGATGACTCAGAATGAGGGCGAAGTACAGTATGCTTGTCGCCACCTTCGAAGAAAACAACGAACCGGCTGTTTTTCGAGTTTTTTCTAGAAGGTGGTGTGGTACAGTACGGCTCAGATGACGTTGAGGCGTTGCAGCTTCTCCGATCGACTTTCAACTTGCCGAGCAGTTCCCGAAGTTCCATTTGTTCTGCAATTCAGTTCTTGATACGGTATCAAGAGAATGTTTTCCATCAAAAATCTTTTCAATCAACATGAAAAAAATTTTTTTCGGAAGCAAAAATTACTTTTATTTATCTACTAGCCTTTCTGAAAGTAAATTATAGCTCAAATTTTTTTCGCAATTTTTTTCAGGTTTCAGAGTCTCAGAGAAGTTCGCAAGGAGTGACGACACTGATGTTGAAAGCAGTCAAAGAAGGTCAAGGCGGCAACGTCTTCGAAGACATACCGTTCGGAAAGTCCTGCAGAGTCGTGGATGGCATAGTACCAGATATTGGAACATTAAGTTGCGGCAATTTAGACTCAAGAATTCTAGCAGCGGTCAGCAAAGTTCCGATGCTGAGTTGAGGATCCATTTGGTGGTGCAAGAAGGTACGAGATGCTAGTGGGTAGCGTTGCGTCCAGACTGACGGAAGGCGGGCACAGCGCGACACCAGAGAACGAAGGAGCGCCCCCTCTCTAGTCGGTCCGTCGACGCACGTGCTTCTCGCATGTCTCTTCAGATAACACACCCAGTTCGGCGCTGGAGGCTATACGCCACGAGGCGAGGCATGCTCTCACCCAAACATCAACAAAAGGAAAGCCTTCTCTCCAAAGCCACCCAGTACTTGGTGCCTAACTCCAAAGCTTCATGACCTCTCTGGTCATTCAGGACGTTCCCAAATAGAGAAACTGGGAAAGAATTAATAAACCATTTGAAATAATATTTTTAAGCTTGGATTACACTTTGAAATAACCATAAATTTACGAGTAGGAAAAATTTTTGTATTAAATTCAAGTTCTAACACAACTTTCCTAAACTTTTTTCAGGTTTGAAGGAAATTGTATTCAAAAATACAACTCTTTTTCTGAGAAACGGCTATCTTGTCTAAAAAAGTTTTTTACGGAAAGCATAAAATCAAAAAATCAAAATTTTCAAACCAAATGGAAACGTTTCTTTGTTCTCACAACATTAAAAAAAAAAACTTGCAAACAGAATAATTTTTTCGAAATGAAACCCTTCCAAATAGAAAACTCAACTTGACAAGATTTTTTCGTGCTGCAACCTCATTAGGATTGAATTGATCATTAAGGTGAAAAAAAAGAAGAGAAAACAAATCATTGGTTCCCGGTAGCCGCTAATGAATGCACGCACGTAACAAAGGCTAGAGCTCTGGTCGAGGTCCTCCCTAGGCGTTCAAACTACACACACTTTATGGCGGACTACGGTAGGGGTCAGAGAACCTCTTTCTCTCCAGTTCTTCAACTTGTAAAACTCGACAGTTCAAACAAAGACTTTCTGTGATTAGAAGCTGATGCAATCCTTTTTCCAAAAGTGTTTTCTTCGTTCAGGTCCATTATGACTTACTGTAGTCTGAACTCCGAAAAAAGCAAAAATTGTTCCGGAACGGTTTTTTCGCTGTCTACCGGGTGAACTACTTCCAATCATCTATAATTTGAGGCAATTCATGGTACGGTTTTGGTTATGCGTGCACTCAGCACGTGGATTCTATGTGAACGACGTGTTTTCGGCGCGAATCAACGCCTCGTGACCTCCAACGGTCGTTTTCTCTCGTCTTTTGGCATTTCCCCGCTGCGATATCACGTGGAGTTAGCAATACTGATGCAATAAAGATATTTTGCTGAAGAAATCACAACGGTTTCGGTAATGGTTAGTCTGCACGAGGGTGGTGGTCTTTCGGAGTGTGGCCGCCAATTTGTAGGTGTTTTTCCGAGTCGTGTCAGGAAGTGGCACCTAAATTTCTAATAAACTTTGGCGCTGAAGCAAGCCTGCAATATCGAATTTGTTTCAAGTTTTCAAGGTGAAAGGAGCACGGAGAGCCGACCAAGGAGCATTCATTTGAAATTCAACTAATAGGAAAGTTTTGTAGTCTGATCACAGCTGTCCGAGCCACTTCAAAACAGATTTAGTCTCCCACTTGTCTAATCCGCCGTTCGAAGCGAAGATTAGCCGCATATTTCTTAGAGTGGGAGAAGATCAAAACGTTCAATTCTTCTGCCTTCTTATTCTTTTTTTTGCAAAATATAAGAAGGCGGAAGAATTGAACGGACTTCACCCTGCCCTTGTAATCCTGCAAAAGTCCTTTGTTTTTTCAACCAAAGATACCGAGTTTTCGCGACCTTTTGCGTTACACAAAGTACATATTTTGGAATTTCGCGTGACTTTTCAATGTCCTTAGGATGTCTACCAAAACACGCTTTTTCAAAAAAAAAAACACAGTTTGTTCTGCAAACTGTCCTTTTTTGTTGTGTGCTTTTTCAAGAGGAAACGTGCTTTGAAGGCAATTTGACCGACGTAACACTTTATCGCGTTTGAGTCTCGATAACAATACGGCGTGTGGCCTGGGGGATCCTTTCGGAGACTTCGTCCGACAAGAAAAATTTCTGTCTTCTGTCACGCGATGCTTGGCCCTCTCGCAACAAACGCAGAAATGGGACTGGAAGTGGTGAGAACAGTCTTTTGTGTGGTTTCCATCGAGAGGGCTGACAATGTCACAAGTTCGGAAATTGAAAACTGGGAAGAAATAGTAGAATCAGTACTCGTTCTCATGTTGGAATTAGAAGCTTTCAAAATCTGTTCAAAAGTTGCATTTTTTCCGGAATGAAAACTTTCACCGCTTATTAGGGAGTTTTTAGAAAACTGAACAGACCTTTCTTGAAATACTCTTCAAAAAACTGCCTGGAAAAAATCTTAATTCTCAAATTACCGCTTCAATTCATATTTAAAAAAAGAATGAATAAAATTTTGTTTATATCAAAAAGCGTCGTTAGGCGTCAAATTGAAAAAGTTTGTATCAATTTGTTTTTGGAAATTCCCGCAGAGATGATTCACAAATTCTTCCCTCTCTATGTTTTTGCAAACTACGGCCAGCAGGTTGAAACCGCGTCTTTCACTTTCATCGAGGACGCAAAAATCATGGCTACCGTATCTCGTCCGCCTGAGAAACTCCAGACCAAAACAGAAAGACCGCCCCATTGAACGAATCTCCACATCGTCACAAACAGTATGGCGTGTTCAGAGCTTTTACAAGATACGACCAAACTGTCTCATAAAGCATTGGACAGCAATCAACTGATAACTCGTCCTAATTTCAGTGACCAGGCCGATCTTCTGATATTTGCAAAGAGCGCTGCAAGAGGAGGGGTATTCCCACGCTATTATCGTGAATAAATAGACGAGAGAGAGTGGCCGACGGCGCGCGGTTTTTCAATCGAACGACGCTCCAGCCGCCACGTGCTATTAATACGATCGGCGTTGCGGAGATCGGCGGAAGATATTTGCAGTTGTTTGTAGGTGCGCGAGGAACCGCGTGTGTTTGTGACGTGTGTCGGACCCGATCCTGTTCCACTCTCCTTTTTGCACACGCGCCACCCTTGGCCTGAACACGTTAGAACTGTGTACAGTTACTACTTGTTGGGACTTTTCAGTGCTTTGGTTTCGAAATTAGTTACAAAAACCACAGATATCAGTCTTGTATCATTAAGAAAAGATAATGTAACGTATCCTTCTGTAGAACTTCAGTACCAGACTTGAATGAATCGGTTGACGTGATAAACTTGCTACAATTTTTTACCATAAGAAAAACTAAAAAACATCTCAGGAGATCGGAGCGCAGACATCTAGAGATAAGGCTCTGATTGGCTCCACCTAATTTTGTCTACAGTCTGCTTTTTTACTCTCGCTTTTACAGAGGGCTGAAGGATAATAGGGAAGGAAAACGGAAGTTTTCAAAAAGTCATAGAGATGATCTCGGTGTCTAAATAAAAATAAATACTTGAAACTATCCTTTGATGCAGAAATTGTTTCGTCATTGTGTTCATCTACCAACCTTCAACAACTAAGAAAAAGAACGAATATCTGAAAAAAATGCTTGGTTGAAACAGGAAAATGAATCAGGCGCCAAAAGAGCGATTATTTTTCATAACATTTTTTTTTTCTATTTTTAATCCGAGCAGAAGAAATAAATTCATTTTTTTTTTGATATTTAGTGAAAATTGATTATGGTGAGAGGCTTGAATTCAGCGAATTCGAATTTCTAAGAAACACTGGAAAAATTCGATATGTAGCAGTAACTTTTGCAAGTTTTTTAGGAAGCAGCCTACGCTTCTCCATTTCTGCTGATCAAGATTGAAGTGAAATCCAGGAAGTTTCAGACTGTTTCTCAAAGTTTCCAAGAAAACAATTATGAGAGACAGTCTGCACCTGGGTTGCCAAGTCACGAGACTGATCGCAAAAAAAGACCTTTAAAGGAATTTTATCTTGCATCAGGCACATGACTAGGCAATAGTTATCATCACGATCTCGCGTGTTCAAGCACGACGTGTTTGCAGCGTGCATGTACGAAGACACCCGCGGAACGACCGCCGGACTTTGTCCTGGGCCGCGTCGGTTGCACGTGCGTCGCGACACGTCATAAAGGCGATCCCCTGCGGCCGTCTCGTTACACTACCGATTCTAATTCAGCGCAACTTTTAGTGCATTTGGAGGCGACCAACTGAAAGGAAAGAGAAACAGAAGTGACGCTCTATTCAGGTCGTCTGTAAAATTTGAAGAAGTAAAAATGTAACTTGACTTTTGATCGACAAAAGCTTTCAGTTTCTAAAAAGCTGAATTTGAAATGATTAAAATGAAAATTTACTTTCATATCATTCAGAAAAAACACTGATGAAATGATATTTGAGAAGATTGAGCTGATAAAAAAATAGTTTCTTTCTTGTTTTGATATCCGAAAAAAATATCTTCTTCCTTCTTTCACAAGGGAAATCATTTTACTTGTTGGTTGGGAACTTCCTGAAAAATCTCGCCTCAAAGTCAAAGAAACCTCTCAAAATCCGTTAAAATAGTCTATTTTGGGTTTTAGCCCTTTTTTCCTCGGAAACTAGGAAGTTGTGTAGGTTGAGAATTTCAAGTTTTTTTCTAGTACAACGAAGAATTTTTTTGCCCAAGTCTCAGAAAAATTCCCAACCGCAAAGTAAAATGACCCCCTCATGTCAATGAACTTTATTTTTTTCAACAAAAAATTTGCAAAAAATGAAAAAAACTGGTCAAAATCATCTTCGTATCATCTCTCACTTGCAAAAACTGACATTATCGATTTCAAAAGAAAATTAACAATTTCCTTTTTCTACGACTGACTAACCTAATACGTGTTTTGTTCCAGTCTTCTATAAATTTTCATTCAAGTTATCATATTTTGGCGGCAATGGCGAAAAACAAAATTGTCTTTGAAAACGATGTTTTTTGCTTTCTTCTTCGAAAACTCGATTTGCAGTCAGCAACAAGCTTGCGGAAGATCGTTGTGAATGGAAGCAAACTTTGTCCCGACGCTGGTCCGTACGCACGTGCGCTGTAAAAAACAAAGAGAATCGCTAATTTTCCATTGTACCGCAAGTTTAATTTCCGGGCTAATTTCCTGATATTCAGAAGATTTTGCTCAGAAACTCATTTTCGAAACAAACCAGTTGATTCGAATTTGCAAAGAAAGATGAAAGACTTTAGAGGGACTCCATCGCGTGCTGACAATTTTTTTTTCTGGAACTACGGTAGCTTTTCTTAGGAGCAAAGCACAAAAGGAAAAAAAAGCGTCCGAATTCGGTTTCTTTTCTTTTTTCGTGGTGAGTGTGCAAGAGCGGAGCATTGTTGATGAAGGGCAAAAATCAACCAAAGCGAAGTGGGAACAAACGGAAGACTCTGAAATTCCAAAAAAAGGAGCATTGATGATGATTTTTTTTCGAAATTGAAAAAAATGTATATATGAATGGAATCTGTTTTTTTCTCAAGTTATTTGATTTTTTTATTGATCAATTCATCATTTATGTCAACATTGAGCACGTTTAAATCTGAAAAAAATATATCATATACTTTCTTTTTAAAACTTCCGTTTTTTCGTGTCAGAAGAAGTTGAAAATTTTGAAAAAGTTCCATCAGCTTGACAATTTCAAACTTTTTGTCGACTTCAAACTCCAGAGATCAACTCCTGAAACCATAGCCCAAGAAATCAAAAAATCCTTTTTTTTCCGTCCCGAGATACCATAATTAATGATTCTCTGACCGCCTTCTCTCCGTTTGCGACAGCCTTGCATACCAAAAAAGGCATCGAAATATCCGCACCACTCTGCCTTGATATTTGAGCCTTTCTAGGTCCAAAAAACGAGGTTTGAAAAAAATTGAGAGAAACGCTCGGAAAAGGATCGAGAGATGGCGAAGTCGGTTTTTTTTTTTGGGGGGTCGCTTGGTGCGTGTTGGTCGCTCTTTGGAACGACGTTGCACCCTCTAGGAAGCACCCTTTCGCTCTCTGGAACTCTGTGCTTCTGTTTATCGGAGCTGTCCACGTGCGGAGCATGAGAGTTGCCGCCTGGAACCCCAACTGAGAACAAAGCGAAGGTCGCTCCACCCGACCTTCACCAAAAAAAGCATTTTGTGCGTCAGGTTCTTGTATTGTGCAAAGTTTAACGAAGAAAAAAATCTTTCTCGAAACCAGAAAAGGTTCCCAAGCAAATAACATCAAGAATGCTGTTTAACATAATTTGTGGTAACGCCCGAATCGCAAAACATTAGCAAAAACCTGTTCTTAATAGATCTAAGCAACCTTTCAAAGAAAGAGAATACCTCTCCATTAAGGTTAAAATGGAATCATGAAAGTTTGAAGTTTGAAGAAATCAAAAATTCCATTCTACTCAATTTCACCGGCAAGAAATGGTTTAAAAAATGACAAAAAAGGGTTTTGGAAAGAAAATTCAAATTTTTCCCTACACACTTGGCTTTTTTGTTGTTATCAACAATGAAAATTGGCTGCTACAAAATTTTTCACTTTAAAAATTTTTCGCTCCGATAATTTTGCCGCAAATTAGCTGAGATTTTTTATGATTCTTGGTAACTTTTCACGTTTTTTTTATTTGATTAGCTTTCCAAATTAATCTAACTGGAAAGTTTTCTCTTTAAAAAATTAATTGATAACTTTGAAGTAAATCATTTCAGCTTGGGATCACTCATATGACTTTTTATTAAACGGACGATAATGAGCCTCTTAAAGTTCTGGCTTTCTGTAAAAGCCTGCCATTAGAATTTGAAATTCAGAAATTTCTTCAAGCCAGCATGAAGAAAGGCTTCAACAGCCCATATGTTGTGAAATTTTACGAGACCGTCGCTGAAATTCCTTTTTCCAAATTTTCTTGAGTTTCATCCAAGCGCTTGCACAGTTCAAATTTCCAGGATCCTGCAAGTTCAAATGGAAAAACTCGAATAATATCTAAGACAAGGACAAGTCGCAAACTGCAGCGTGACTGTTGTTTTTGTTATTGGGTCTAGCCTCTGTTTTCTCAGTTCCAACTATTTTCGACCAATCTTGCAACCAGTCGGGTCGTGCTTCGCGCCACTACACACCAGCACGGCACGTGTATGTTTGTGAGCGTATGCCGATTCCAAAGCGTTTTACTGCCTCTTTCTCCCGAAGAAAAAAAAAAACAAAGCGATAATTTTTTTATTTCAGAGGAAAGCTTCAGAGTCTTTGATTTTCTGGTGAAAAATATGGCGGTGTTTGTTGAGGAGAAAGTCAGACTGGCCTTGTTTGCCATCGCTTGCAAAGAGGATACGAGTACGAAGCTAAAGGAGAGAAGAATTAACGGGAATCTTTTTTCATCATCAAATAAAAAAAACATCGTCTCTTCATTGCCAAAGCTTTGCTGAAAAAAAGATTTTTTGATCTTGAGAGTTTCATTAATTAAGAGAAAAAGCTTTCAAATGGGATTGAAACTCGAGAAAAAGGTAGACGACAGCGCATGTATCCCTGATTATCGAAAGACTGAAAGAGATTTTATAAACCTAGAAATAATCACGGATTTGAAATTTGCTTCGGAATTGGAGTTTCTCAAATAATCGAATGAAGCTACAAATCCGCAAATTGAATCTCATTTCTCCTCTTCTCATGAAAAAACTTTGCAAAAACTCTAACACTACTCTTGACAAGATCGTCTCAATCTAAAAATCAGAATAGTATCACTGTTCTTAAAAGAAAATGTTTTTAACTTTTCCAGACTAATAAAACTTTTGTTTCATTGAACTCCATCCTGCTCCTGCACTCTGAAAACTCAAACAACTAGCGGAAAAACGCAACTTCGAAACCTCAACCCTGTTTTTATGGAGTTTGTTGAACAGCTATAATTATTAGAATTTCCGAAACAAATGTTTTGCACATTTTGCAAAACCACCAAAAACCTATGTGCATAGAACGTCCATTTTCTACACAAACAACTGGCTCGCGATTATTAATCAGAAACGTTTTCGGAAATTTCGAACTGATCAGGGATCAGAATATTTTTCTGCGGAACAGAGTCCAAATATTACCGGGATTGAAACTCTTTTTGAATAGTTTTTTTGAGTTCTGACTAGAGAAAAGTCTAAGAAGAGCATGGCAGATTTGGTCCAAACTTCCGTGGTAGTTAGTCCTAAGTAACAAAATTTTAAAAAAAACTGCTAAGCTCTATAGGGTATTGAGAAATAGCTTGTTGAAAAAGTACAGGAAAAGCTCAAACTCAAAAAAAGCTCAAAGAATGTTTTTCGGGTTTTTCATGAAAAAAGACGTTTTGGAGCTCGAAAAAACGAAGAAATTCAGTTTTTGAGCTTTTCCTGTACATTTTCGACAGGTTAATTTTCATAAGCCTATGGCGACTTCTTTTTGTTTTCGAATAATCATACCTACCCCAGAAACTTGGACCATATCTGCGATTTTCACCTCACACACTTTTTTTTGTGAAGATTGAAGTAATGTGATGTAAAACAGGGTGTGAATAAAACTATTTTTAATCATATGAAAAATTTGAAAGTTTATTATAGTTCAGCTTATTGAAATTCAAGATAATGGTGCCCTGGAAGCTTTAAAAATTTTGCAGATAGATCTTCCCTATGGCTAACTGTCGGAAATTTCAGTAGGTTTGTAGTGAAAAAAAAAATTGAAGACTTCTCAGTTATAAGTTTTCACAAAATCGAAAAAAATTTTCTTGAAAAATTGAAACCGTTCAAAAAACTGAACTCTTTATGCATTTTCAGGATGTTGAAAGACGAGTTCGACTGGAGAGAAGCTGGTCAGCAGCACCGGCTGTAAAGTGCAATGGGTCAGCGGCCTTTTGCCGCAGTTTTTCCACCAGCAGACGCCAGAACACCCTGCTACAGCTCTTTTTTCTTCCACTTTTATCTTAATTTTACTTATTTTTGATGTTATGATTGTCCGTTATCTCGCTCTTCCCAACATCTGAGATTGTTAAAGCTTATAAGTTTTAGGAAAATAAACTCACCGTTTTTCTGCCCAATCTGTCTAAGGTTGTAGAAGTACTTGTTAGAACTTGTTTTAAGCAATAAATGAATTTTAATATTTGGGTGATTCTGCGAGACGAAAAAGGAAAAAAGACATTTTATGATTATTTAACGGATACATGCCGAAGTTCAGAAGAGAATATTTCAGATATCATAATTTTTGTTTCACGTTTCATTTTGTACTCATTCCAAACGTTTTCCAAAATGTCAAATTTGAAACTAAGCGTTTTTTGAAAATGCCCAAAAAAGCTGTTTTAAAAATGTAAGGAAGGGAACAAAATTTTTTTGTTTCACACAATTTTTTTAAGTAAACTTTGATATCTCACAACTGAATATGAAAAACTATAAACAAATGTTCTTTAATCTTTTCAAAATCCATACCAACTGTATATATAAAGTTCAACGCGACTCGTCCTTGTGGCAGACATATGTATGGCAGCTGCTATTCAGATGTTCCTTTTTCTTTAAATTGTCGGCTGCTTATTTCTGTCTTCTTGGCTTCTTCTTTTTTATTGGATTTTTTTTCTTCAGCAGCCGCTTAATGTCAACGGAAGAGAAGAAAGGAGGAAAAGAGGATTCGATTAAAAAAGAGGATTCTGAAAAACGAGATAAAAAACTCGAAAAGGAGAGCAATGAAGCAGCTAATTTGAAGAAATGGTTATTTATAGGTAAGTCGGAGTTATTTATGGACTTTCGGGACATCGATTGATTTGAAAACTCAGGGGGAAATTGGGAAGCTTCTGCCTTCTACATAGCTTTCCAAAACCTTCTACTTATAAAAAAGCCCACCGGAAGCATTTCAGAAGCTTTCCAGCAGGCTTCTGAGAGGCTTCTGACAGGAATTTTCCATTTTAACTTTCCATAAACCTTCCAACCTCCTGCGGGTTACCTTCCCAACACCTTCACAAAATTTGCCTAAGAAATAACTTTTCAAATTTTCAAAGAACATACTTCAGGCTTGCCGACGACAGTAATTTTTGCTGTGCTTGTCCAATTACTTATCAACAAGTTTTACACAATTCCTTTGAACGCCAGAACGCTCAAAGCAACGTTTGCGATCGACATTGATGAAGTCAGAGAAAAAAAGATTCGAAAAATCTAAACCCAAAATTACAGGACACATTCGGAATCTACGACCCAGAAAAAATTTTTGAGCTTCGGAAAGCCCATCCTGATTCTATTCAGTTTGGTATCAAAGTTGCGCGTAACGCTTCAGAAGTGAGTTTTTTTCTTCAAATTACTTTTAAGGGTATCTACTGTAGGACTGGGGCGAGGATAGTGTGAGCGAGTTGGACTGGTATCAGTGGGAAATCGGAGACGCTCGAAATTTCGGAAAACAATTGTTTCAAGGTGATTTTCACACGAAATAACTAGGTTTTCCGATTTTTTTTACACTTAATTTCAAATTTTTTTGATATCTCATCACCGGAATAATTCACTCAGGAAATTACATTTAAAAAAACGCATTAACAATAATTAAACTGTTAAATTGATCAAAAATCCGACGAGTAAAAAAATAAAAAAACTTCAGGAAAAACCTTTCTTTTTGCAAATATCCTGAAAAAAATTTCAGCGTTGACGGGTTTTTTTCTAACTAGACAAAAAAATTAATTAACATCAAATTTTTTTGTTTTCAGGCAACCATGTCAGCGGAATCATACGTTGGGTTCGAAACGACGCTACTTGGAAAGTACAGCTTGAATTTTCCCACGAAAAAATCGTCCATGAACATTTAGAACACGCAGTCGTGATATATTTTCAAACCAAGGTAACCATTTTGAAGAATTTCATGCGAAACAAAGACTTTTGCAGAACGCTTCAGATTCATTTTATGAGAAGGAAGAAGTGTTGATTTGGAAGGGAGAAAACTCTGAAGATGGCAAGGTCAAAGCTGAAATCAAAGCAAACGGATCGTCTCGTCACCTTTTGAGAAGCGAGAACGGAAAACAAGAAGCGAAGTTCATTTTTGAGTCAAGTCTTGCCCTGGAATTGGTCTTCGCGGCAGAAGGCTCTGTGAGTTTTAAAGCCTTCTGACTTTGCTATCTTCTGTTTCAGACGTCAAATGAAAGCTTCACTGTTCTTTTTGAGAAGCAAGAAAAAGATTTCGACAAAAAGTTCCAAGCTGGTTATCTTCTGAGCAACCAGGTCAATCATAAAAAATCTCATGAAAACACTCACTTTCTTCTCAGAACCTTCCAACTTTCTACCAATCAATGGGAAAATCAGCCCTTGCAAATGTTCTGAACTCTCAATTTTATATCAAAGAAGTTACGGCAAGCAGTCAAAGTTCTTCTTCTTTCCGTTTGGATGTGAACTGGACCGGAGTATTATCATCCCGAGAAAACTTTTTATCATCTTTCGATGATCAAACTTTTCCTCTGCTGACTATTCTGAACTACGATGCTGAATTTGTTCAAGATGTGAGCCGAGTTACAGTTCACGAGAATAAAAAGAATTCATTTTCAGGCACTTTCATCATGGCTTCAGTTTAATAATAAACTCGATGAATCAGCCAACCGGATTCTTGAAAATCGAATTCCACTTTTTGAAAAACCGCAGACGCTACTGGTTTTCTATCTATTACATGCGATGAGCAAGGTAAAATATCCCACCTTTTTTGACGTTTAATTTAAATTTCAGAAGCCTGAATACAAAAACTTCCTGCTACAGCATCAACAAAGTTTTTGTGAAATGGCGCGGACAACCTTTGAGCAATCAGTTTCCTACGAGAAAAATCGCTTCACATGGAATTCCGGATATGGATTTGAGAATTCAACAAGTAGAAACACTTCGGTGAGTTTTTTGTTCAGAGTTTTCAAAAATTTATTTTTTTATTATTTCAGATAGCCTCGTTTGAACTACATTGCTTGCTTGAGATTGTAGCCAAATCCGTTGTTTCCATCGCTGATGATGCGAAAGTAACTGAGGAGTTCCGTCAAAAATTGGATGAGCTTCGGAATCAACGTGAAAAATATTGGGACAATGAAGAAAAATCTTTCACCGATCTTTTCTGGTCTCCATCGAAAAAGGTGGGTTTCTCACAAGGAAGGTGATTTCACTTTGAGCTTGAAATTCTAGATTTAGATTCCTTAAAATCGCTACGTGCCTGAGCCACTGGTTCTCGAGAAACATGAGTTAAAAGCTTAGCTTTTCGATCTTTAAAATTAATGGCCTTAAAAACTAGAAAAACTAGAAGCTGGGTCAGGTAGCGACTATGAGGGGCCTTCATCTGAACCTTCAGAAAGTGTTTGAGCGAACTAGTAAAAAATTCCAGAAAATTCCAAGAAATTTTCCATCAAATTCCAATATCTAACAGCATACCACAGAACTGTTTATAACTTTTTATCAGTATTAAAATTTACTGTTTCATTTTAAGGAATCTCACATCGCACCAGAAGACACCTATAGTAAATACCTGCCGTTGATTTTCAAAATGCTTCCACCTGATTCTACTCAACTGAAAATTATGCTGAACCGACTGGGACAAGACGAGGTTTACTTTCTGTAGCTACTTCATTACAAAATGTTTTCAGAACTGGACTGAAGTAGGTCTCAGAACCTCAGAAAAAGGAGCTCCTCTGGTCATCAACTACCTTTTATTAGGCGCCCTGAAACATTACGCGGGAGAATCCAGTCCAGTACAGTACACGTCTCACTTGCTTTATTCCCAACTTAAGAACAAGATTATTTCTTACGTGGCTAGAGAATTCAAAAGAACTCACATGTTTTTCGAATATTACGACGCCAATGGCGTCGGTTCTGGAACTAGAGCCCACAATTCTGCGTCCGTTATTCTCCTCGTTATGGCTGAAATCTACTATTGATTGGTATCTAGATGATTCAAAACTTGTTTTTTGCTTACGGGCATATTTTTCCTGCGTTCAGTTGTTATGAATGTTTTTTTCATGTCGATCATTCTCATAAATCATTTTTTTCCGAAAAAAAGATTATATTATTGATGAACGGCTGTGACCAAGATTGGAACTTCTTCGCGCCTTTCTTGAGAATTCTAAAGCTAGCGTGACATAAAAAAATTTATTTTTTTAGTAGTACAAATCTTGCGTTTTCTGAAATTGAAAAGCTAAAACTACAAATCTGTTTCTAACTAATTTTTTTAAGCGCCTATCTTGCAAAGAGAATTTATTTCAATACTGAAAAAAATTATTCTTGAGGTGATTGCTTGATAGTCCGAGTAATATAAACTGACAGTAAATTTTTGAGTGATTACTTTTTCCATAATAATACGATTACAAAAAGTTTAAGAAAAAAAGTCTGAAGCAAAAATATTGGAAAGAGGCAAAATGAGAATGAAACTTCAATTTTCCAATTATTTTACATGAGGAAGAACCGATGATAAATATTGGGGACATTGGAAAGAAAATGGGGAAAAGTGCAGTTAATATTGGCCACTTACAACACAAGTAGAATGATTGAAAGAGAAGAGCAAAATGATGAATTCTTCAAAAAAATGAAGAATTGTTGAATAAAAAAATGAATAAAAATTCAAAAAGAATTTTTGAAATATTATACTTTGCAAAAATTTAATTAAATATAAATCAAATTTCATCAAACAATAAATTTGAATTCAAAATGGACTCACAGAAAAAAAGACGATGGCAACTCCGAAAACCAGAAAGTTTTGATCTTGCTGACCTACAGTTGGCGGCGATTTCGTTTTGGCGGGCTCTCTCGGAAGGAACGGCCACAGGTCCTCGGCGGCCATCATTATTCCATCGTTCGCCTCCGTCGTCGGTCGTTTTTTCATTTCCCTTTTTTTCCTCCAGTCTCCTTTTTCTGTATTTTTGGTTTTTCAACAACATCTTACTGCTTCAATAATGTTTGAAAAGATATCCCTTGTTTCTTGATTCAAATACGCAATTACAGAATTAAAATGTTCTTTATTCGCTTTTAATCACTCAAATTTTTCAGAGATGGGGCACTTCTCGACGTATACAGTGAAACAACTAATAATAATGGGTCAAGCCTTGGTTCTCCTTACTGCGTTTTCATCCATCTACTGGCAGATTCCAGGTAAAAACACATATTTTCAGCGTTGTTTCAAAATTAAATCCAGGTTTATTTGGCGAGCAAGGATTGATGCCAGTCGCCGCTAAGATGAAATGTGGTGAGTTTTGTGCGCTCTGTGGACAAAACAACATGTTAACATCCTTGTTTACTTTTTTGATTTTTAAATGAGTAGAGACAGCTCTACTTGTAAAATTAGTTGGTTTTAAGATGGAATCTCAAATAAAGGCGAAAATATGTCACTTTTTTTAAACTTTTTTCAGTACCGAAAAAAAAGAAGCAAAGAGTTTTTTTTACTGTTTACTTTGTTTTTGCACTGATCGAATTTTTCCAAAGTTAATCTATCTCCAAAAACAGGAATGTCCAAAAAAAGAAGTTATATGGCCCTTTAATCGCTTTAAACTTTGCTTGTTTACTGTGTGTTTCGCTGGGCGCGCTGTTATCAAACGCCACATAGTGTCGAGTGTTTTCTTTTTGTTCCTTCGTCCTCATCGATTGCTAATTTCTTCGCAGTTTTTCAACTTGAATTATTCAATATTGTAGAATAAAAAAACGTATTTCTTATTTTTGACACTAATTTTGTATTTCAGAAAAAAAAAACAACGTCTTGAAATGTCCGCTGTCAGTTCTACAAGCGCTCAAAAGTTACTTCACTCTTTCTCCGTCGGTGGCTCTACAGTTGACGGCAATCTTCGGGATGATAATCTCGTCCCTGGTCGTCGTCTTCAAACCGCTCAGGAAGGCGCCGATCTTCTTCATTCTCTACTCTCTCTACCACACTATCTTTCTGGTGGGTTAAACATTATCATTTTCAGATTCAACTCAAGAAAATTGATTTCGAGCCAAGACGACGGATTTTCGAAAAATGGAAGATTAGATAAACATTCATAGTATGAGCATCATACTGTCAGAAATCCTTGTGAAAAGAGCTTTTTTATTAGATGTGGACTGATAAAATTAAAAACCCCAAAATATAATAATTTCAGGCCGGAGGAGAGTTTATGGCTCAAGAGTTTGATCTTCTACTCCTCGAATCGACAATGTACGTTGGAGCGCTAGCCAACATCTTTGACAGTCCCGCGGATATGGTTTCCTGCAACTTCGATTAGTCCCAAACAACCCTTTTTTATAGATCACATGCTTCTACGTACTCTATCTCGGGATCAAGTTGAGACTCCCTCTTGGAATCATGAGACTGGAAAGCGAGAACCTTGATTGGTGGAACTTGATAGGTTTTCGAAAAGGATTATAATGTCTTTTTCAAAATTAATTTTAGCTTTACCTCGCCTTTATGAACGCCAGATTCTGCCTACTCCTTTTAGCTACTACTTCAGCCACGTACCTGAGATCTTCAACAAGGTAAGAATCGAAAAAGGAATAGCGGACCAAAATAACTATTCAGGCCGCTTGCTGGGCCTCTTTCTACACGGATGTCTTCACAACGCCATTGTACCTTCTCCCCTGCGAAACGTTGCAAGTGTTCTTCTTCATGACCCAGGTTTTCTTGATCGTATAAGGTGTGAAATAAAAACTGAGATGCAGGTCACCGCGATCATCTACATGACTTTTTCTGGCAACTACGGATTCTACTACATGAACTTCGTCGTTCTGCTACTACCTCTTCTGCAGGGAATCTCCAGCTCAGGAAGCGGCGAAGTGAAGCTATCAGCTCTTTTGTATTTGTTCTGCGTCGTCACCGCCGTCCTGTACTTCCAAGTCGACATCGATTTCACGACCTTAACTATTCACAGTTATGGTGAGAGTTTTTCCCTTCATTCAGTACAAATAACTTTGAGTTCAGATCCCTCTCCTGAATCCCTTTACGATAGGATCAGTCTACTATCCAGTCAGACAGCTTTCGTCTGTTTCGTAAACATGCTGGTTAATGCTGGAACCGTTGTATACAAGTTTTCGAATTTTCCCAGCAAGGTTACTCATTTATTGTTTAAGAATGGTCCGTTCGGAGGATGGAGCTTTACGTCGACGTACGGTTATGAGCATCATGGTGGCTGCTTTATTTGGAGCAACCGTTTTCCGAATCGGATTTGTAAGTGGGACTCATCGAAACTTGAAAAAACCCCGATTTCAGGTGCCAAGCAGAGTTCAATCAGAGCTCGATAGATATCATCCCAAAATGCGGCAGATCCACGACAACGTCATGTATTTGTACAACTCGAGTAACGCGTATGGTGTCAATGAAACGTTCGTTATTAGTTAGTAGATTCAAGTTTAATGGAATTTTTACAGAATCAACATGCGAGGTCGCCCGGAAGTCATCATTGAAGGGGCAAACATGATGGGTGGGTCATGGGAAGAACTGCATTTCTTCGCCAAACCTGGAGACGTCTCAGTTGCTCCGCGATTCCTGAGTTATTTTCTGAGATTGAACTTTAATTAAAATGATTTTTCAGACCCTATCTGGCCTCGTCTGGATGCCCAAATGTGGTACGCGGCTGTGGGCAACTACAAGCAGAATCATTTCTTCCTGTCTTTAGTTTACCATTTGATGGAAGGAACTCCGGACGGTAAACTTTTTCCGAAGACAAGAGAGAAAGAAGATTTTTCAGTGCTGGCGTTGATGGGACATTATCCATTCGGTGCCAACAAAACCATGAACTTCGTCAGAGCCAAGCTCTACACTTACCGCTTCTCGAAGCCTACCGAGGAAGTGTGAGTAACACGGGTCGTTTTATCTTGAAGAAAAATTCCATCAACTCTAAGGAACAAATTTTTGTTTTTTTTAATGAAAAATTGAGAAGGAAAACTCATATAACGTTGTCAAATATCAAAATTAAGATGTACAAATGAGGCTGAGCAGATCCGAGTTTTTAATCTTCTCATGCCGTAAAAAATCTTCAAATTTCAAAGTCATCCCTAATTTTTTTGTTTCAGTGACTGGTGGACAAGAACCTACAAACGAGAGTACATGAAGATTATGAACAAGAGTTCCAAAACTCTCGGCGATTTTTTAAAAAGCAAGAACCTGCTCCTGGAAGATCCGCACGCATTCAAAAACGGCGCATTCGGCAAATTCCTGCAACGTCTTCACAAGACTGTCGTCTGGTTCGGACACCAAGAATTCGTGATTTTGATGTTGACGAGCGTCGTCTTGTTCCACAACTCTTGGCGACTCATGCTCTTCCGCGGACTTCTGATCGGTTAAAGTAACTCGTTTCTTCCACCTTGCCGATCTCTTCAATGCTTTATTTTTCCATTTTTCCATTTTATTATTTTGTTTCACCAAGTGCTTTTTTGTTATTGTGCTCTGCCATTTGTTGTCGGCTTATTTATTATTTGCTATTGTGTGTTGATATTATTGTTTTAAACATTGGAATAAACGGTTTGTGCCAAAATTGGTTATTTTGTTAATCGTGGTGATGATCCCAACGCTCATATTTTGTGGTTTTTTGTTAATAACAGTTATTCTGATAAAAAAAAACTTGAGCTTAGAAAAATGGAGCAAGACAAAACGAAACGAATTGGTAGATGGTATTTTGGAGGAGTCGCCGGTGCCATGGCCGCCTGCTGCACTCACCCGCTAGATCTCCTAAAGGCAAATTTTCCTTATCAAAAAAGTATAAAATTCTCACGTTTTAAGATTAGGAAATCTTTCAAAATGATAGTTTAGTGAATTGAATGGAACAAGAATAAAAGCTAAATATCAATTTTTTTTTTAGGTAAATAGTGGAATCAAAGTGTACAGAGCTTCTCATAAAATTGAACAAAAATGCAAAAGTAGATTCATCATAAAACGTTAGAACGAGAGATACGGAATGATGAAAAATCGATAATTTCCACTAAAAAAAATTGCCAAATAACTTAGCTTTCAGGTTGAAAAAAGTTGAAAAAGTGTAAATTAAATATTTATTCTAGAGTAATAAATAATCTCGGACACTTGAGGCATTTCTAGTGATTACTTCACAAGCTTCAGCCTGCTTAAATGATCTCAAAAAATGCTTAGAGACTCTCAAAGCACGTCCGGTTGCTTTTACCGATTTCCGAAATAAAGTTTTTTTTTCTACTACCGCGACCTTGTTCAATTTTTTTTTTGAAAATGAGAAATTCCTTTAAGAAACGATAAAAGTTAATAATTAAAGACCTTTGGAAGGTCAATCAGAATACAAAAAAAAAACTCAGAATTCTGATGGTTTCTATCAGAACTGTAACCTCTCTCATTAGAAGTAGCTGAAATTTTTCCTTATATCAGAGATGTAACCTCAAAACAAGCGGACATTTTTTTTGTTACAAATAAATTGAACATGACTGTTAAGGATTAAAAATTTCTCTACAGGTTCAACTGCAAACCCAACAAGCCGAGAAACTCTCAGTAGGGCAGCTGACCCTCAGGATCTACAAGAACAACGGCATTCTAGCCTTTTACAATGGGCTCTCAGCTTCAGTTTTACGACAGTTAACCTATTCGACAACCCGTTTCGGGATCTACGAGACTGTGAAAAAGCAGTTCCCGCAAGGCTCGATTGTACAAAGTTATTATTGACGGATAAGAAGTTCAGAGAAAGCAATGCCTTTTTATCAAAAGGCTCTTCTTGCTGGTTTTGCCGGAGCTGCAGGAGGTTTGGTCGGTACTCCCGCGGATTTGGTTAACGTCCGTATGCAGAATGACAGCAAGGTTTTTTTATAATTTCTTTTGATTTTTTTAATAAAGCAAGGATATTGGTTTTTGCAAAAGCATTATTTCAAATTCTGAAAATCAATAACCTTCACTGTAAAGCTTGCTATTCCTTACGATGAAAATACTATTAAAATTTTTTAGTTCCATCAGATTTTCAGTAATTTTACCCGCAATCTAAAAAAGCCTGTCACGCTTAAAGTAAAAAAACGGTCTGAGGAAATTTTTTTCAGCTGTTTCATTTTTTTCAAGCTACATTTTTTTCAAACTTGCAAACTTTAGTGGCCCCTATAGGGGTTATAGGAATTAGTGAAGTAGTCCCTATAGGAAACCCTACAAGGGCTCCCAAAGTTGCCTCTATAGGTACCACTCTGGAGTTCCTAAATTAACAAAAAAATCCAGAATTATTTGTTATACTCTCATTAAGGCTTTTTTATGGTTTCTGAGCCACTTCTTATTAAAAAAAACCAAGACAGAAAAATTCTACAGCTGCCAGCAGCTCAAAGAAGAAACTACAAACACGCCTTGGACGGCTTGTTGAGAATAACCCGCGAGGAAGGACTGATGAAAATGTTCAACGGTAATCGCGAAACTCGAAATTTCCTAATTTTCAATCATTTTCTCAAGGAGCGACGATGGCTACAAGCCGCGCTGTGTTGATGACAATCGGTCAACTTTCTTTTTATGATCAAATCAAGCAAATGCTTATTGAGAGTGGATTGGCGAAGGATAACCTGCAAACTCACTTCTTCAGCAGCTTCTGCGCAGTGAGTTTTTTTTTTCATGGAATAAACTCAGATTGCAATTTCATTGTTGATAAAAGTAGAAGAGTGCTTTTTAAATGATTTTTTTTGCTTTTTTTCATTTATAAAATCGTATTTAGTGAAAGAGCTTTTAAATAGTTTATTTGCTCTTTTTTTAAATTCTTAAAAAAATGCTGGAATGAAAAATTCATGAAACAATAACTGCAAATCGTAGAAGAGCTTCTCAAAAAAATCTGTCAAAAAATTGAAACCTATGAATTTTTTTCCTTTACTTCAGAAAAAAGACAACACCAAAAATAAGGAATAATTGTATCGTTTATTGAAATTATGTTCATTAAAATTAGAGCTTCATGGATATTTTTTCAGGCAAGTGTGGCAACAATGATGACCCAGCCCCTCGATGTGATGAAGACAAGAATGATGAACGCAGCCCCCGGAGAGTTCAAGGTTTTTTTGCTTCCAAAACTTCCAAACTTGAAAATCATCGTTTTTCAGGGTATCGGCGACTGTTTCCTGTACACTGCAAAACTGGGTCCGATGGGCTTTTTCAAGGGATTCATCCCCGCTTGGGTGCGACTCGCTCCTCACACCATCCTCACTTTCATCTTCTTCGAGCAGCTCCGCATGAACTTTGGCTACTTCAAATCTGATTGAACGAAGTGAAAATAGAGAATCTCTTGCCATGGTTGTTATTAGATAGTCTTAATTTCTGTGTTGAGTATTATTTCTGTATTAAAGATATGTTTATGAAATAAACGCATTTACTGTAAAAATACTGATTGAATAGCTACAAAAATTTATTTGCATCGTCATGAGAAAAAAATCGGCAATAAAGGGAACTTCTGAAAAATTTGGTAGAAATTGAAAGTTTTTTTGAAACGATGTCGTTTGAATCTAGTTCATTTTCAAGGATTTTTTTAATCTAATCAAGTTTTTAGAAACTGTGTAAAAAAAGCGAAGTTGGCGCAGTTCAAATTAAAAAAATTTACGTTTTCAGATCTAGGTATTTAAAAAGACTTTTTTTGAACTTTCTACTTTATTTTTTTATTAGAAAGCGAGAGAAAAAAAGAAAAAAAGACAGCTTTTCCATGAAATCTTATTATTAAAAAAACATTTCCGTTGCATGGAAAGTTAAAAAAATTAAAAACGTACCTCAAAAAAACTTTCTGTTTTCACTTAAGTGAACTTCTAGAGCAGTTGCGCCCCAGCGCACACTCAAGCACCTCATTATAACGCCTCATAGATTTTCACTTACTTTACCTCTTTTTTTCAAATTCTCCTTTTCCGTAACTGTTTAATTTAAATTAAAATTTGTTTTGGTAAAAATTAATAAAATAAGAGGTTTTAAATAATTTTTTTTGTCTTTTATCGTCGATACGAATGGCTAATTTATGATATTTCAGTAGAAATGGTGGACAAAAGTGTCCAACCGCCTGTGGAAAAAGAAAAGGCGTATTTCTGTGAGTTTTTCCAATGTTTTCAAATTTGAAATCACATTTCCAAGACTCTCGCTGAGGCGCGCGGGTACCACAATTTGAAACCAGAAGTTGCGGCGGCGGTTCAAGAAATGGTAAATTAACTATATCTATAAATTACTAAATATCAATATTTTCAGACAAGGAAGTTTATGCTGAATATTGCAAACTTTGCAAATAATTGGGCACAACATTGTCATCGGAAAAAAGTCATTCAAGAAGACGTTCAAGCGGCTTTGCGGGAGTTCAAACATATTTTGCCGGTATGTTTTTTTGTGTTTTTTTAAATTTAAGGTTGAAAAATGTGTAAAAACTTTTTTCATATGCCCAAATGCTTGAATAATTTTTTTACATAAGCATATGTATACAAAGCTTGCAAATAATAATGCTGACAGGAGAAGTTATTTTATTTTGCGGTAGGAAATTTTCGAAATTTTGCCAGAACATTTTTTGGTGTACCACAAGATCCTGGAAGTCTCAACTTGCACAGCTTCCTAGTTTTCCAGAAATAAGAGCCAGAACTCTCAAAACAGCCTTTTTTATAAGTTTTGAGGGTCTTCTGTAAATTTGAGGCGACTTTTCCCAAAACCAAAGAAGGTGAACAGGTTGGGGCTTTTAAAATATTTTTCTGGTACGTCAAAGAGCATTCTGGCCAATTTTTGAGAACAGCAAAGTAAAATGACCTTCCTTGTAAGGTACCGAACCAAACGCATTTTTGAGTTGCATTCATTTTACAAATCTTCACAAATCCGCTTTTCAGCCCCTCTTCTTCACGAAGCGATTTACTAATTTTCAACCTGCAAAAGGTTATGGCCCTGGTGTTTATACACATGTCAATCGCGAAATCGACGTTTCGGAGCTCTGTCATCAGCCGACTCAGAAAATCCCTATACAACTTCGTATTAAGAGTAGTTCTGATAAGCACAGATTTTTAATTAGTTCAAATTTTAGGTTATTTTTTGGTGATCAACGGCAAAATTGTTCCATCGCCTTACAATATCGCGCCCGCTCCAGAAGTTGAAGCTCCAGTCGAAGAAGAAAAACCGGAAGAGGAGAGGTAATATTGGTTTTCTGATTTTTTTTGAAACTTGTTTTTGCCATATTCTTTTCTGTTTCACATCATAAAAATATGGAGGTGCTTGAGTATAGCTTCACGGCTAGCTTGAGTCATTGAAATAAGGGTTCTGACTCGATAATGCACGAGATAGTTCTTGGCTCGTGGACTGGCCACGCCCCTTACTAAAGCTAGCCTTGAAAAAGCTATATATTTTGACCTGAAATCTCTTATCACATTTAATCCTTCAAAGAACTTTTAATGTCACTTCTCAATATTTTCAGCGAAGAACCAGCGGAACGACAACGCCCTCATATCTACACCATGTCGGCCAAAGAATTGTTTTCTGACTGTGTAAAAGTTGGACAGACGGAGCAGACTGTCGAAGTGCGGCCGACGATCCCAGAATCGCTAAGCGTGGTTAGTTGAACCCTTGATGTAATTTTCAAAAGGCAGTGTTTTAGGAGCAACAAGTCTTCCTAAAGGATATTATAACGACTTGTATGGGTCAGAATGACAATAAAAGACAAGAAGCTCTGCACGCTCTAGAGACTGACGCTGGTCTTCAGGTAAAAACGCTTTGAATTCCTATGAAGTTTCAATTTTTTCAGGCTCTGCTGCCACCTTTATCCAGGGTGGTCTTCAATGCCGTAAGTTTTTTTCCAGTTTTTTTTATCGCAATAGAAAAAAAAAACTTGCAACTTATTTCCAATTTTCCTGAAACTTTCTGAAGCTGCGTTTTTTTCTGCAAACTGAAACTTCGTCAAAAGTGTCAAAAATAACAGTCATCACAACTCCAGAAAGGTTCAATTTTCATGAAAAAAAAAATAAGATCAAAGGGGCGCTTTTTTGTATGTGTGAAAAAACATCTGAACATTTTTAGAACTTTTTTTTTGCTGAATTTTGTTTTTCGGTAAGTTTTTTCCACAATTTGAAAAGCCATGAAACGACATGTAACATTTAAGCCTTAAGCCAAGACCTTCTGTAAGAACTTGATTAATTTTTGGAAAGTCTTACGCGTAATTAAAAAAATAGAGAAAAACCTAGTTATTACATAAAAATTATGAAATATTCGAAAGAAATCTTTTTTTGAGGCCATATTTCAATTCTATGGAAAGACTGCCTGAAAAGAACGTTTTCAGATTATGGCCAATATTGTTCAAAGATGCCTTTCTCTGACTATTTACGCAGTTCGCATGCTTAAGGCCATAAGTCTCAACAAAACAGTTGATTTGAGGACCATGGTCAGTTTTTTCCTCTTTTCCTTTAATTCTTCAGAAGTTTTTCAGTATCATGAAATTATTCCGGCTTTGATGAGCTGCATGTTGGGCAAAAATTTATGTTTGCGTCCAGAAACGGACAACCATTGGGCCTTGAGGGATTACGCCTCGAGAACTCTCATATCTATCCTCAAGTTTTTGCCCAGTAAAATATCTATTACAAAATATGTTTCAGAGATCAAACTAAAGAACATGGAGACAACTCGAGGCCGAGAATTTTCAAGTATGCCTACAACGTTTTCAGAGCGGAATCTTCAACCGCTCCAATGGTTTATGGAGCTGTGGCCGTTCTTTCGGAATATGTTCAACCTGTAGAGGTTTGAGAACATTTTAAGCAGTTTCATGTACGGTCGAAAAGCGCAGTTTTGATGTAGAGCCTCATATCAAATGAAAGCGAAAAATTAGAAAAAAATGAAATTTTCCCCATTTGAAAGGCGAGGTAGGTGGAGAAAAAAGCGGGACATGATACTTGGCACAAGTTCAATTATCGCTTTTTAAAATTATTTTTGCTGCAAAAATAATAGAATGGATACAAAAAAAAGCGGTGACCAAACTTTTTCTATAATCGGTGGAATTCATGCCGAGAACCGCGTACGCGCACGCTACGCGTCCCGGGCACTTCTCCGCCTCTCTCGCCAAATGCAATTTTCTTTTCACTTTCAATATTTCAGGTACCAGCGTTGATAACTTGCTTCAACGAGATGATTATCAAACATAAAGCGATAATGACGGAGAACCGGGAAGGCCCCGAGTTTAACGATTTGGCCGTTTCTGAGTCCTCGAGGCTAATTGCCATTCTCGCGGTGAGAAAATCCGCTATTTGTCCAATTATTGAGGTGATATCTCAGAAGCACGAGAGTTTCCTGCGTGAGAAAGACAGCGACGAACGTTCCATAGGAAGTCAATACAAATACGAAATGGATTAATATTTTTATATTAGGAATAGATTCTTTTTTCAGAGTTCTATTTTTCTATTTTCTATTATTTTGGTTGTGTTTCGATCAGATCTCGATTCGTACTGGTATTTTTTTAGTCTTTCACGTTTTTTTTCAACGGGTTCATCACTTTGACTTTGCAAGAAAATTACAATGCTCATCAAATTTTAGTCGTTTATCATTTTCAGGTCAACTTCAGAAATCTGGAATTTCTGTGAAATCTCATTTAGGGATGGTATTAGGGATATATTATTTATAAGCTTTGCTCATCTTATTTCAATCACATTTTCTGGATATGGGTTTTTTTTTGGCTCTGTGAGCTATTTCATCTTTCAATGTGGAAAACATCGGAAATGAGAAATGTGATATTGGTTTTCTTATATTGCCATGTAATGCATTCCTGGCACTTTCCTTCTGCTCAATTATTTTACTCTTTCATAGAATTCTTTTGGGAACTACTACTGACCATGTGTCATTCATATTAGTCTGTGGTTTATTTGTTCAATTGTTTCTCGACTTTGTGAATCGCCCTTTTTTTCTGGTCTGTGAAGAATAAATATATAAATTTTTTTCATTTTTTTCAGTTGGTTGCCAAAAAAATTACAGGTTTCGAGTTTGAAAAATGAAAAAAAGTTTAGTTGTATATCAAAGAGATAAAGTTTTTTTAAAAAAACCAAAAAAACGGAGAGATCGATTTTCAAGGGAGGTGATGAAGCACCTTTATTCATTTTGAAAATTTTGATAACGTTATGCTGTGTATACACTACATGAGTGAAAAAACATGAAAAAGGTAAGCCACAACCATTTTTCTCTGCGCAGAAGTCATGCTCCATCGAGAAAAGTCTAAGAAGCAGCATAAAACTCTTGGCTTTGATGTAGAGCCGAGAAAAAAAGTGACAAAGACGACGTTAGAGATGAGGAGGACCGAAATTGCTGCGAATCGTTAATGAGCACGTTCGGCAATTCATGACGGCCGCCTTTGGCTCTGGCGGGCACGATTTAATAGGCGAGCCTCTGGGGCTCTGCCTTTCCCTCGACACACACTCAATCCGGCTTGTGGACACGCGATTTCGGCATCTTTAATCCGTTTTCTGTGCGTCCCTTTCAGTCCTCCAGAATTTCCATCTCCGATATCTTTTGCTGCCTGTGAAGTTTTGTTCTATCTCTAGTTTGAAATGTAAAAAATCTGTTGGTTTTCGAACTTTTTGTTCTTTCCGATTCTTCTCATTCGTCTTCTGAAATCTTTTTAAGGAACCGAAAGTCTTCTTGAGAAACCAAAACAAAGGAAAAAAATATTTCGAAAATCAATGATTTTAATAATCCATTCTCCGCAGGCCTGGGACAAAAAATAAAGAAAAAAAAGTTGTATCATTCTTCTCTGACATTTTATAAGCCCAGGTGATGTTATCTCAATCAAACTTCAAAAAACTGTATTTCTGACTCCAATTTACACATTTTTTTGTGGTGTTATTGAGGTCACAAGTAGAATAAAAAATGAGATAATCTCCGCAACAAAAAAAGTTCAAAATCATACAATTTTAGGATTTTCAAAATGAAAAATGTTAAATCTTCAACGACATTTAAGCTTAATGAATTTATAGGTCATTTTTTTTTGATTTTTTGACTTTTCAATACTTTGTTAAAATTAATGAATAATAACTAGTAAACTCCATAGTAAAGTATCTGTGCGAACTCTTTTTTTCTCTTACAAAAATAACTTTTGAAGCTCTCAGAATTCTTTCGCATTGATTTTTCCTGTATAATGTCAGTTTTCATTCATTGTTTTTTTCAGATAATAATTCTATTTTTGTGATATGAATTTTGAATACTTTTCGCCTAGCTAAAAGGAGAATTTGTGAGCGTTATCCAATTTGACGCCTATATTTTCTCATTTCCTTATTTCCGTTTGCAAGTTTTGCCTCTTCACTCCATAGCTTTTCCCTTTTGCGCGTCGTTTTCAATATCCCAGTACCAGTTGAAGGACGAGGCTTTTTCGCGAAAACTAATAATTCGTCAACATAGAGAGTTTTGCAGTTTTTTCTCTCTTCCTTTGAAATCCTTTGTAGAGCAGGATAGAAATGAGTTTTTGATGTTTGAAATTAACTTTATAAAATTTGAAGAAAAAAACCTGCGAAATTCTGAACAAAAATTATTATTAACATATACATTTTAAGTTTTCGGGACACTCAAAAAATTGTTTGCAGAACCGAAAAACAAAACTGAACTTTTTTCTGAGATCATTAGTCCTTTTTGCAACGAATGCCTAACAAGATGCTTCTTTTTGCGTTAAGCGTTCGCATTGCGCCGCTTCGTCTCTCCTTTAGCCATTCATCCGATTTTAGACATTTGGATGCATTCTAACCGCCCAGACCTTCTTTCCATCGAGCCCTCGGCTTCCAAGCCCAGTTTGCTTTCCTCCTACTGGTCACTCAACGTCCAAGTCCAGGTTTGGGTACAACTCGGAAATGCATGGGCAACTTCATAGCCTTGACCATCACGGCAAATTTTGAGTTCAAAGTACATTTTCATATATCCCAGATTAGCCGGATTGTCACGCGCTTTCTGTATATCAATTTTCAACCAATTTTTACGGACCCAAGGATCAATGATTGAATTAAATTGACAATTTTCGATTTTTATATGAAAAAGACTTGATGCTTTTAATTCCCTGAAGCTTTAATTGACGAGTTCTCAAGTATTTTTAGAACAATGAGCGGCTAGACTTGGACGTTAAAGGAAGCTCGCAAATGTCTCTTCCCGAGGCGCACGTCGACGAACAACCAACTCAATTGCGGACGACGAGGAGTTTAACAGGTCTCTTTTTGAGTCAGAATAAAAAAACAGCTTTGAACTCAGTTTCATGAAAAATTCACAATAGCAAAAATTTGGAACTTATCAATGTAGCGATCGTTAAAAAAATGCACTAAAAACAGCTTTTTTTAAAAGCGAATTTTTTTGCTTTTAGTAAAGATTAGCAAACAGATTCGAAAAAAATTAGCATTCTTTGTAAATTTTGTTATTTAAAAAAAGACAATATGTGCTTTATGAACGGCTAAAGCGTATGGCGGATTTGAAATTTTGATTTCGGTCCATACGGAAACATCAACTTTTGTTAAAGATTTTTTTCTAAACTATGCGATAGAACATTTCTTTCTCAAGAAAAAAAGTTTTTATCAATTAATTGAGCTGCCTGAATAAATACAAAAAGATTGTCTGTAAAAAAACTTTAAAAAAATTTCAAAAGAGTCGCGGTCATGTTAGCCTCAACACTCCAGGCCAAACCTCGATTTAAACTTGAAATGTCGGATCCGGACCGCACTCTTCATTTGACAGTCTTGGGGCAGAGCCCCGCTGACCTAACAAGCGTCATTCTTTTTATACCCCCCTGTTGTTCTTCACCCGACTGGCCGCGGTTTTCGCCATCGGTTGACCGCGAAGGCCGGCGCCCTTTTCCCCGCTGAAAGTTGATCCTTTTCTCGACAGTTCATGTACAAATGCAGTATTGTTAAAATATTAAAAATGTAATAAGATATTATTTTTTTGAAAAAAATAGAACAAGTTCAAGTTCCTACAAAAAAATTAAAAGAGAAAGGAAACAAAGAGACCTCAAAGCCGCGCCTTTTTTCGAAAAACGGCTCAATTTTTCAAATAATTTCCTGGGGTTTTAACGGCCTTGCGCAGTTTTTTTGAAGTTTTTGTAAGTTAAAAGTCTTTTAATTATTTTTCTTGAAACCAAGGGAAGGGGTGTGGTCCGTTAAAACTTGAAAAAAATTTGAGTTCAGAAAAATCAAATAATCAGGTAGAGTTTGCTGTGGGGATTTCAAACATTTGCTTAAAAATCTCTTGAAATTCTTTCCTTTTTGAGAAATTTTTTTTATAGTTTTAAAAATTTAATGCTTTCTACTCACGCTACTATAGGTTATATAAACCAACAAAAAAAAATAAATTCGTAGGCTCTTGTAGACAGAACATATGAAACGATGAAAAAAACGGAAAGTAGTTCGAATTTAGGATTAGAAATTATTCAGAAACTGAACGGTCTGCAAACACCGTCAAAAAAAATTTCTGACCTACCTTTCAACGCTTTTTCTTTAATAACTAAAAAGATCCTTGAACTTTTGAGAAGATATTCAGAAGGCATTAGTCATCAAGAAATTTCAACCCTCTGAAAATTTTCACTGCCCATATGCTTTCAAAGGAAATTTTTTTCGGGGTTTCTAATCATTCTTTCGAGAGCCAGGTGTTTTTATAACCATGTGGAATGATTAAAAATTTTGCTCCAGAGACGTAAAGCGTTTTTTTCATTTTAAAAACGAATTTTTTTCGGAAAAATCTTTTCAAAAGACTAAAAAAACTTTTTCAAAATTACGCAGGGAAAAAAACTTCCAACTAAACTTTTTTTACATTTCAGACATTTCGGGCAATTGTGAACGAGAAGAAGACTTTGAGGAGCAGACAAAGACCCAACCTCCGCCTCAAACCAAAGACAATGCTTCTTGTCGTGTTGCGGACTGGCTCACCAAACTCAACGTTAGTAAATGAAGCCCAATTGAGCTTGAGTCAACTATGAGAGAACATTGAATCATTTGAATCAGCAAAAGATTGTTCCGAAAAGCTTGCTGGAAATGCTCAAAAAAGATGAGATGCATAGTTTTCTGAAGGACTTCAATACGTTATAAGCTCTCCAGCAAGTTTTTCTGAACGCAAAGTTAGAAAAACCTTTCTTCAAAATAAATTCCCTTCTCACGCTATGCCACAATGGTTGTCTCACTTTCTGAAAGTAGGTTGGTTTCCGTTTTTTCTTTTTTTTTTCCTCCCAATTTTAACAATTGATTCAGTAGCATGCAGGGTCACATTTCTTCATTGTTAATTTCAAAATCGAATACGGGAGACCGTTTGGAATCTTTTCATATCTCCAATAAAAAGCTATGTTATAAAAATATTTATTTTGAAACATTCTACATAAAGGAAAGACAATATAATATCTACATTTATGCAATACCAGCAAGAAATTATCCGTTAAGTTGTATACACTGTTAACAATCCGGAGATCAAATCCCATTGAAAGAATTTCAGTTGCAGAAAGCGATTGATAGTGGCATATTTTGAAGCTCAGTTCCAAAAATATCGACTAGAAAACGACGATTTCGTCGCGAGGCGTGAACATCAAGTCATCGTCAATCCTGTTGATCAGAGTGAAAGAAAGGAAAATTCCAATAGAGGAAAAGAAATGCCACATATCGTGGTTGTCGAAAAACTTGAGTACGAGGCAAGGCCTGTTGAGCTCCCGAGAGATTGAAGGCGTTTTCTGAAATCTTCGCTTCATATTTTTCATCACATGAATATAACTAACACTCCAGTCAGAACCAGCATTCAAGAAGAAATAACCAGCGATGAGCCAGCAAACGGCGGACAGCAGCAGGATGATGATAGCGCGGGGATGAATTCTTTCTCTGTTTGCTATCTGGAAAAAGTGAACCTTTGTTGTATAATAAAACTACAATCATACCTTCATTATAATGTAGTAAACCAGATAGAGGAACAAATTAGCGATGAAAGGAAGGAGCAGGAAAGAGGCAAAGTCTTTGGGGCGCAACCAGAGGCCATATGCAATGCTGAAACAGGAAAGTGTTTGTATTTTCTAACTAATAACTTACAAGAAGAGGTTGATGACGTTGGCAAGAAACAGACACAGAAATCTCCCCTGGAATATTCTCTGAATTTCGCGGACAAAATGATCAATTACCGCATGCGTCGGACGGATGCAAGAGCATCTTCTTGAAGATAAGTAGGCATATTTGATGCTATTCCATAATTCATGAAATTTTATCCGCCAAACGCCCTGAAAAGAGAGATATTTTTGGAGAAATAGGAAAGAAACCTTGAAATAAAATTCGGCAGTGACGGAAATCATCATAACCACGTAGACAAGGGAAAAAGCCGCCCAAAAAATCAAGTTGTGCATGTACTAAAACAAGGAATGGGGAATATTTTTGAAGTTCTCGTACCACGCCGCACATGGCAATGAGTATGAACAGAGCGACGACGGCAAAAGCGACGTGGGCGTTTGCATTTATATCAGGATGCCGTAGTTGATAGAGCTTCAGCATTCCGAGCATACCAATGACATACATAAAAGAGGTGTCTGAAAAGGTTTTTCTTTTCTAAATAATTTTTTCTGCGCTTGAAGCTGCCAAAAGAATCTTCATAAAACTCACCAAACTGATAATTGCTACCAGACGGGCAAATGTGATAACTGGCGGACAGAACTCCTTCTAGAATCACGGCAAAACTGAGGGCGTTCATGACTCCTCCGTGCTGGGGAAGACCAAAAACCTGAAGTAATACCATAGTTCTCTTACAAAAAATAATGTTACCGTTTCAAGTTCTTCCGCTTTGGCTGCCATTCTCTGGTAGCGAACTTCTTTTTCCTTATTCATTATCACCAGCAAAAGACCCAGCAAAATATAACCCATGTTGCTGCAAAATGAAAGAATAAGTTTTATAGGTTCAAAATTTTGAATACCTGATTATATTATTGAAGGCGAAAAAAACCCAAAGAAAGGTTTCGCACATCGAAAGTTGTAGTAGCACAAATCAAGGTCGCCAGAAAGGCGCACCGTATTTTGCCAAGTCAAAACAAGTTGAACAACTGGAAGACCGTAAAACAAGCCTACGGTAGCTAAGGAGCTGCAAAATCAAAACATAGATGCCAGAATAATCATTCTGAACTCACACAAGATAGACTTTATATTTCTTCTCTCTTTGTTTCCACGTCTTCAAAGAAAGGTCTGCCACGACCAAATTTCTCTAAAAATCAACTTTTACAAGAGTTTTCGTGTTGCAAAAGTACTTTTGCTCGCCGGACCAGTTTTTCCTGCGAATCTAGCAAAACGTCGTAGCTGCTGATGGAATCGTCATCCCGCATGATTTCCTCTTCTATTTGAATTCTTTGAGTTGCCGTACGATCTGTTAACTTATTTAAATGATATAACAAGGACAAAAGAACATACGATCCAAGAAAGAGTGATGCTGCTCCATAAATTTCATCTCCATTCGATAATCCGCTATCATGTAGGCTATGGCAAAGAAGTAAATCACAGCTATCACGGAAGACGCAGTAACTAACGGGATCACGTAATCACCATCTTAAAAACTTGAAGTTCCAACCGAAATACAAAACCTCAAACTAACTATTGGCCCATTCGACAGTGATGTTCATATTCTTCATGATTATTGGACTCCTAGTTGGCTCTAAAAATAAGAAAAGTAAATTTTAAAATTTGGCTCAATTTACTTTTCGGTACGATATCAGCCATTTCCGAACAGTAATTGTTATTCGGGTTGACCACGAAAATGACGTAAAACTGCGGCATATTTTTCCTCTGGAAAACTTAATTCTTAAAAAAAAGTCGAGAAAACAAGAAACCTCAACGGTGATCGTTGCAGAAGTGGACATTGTTTGATGCATCCCTCCAGAAATTACATTATTAGTCAGATCAAATACCGGACACTAAAAAGAGTGCTTTAAAAACTTTCAATAGAAAGAAAATTTACTCCGATTGGTTGTATGGAGACTGTCGTACATGCGTGAGAATCTGAATCCACATGGACGAAGACTGAATCAACGTCCTCCGGAATGTCGTACTGCAAGTAAACCGGCTGAGATGCGCTGGCGGTGACTTGATGGGGTATGCCAGTTCTGAAGAGAGAAATGAAAGATATAGCTATCAAAATGCACATACTTCAAATTGAAATCTTCCAGAAGCGTAGCTCGAAAGTTATACCTCACTTTTTTATAACTGCTGAACTCTACAGTCAACCTCTCCGGGTCCTGAAACAAAGTTTGCAACATTTCCCCCTTGAAAGCTCACTCTATTCGAAGAAAAAGGGCAAAGCGTCCTTCCAGCTACATTGTACTCGTACTTTTGAATTATTATCGGAACCTACAAAAGATTATCAAAATATCAGAAATATTACTCCAACAAAACCTGTAAGGACATGACGGCTTTCCGCTCTCGGAAAACGGCCAGGAGCGGAGAATCCAAATCGCTGTCATTGCTGCTTACAACAACTCTTGCCACGATATCCTAATGACATAAACTTTCAATATTGGAAACTCCCTAGAAAATTTACCGATTTTTCAACAGGAAACCGGAATATAGTGAGCGAAGAATCAGGTTCAGTTTGATAAGTGTAAAGCTTGTTCCATTCAGCTTCTATCACTTCCGAACCGCTTGAAATAGAAAAAGAATAGAGTAGAAGACTGAAAACAATTAGAAATCGCTGACGCATGGTAAAGCGAATTTAAAAACACGCGACACCCGCTGTTGACGCTTGGAAAACGTCAAATGCGCCCCATCGATAACTTAATCTTTCTGATCACATACCTGAACAAACTTTATAAAAATTAATTATTATAAAGTTTCAAAACAATTCTTTTATGAAATTCACCTGAAGTTCACTCGATTAAAGTATCCTAAAAACAAATAATTAGGGTTTCACGGTTTTGATCCTTTTTGCCTTTTTGAAAAAAATATTTGTTAGAAAAAAATACTATCCAAAAACCGTTCGTAAGATATCAGAAATGTTTTTTTCAGGAAAAACTCAGGCTTTTTCTGATCTTTCAAATTTTATAGGAAAAATGTTTTTTTCATATTTTTTTCTGATTCTTACACGAATTTTCCTACGAATTTGCTTAAAAAAACTCTCATTTAAAAATATTAATTTTTTTAAATTTTACGTAGAACACAGAATTAAGCCCTACAAGGAGGTCATTTTAAATATTGACTTGAAATTTTCTACAAGTTTGCTCGAACGATTTCTGAAGGTTTATATGACGATCCATCAGCGTTCGAATCCGCGCCAGTTTCTAGTTTTGAAGGTCGAAAAGTTAGGCCTAAACCGATTTTTCACAAATTTGAAAAGTTATATCTTAGAAACTAGAATTTTGCGCAGACACAGGTAATGACATTCATAAAATGTCTGAGCAAATTTGTTGGTTTTTCCAAAACGCAAAGTAAAATTACCTCCCTGGTCAGCTTATATTTTAAGTTTTACCTTGACTTTTTTCTTTCTCGGTAAGGTTGCGAGAGGTTTTTATGAAACTGACAAAAATGCTTCTGAGCTGTCACTAAGCTGAATTTCAAACTCAACTTGACCGCAAATTAAAACTTCAGCCTTGTCTTGAGTAAAAAACAGATTTTTTATTGTAATTTGTAATCTCGATCATTGAATGAAACGGCAAGATCAATTGAGTGGCATTTGTAAATCTTCCTGCTCCTTCCCATCCTGGAACTGTCGTCTCTTCAAACCTAAATATTGAAGGATAGAATGTTAAAAAATCGGACGACCTTTCTTTGTGTGTTTTATCCACTTTCTCTTATCGTATAATTCTCTTAAATTTTTAAAAGCAAAAGTTATTAAATTGAGGTAATTCCTAGAAGATTAAAAAATTCAAACACATTTGACTTGAAAAAACTCTCCCGCAATATCTCATGTTTCTCTGTCCTGAAGCATAAAAATTTTCAGATTTTAATTCCGTGGGAGTAAGCAATACGAAAAGCGTATCTTATGACTTTTGTTTCAAGCTGAGCTGCGGATGCGTAGGTTGGCGGGGGTTTAAACCAGAAAAAAACACGGGCATATTACAGCGTAGCGTTTCTGCAGTTTTTTGAAAAAAAACAAATTAGATCCATTCGAAAAATTAACAAAATTTATAGAAAATCATGTAAAATAAAATTTTCTTATTTCTGGAAACAGTTTTTAGCAGAACAACTTGATGATGCTACAGAAAAACGGGATTTTCGCTCATTTAAACAAAGCTCGCTTAATTGATAATTTTGAGAAAACAAGTTTGCACCAGCGCCCTGCATTACTTCAATGTTTCAAAATTTCTGCAAAGCTGCTTGCGTCAGATATCAATCTGGAGACATTAGTCTTTTTAAAAAAACTCAGAAAATATGAAATCAAACTACTAAAAAGGGTTTTTTTCGTTCAAACTCACTTCTAGAAAATTTCAAAAAATCTTTCACGTTTTGAGAAGATCGATAATGTTTGAGAACAATCCGAGATCGAAATTTTGTCTCTCAATCGATTTTCTGGCCGTTCTGTGCAAAACCTCAACATCTTTCTTCAAATTTGCAAGCTCTTCAAAACAGACCATCAAGACTTTATCCGAAAAAAAATGACAGAGTGGAGTGCCGGACCCATTCATTTATTACACACAGTGGCAAAAATGTGACAAATAAAGAAGACTAATAGAAAACATCGACCAATTTGGGATTGGCGTATTGGTTTGACAAGATGAAACAAGCAACGGTAGGGCAAGGAGGTGGGCGAAAAATCGGAGAGATGAGGTTTACTCTTCCTCTTCCTCCTCCTCCTCTTCCTCGACCTCGGCGTCATCTGGAATATTCATCTTGATTATTTTGAACAATGATTTTCTCACAAAAATGGAACAAATAGTTTGGGTTATAACTGACCAGGGTTCTCCGCCGGAGCTTCCTCTTCCTTTTCTTCCGGAGCAGCAACTGGCTCAGGCTCGCTGACTGGGGCGGCCTTCTCTTCCTCCTGCTTGGCGGCTCCCTTCTTGCTCCAGTCGGGCTTGTCGTCCTTCTTCTTCTGAAATTTGAGAAATGAGAAAACTCATAATGTATGTCGGAACTAACAACGTTGGTGATGGACTCCATAACGTCCTTTTTGACGTTCTTGAGGTTGGAACGGAAGTCGCCGCTCTTGCTTTCTCCGCTCTTCTTGAATTTGTTGTCGTACTTCGACACCTTCTTCAAGGAAGGCTTGACGCTGAAAATTTGATATTTAGTCAAGAACAATAAATAAAAAGCTTACAATTTTCCTCGAAGGTCGTTGACTTCGATGGTGAGGGAGTTGATCTCGGATTCAGTTCGAGAAACAACCGAGTTGATCTCGTACTTCTCTTCTTCCAGCTGGCAGACGCGGTTGAAGAGGTCGTTGTAGATCTTTTCAAGCTGACCTGGAATATCAAATCAAGTAATTTATGCATCGAAGGAGTAAAAAAAAGTTGAAATAGAATAGGATTAATGTCAAACCCTTGTCGTCGATGGAGTCGACGTTGGGAAGGGGAATGGTGCGCTCGGCAAGGACCTTCTGTCTTTCCTGTTCCTTCAGGAGTTGCTGTCTCTTCAGGTCTTCGGCGGCTTTCACCATAAGAAGCTTCTGAAAGTTCCAAAATGAAAACATTCCACTAGAGTATAACGAACTCGGAGCTTCTTCTTACGCTCGGGCGTGAGGAAACCCTTCTTGGAGTTCTTCTTCTGGCCGGCTTCCTCGAGACGCTTGCGGACCTCGGCCTTCTTGCGCTCGCGCTCCTCAGCTTTGCGCTGCGCATCCTAAATCCGTTTATTCTTTAATTTGTACTTTTTTATTGAAGGTGCTCACATCTCCGGCGTCGTCGCTCATCTGAAAATGAAAAATTGAATATGAGCATAATGATTTTCACGTGTTTAAAGAGCACACGAGCAAAAGAAAATCCAAAAAACGGTAGATACATTATACGTTTGCGAATTTGTGGAACAAAAATTGAAAAGCAATAAAATGATAAGAGTTCTCAAGAAATGCAGGAACAAGATTTTTCTCACTATTAACCATGAAAGAACTTTGAAAGCTTAACTTCAGCTACCTGACAAGCTCAAAAAATTGATAGCGGGGCCAAAACTGATTCAGATATAACTTAGAACTGTCTTGACGAAATGAAACGATTTCTCAGGCACTAGGCTACCATCTGAACAGTTTCAAGTAGTCAAGGAAGAAGAAAGGACAGCGAATGAGAAGGAAGGAGAAATGAAAGCCCTGAGGCGAGTGGCACCGCTGCCGCTCGGCCAAGCTGACAGACTATGAGATCGGACCTCCGCCCAGGCCCTCGGCCGGCTAAAGATAACTGCATCAGTGTAATGCGTGCCTACCAATCTGCGACGCGCCGCCTCGCCTGCGGTATGTTGTGCCGTGGAGACGGCAGACGAGCTCTCTTCGTTGTAAAACGCGAGAATGGCTTCTAGCCGGAACCGAACGCCTCGGAGTTTTGATCAATCGAATTGATTTTTGGATTGGATAGATCATGATTGGGGGATTTGAAGCGCGAGCTGATAACAATAACGGTTTTTGAAAAGGTTAAGACTTGTCATTTTGGCGATATATCGCCTACACGGGGCATTTATGAATTTCAAAGACTTACAAGCCATTTTGCGCCCAAAAAGCTTTTTATTTTCTTTTTTTTCAAAGGTTCTTGGTGCTTCTAAATGCCACAAAACGTTTTTTATATATAGAAACAAAAAAAAACATTTCTACTGAAATTTCGGATAACGCGAACTTCTTCGTATCATCAAAAACTGTTTAATTGATTTCATAACTATTTTCATTTTCTAAAGAGTATAAGTAAAACATACAAAAAACCCATAAACTCGAGGGTCAACTTTTTTTAAAAAAATTTTTCAAAAAGTTTCAATTTGAATCTCAGAATTACAAAAATTCTTCTTTTTTTCAACAATTCTAACTATCTTTAAAAAGCCGTTCATTTTAAAAATTTATTATTTGAAATTTATTTTTTTAAGCGGTTTTGATCAATGAAAATTGAAAAAGCAAATTTATGACTTAGTCTTTGTCATCACTTGTTTCATTCGAAATTCCTGGGTTTTTTATTCAAGAAAATGAATCTTGAGTTGTTTTTGTTTGGTTTTCAACAATAGCTCAGGATAATGAAAAAAAGTCTCCCCCTATAGAAATTATTCCGATTGAATATTATAGTTGAGAAAAATTTTTCAGATAATCCTAGATTTATGGGTTTTTTTGATTGAACTACTCACAGTAACAAATATATTTTTTTGATGGTTTTATCTTTTTGATGAAAATGCTTTAACTCTCAAGTTTTTCAACACAAACTTTTTTCTGATTACTAATTTTCATCAAACTCTTTGCCTTAAAGTGAGTCATAGTAGTGTTTCAACAGTTCGGTGTCAAGTTACTGCAAGAGACTAACGAACATCGAGCTTATGTCTTTGTGGTTTTTCAGGACGTTAGTTGAAAAGTCGACGGCGGGGGCAGCTGCGTGGGGTTACACTAGGTCTGAATTGCTGGAAGAAACAGAAAGCAGAAAAAAAAGAAGCCTCGATCATACACCGCTGCGAGGAGCAGCACGTTGTTTCCGCAGCTCACGTCTATCCAACCCCTCATACTTTTTTGTTCTGCTGGATATATCTAGACCGGGAAAAAAAGTTGTGATGTAATACGAGTTCATCTTGAGGTGAACTTTAACTTTTGAAAAAAAAGACTAGGGAAAACAATTTTTTCATTGAGCCTGTTGAAACCTCAGGCAAAATCGGAAAGGGTGGAGAAAGGCTTCATAGAAATGTCCTTTTTAAGGTGATGAAGGCTCCCTTTTTGCTGCCTTTTTGCGCAATTTTCTCACCCCGTACGAACCATTTTTGCTGCTTCTCCCTTTTTTCACCATTTCTTGAGCCTTTGAAATCCCAGAAAAATGGAAGGCTCAATACAGGGACTCTTTTTGCCACCTTTCTGCGGCCTTTTTTGAGCCTCTTTCTTTTAGCAGCCCTTATCCACCATTCCGACTTTGCCCGAGACCGGACGAAGAAAAAAGTTTTTCAACATATCAAAAGACAAAAATGAAAACTTTCGAACAGAAGTCAAGTTTGATCTCCCAAATAATGAGGCCTCAAGCTCCAGGTTTTTGCAAAGACTCTAATCAAATAAAGGATGGTTTTGTGAAGAAGTGGAAGTTCTCCTGATAATCTTTCAGATCTTTATTCACGGATATGCATATAAACCACAGCGTAAATCAACGCCTCAATAAAAAAAGAAAATATAAATAACTCTTACACGTGAGATGCTATGAAATACAAGGTCAAAAAATCAGTAAAAGAACTTTGACGTTGACAACATAAGGAAACCTAATATTTTCGCGTAGGAAGATGACACGTCGTTGTTAATAAAAACAGCAGCTGACACGTTCAAAAACTGGCAAAAGCGCGGCAATTGGCAAGCGTTGAAAGAAGAGTTGTATCGAATATCTTGACATGTGAAGTGCGTAATTTGAAAGCGTGGCTAGATATATTATTTTTCAGAAAGTTTCGGTTAGACTGTTTCTAGAGAGAAAGGATTATAAATAGGCAATGTCCTCGTCGCTGCTGACGTTCTTGTCGAAGAAAGAGTTGTCTTGTAAGTTTCTATATCCCGAACTGCGATGGACTGCGTTCGAGCTCGAAGATGACCTTTAAATAAATACTTCTTATTTCTCGACTCTTGTGTTGAAAGTGCATTTCAATCAAAAATGAAATTCGAAAAAAAGTTGTATGAAAGGACTTGGATTTTGCCTCTTTTGTCATGGTAATGACACGTTTGGGACTACCTAAAAAGTTCAAATTTTTTTCTTATCGCGCTTGGAATGGTTCGAAGCTTTACAGTCGCACTGCGATTAAGAAAAAGTTTCCAGCTTTTAATAAACGCAGAAGCTCAATAAAAATATTCACGATAAGCCTGAAAGCTTTTTACTCTCGGAAACAGGCTTCTGAGTTAATGTAAATAAAGTTTGAAACTCATATTCCTAACTTCAAAGCTCACCTGGATAAAACAGGAGAAGCATTAAAGTCAGGTCTGTCAAACAAAGTGTCGAAATTCAGTTTGGTCCTGTCAAGCGTATCCATCGATGAGTACCTCAATTTTTGGATTTTTTCTGGAGAGCGTCTGTTTTTTCAATTATTCAGATACGATTCTACTTCAAAGATAAAAAGGTTCATGCAGTTAAAACAGCATTTTTCCATTCATAAATCGAATAATCATCTTCTCTAGTTTTCCAGCTTTTTCTCAAAATCCAGAAGTTACTTTGTAGAGTTTGTTGGTAGCAAATGATCTTTTCCCAAAGGCTCCCGTGAAATGAACTGAACAGTGTTCGAAAAGCGAATGTAGCTGAAATCCGTGCAATTAGGTTTCAATGATCTTTGTGCTGAGTAACCGCTGTTTTGCGGCCTGACTGATGTCATTGGTGGTGGCTGATTTATCGATGCCACGCCGAACCTCGCAGAAGCTCGACATCTTGCTCAGCGACTTGCTACTGCTGTACTGCAAGGCCTGCAACTCGTTAAGCTCGTTTTTTTCTCCAATTCTCAGAGGCCCTCACCGCTACCAGCTGCGAGATGAAGGCTGATCTTTCTCTTGCGTTCATTTTGTTGAGTGGAAGTTCATCTAATGGAGTACTGTAAAGATCGGAATGGGGCAATGAACAGTGCGCTGTAAAAATCAATTAATTAGAAAAACATGTTCATCCAGGCCAACATGGAGCATTGTTGCTAGCGCTATCGACGATTGCTCGGATTTCCGCCGATTCGCTTCCGGGAGAGCTTGAAGAGTCACCTGACAGATTTTGTTCTCTTGATCCACCACCGTCGCAGGTTGATCTAAAGAGGAAAATGTAAAAGTCGGGAAACAGTTCACTTACTTGTAGTGATTATTTATTGAAAAAAGCGGTGATGTTTCACTACATGAAGTACTACGTGGTGCAACTTCATTCCTGCAAATAATAATATTAGAAAATTTGTAATAAATGCACTATTCAAAAAAATTGAGAAAACGCACGTTGCTTTGGTGCTGTGGTTGATTTTGGTAGAACTATTCGCAAAACCGTAAGGATCCTTTTTGCCGCATCGAAACATCCCAATAAAGTCTTTCATAGCTTCTCTGATCAATATTCATTCTATGAATGGTTTTGAGAAAAGTTTCAACAAACCTAAATTGAGCTCTCATTTCTTTGTTGAGAGAGAAATAAATGACAGGATTAATCATATGGGTGGTTGAGTAGAAATAACTATTGAATATCATAGCGGCCGTTGATTGAAACCAACGACTGTAGTAAGATATGTAGTAGGCGGTCATGTACCCGTAAAAGATCAGAGCAACTACCGTAATCTGAATAAGAAGTGTAAAAGGTCAATAAAAAACCACAGACCTGCAGAAGGATGCGTTGTTGTTGTCTATTGGCTCTTCTGGCTGCGATTTCGCGGACGTTGTTCGTACTCTGTTTGCTGCCCATTTTCATGGACATTTCCAGCAACATCGTGCTTGCCCTGTCAAGTCCATAGTGAAAGCAATGTGGAAAATGGAAACGTGCCCAAAGGATACGGTACAGTAAGCGTGAAGCGTTTCTAAGCCGGCTGGTGCCGAGAAAAAGAAAAGTTGGATCAATTTTTATCAAAAGTTATGAAAGATAAAAGAATGAAAAACAGTTTGCAAACGCTCATGCATCATTCCAGAAAAGAGGCTTCCATTCCGTCCCTTACTGTACCTCAGCTAATTTATAAACATGCATAAAGTTACTCCAGATATAAACTCATTCTAACACTATTCTAGATGGAGATGAAAGAGTTGATCGGAGCCTAAAACTTGATTTTTCCTGTTTCTTGATGATTCAACATCGATTCAAGGCAAAATAAAGATCTGGAATTATTTTGATGGAAAAAAACAGATTTTTGAAAAGTGCAAAAAAGCGAAAAAAAAAAAAATAAGAAAGGAAAGACGCATTTTCTCCATTTTTATCACGCGTAAAGAATCAGTGAAAAGAAGAAAAATACAGGAAGAAATTTTCTATAATCGAGCTAGGAAAATAATTAGAAGACTTGCCAGTCGAAGGTGCGGTTTGTCCTAAATTTGAAAATGAAAAGGTGCTAACGAGGAAGATGATTAAACTTGGAACTTCAAATTCTTTAGAAATTTAGAAAAATCCCTATAGGAGTTATTCTTTAAAAAAACAATAAATTCAGCCTGTTGGCATTTTTTTGAAGTTTCTTTGAATACTAACAAAGAGTGCTTCCGTCAGTTTCAAAAAAACTTCATAGCTTCGAGTAAAATAAACACCTCAAAAAGTTCCATGTAAAGAAAATTCAACAGAATTGGAAAAAAACCGAAAAAAATAGAAATTAATCTATACGATTTTGAAAAAAATCTTGAAATTCATGGTTTTGAAATGGAAAAGAGAATTATTCGATAGAAAAAAAGACAAAAAAAGATAGCTTTGGAATATGAAAAAAACACAGGGACTCACACCAACCTTTGCCATTGCGACCGCTGTGTCTTCAGAAGCGAAGAAGAAGACGTTGAGCAACTTTTTGAGCTCCTTGTCTGCAAAGCCATCAAGAAAAAAACCACTGCACCCAAGTTCGAGCAACCGTGCAATTTCAGATCAAAAAAATAAATGAAAAAAACTAAAATTTTCTTTCCTTTTCTCTCTACGTGTATTTTAATATAGTTTCCGACGAAAAAAATAATGATTTTCGAGTAAGTTTTGTAAGATGAAATAAAGAAAAAAACCGGAAAAGGAAATGATAAAATAATAAAATGCGATAATATTGGCGAAAGCGATTCCCTGTTCCGTTTTTGTGCAAATCATGCAGCTTGCCACAAAGTTCACTCGTTTTTGAACTCATAAAATAAGAAAAATATTTCTACTTCGAATGAGAGAAAAAACTCACTGACGCAATGCGATTTTTCTCTTGTGCCTTCGGTACAGTTGGACCAAGGTCGTGGGATTGCTGATGGTTAGTACAAGAATTGTGACGATTTCTACTGGCGTGTAGGCCAAAACATACACATTGAATTGAGCTAAACATTTTTTCTTTGAAACTTTTGATCCCGAGTTAAACTACCGATTTCAATGTACCCGAAACTGTAATAATTTAACGACTCTAACGGTCGAATCATGCAGCACGCATGTAGGGCAAATAGTGAGACGTTAGTTGTTAGAAAAAACGTCCAACACAAAATACTGAAAACATTTTTTGTTATGAAGTTTTTCTGATTTTTCATAGGTTACCTGAAGTTACGTATGCGGTTGACAGTGACTAATACGTTGTATCTTCCATATAAAATTATGGCGGTTAGACGATCAAGACAAATTGCTGACATATGTCTGGAAACAATAATGAGAAGAGAATGCGAAAGAGCAAAAAATTAATTAGAAAAAAAGGAAAAATGGGATGCCTTTTTTCGTATTACCTGTGAGGGATTTTTAAAGATTATTTGCTAATATAACATTTATTGGCTTTTCGAAAAATGCCTTCAGTTTTTGAATTTACTCGATCGATTACTCCAAGGTGCTGATATCCTGAAAAAGGCCCAAAATCGACAAATGGTTAGGCTCCTTGGATCCTTCGAAGCGATTTTTAAAACATTTTTCGACAAAAATGAATATTTCGAAAAAGAAAGTTCCAGGCAACAAGTATATTCATAAAGAGCAACGATTTTCATTGTTTTTTCCAAAAGTTCAGAACTCATTGGCTCACGTCAAAGTAATCGCCCAAGCCGTCCAATCAGCAATATTGAAAAGACGAATGCCCAGCTCCCCGATGTGCATCCGTTTCAAAACGATCGGTGGGTAGAAATGACAGGTCGTCACAAAACCGTGCACGACGTCGGCAATCGCCAAATTGAGCATCAGTATGAAACTGAAACAGACTTTTTAAGTAGAATCGCGAAAAATCCAAAAATTCAATGGTTTTTCTATCCTCCAACCATTATTTTTTGCATTTTTTGCTTCTTTAACTGAATTTTGGAGATACACTTTTCATGGACTTTTGAGCTATTTTCCTCGCATGAAAATAAAGTTTCATTAAGCTTCGAACTATCAATAAATCCTATGAAGTTTATAATAAACCTTGCTCTGTGGAGATATTTGTTCTTGAGTAGTACAATAATCAGCGCCAAGTTTCCTAAAATGGCGCATATACCAAGCGACTCGAGGCCGCCAAAAACGAGGACGTCCACTAATCCAACCCGACTTGTTGAATTTCTTGGCATCACCTGGAAAATGAAAATAAAATTTTGAACAAGAAAAATCGAAAAATAGTGAGCGTGATCAAAATTATGAAGAGACGGAAGAAAAGTTGCGTTTTTCAGAGTATTCTCAGTTTCAATCAGTGGAATATGAAGATCCAGTGATGTTTCAGGAACTTGCTCAAAAATCCTTTAATTTTATTAAAGTCTAAAAATTTCGCTTGGAACGAAAAAAGACAAAATCTATGACATTTCAGAAAATCAATACCTTCGCTGAGATTCTTTGGATTACTCGACCAAAAAAGGAAGTTTAACCGGTGCGCGCGAGCAGTTTGAAAATGCATGACCTGAGTAGGTGGCTGCACTAGGGAGTAGAAAACGCCTTTTTTTCAAATTTGCCACGTACAGAGCTATGAGGGTTCAATTCGCAAAGCTTTTGAAAAAAAATACAGTAAAGGCAAGATAAGGAAAATAATCTTTGGAAATTTTTTTGTTTTTTTGGTTTTTGAAAGTTTCGAGAAGTTTGAAATGAACAAAGAATGGCGAAAAGGCACACCTCAAAAGGTTTCTTATGGAATCCTGATTCAAAAAAAAAGAGGGGTCTACCGTCTTTCGTCCTTCAGTTTTTTTGGATGCTCTTGATTTATTTCAATGTTGTATTTTTTTCCTAGGTTAACGCTCATGGCCTTTTTTTCTTAAGAAAGGCTAACTTTTTGATTTTCCAATTGTTCAAAAATTTTAATTAAAAACTTCTTATAGCACGCGTTCGAAAAATTTATATAGATTTTTTTCGCTTATAAGTTGTTATAATGAACTATTCGATCAAGATAAAAGAATTAAAAATTTTACCAAGAAACTTCTGCAAGGATTTTTCCGTAGAATGAACATGTGAAACTCAAAAAAACACGTTATTTTCTTTCAAAAAAATAAAGTGGGCCTTTCTGTGGCTAATAGTTGGCACAGCATTGCACCTTTTCTCTGTGTTGATCAGTTCCTTTTTGGATCGTAGCTAATATTACCAAAAATCTATCGCCGTTAGAGAAACCGCCCCACGTCAACAATTTCAAAAAAAAAATCCGTGGATGAATATTTCGCACAGAGCAGAAAACGATTTTCTCGCCTGACACTGAAGACAACTCGCAATTACTAGAATTCCTGCATTCCTCAATCTCACGGAGGTCCAATGGGTCTTCCCTAGGCTCCCGAAAGGGACATCTTCTAAAGCTTTCGAAATTTGATAGTGCACCAATTGCGAAAAAGGATGCGTAGAACACGCTCATTTCCCTACGCAAATTGACCGCAAAGGAGCCCGGCAAGTTTTCGCAAGGAAGCTTCTTCAAGTGAAAAACATTCCATCCGTTGAAAATTTCGATTTTGCAAATGATTTTACTGTTTCACTAAGAGAGTATCAGAATGGACGAAAATAACGATCCAAAATTATTCAAACCGATATATATTTTGAAAAAAAGGCTATTTAGATTTATTTTAAATGTATAAACGACTTAGCTAGTTATTTAAATAAAATTTCACAGAATTTCTCCATTTTGCTCAATAATTATTTTTGAGCTTCGAATTCATTTTTTTCAAAAAGAGTATGTTTATATGAATTTTTTTGATCTTGGGACGCGGAAGAATCAGGAAGAAAAAAATCATGATCTTTAATGAGAATAACGAGCTCAATAAGTTGCCGACACCATGAAAAAAATTAGAAAAAAATCAAGTTTTATCCCTTTAGATTGTTTCTTGATTCATTTGACTTTCTGGACAGAATAAAGGTTAAAAAATTAAACTCAACGTTTTGGCAATAATCAAAGTCATGTAAGGCGGTTTTTCATAACTAGAAAAAAAACTTTTCTAATCACTTGTAGTGGAATCAAATATCAACCATTATCAATTTCAAAAAAGTCACAGCGGCAGGAAGAAAATCACTAATAACGAACACCGAGATTCGAGGCGGAACAAAAAAAAAACAAGCACGAGATTCTGAAAGCTTTCAACACATTTCTAATTGGCACACGCCGCAGTGTTCTTTTACGGAGCAGCTTTACTCTGAACACTTATTACCGTTTTCAGAGCTCTGAAAAAGTCAATCTAAAAAGGAAAAAAAAAATGACACGGATGGCTAGAGAAGCTTTTGCCGCTACAGTAAACCGCGGAGCACGAAAATACTCAGTTTCACGCGTCGCTTCGTGTTGGGAGATAAATTGAATTTTGCCGAACATGACAACGAGACAATGAATATGTTGCGACAATGAACATCGGGACGTTTTGGAAGTGCATGGAAGGCGGGCAGACATTCATCCCCTCCTGCATCCTGCTCAGAAACCGCCATTTCGTTTTGGGAGAAAGCGAAATGGCTCAAGAAATAAGATTTTTTTCCCAAGCAAACAACCAAATGCTTGTTTCTTCAGGCAATCAACTCATGCCGGGATAATCCACTTTGGGAAGTTTTGTTACCTTGAAAATCTTTCCGCGATTGAGTTGCTGAGGAAAGAAAGACTAGAGAGAAGTCGGATGGGAGTTTATGAGGATGAAAAAAAAGGAAGTTTTGAAGTTTTAACCATTGACGTTGGATGCAGTTCGTGAAGTTTCCTGACTAGAAAAACTCTGAAATTCGTCTAGATCTTTAAAAAATAATTTTAGTATCGTTTTGATGAATTTCTGGAACTTTGGCAGGAAAGTTTTTCAATCCCTCCGACCAAAAATTTTGAAAAATCACAACCTATAAGATAAAATTTTTTAAAAAGCTTTTCCAAAAGTGCCTTAAATTCAGAAAAAACCGTCAAAAAGTCGTAATGGAAAGTTTTTTGAAAAAAGCCTTTCAATCCCAAAATTGAGGCTTTCAGAAATTTCGCTTAGTAAATGTGATCTAATTCTAAAATTTATTTCAAAAAGAAAAAAAGAGATGAATTTTCTGTGAAAAATCAATTTGTGATTCATTGTGCTGGAAGATAAAAAGAGCCAAAAAAATTGGTTTTCCACTAAAAATCAAATTTAGCTTCTTTTCGTAAAAGTGAGTTAAAATGTCCATTTTTTTGTTTCGTATAAATTGTACGAAGTGGTTTAAATAACTGGATTCTAAAAATTACCATATTCAAAGTTTACAATATATATTTTTCACCATCACTATTATCAATCGCAACGGCGTAATTGATCCCCCATTTTTTCTAACAACTGTATGAAAATGAGTAAAAAATAAATTTCCCGGAGCTTCGACGCGGAAATGATTATGAGGAGCTGACTTCAGCTCGCTCGAATGGTTTGCCAAATTGGACTTGACACTCTGAGGATCTTAGTTATGTATGAGAGATGCAGAAATTTTCGATATTGAGAGGGGCGGTGGCAAATCTCCCAATGAAATCAACGTGAGAAAAAATAAGAGCATCGCTGAAAATAAAACGTATCAAGATGAAAATGGGCCAAAACGCGGAAACATGCGGATGAAATAGAATAGTGAAATATGAAGCACAAACACACCGACACACATTTAGACTCTCCCGCGCGCATTTGACGACTTCTAGGAAAAAAAAGTCGAGCGTTAGAAAAAAAAATGCTACGGGTGCCATTAAAAAATTCAAAATTAGTATGAAAAGGTGACGATGGTTGTAAAAAATAGAACAGAATTAAATTGGCGCATACCGAAAGAATGTCGTTTTCCATCTCTAGGTGACGTCGCTTCCAAGACAAACGTGATCACATTTATGTCAAAAAGAAAGAATAAATGTTTTTCAACAAATGTGGCAGCTTGAATAAGGACGTACTAATTGATGCAATTTGGGCCGCGAATTTGAATTTCGATGACCTCATGAACAAAACGAACAGAATCCGATCTTGCTAAGCTGACTTTTTTGTTTTCTTCAATTTTCAACGTTGGGTAAAGTAATCAAGCATTAGATAGAAAATTCAGTTTTTTCAACTTTTTCTACCGTAGTCCTTGAACATCTAAGCACGTTTTGCATAAAATTCATTCTCCTTTATCCTCAGCCAGCTCAATTTTCTGAAACCATCTATGTGTGAAAGATTTCCACATCAAGGTGATTTGAGAAAATTGGCAGACGCCGGGAGAAAAGAAAAGACGTTTGCCAAAGAAATTGTTTCAGCCCCCGTTTTTGGTTCTTCTTGCCACACAATCAAGCGACGGGAGCCGTTCGCGCTTAAATGCCGAAGACGAGTTACTATCGGCTGCGCTTGAAAAAATAAAGCTGGCTTTAAAGCTCTTTCCGAAAAAATGAAAAATAGAACCCAAATGCTACTGGATTTGATACGTATATTTATATATAGAAAAAGCAACACTCCCTAATCGAGTTGCCCCAAGGGAAAGTGGCGGCGTACAGCTTCGAGTTATTCCGTGTTGCGAGCTATTTGAGGTGAATCCCTCAAGAGAGTTCTGTTCGAGGACAGGTTGAAGTTGAGTTGGAAATCAGAGAAAACTTAAAAACAATCAAAGTTTTGATGCTTGTCATATAAAGAAAGAAAAGCGAAGCATGGCCGACAGACTAGAAAATGACAATTGTGAACTTATGAATTTTCGAAAATATGGAAAGCTGGCTGAGAGGAAAAAAAATCCCAAAGGAACTTCGTATCAAAATAACCATTTATATCGTTGAACCGAGCTTGAAAGCTTCAAATCATGAAATTCCTCGAAATGAACTAAAAAATGAAAAAAATGCAGGGATGATTACTTTGACTGTAGGTGCTAAGAATTTTCGCAGTTTCACTCAAATCCTGAGAAATATGGAAAACACTGCATTTCTTGTCTCTTATTCATTTCATCTTCAATTTAAAAGAAGATTCCTTTTTCTGTTGGCCTTTGAAAGACTTCGGAAAATGTTTTCCTTGAATATTCAGTTCATATGGTAAATTTTTTGACAGTGTGGGTTCGGAAGCTTCTTAAAACATGGATTTGATCTGACTAGAATGATAAAGTAGAAATTCACATCAGTAAAAGAATACAAATTGAAGCGAGAAGAATACAAATATTTAAGAAAAAAATGAGGTGCAAAAGCGGAGGTGGCCGATCGGATGTTGCCGTTTACGTGGTTCGCGAAGCCTTTACCCGACGAGAAGAACAATTGAATGAGTGCAGGCAAGAAGATGGGTGGTGCGAGTGGAAGCAGTTTCCTCGGAACTTACTTCATCCCGAGGAATGGCCTTGCCGTCGGAATTGGCCGCGTGGCTGTTAGTTGGACTCTCCAGGTTCGGTTTGGAGCGACTCTATCTGGCTTACTCTCGAAAGAAGAAGAAACTTTTTCCCTCAGGCAGAGTAAGAATAAAAAAAAAGTCCTTGAGATTGAGGGGATCACCATTTGGTTTTTTTGCTGTTAAGTACCCGAAATTGGATCAAGCTCAACAAAAGCTTGCGGTCAAGTTCTGAAGAGGAATTGTGGTACAATAACTTTGGCACTCTCTGAAAGTTAAAAATTGTTAGATTCATTGGAAAAAGTTTCAACCTAGCTTATTGACGTCTTTTCTGAGAATGAGACGTTTCAAAGTTTTTTAGATTCCCCAAGAAACTGAAATTAGTAAAAAAGGAAGATTTGGAAAAAACCGCATTTATAGAACCAAAAAAAGGGCAAATATCGCTTTCATATTCGTTTGATCTTTTGTAGGTTGAGGTGGGGCCGAAAAATGAAAACATAACTCAGAATCTCATGAATTTTCACTGATTAAAATTAATTTCATGACGAAACCAAAAAAAATTCAGTTATTTTCATAAATTTATTGGCAAAGAAAATGAATGCACCCTTTCAAAACTGCAAAAGCAGCAAAAAAGAATAGCGAAGAAAAAGTCGTCCGGATATTGTATTAGTGGCCACGAAGTCGTCCTCCGCAAAAGAGTCCGCTTTACCTAAGCAAAGGTCGAAGAACGTGGTCTAACAACATTTTTTGTTTTTTCATTGAAGAAAACCTGAATCCAAAAAACAGAGTTCATCGACAAGAAATAGAACAAAATTGTCAAAAATAATCGAGTCAAGGGGATTCAAAGAACTTCCAAGCATGATTCAAAAACCAAGTAAACTCTATGCCTGCCTTTCTGCGAAGGAACTCGTGGCGTATTTAGGCCATACTTTTTTCTCCAAGAATTTCGATTTCTGGACTTGAAGCAACAGCAAAACTCTACTCGCTCCCTTCAGCTACGGCAATTATCTTTCGGAAATGACTGTTGGTCTTTTCAAACCCTTTGAGAAGACTTCAGAATTAAGAACGCCCTTGAAAACTCTTAGAAATGAACTTTGTTCTTGAGATCTGAGTTTGAGAGCCGAGAAGCGCCTGAATCCTCAGAGGAAAATGACAAACACTAGAATTAGTCGGCAGGAAAAAGTTATTTATGATCAGTTTCCCAGGCTGCCAAATAATTCGGAAGCGCCTAACATTTTAGACTTTCAAAACTCTGGCTTTTGATTTTTTATGATTATTGATCTTTAAATGCGTTTAATCAAAGTATGACTTGATTTGATTTTAAATTTGCTTGAAAAATTGAGATCTTGAAGCTACAGTATACTTTTTCAAATAAAATAAATCAACAAACCACTTCCAAAGAAGGCAAAAGAACAGAAGATGAGCCTATGCTCCTTTCTAAAAGAGAAGAACGGTCGCAAAGTCTCGAGCAGAAAAAATCCCAGCGCGCCTTCTAAAACTTTTCGGCCCAAAACAAGCAAAAACAAGATTGAAGAGCGCGTTGAAATGCCATCGAGCAGTTGTTCGGCACGCAAAATAGAGGCCACCGACTCAAGAGCACTGATAATCCATATATGTAAGAGCTGCAGTTGAATGTCCCCTGGGGAGAGCTCCAGGCCTCCATTCTGAAAATGCGCTCAAATATTGTTGGGCAGTTTAACTTCAACCCAAACCCCAAAAGCATCCTTCACGGCTTGAATAGTTTTTTTTTTCCAGACGAAGCTACACAGAGTTCAACTTTTCAAAGCGGACCTCACAGCCAAAAACTTTTCGGAAACTTTTTCCGGTTGGCATAGGCCACAGTCTTTATTGCACATAAAGCGAAATTGGTGCAAGAACACAAAATTTGAGGAGATAATGTTTGTAAGACAACATAAAATTAGTCGAAGACGAGGTTGAGCGATTGCTGGTTCTGACCTTCGGAGTTCTTGACAACGCATCTGTATTTGGCTTCGTCCTCCTTCTGAGGTCCGTGGATTTCCAACAAAAATTGGAAGCCGTCTTTGTCCTGTCAACAATCTCATATAGGTTCATCAAGCTGTCGCCGAGGTTTTATAATTCAAAAACCTAACAAATTATTTTTTTTTCGATGTGTCAGATAAAGGAAACATGGACAAATCCTTCAAACTAACCTTATCGTCCTTCTTGACGACAGCTTTCACTCTGTCGTTGCACTTCACGGGCTTGTCATCCTGAATATTTTTTAGTTACTTATCTTATTGAAGATTGAAGTCGATTACCTTGAACCACTCGGCCTTCATCTCGAGGTGAGACTTCGCTCGAACTTTGATCACAATAATATTTCCATTGTCGCGTTGAACAATATGAGGCTTGTCATGGAAGTCAGGGGCGTCTGAATCCTCCTTTCTGCTGATTTTCGATAGTATCGCTCACTTCCAGCGGTAACATTGAAGGTAGCATGATTTTCGCCGTCAGCAGAGGCGAACGTGGCTTTGTATTCGCCAGCAAGAGGCTTGTCGAAGTCCTATATTCAAAAAGAATTTGTTCCATGTTACATTTCCAAAAGATCTTCCAGATGTTGAAAGTAGAATGGAACACATAAAAACCCTGAAAGTACTCAACAGAATCCTTGTCAGTTTTCATGTCCCTTGAGGGTGTTTAACAAAGTGTTTTAGAGCGGAAAGGCTCTAGGAAGATGAGAAGTATCGCATAACCAACACTTGACTTGAAATATCAGCATTTGCTGCGCCATTTCGTCTGAGGGAGAATCCATGAAGCAGTTAAATTCGGAAGATTTATAGGCCCCATTCCGGAGACAACCTGGCAGCCAAATCAACTTTTGAATTGCCGCCAGCTGCCTCCGTCTTGACGTGAGCTTTAGGACGTTTTTCAACGCCCTTCTCAACACCTTGGAGATATTGAAAGCGCAAAAAAGAGAGAAATCTGCGGAAGCTGGAAATCAGAAGTTCAACATCCCTTCGTTTTCGGGGTGAACTTTTACAGATAGAAATCCTGAAAGGCTAAAAATTTTGCACTAACTGCAAACGGAATTTTATATCGAATTTTGAAAAATATTGTATGTATTGAACCTACTGAAGTTCTCTTCAAAAAAATGTTCGATTTATGGAAAAAAAGCGCTTTCCGATTTTCGGATGAAGATCTGATAAAAAAATGTTTTTTTCAACAATGTCTAGCTTTTTTTATATTTGAGCTCTTTAGGATCTCCCTTAAGGACATCTGAGACTGTTTAGAAATTTTTTTGGAAAAAGTTTAAACTTGTTTTTGTGGAATGCTATTTTTTTTTGTTAAAAGGAACAATATACGTTCATCGACCATCAAACTAGGCGCAAATGTTCAGATTCTCGAAAAAAATTTGTCGACAGAGACTTCCTCTGTTGAGGTTTACGTAATCTTCCAGTTGAACTTTCTAATCTCAAAAAATAATTTTAAAAAAAGTTGAGGAATCACCTTGATTTCAGCGATGAACTTCGTGCGGTTGCCACCTTCATCGGAGTGAGAGAACTTGACGTACTCGTTTTCTTCAAGCTCCTGCTCGCCAAAGAACCAAACGGTCTTGGTCGGGTCAGCTCCTGTGGCGATGACCTGAAAGAACACATTCCTGTATTAAAAAACCTCATATATTTTGAGAAACTTCATCTTGTAGTTAAATTTTTTCAAAAGCTAGAAAAGCCCTGAATGGACTTTTCGATTTTTATGAAAACTAAAAAAATCACTCTACCCTAAGTTCAAGTCTGAATGGAAAAAAAGTTTTTCGTTGAAAAATTTGTAATTTACAGTTCATAGTAGAATTTTTTGGTGACTTGCTGCTTTTTCAGATCATGGAAACAATTTTAATCGTACAGAAGAAGACGCCTAGAAAGGCTTGATCCTCAATGTCTCACCTCAAGGAAGACAGAGCCATTCTCCGGTCGGATCTTGGGCTCTCCGTAGATGCTTGGTGGGGCCATGGCTGCAATAAAGTTTCTGATTCTCCGATATCTCTTCTAAGACCGATGGGAAAAAAATCGTCAAGTGTAGCAAGAGAAAAGATCAATGTCAAAGTGCGAAAGCAGCGGCGCCAAGAGCGCCAGTAGTTCGACAACCTCTTTTTGCAGCTTTTTGTGTGTTTTACAGCATCGTCACTCCTCAACCGCTCAAATGAGCCGTTTACATAGAAAAAAATCGGACATCTGAACGCCACATGGTGTGCACGCTTTTTCTAAGATTCATGGTACATCTGCTGGTATAAAAGTTCTTCGGAACACTATAAAAATAGTTGTAACGAGAGTTTTTGTTTGTCGGTCGACTTTTTGGAATAAGCCGAAAATAAGGGACTTTTGTGGGGAAATGATCAAATTTTTCAAATTTTCAGGTACTGTTGTTTCATTTAGATTCATTTTTTGGATTTGAATAATTTTCGAGAGATGTCTACATTGGTTTATTGGTTTAGGTTACATTTCCGGAAAGTTCCAAAATATTTTTTTCTTATCTTCGGACAAGAAATAACTAGAACACCAAGCTTCTCATTTGTTTGGTGATGATCAAATTTAATATTTTTTTATTGAAAAAAGATAGAAAAAAATAAGTAAAAAAATCTCATAAGCTTCATGGAAAAAAGCCCCGAAGAAATATCGACAAAAAGTTGCTAAGAGTTTTCAAAATGAATTCAAAAAACAATTTTTCAACACGGAAAGCTGTTACTAAGACCCCGAGAAAAGTTCAAAATGTTGAAGAGCCCTGTGAAGAAATAACGTTTGTGGTCTACCTGAGATGCTCGGGCGAACGAGAAACGCGCCACACTCGAAAGTGTTTAGCCAACAACATCTCAAAGGCAACAATTCATCACATTTGTGTAAAGGTTCGAGCCACAGTCTATGAAATAACAATCCCATAGCCCCGAAATTCTTCTTTTTTATTTATGGGATGAAAGAAAAAGATACGCTCATGGTGCGTTTTAAGCGTAGTTAGACGCGGCAGTTGTCATTCTGACACACTTCAACAGACCGATTTTTGATTTTTCTCAGACTTCACGAGAAGTTCCCGTTCTTCAAAAAAACTATTAAAAGTGGGCGAAATATTTTTTTAAAGGTGTAGTTTATTTGAACGCGCTACTCAAAAAAAGTTGAAAAAAAGCTGTTTTTTTCTTAATTATGAAGATATCTTTATTCAAAATTCTGAGTATCCAAAACCTTGAATTATTACTTTTTTTAGCGAGTTTGACAACCGCAAACATTCATTTCTCATTGAAACTTGATCGAAAAATAAACTCTATATGTTATCGAACTCTCCGACTTGAACATTTTTTCTAGAGCGTCGAAATCTCGAACTTGGTAGGAATCTTGGTAACTTTTGATTCCGCTCAAAGTACTGAGAAAAAAGAAGCCAGTTTCTGAAGGAATTGAATCCAAAGCTCAATCGAAAATAAAAATTAAAAGCTAAACCTTTTTTTTCGGATTTCTCGTCTTTTTATGAAAAAGGTGTCGCAAAGCTTCTATAAACTTTTGAGATGACACCTCAGCCATCCAGGATTTTATGAAATAATAGAAAAACTAGAAAACAAAGCGAACAAGTCGTGGAGACAATGGAAGTCTAGTGACTCAGGTAGGCGGTCAGTCGCGAAATCCGCCTCCGGCTCGCTGTAATCTGCGGACGCCTCTTCGATGAGTGATGCTGTAGGGCCGTCGGAAAAAGAAAAAACGAAACCGAGTATGATGAAGAGCCGCGATGCACTGCCACCGATCCGTACACAAAGGATAGCTCTGAAAAAAAAACCTTAGGAGCCAATCGAACGGCTCCTTCCGACTGAGTTTTTGCCGTTTTGCCAGTACATCGAGGTCGTTGCATTGAAGTCAAGCTAGTGTGGAGAATCCTGGATCTGTACGAAATGATAAACTAGCTGAAAAAAATAACTCATTAATTTTTTTCACTTTCTAATAATTAGTATGAAAAAAATATGAAAAACTTTCCACGAAATTGTTCATTTGAGGTTCGAAAATTTTTTTGGATTTCCGGGGGCTCCCATCAAAAAAATTTGATACAGTTACTGGAAGAAATGTTCTTATTTAATTTAACTCTCCATTTGATCGTACGAAAACGTTTTTCCAAAAAAATTCTATTTCTTGTAAAAAAAGTTAACACTCATTAGGAATTATGAGAAACATGGTAAAATAAAATAAATGTGTTCATTGTTGTTCGTGCGGTCAAAGACATGTAGAAAATAAAACTTTCCGATCGGAAAATTCACTGAGAAGATATATATCACTCATTCAAGAAAAAAACAGACGCCGAAAAAAATTTTGTTTCAAATAATGTTACAAATTGACAAAATTTTATTTTAGAAAAATGTGAAGGAATTGAAAAAAGTAGAGATAATCCTTCACTGACAGTAGATTATCAAATAACATCGTACAGAAATTATGAAAAATTAAATGAAAATTTATAGAATTTCACAGAAATGACGTAGTACCGTTCTAAAAAACCAAAAAAACGACTTTCAAGTTCAAAAAGTTTTTTTCCTTTCATTTTCAATTTTTTCCTTGTTCCAAGAAGTTATCGACAATAGTTGTCACGACGCGTGTGTTCAGCAATGTGCAAAACGCACGCCGCGTTGCGGACTTTCTTTTTGACCAGTCAAATTTTTGGCCTCCGTGGAGCGCGAAAAGCGGGGTTGGCGCGAATATTTGCGTATAAAAGGAGCGCGTTGGGAGCGTTTTGCCGTTTCTCTCGGATGTGGGACCTTTGGCCTTTCCTTCGCTTGTTGCCGCACGTCTTCTTCTGGCGGTCGCACGTCTTCATCACTTGCCGCACGTCTTCCGCAGTTGCCGCGTGTCTTCAGCTGCTGCCGCACGTATTCAGCTGCAGTCGTACGCCTTCTTTTGGTTGCCGCACGTCTTCATCAGCTTCTCTCGAACTGCTGGCCCAACTTTTCCCTCGAAGTCGCTCTGGCGTCACCGACTACCTCGCCACTGTTGCCGACCTGCTGTCAACGTCTTTTTGATGCATCTCACGTCTCCTGAAAAAAGAAAGTCATCGAAGCGTTGTCAGGTACCCGGTAGCAGTGGCAGGTATTCAAGCGCTGACTAGGGCTTACTTTCATGAGCTATTTTTTTTTTCGAAAACCACTGAAAATTAAAGTGTCAAGGAAAGTTATCCAATTTTGTCTCTTCAATAAACTTGAAAGTCGCAGACTAGAATGAAAATTGATACCAAAAATAAGTAATAGGAAAGCGGCAAGGATGTGAAAACCGTTGCATAAGCCGTGTTGTACTGTTTTTCATTTCTTCTATTTTCGTCTTGCTACGTGTTATATTCTGTCGTTTTCGTTCACTCTCCACTAATTTAAAAACGTTTTTTTAGTGTCGGGTCCTCTTTGGTTGCGTTCTTATCCGAGTGGAGCCTTCTCCTTTGGTTGCGTTTTGATGATTGTCGCTCCCAACGAAGCAGGGGGCGACAATTATTTAAGTGAGTTTTCGATTTTTTCGTTTTTTTTAAACAAAGTTTGCAATTGTTTTTAAGTTTTTTTGCACTAAAAAGTTGAAAATCGGAAAAAGCAAAAATTTATTTGGTCAAATCCTATTAAACCGACTTTTAACAGAGTCATCAATAATAGATGAATTTCAGCACTAAAAAAGAAAACGACCCGTCGTTTTTGCAACCTGGTAGCAAAGCGAATTTTTTTCGTGTGAGTTTTGAATCTTTCATTCGATTAGCACAACTATAACAGTGTTTTCAACCTCTTCCAAATGATAGACAAAACTTTGAAATTTTCAGATGTCGACACCAGCCGAAACGAGCTAGCTCTCGTTCGAAATGATGGAATTTTTGCACGATTAGGGACTTCGCCGCAGGTAACTTCACGTAATAAGTGTTTTTGCTCAGATCCAACTTTTAGAACCTTTGTCTGCGGCGATTCCTGGGAGTTCGCGATTATTGGAGAAGTGGCAGTGCAGGTGAATAATATCTTTCCCGGACATAACTTCAAATCTTTGTGTTTCAGACAAATGGGAGGGTCGCGAACAGTCTGCACCGACGGCCACCTCTTCCTTGAAGAACTTCTGGATTGGTCTACATCCTTGAACTCGTCTGCAATGCCGACTACGAGAGCAGACCACCTGCGTCAACCGAGACAAGCTAACCGGCTTCGTTGAGACCATTTAAACCAGCTGAAACGAACTAGCCGGCTTCGTACAAAAAAACGAGATATTCACATAAGGGGGGACCGCGCCGCAGGTAACTTCACGTAATAAGTGTTTTTGCTCAGATCCAACTTTTAGAACCTTTGTCTGCGGCGATTCCTGGGAGTTCGCGATTATTGGAGAAGTGGTGGTGCAGGTGAATAATATCTTTCCTGGACATAACTTCAATTTTTTGTGTTTCAGACAAATGGGAGGGTTGCGAACAGTCTGCACCGACAGCCACTTCTCCTGCAAACAAAACAGTGTTTCTACTTCAAGGAAAGATCCGACCGCCCTTCCTGTCGCTCACCTTCGTCCGACGCTTAATATCCTTCACCACATACTGCGAAAACCACGAAATTACTTTTTTTCAATGTTTTTTCTTTTAACATTTATTTTTTGTAAATAAAATAAATGTCATCAAATAATTTTTTTTGATCAAAGTCTTTTCTGGTCTTCAAGTATCGATTAGGTTTCGTCTTGAAGTGATAGTTGTCGGAGTTGCATAGGTTCTTTTGCGGTGTTCTTGATGATTTTTTGCGGTATGAGGTCGGACTTGGCAATACAGCGATACGGCCTTTGGCCTTCTGCTCTCTCGTGGATACGAGCTAAACTCAGAATTCTGCAGCTAAGGAAAGTGCTCCTCGCAAGAGACAGTAATTTTCAAATGCTCCTACTACTTCTTGCCGACCTGCAGCCGGAAACAAAAGACTGGATTTCTCTTGATGAATTTAGACGTGGTTCGCTGCTCCTTTTCATGCAGTCCAACTTATTTGATTTCCAATGGGAAGTATGGCGTTCTTATCATCTCCACGAAAAGAAAATAATAAGAAGTCGTTTTAGATTGAAAAGACAGAATAAAAAAAGATTGCCTTCTACCTGTACTTTTTTCCAAAAGCTGCAAAAATTGGGCGTTTCGCATCGGCCAAGTTTTGAGGACTTTCTAGTGGCCTCAGTCTCTAAAAATTGTGGTCTTAAGTACTACCCGTGTCTCTCTTTAAGCATGTAGAAAAATCATAGATCTGCGCCTCCATCGAAGAGCGCAGGGCATTGTACAGGGTGACAAGTAAATATTGAAACGAGTTTGAAACGTTATAACTTTCTCAAAAGTCAACCAAACACCACCAAACTTGGAACAAATTTCATTCATACAATATAGAAACAAAATTCAAGAATAGTTTTCAATACGTCCTCTTTTAGCTTTGATAACGGCCTTCAGTCACTTCGGATACGCATCGATCACGGCACGAAGGTAGTCGTCATCGATTTCGTCCCATTTCTTGATGAGCGCGGTCTTCAGAGCTTTGATACTTGGGTAGTTCTTAGAAGAGACATTCTCGGTCAGATATCCCTACACGGCATAGTCCATCGGGTTGAGGTCGGGCGAGGAAGCAGGCCAATCGTGACGGTGACTGGACGTCCCCTTCTTTGCATGTCATCTGAAGTACCGAGATAGCGTTGTGCAGTACGAAAAACGAGAACACGAAACACTTTCAGCTTTTTAACGATCTCTGAATTCGTCATTCAGCTTTTGACACAATCAATGATTGCGGTAGGGTACGGAGATAGGGCCACCATTACCTGAAAACTGAAAAGTATGAGCTGTAACTTCAAACACAGGATAAGTGAGCATGAATGAACGAAATGAACAAAAAAAATTCGAAGGCCAGTCCTTTGTGCAAAAAGCAGCGATTAAACAAAAAACGGTTTCAATATTTATTTGTCACCCTGCAGATATCCAACACGACCAGCTAAGAACTTATGACGAGGGAAAATTGCCGTTGCCGAAGTCCGTGTGATAGTTAATCACTCTGGGAAAAGGCAAAATCTCCAACATGTGCCCCAGATAACTGCAATAAACGGCGATCTTCATAATAAACGGCTGGTTTTCCAAAATGAAGACGAGAACAACTTCATCGTTAAGGTGAAATCTGCCTAGCTTGTGTATATCATTTTTTATCACTCAAAAAGTGATGGATCGACCTTGCTTTTTTGATAGACAAAAGGTGAACAAGCATGACATGATTACTGCAATCCCAGCTTCCAACAAAAAACTGAAGGAAAACTAGACCTTTTCGAATAAAAAAACTTTCAAGAGATACGCATCAACCACAGAAATTAGGAATAAAAATTAATTCGTAATGACATTTGAGAACCAAAGAAAACACAAAAGAAAATTTGGTTTTTTAAAACTTAAAAACTCGATCAAATCCGAAATTTTTATTACGATAAATAATTAAAATCTCATGAATAATCACAAAAACACATTTTTTAAGGCGTCTGTAGCCCTTTTGTCACGTTGTAAACTTTTCGTCCAAGAAGTTATCGATAATAGTCGTCAAAACGCATTTGTCCCGCAGTGTGCAAAACGCACGCCGCGTTGCGGACTTTCTTTTTGACCAGTCAAATTTTTGGCCTCCGTGGAGCGCGAAAAGCGGGGTTGGCGCGAATATTTGCGTATAAAAGGAGTGCGTTGGGTGCGTTTTGCCGTTTCTCTCGGATATGGGACCTTTGGCCTTCCTTCGTTTGTTGCACGTCTTCTCTGGGTGCCGCACGTCTTCCGCAGTTGGCGCACGTCTTCAGCTGTTGCTGCACGTCTTCAGCTGTTGTCGTACGCCTTTTTCTGGTTGCCGCATGTCTTCAGCAGCTTCTCTCGAGCTGCTGGCCCAACTTTTTCCTCGAAGTCGCTCTGACGTCACCGACTACCTCGCCACTGTTGCCGGCCTGCTGTCAACCTCTTTTTAATGTGTTCTACGTCTCCTAAAAGAAGAAAGTCATCGAAGCGTTGTCAGTACCCGGTAGCAGTGGCAGGTAACCCAGCGCTGACTAGGCCTTACTCTCATGAGCAATTTTTTTTTTTCGAAAACTACTGATTATCAAAGTTTCAAGGAAAGTTATTCTGTTTTGTCTCTGGAAGACTTTTTTTGTATTTTTCAATAAACTTGAAAGTCGCAGACTAGAATGAAAATTGATACCAGAAATAAGTAATAGGAAAGCAGATATGAAGTGGAAGCCGTTGCTCAAGTCGTAATGTCCTGAATATTTTTTTATTCTCTTCCTTTTTTTCTCGTTTTGTTTTCTCTCGTTTTCGTTCGCTCCTCACTAAAATTTTTTTTCAGTGGGGTCCTCTTTGGTTGCGTTAGAATAGTTGTCGCCCCCCACGAAGGAGGGGGCGACAATTATTTATGTGAGTTTTTAATTTTTTTATTTTTTTCGAGTAAAAAAATTTTTGAAATAGGAAGTTTTTCGAGTAAAAAAATTTTTGAAATAGGAACCCTTTTGAAACTTTTAAGAATTTTTTTGGTTTAAAAAAGTTGAGGATCTCGGAAAGTGAACATTCATTAGATCAAATCCTACTGTACTGACTGTTTACAAAAATTAAGATAATATATATAGTCTGTTCAGATTTCAAATGTCGATTCTCGCTGAAGCTCCGCTCTCTAATGGCGCGATGAACCAATCAGAGAGCGAGCCATCCACAGAGCTTTTCAAATGACGTCATTGCAATTGACTTTCAAAATCTGAACAGACTATAAATTTCAACACTTTCAACACTATAAATTTCAGCACTCAACAAAAACGACCCGTCGTTTTTGCAGCCCAGTTCACTAGTGATCGCCTGTGAGTTTTGAAACTTCCATTTGATATACATAATTGCAACATTTTCAGAATATATTGTAAGACACCTATCCACACCACAGGTGCAGTAATAAAAACGGAGTTCTTTCTTCCGTGGGGGACATTGCCGCAGGTATTGAAGTTCAAAGTTCATGCTCGAATCTCTTTTCAGATTTGTACTTAGCGGCAATTCCTGGGTGTTCGCGACAAATGGAGGAGTGGCAGTGCGGGTAAATTAAAAAATTCCAAAGCATTAGTGAATTTCTTTTTTACAGACAAAAAGGGAGGGTCGCGAACAGTCCGCATCTATCGCCACTACTCCTCCAAAAATTTGTGCCTATGATGTTCTTCTCGTGACCTGGTCAGCATTTCCGAATACGAGAGCAGGCCATCAACACCAGCCGAAAAGAGCTAGCCGGTCTCGTTGAAAACAACGACATTTTCACATAATGGGGGATTTGGCCGCAGGTAACTTTACGAAACAAGTTTTCCAGCTCAGATTCAACTTTCAGAACCTTTGTCTGCGGCGAATCCTGGGAGTTCGCGAAAAACGGAGGAGTGGCGGTGCAGGTAAATCATATCTTTACTGAACATAACTCCAATTTTTTGTGTTTCAGATAAAATGGGAGGGTCGCGAACAGTCTGCACCGACGGCCACTTCTTCGCAAAAAAAACTTGCGTTGGTCTTCTTCCTGTGAACTCGTGAACATTGCCGACTCCACGAGCAGACCACCTGCACCAGCTGAGACGAACCAGCCATTCTCGTTCAAAACAATAATTTTTACGTAATGGGGGACTTCGCCGCAGGTAACTTCACGAAACAAGTGTTCCAGCTCAGATTCAACTTTCAGAACCTTCGTCTGCGGCGATTCCTGGGAGTTCGCGATTATTGGAAAAGTGGCGGTGCAGGTAAATAATATCTTTCCTGAACATAACTTCAATTTTTTGTTTTTCAGACAAACGGGAGGGTCGCGAACAGTGTGCACCGACTGCCACTTCTCCTGCAAAATGTTCACTGATTCTACTCGGAGGAATCACCCGACTACCCTTACTGTCGTCCGACGCGTCATCTCCTTTACAACATACAAAGAAAATCAGAAAACTGCAGTGTTACAAATTTTTTTCTCTTTTAATTGTATTTTTGTAAGTAAAAATAAATATCCTTGTACCAAACTCGACTTTTTCTCGATGAGGTGGGATAAAAATATCTCTGGTCTTCGGGTATCGATTCGGTTTCGTCTTGGTGAGATTTCTGTCGGAGTCGCATCGGGTCTTTTGTGACGTTTTCTGAAGAGTTTTTCCGGATTCATGAGATTGTCTTTTATGCCGTGTTCAAAGTAATTTCCGCGAAATGCAAAATACCCGTTAGAGAAAGGAAAAGATCACTAAATTTTGGAGAGTCAGAGATCATTTTGCATTTCGCGGAAATTACTTTGAACACGGCATTAATCTTTCAGGTCCTTTTTTTTTTGGAAAACCCATTTTTCTTTTGAGCTTTCCTTTTTTTTAATGTTACTATTATTTTATGTATGCTCTTTCTGCATCTAACACTTGCTGTCTTCGTCCAAGCAGTCGGTCGATTATGTCCTTACCCTGGCTGCGAGGTGAAGTAGGAGGTCAACTCCAATTCGACATCGCTTTCTTTTCCAATTTTATTCTCGCCCCGGTGATGCTGCAATCGGATGGATAAGTAGTTATCAGAGAGAACGATGTCAGAACTGACGGCGGCAACAACATTACGAGCCATCCGAAGCCCTGCTGCTCAGTCTTGATGATTTTTGCCGTTTGAGGTCAGACTTCGCAAGACAGCGATACTTGGTCTTTGTACGGCTGTTCTCTAGTGCTGAACTCAAAACTTCTGCAGCTGAGAAGAGTGCTCCTCACAGGTGACAGTGACGCCAACCTTCCAATGCTTCTACTACATCCGACCTGGAACCAGAAACATCAAACTGACATTCTCCTAAGAAAGAATTCGTTTCAGAGTCGTGGTTTGCAGCTTTTTTTTTATATAATCACTGTTTCTTGATTGCCGATGAGAAGAAGATGGCACATTCATCACTTTCACAGAAGACAACATGCAGATGTCGTTTTAAATTGAAAAGACAGAACAAAAAAATTTGCCTTCGACCTGTACTTTTTTCTAAAAGCTGCTCAAATTGGGTGTTTTGTACCGGCCAAATTTTGAAGACTTTATAGTGGCCTCAGTCTCTAAAAATTGTGGTCTTAGGTACTACCATTGTCTCTCTTTAAGCGTGTAAAAATCATAGGTCTGCGCCTCCATTGAAGAACGCAGGGAATAGATATCCAACACGACCAGCTGCTTCAAAGGAAGACTTCGACTAGGGAAAATGCCGTTTGCGAAGTTCTTGTGATAGCTAATCACTATATGGAAAAAGGCAACGTCTTCAAAATTTGTCTCTATTGCGATAAACGGCGATCGCTGGTTTTCCAGAACAAAGACGAAAGAAAATTCAGAGCGAATGTGGATTCGGCCAGGCTCTCTGAATAATGATTTTTATCACTGAAAAATGTGATGAATCTACCATGTTTTCCGGTGAAAGGTGAATATTGTAGGAGCCCATAGCTTATTAAAGCTATTTGCGCTCCATTGAAACACCGGACAAAGTCCTCCAGACGGCCCAAAGGCTTTTAAGATAAAATTCCGATGCGCATCGATAACATCAGCTCTCACCGTCGCGACGATCACCCGATCACGACACTAAGAGCCGCGGAGGCGTTTCTTATATTGATTTATTTGCTCTTTTTAAACGAACTTTTTTACTCCCATGGATCGGCAAACCGCACAGAAAACCCGAAGGCCGACAGGGTATCGGGGGCCACTACAAAAGGCCCCGATCCCTCACTGGTAGCAGCTCTGGTCGTTCTTTCCGGTGGCCATTGACCCCCCCTTATATAAAATCTTGGACCCAGCACAAAAATTTCTCTGCCACGCTTGCTCAGTCATTTTTTTTTCAAGCCTCCGTCCCCTTCTTCCGCAACTTCCTTGCCGCCCTTGTTCCTCGGCGGAATCTCTGCCCGCTTCAAAAGGCCTGCGCAACCTTTTGAAGCATTGGGCCTCCATCCTCCACCAAACGTAGGCAAGGCGGCCTTCCCCCTTCTTTTTTTTCCTTTCGGTAAGTCTCTGATCTGGCGGAAGCCGCTGCATCCCCGTCTTCGAGTACTCCCCAATCGCGTTAATCGCACCCCGCGTTAGTCGCACCTCGCGTTAGTCGCACATCAAGGCGTTATTCGCACCACATGGCGTTTTTCGCACCACAATAGAGTTTGTCGCATCTCAAGGCGATAGTCGCACCCACAGGCGATAGTCGCACCCACAGGCGTTAGTCGCACCCAAAGGCGTTAGTCGCACCTCAGCAAGGTTAGTCGCATATCAAAAGCGTCTATCGCACCTCAATGCGTTTGTTGCATCTCAATAGCGTTTGTCGCACCCACAAGCGTTAGTCGCATCTAAAGGCAGAGTCGCTGCAGCACTCCCTTTTCTCCTTAAAACCAAGCGCGCTTTTTTTCGGTTAAAAGATCATTCGGTTCGAACCTTTTGGCAAAAAGCACAGGCGTGCACGCCGTTCCTTTTTGTTTATTACACAAAACAGTACGCGGCTAGAGAGGTCATTGGATCCTCTCCCCCCAACACTCTCTCGAGTCACATCTGTGTCACCTCTCCGACAAATCTTTTTGTCCTTTCTTCTTCATTTCACGCGTTCGTCACCTTTTTGGCTCTCCTTCGTTCTCAGTCCTCTTCTTCGTGGCTCCCTACGCCAACCGCGTTTCGAACCCGGGTAACATTCGTTCTTTTTTCAGAATTTATGCCCCCGCCCGAAAGTCCGCCTGAGACCATTGTGCCTCAAGATTTTTCCAAACCTGTCAAGCTACTGACTGCTAAAACGCTAGAAAGAACGGATTATCTTTGCGATCTCCATGATGTACCACCTCTACGCGGTGATGGGGAGGCAATGTCATCTCATATGGCGGCGAACGGTACACCGGTCACGCAGTTCGCTCTGAATCCTCGGGCTCAGCACGTACGACGCCTCTAGATCTGCAAGCAGACGAAGAACTTCACGAATAATCCAACCAGCCCACTGAGCCACATGAACATGAGGATATTGAGCCTCTCTTTACCAATTTAACAAAGGCCACCACCAGCCCAAATCAATTTGAGAACCAACCTGAAGGCAAAGCAAAGACTTTCGTACCAGCTCCAAAGTCTACTCAGGCCTTTGATTTTTTTTTCCTTTTCTTTCTTCCTTTTATCCGTTTATTTCAAACAAAAAAAAGCACCAAGTTCTCCCCTTATCACTCCGCATAATTATTTCTTTTTCCGCTGTTTGCTCCTTTCGCGACTCGTCTTCGCTCTTGTAGATTCATTACGCTGCTTAGTACGGACATCAAAGTTTACAGAAGCCGAACGCACTGCTCCCGGCAGGTCAACTTCCTACAGGTCACTGAACCTGCCTCTCCAAACAAAAAAAGGTTTCTTTATTTTTCTACTTCCTTTCCTTCGAAACCTACCTTTAACATTTTTCTCGAATTAGTTCACGTAGGAAAAATTCAAGATCAAAACTGTAGGACATTGAAGCCTATCCCTTATCAAAACATTATAACAACTTTCAAATAATCAAAAAAGAGCCCCGCTCTTCTTCCCCCGATCACGACGCTAAGAGCCGCGGAGGCGTCGGCCCCGACGCCATCAAAGGTCTAACAATCTCTCACCACAGCCCCCGCTCTTTCAAAGGCCAATTATAACTTTCAAGCTTTCAGGGCCGCCGTCGACAACTATGAAAGCCCGCCACGACGACGGCAGGACAAGCGGGGACCCGGCAGCGGCCCCGAAGACTCCAACCGACATCATCATTCTTTTGATTTAACACCTTTGTTATATTGATTCATTTGCTCATTTTAAATGAACTTTTTCACTCCCATGGCTCGGCAAAGCACACAGAAAACCCGAAAGCCGACAGGGTATCGGGGGCCACTACAAAAGGCCCCGATCCCTTACTATATGTATGACATGATCTACTGCGGTCGTAACATTCAAAAGAAAACTGAAGGAGATTTAGATCTTTCCGGAAAGAATTATCAAAAGTTACGCAAAAACTTTTGAAAGTAGAAAGAAAATTGGATTCGTAGTGTAATTTAAGTACCAAAGAGAAACAAAGTGAACTGATTTTCTAAACGACGGAAAAAATTGACGAAATTCGGAATCTTTGTTTCGATAAACAATTAAGATCTTATAAATGTCCATATGAACACATTTTTAGAACCTTTGTAGCCATTTAATCACTTTGTATCAATAAAAACATTTCTTCCAAGAAGTTATCAACGCGTGTGTCCCGCAGAGCGCAAAATGCATGCCGCGTCGCGGACTTACTTTTTGACCAGTCAAACTTTTGGCCTCCGTGGAGCGCGAATAGCGGGGTTGGCGCGAATATTTGCGTATAAAAGGAGCGCGTTGGGAGCGTTTTGCCGTTTCTCTCGGACGTGGGACCTTCGCCCTTCGCCTTCGCTCGTTGCCGCACGTCTTCTTCGGTTGGCGCACGTCTTCTTTGGTTGCCGCACGTCTTCTCTGGGTGCCGCACGTCTTCCGCAATTGCCGCACGTCTTCCGCAATCGCCGCACGTCTTCAGCTGCTGCCGCACGTCTTTTTTTGCGTGCCGCACGTCATCAGTGGTTGCCTCTCGTCTTCTTCATGTGCCGCACGTCTTCGTCAGCGTTTCTGGAGCCGCTGGCACAACTCTTCCTTCGTAGTCGCCTTGGCGTCACCGACTACCTCGCCACTGTTGCCGGCCTGCTGTCAACGTTTTTTTTGAAGCGTTCCACGTCTTCTAAAGGACGGAAGTCAACGAAGCGTTGTCAGGTACCCGGTAGCAGTGGAAAGTGATCGCGCCTCTCATGAGCAACTTTTTGTTTGAAACTTCTGATTATCAAAGTTTCAAGGAAATTCTTACTGTTTGTGTTATTTTCTCTTGTATTCGTTCGCTTCCAACTGATTCAAAAATTTTTTTTCAGAGCAGGGTCATCTTTGGTTGCGTTGAAATGATTGTCGTCCCCCACGAAGAGGGGGCGACAATTATTTAAGTGAGTTTTCAATTTTTTCGTATTTTTTGAACAAATTTTGCAAGCGTTTTTTTTAGTTAGATGTGGAAAATCGCAAAAAGAAAATTTTTATTTGGGTCAATCCTACCGAACTGACTTTTTGAAAAAGATCAAAAATCCTATGTTTTGGCCAAATACAAAATCATCAATAATTAACAAATTGCCAAGCGAAGTTTTTCGTGTGAGTTACAAAATTTCCATTTGATGTGCACAACTATAACAGTGTTTTCAATCTTTTCGGCCATATGTAGACTCGTTTAAAATAGTTTTTTTTTCAAATTTTTTTCAATCACAAATTGCAAAAATTTCAGGATAGATGATAAACTTTCGTGTTATTTTTTCTCGTTTTCGTTCGCTTTCTACTGATTTACAAAAAAAGTTTTTTAGAGTCGGGTCATGGTTGGTTGCGTTGGAATAGTTGTCGCCCCCCACGAAGCAGGGGGCGACAATTATTTAAGTGAGTTTTCAATTTTTATTTTGTTTTTTTCAAAACAAAATTTAAAAAGAAAAAGCTTTTTTTAGAACTTTGAAAAAAACATTTTGTTGCAAAAGATTGAAAAATCTCGGAAAGCAAACATTTACTTAGTCATATTGAGCTGACTTTTTACGGAATCATTGACTTTTTACGGAATCATTATTTATAGATGAATTTCAGCACTTAAAGAAAGAAGGAGCTTGTCGATTTCGCAGCCGAGTAAAAAAATAAATTAATCTTCGTGTGAGTTTTGAATCTTCCAATTGATAGACATAATTGCAACATTTTCAGAATTTATAAGACACCTATTCAGGAAAAACCAAGTTCTTTCGACCGTGGGAGACATTGCCGCAGGTAACAAAGTTCAAAGTTAAAACTCAAGTCTCTTTTTAGATCCTTACTTAGCGGCAATTCCTGGGTGTTCGCGAATAGCGGAGGAGTGGTGATGCGGGTAAATTGAAAAATTCTCAAGCATTGGTGAATTTCTTTTTTACAGACAAAATGGGAGGGTCGCGAACAGTCCGCATCTATAGCCACTACTCCTGGAAAAACTTGCCTATGAGGTTCTTCTCGTGACCTGGTCAGCATTTCCGAATACGAGAGCAGGCCATCAACACCAGCCGAAAAGAGCTAGCCGGTCTCGTTGAAAACAACGACATTTTCACATAATGGGGGACTTCGCCGCAGGTAACTTCCCGAAAAGAGTGTTCCAGCTCAGATATATCTTTCAGAACCTTTATCTGCGGCGAATCCTGGGAGTTCGCAATGATTGGAGAAGTGGCGGTGCAGGTAAATTTCAACTTTCTTGAATATATTCTTAACTTCTTGCATTTAAGGCAAATGGGAGGGTCGCGAACAGTCTGCACCGACAGCCACCTCTTCCCTAAAAAACTTCTGAATTGGTCTTCATCCGTGAACTCGTTAGCAATGCCGACTTCGAGAGCAGACCACCTGGGCCCGCTGATACGAGCCAGCCGAGACGAGGTAGCCGGACTCGTTCAAAAAACAAAGATTTTCACGTAATGGGGAACTTCGCCGCAGGTAAATTCACGAAATAAGTTTTCCAGCTCAGATCCAACTTTCAGAACCTTCGTCTGCGGCGATTCCTGGGAGTTCGCGATGATTGGAGAAGTGGCGGTGCAGGTAAATGATATCTTTCCTGAACATAACTTCAATTTTTTGTTTTTTAGTCAAATGAGAGGGTCGCGAACAGTCTGCAACGACTGCCACTTCTCCTGCAAACAGTTCACTGTTTCTACTTCAAGGGAGCAACTGATCAGCCTTCCTGTCGCTCGCCACCGTCCAACGCCTAATCACCTGCACAACACACAAAGAAATCCACGAAATCACAATGTTTCAATATATTTTTTTCATCTTAACATGTACAATAATAAAATAAACATCCTCAAACTGAACTTGACTTCTTTCTTTGGGTCTCGCTGTCTGGGATTTAAGTCTTCCACTAGTCTTCGTTTATCAATTTGGTTTCGTCTTGAAGTAACTGTTGTCGTTGTCGCCTCGGTTCTTCGCGATGTTCTATGAAGAGTCTCTTCGAAACCATCAAACTTTCTTCTGGGAAACCCAGTCTTCAATAATTCTTTGAATTGGGACGCTATGAAGTCTTGATAAAAAGGAGAGAATAATCTTTGAAGCCAAAGTTAATGAGTATAGGATTTTTCTTCCTGCAGCCAACCTTTTTTCCTAACAACACTCTCGAAATGATTCATACTTACATACCATAAAGCTGAAGTGATAACTTTATGAACTCATAAAGCAGTCAATCGACTCGTGTTCTTATCGTCTTTGCCCACTTGGCCCGTTACAATGCACCTCTTCGGCCTAATCTTTCTGCCTGCCACTGTTGCCATCACACTCAGTACTCCGAATTATCCGGCGCCCTATGCGGGGAATATTCCAAGGTCTAGTTCAATTATCTCGGTTACTGGAAGCTTTTCGTCAGAATTTTCGATTCTCTTGCTAGCCGAATTACGAAACTCACTGTTAAGCAGGGGAAATGTCATTCGTAAGATCTGAGCGGCAACTGATAAAACGTTCACAGGCGTACGATTAACAAGGTACTTAACACGCCTTAGGAGGTGTTTTTTTAAATAAAATAAGAGCCTGGAGAGCTTTGAATTGTTTTTTTCATTCTTCAAAGAGAATGGTTGTATCAATAGAGGAGGCTCGATATTTATTCTATAGAAAAAAAAACTGGCAGGATTCCATTCTTTGGTCGAGAAAAAAGGCGAATGATTACAGAATTCGAGTCTCATTGGACGTTTACCAAGGCCAAGGTGTCGCCGTGGTTTTCGAGCAATTCCTGGTCAGTCCGGATGATTGTGCGATCGCTTGTCAAACAGGAACGTTCAACTGCTCATAGTCAGTTTCTTTTGAATTTTCAAAGTTGAGTTTTTCAGTATTTGTGGAGACGTGATGGACCATGGGCTCATTCCGAAAATTCTCCGAGTTGAAGGATCAGCTACTGTAACGCTTCAGACAACCAAAACCGCCGACGGTTTTCCGCACTCAGGCGTCAGCGCGAAATTAGTTGCCTACGGTATAATTTGTTATCCATCCTGTTAACCCTATCACTCTTATCAGATTTGAGCGATCCTGCATTCGTGAACTGTGGAGAAAGCATAAATATATCGAACGGGTCAACTTTTTACCTGCTCTCGCCAAATTATCCTCTCACTCCGCCGGTCGCAGTTGCGAATTGCTCACTTTCTTACATTTCGAAAGACGGCATTCGTCTAGCTATCTACGATTTCTACACCGATTCTCTCCACGATTCATTTCAAATCACAGGATTTGATAAAAATGGGAGCCTGCAACAAGTGAATTTGAAGTTTGTTTAAGTATCAGAACAAATCGAGACTTTTAACGATTTCATCATTTTTCAGCCTCAAATTTCTCACTATTGATTGAATTTTCAGAGGATACGAAACTTATGACAATCCATACGCTTTGTACTTCAACAAGCAAGTCAATATCACTTTTTCCCTTTCCGACCTTCACGTTTTCTATCAAAAACGTTTTTACATCATTGTCAACGAGTTTCTAGGCATTGAAACTATCTCCATATCATCTCAATTTTTTATTTAACAGAGGTTGATGAGCCGAGTAGCGCCAGTTGCATAGAACCTGGGAATTTCGTTGTGAAAATCAACGAGAGGATCCAGTTTGGAACCAAAAACTTCGGAGTCAAAGCCTACGAGCCGAATACATTGTGCGATTGGAACTTTCAGAAAGAAGCAACGAATGGAGAAAGTCTTCTTGCTTTTGGTAATATATAACTTTCATTGTTTCAAAAAAAGTTTTCAGCTTTATCCTACGAGTCTGAAAAATGCTGTGACATTATGGAAGTTGATGGGCTTTCTCAATGGCACGTGAGTAACTTTTTCAATTTTTTCTTTTGTTTTTTGGGTTTTTAGGCTCATTGCTCTGAAAAATATTTTGAGATCAGAAGAATCGAAAAAAAGGAAAGATTGATTATTTTCGGAAAGGAAGAAACTCAGAAGCATTTTTCGATAGCAAGAAGTTAAAATTATGTTCCTGAATGGAAATTCTTTCAATTTTCAAAAAACTAACAAATGTGGATATCCTTTTATTTAGGTGTAAATCTTCGAGAAATTTTCGAAAATAAAGTTAACCATTTTTGTGTTTCTTCTCAGGAAGAATACCAAGGCTGGGAGTACAGCGAGGTCCGATTTACAAACAGCGGGAATGTGACTATGCGCTTTTCTTCCGATGGCGTCATGCAGGCAACGGGTTTCCAGGCCCTCGTCAACCACGTTGGTAACTTTTGTTGATATTATTTCAAGATTTGACACTATTTTGGGAAAATTCCGGAGAGTTTGCCCTATGAAAGTTTTTTTAGATTGATAAATGATTTCATTATCTTTTGGCGTGAGAATATCACGTTTTTTATTTTACTTGTAGTTTATCGAAAACATCATCAAGAAATACGCTGAGGAACCTTTGAAGGTTGGATTAAAGTTCTTCTTAATCGCTACCTTTAGAAAATTTGTTTTTGAATGAAGTTTCGACTTTATGTCGGCAGCACCTTGGAGGAGGAACTACTGTATGCTTTCAGAAACGCTTCAGCAAACCTTGAAAAACTAATAAAATTATTTTTTGAGCATTATGGTGGTTAAGGTGACGGCATAAAATCATTTACAATACCGACAGAAAAGAAAGAATAAAAACGTGACACATCTTTCTTGTAAGGAATTCAATCTTAGTGAAATTTTCTGAAGCTGCGTTTTTTCTGTGAACTGAAACTTCATCAGAGTGTTAAAAATATCAGTCATCACAACTACAGAAAGTTTCAGAAAGATTGATTTCCTTACAAGAAAGTTTTTACCGAAACCTCGTTTTTTTGTGAATTTCCTGAAGGTACTGTATGTTCCAGATTGCTCCTGTGGACAAGACATAACGCTCAACAGAACTGTTCCAATCGCAATGTTGACTTCTCCTGGATATTCGCAAAACGCGATGACATATTGTCCGAATTTAACATGCTCCTGGAAAATTTATGCAGAACCGGATGATAACATTTTCATAGAACTGAGCGATTTGGCTCTCCGTTCATACACATTGACCAACAAAACGGATTTGCTACAAATAACTGATGCCTATGGACACATCATGGCGACGTAACCTTCAAAGTTCAAATTTTATTCTTTTCCTTGTTCAGGATTCCGCCAAACTATTTGGGGCTTATCAATTTCACTCGAACTGTTACACCAATTTACATCAGTTTCACAAGCACAAGTTTGGCAACCTTCCCTATTGTGGAAATCGGGAGAGGATTTGCTATAACTCTCAGGAGAACCCCGAGTGAGTTTATTCTTATTTTCAAAGCTTGAACAATTTATTCAGAGAAAAATAATTTCCAAAACAATATCTTTCAATGATAATTATTTCATGGAGGACATTTCAACAAATAACTTCAGAAGCGGGCTGAATTCTACTTTTTGAGTTCAAAGTCACTGCGAGAAAAGGTAGAAAGGTAACGATTTTTGAATTTTTTTCTCGATACATTTTTTTGAACATCACCGCTTATCAAAAAAAGTATGAATAAGAAAAAAAGTTTGAAAAATTGAAAAAAATTGAAACTTTAAAAAAATACAAAAATCAAAGTCTGTTTGAATTATGAAGCTTCGAAACGCAAAGGCCTTCCGAAGAAAAAAATAACTGCGCTCTTAATAGCGGAGTGGTAGAGGTTTTGCAAAGCCCGTAAATTCGTTTTACAAGGAAAAACAAGTTTCGATTGAATATTGAAGTTTCTTAGGAAACATTGAAACCTTAACAGAAAAATTTCCATTTCTCCGATTTCTGGTTTTTGCTCATAATCTGGTGTGGCTTAAGCAAATGGATATTGCTTTTGGAGGTGAATTACTGCATGCCTCTTTGAAAACTGTGCAAAGTTTCAAGACATTTGAACCACTTGTAAAGTAGTTAGGCTCTAAAAACTATTTTAAAAGAAATTTATGGCCAGTACTGTATCGCTTTTAAAAGTTACAAAATCAACATGTCCATGCTATTTACTTCCGCAATAGAGTTTCACAAAAGTTTGAGTTGAAAAAAAATGTTTTCAGATCAGCGTCTTCTTTTTTTCAACCATTGCGCACAATGTTTTTGTTGATGTATATGATGGCGACACCTCAGAGGCTAACTTGATCGACAACAAGTTTGAGAGATGAGAAAACAGCCGAGATTCCCACATTTTCCAGACCCCTTTATTCAAATGTGGACATCGATGGGTACAGCTTTTCTTTGACAAGTAGTCAAGAACACATGTTGATACGAGTTCAAGCCGATATTGACTTGACCATATCTGATCACGATTTCCAAGCTATGGTCACGGATGCTAAAGATGGTTAAAAAACCTCAAGTCAATGACTTTTTTGGATTTTCTAGAAAACTGCGGATACTTGGCGTACTCGATTTCCAAACAACAAAGCTCCGAAAAAATCCCTTTTCTAGGCACGAACTGTTTCAAGGTTTCATTTAACTTCCTCGGAAGTTTTTCTTCATTTTTCATGTTACAGGTTTTTCATATTATGGATCTAAACTACGATTTGAACAAATATCTATCACTGAATTTGGAAGAGCGAAACTCAGTCGACGTATACTTAGGATTATCAACGAACCAAGAAAACCTATTGATGAGGTTTTTAAACCTGTTCCCTGCAATAAAAGGTGTTCTTAAGTGATACTGTTAATGATCTCCCTCGAGCCATTTTTTCGAACTATCTAACTTTGAAGTTTTCAACGAAAGAAGAGTTTTACGTGCAGTACTCCTGGTTTGAATCGGGTCGGTTTATTTTCGACAACTTATTAAATAAGTTTCAAATAGGATATATCCTGCCATTTTCAATGAATTCGAACGAAACAGTAGTGATAATGTCTCGGGATTATCAGCGGTCCTCTCCTCCATTCGAACAGCAATTTTCTGTGGAACTGGTATGTTTTTTTTTTGAATTTGCTTACTTCTGAACATTTCACTACATGAGAAAAGGTTCGTCAGGATCAACTAAAGTCATTTTTACTTTGAAGCAAAATTTTTTTCAGGAAGGCGAATCTTCTTTGCAAACGGGATTGCGTTTTGAAGTTTTGGCGCCTTTGGGTGAGGGCTATGGGTTCATAGAGATGAGCAATTATGACGAAACCCTCTCTCATACAAAGTGAGAATCTTTTGTTTGAAGAAATATATAATTATTTTTTTCTTGTCTAAGAGAAAAATCGGGGATTGCTTCGCTGCATAGATTGTTGAAAAATTTTCGAATTTTTTTCCTCAAAAAAATATTATTTTTGGAAGCTCTTCAGCCCATAAAGACTGTTATTAAAGGACTTTCTTTTTGAACATCTAAAAAAATTATTTTTTTAATAACTTTCAAACTTCTATTATACATGTACGTATGAGAATCTAAAGTCAATTTATAGATACGCTTCTTCAAACGGAACATTTATATTCCAATCATGTGGGACAAAAATGCAAATACAGTATTCCTCACCAGGAGGAAGTTCAAGTGGACTCTTTGCAAAAGCATCCCGAGGTAATCTCTCATCAGAGAAGATTTGAAGGCTATATTTTTCCAGCTGATCTCAAATGCAAAGGAACGAGTTCAACGTCATCTTCGTTCTTATCTTTTGTCATATCATCTGTACTACTTGCTTTTCGAAAATAAAGTCATTGAGATGATACAACGCACAAAAAGCGAAATTTGATTTCTTTTCTCTCCTTCACAATAATAAAAATATGTCACGTGATCAACACAACTTTTTGAGAACGTCAAAATATTTGTTTACCGTCAAATTTCAGTCGAATGGGCTTCAGAAAGATCATTAAAAGCTGATGTTAGAGAAAAATTTCTTTCAGAAGATCTATTGGGAGTCCGACCTCTCGGTTAGGTCCAAGGCCTGAAATCAACTGCTCACATTAACGGAAATCAGTTTCAGACCGAAGAATAACTCTTTTATGAACTATTTCAAACTCCTCCAAAAGCCAATAGTTTTTTTTTGTGAATGTTTGGATTATTTATCGCTATAAAAAACTTATAATTTTCAAAATATAAACCTCAAAAAAGCGATGCGCCGATTTCAAAAACCCATAAGCAAAAAGAAAAAAGAGAATTTTCAACTCTCCATTTCAAAATTTCCCCGGTTAGAAAGGCAAGTCTGTTTTCAATGGCGACAATTATCTGATCCTGTTGTCATCTGTTGTCGCGAAAATCAAATATGCAAATGAGGAGAAAAGATAAGAAATAATGTCTCACCTGGGACAATATAGGGGGAATCCCCGACCGAAACGTATCACGACATCAAATTTCATACCATCAAAGGACCAAACAACCGTAAAGAAAAATCAAATATGAAAGGAAGTGGAAAAAAATGAATTTTATTCGTGCTTAAGACATCCTTAAAAGGAGCTTTTTCAACAGAGGCTGAAGTGTAAATGAAGTTTTGGTAGATTTTTCGTTTCCCTCTAAAAATACCCTAGACCAAGATGTCTGTCTTTCTTGGTTGGTAGACGTCTTTCAGTTGTACTAAAAACAGCTACTAGCGGCTGTGGCGTTTTCGGTTACAAACGGTCGTCATTCTGTGCTCTTTCAAAAAGAGCTGACAGCCTTACACTGAGAACGTAAAAGTCGGAAGGTCTGCTTCCTTCGAAAATAGATTTGCAACAAGAACCAAAACGACAACAGCCCCTTCAACCAAACTCACCGGTCGAAAGTATTCAAAATAGGTGGCAGGAGACCAATAATTAGAAAACAACTAGCAAAATTCTCCACGACGTCGAGAAACTTATCGAGACCATTTTGTTATCCTAGCCATCACGAATCAAAAATATTTTGAAAAACACTTCCTTCTGCGGGAAGTTGAGTTCATTTTTTGTTAATTTATAGTTTCCCTAAAACATTGTGATTCAAAGCGAAATTGCAAGCTCAATTAAATTTTGGCAAGAGAAACATTTTTTAAAGCCCTATGAAGTCTCAAAAGGGTCTTTTTTTTTGTTAGATGGTGGGTCCGGAAAGAATTCTTCTACCAAAAACGGTACAAAATTTTGATTCGACGAAAATCGAAAACTCCCATACCTTGTCTGAATGTGAAAACACAAAAGTCTCATTTCAGAGGGGTTTCCCAGAAGATTCAAAAACCAAAAGGCCACCTGACATCTTAACACTTTCAGATCTTTGAAGAGTCAGGATAAAATGGCTTTGATCCCGAACAACGTTCTCGTGACGAAAAACAAAACAACTTTAAGAAGTGCTCGAGTATCAAAGATGTTTTCAAGTGCAGCCAACTGTCGTTTTTCGATCGCGGGAATTAGTAAACTTGTTTGGACAAAAGCATTGAAAATTTCAAACTTTTCGCACATGAAAAAAATTATTTTTTTGAAAAAAATGGAGCGCAGCGATGTTTTTTTGAAAAAAATATTAATAACTTAATGAATAAAGATTCAAAAAAATCTCTGAACCAATTCGAGATTTTCGACGAAAAACGAATATTTTTTTAAACTGAGGTTTAAGTCTATTTTTTTCTAACAAAAGAGTAAGTAAGAAACAGATTGAATTTCAGCCTAGATTTTAAGTACGGCGGGAAGCTTTGAAAAACAAAATTTAAAAAAATCTGTTTAAAACTTGCCACGTTAGGTATAAATTTTTTTCAACTGATGAATCTATTTTTATTCTAAATCTTTTTTTGAAACCAAATAACTGAAATTTAACCCGATGTTATCCTGATTTCATTGAGAGAAAAGTACCCTTTCATCGCCGACTTAGGCTTAAATTTGGAACTTTTTTTTGAACTTACTGATGAATTGCACAATAGAAAATGTTCACACTGATCAACTTATTATCGGGGATTTTTATCGCATCAAATAATGTGATTCAAAATCTAGTTTCCTCCGGAACTGTAACTCAACTGTAAGATTAGCGAAAGCGGTGTCGAATTTTCAAGTTGATAGTGGAAAAAAAACCACAAAAGATCAAAAAAAAAGTTTATGGATGAAATTTGATCTTAAAAATTCAAAGAAAAAAATAAAAAAAGTTTGTTCAGGAAAGAAACTCAGAAAGCTGTAATCGATCTCTGTTATAAAAAAATTTTATTTTTCAAATCATTGAGTTGGTTTTTTGAATACCATCAAAACAATTTCCGTTATCTGCAATAGTCTATTTTGGGCCATGTGTATATTTAGATAAGCTTTGATCGGCGAAGTACGAAACACGTTTTGAATGGTCTGCGACTGCACGTGGGGTGTTTCCCGTCGGTTCCGCGCCGGCTGGGGAATACCTTTTTCGTCATTGGAAAACACCGGTAAACGTGCACAGTTGTTTCTGATCACGTTGCCGACTTATTGTTTTTTAGAACTACAGTTTGCTGTTTACAAGGAACTGAAATGGGAAAATCGAAAAAGTGGACCTATCTGACAAAAAAATTACAGAATAATATTTTTTTAATTTCTTATTACGGTTCATGGGAAGAATGAAAGATTAAAATTCTAACAAGGAAGGCTCAATAGAAAATTCTTTCCTTCTCAACAATATCAAAGTCTTTTTACTGTTTCAAAATGACTGAGAAATAGTTATCATCTCCTAGTTGCTGTAGCATGAAACGAAACATTGAAGAAGCACCACGGATCTATGCAAAAAAAGGCTGGATAAGTTAAAAAAGGAGACCATTTTTGTTTTTTTCTTTTCCGTAAAAAAGTTTGTCAAAATGAAGATTTATGATGAGCTTTCATAATAAAGTGTTGTTATAAAAAGAAAATTTTATGTGAGGGTGATGAAAATTCTTTGCAGCAAAAAAAAGACGATATGAAAGTAACACAGCCTGGCGTAGTTATACCTATGCTAAGAACGTCGATTTTTTTGGATGCTTGACAGAATTTCAAATTCGGAAATCCCGACAGCTCAAAAACCTTCTCCTCATCCTACTTTATCTCTACCTCACACCCTGTGAATGAATCCCCGCATTCACAGTTTTGTTTTCGAGGCCGAGGTGTTGCGTGTGATTGGAAACGTTGCGTCATTTTGTGTGGCCAGCCAAGACTCCGCCTCCTCAACAGACGTCGACGGTATAAAGGAGACGCCTGAGAGCAGATCCAGCAGCACGACCACTTTGAGCTGTGCTTTTCTTTCTACTGAACCCAAACCGACAATGTGTGGAATCTTTGCTATCTGCCAATGTCCCGCTCGCACCAAGAAATTCTTCGACGTGGAGAAGGCTAAAGAGCTCGCCTAGTGAGTTTCGATTTGCACCTATCGGATTGTGAAAAGCTTGCCTGACAATCTTTCGTCCCTTTACCCGTCTCTTCAATTTTCAGCCGCCAATACCACCGAGGACCAGACTTCCGAGGATTCTACCAAGATTCTCAGAGCGGAGATATTCTAGTGCACGAACGCCTGGCTATCATGGACCTTGGAATCAGTCATCCTCTCCAGGGAAGCAACGAACGCAGCCAAGTGAGACATTTCCTTGGGGAATCCCTTTCTCTCCTCACGTCATTTTTATCTTATCTCTCTGGTTGCAGGTCATCCACAACGGCGAGATCTACAATCATCAACACTTGAGAGATCACGAACTCAAGGGCGTCCACTTGAGGACTTCCTGTGATTCCGAGGTATTTCAAAAATATCAGAGCAGAGTTTGATAACTCCCTCAGGTGATCATCTTCTTGTACGAAAAGTTCCGCGATGGAGCTTTCTGCAACCTCCTCGATGGAGTCTTCGCCTTTGCTCTCTGTTGCGATGGCAAGTTCATGACGGCTCGCGATCCCATTGGGGTCAAGCAAATGTACTTTGGAGTTGACTCGGACGGCCGTTTCTTCTTCAGGTTGGTGCTCAACGACGAGAAAATTCATGGAAAAAACAAATTCAGCAACGAAATGAAGTCCATCGAAGATGTCTGCGGAAACACCAGAGTTTCTCCTTTCCCTCCAGGTCACTATTACACTCCCGAAACAGGCTTCGTGAGATATTTTGAGGTGAAATCCTCAGTTCATTCCGAATACCTTGGTTGTTTCAGCCACTTTGGTTCCAACCGAAAAACGCCATCAATCCTCTCGATCTCTGCAGCCTCCACGACAAACTCGTGGCCGCTGTCCACAAAAGACTCATGTCTGATGCTCCTCTTGGAGTTCTTCTCTCAGGAGGACTCGACTCGAGTTTGGTCAGGTAAGACGCGTTTGTGAAGATGGAAGTATTATGTGATTTTTACAGTTCGATCGCTGCTCGAGAAATGAGCCGTCGTGGATACACAATCCATTCGTTCTCCATCGGTGTCGACCAAAACTCTCCAGATGTCGTCGCCGCTCGGAAAGTGGCCGACTTCATCGGCACCATCCATCACGAGTTCTACTTCAGCATCCAGGTCCGGCTGCAGAAACTTTTCCGAAAAAATTGCATGTTTTCAGGAAGGAATTCGCAACCTTCGCAAACTCATTTGGCATCTTGAATCTTACGATGTTACTTCCATCAGAGCTTCGACACCCATGTACTTCTTGACGGAGAAAATCCGAGAAATGGGGATCAAGGTGGGAAGAAACCAAACTTCCACTCGAATAGAAAATGTGCTTCAGGTGGTTCTCTCCGGTGAAGGAGCCGATGAGATTTTCGGAGGCTACCTGTACTTCCACAACGCTCCGAACAACGATGAGTTCCAGAAGGAAACCATCGACCGAGTCCTCCATCTGTACACTTCTGACTGTCTGAGGGCCGACAAGTCCTCTATGGCCCATTCGGTGGAAGTTCGCGTGCCTTTCCTGGACAAGGCCTTTTTGGAAGAAGCCATACTGACCGAGCCCGCCTTCAAACGACCTCAGATTTTGGACTGTGGTCGAAGCTGCGAGAAGTTCGCTCTCAGAAGCGCTTTCAACCATGACGTAAATGAAAACCTGAAGATTGGAGTTTGTACATGAACTTCTTCCAGGAAAAACCCCTACCTCCCAGCTGAGATCCTCTGGAGACAAAAAGGAACAGTTTTTCGGACGGAGTCGGCTACGATTGGATCGACAAACTCATGCAGCACTGCTCTGACCAAATCTCCGACGAAGAGGTTTTTCTTTCTTTTAAACTCCATCTTATTTCAAAAATTCAGTTTGCCACGGCTGCTGACCAGTTCCCCATCAACACTCCTCACAGCAAAGAAGCCTTCTACATGCGGAAAATTTTCCACGAGCATTTCCCATCTGAGGAAGCGGCGGCTACCGTTCGCAAATGGATTCCCAAGTGGCAGAAAAACCAAGATCCCTCAGGTTTAACTTTGGCAATCGATCTAAATAACCAATGCTTTCAGGACGTGCTTGCACTGTTCACCTCCAAGCTTCGCACAACATCGGCATGGAAAAGATTCAGGAGCCAGCAAAAATGATTCAGATGGAGATTCAGCGACCTCAAAAAGCATAAATCCCAGAAAAACGATCATTTTCTGCTTGTGTCGTATTTGTATTATTTAACTTGAGCCTTTTTTGAGGTCCAAGCTTCACAAAAATATTGCGTTGTTGTTTATATTCCATACGGATATTTGTTGTAAATAGTTCAATGAATTCATTTTGCGTACATTTTTGTTTACCACAAGTTGATATTCCATAGGTTGGACTCAGATGACCGATAATTATCAAGTTTTTCAAAATTAAAAGAAATTTCGGTATTAGAAACATCTTTGTTTAAACGCAGTCTTTTGCAACAATTTCAGACTTTTTCATATTGAGCCCAGATCATTTAGACCGCTTGGGAAAAAGTGGCTGTGTTTGAACTATTTCTTAGCTTTTCTCGGTGCTTTGAGATTCATCGAACAAACCATGTCTACTGATCTTTGAGAAAGTAACTTCTCTCTTTGAAGATCATATCTATTTTTAGAGGTTACTTCTTACGCGATGGGAGTTTCGAACAAACTTTTGAAAAAGTTCATCTTTGTTCCCATTCAAACTGCTATGTCATATTTGTTAATGGAAGCTGTGATCTTTCAGAAAATGTGAGATGGCAATCGGAAACCAGATCGATGAGCTATTCAGTAATTTGCAGTAACTATCCCATCAGTGCTAATGTAATGTGACTTGAAACTTTTTCTGAACAGAAGTATAAATATTTGGGGAAGAAGCTACGATGCGTTTAGAAGCCGTTAAGGGCTTAATTATACTTTCCGTTTTCTCAGAAAAATTCCACGATAAAATGAATTACAAATAGAAAAAAACCTTCTTCGGGAAACGTATCAGATACCAAAGACTGTCTGAAAATTAAATCAAAAGTAAATATACTCGAACACTGCCGTACTTTGTACTTTGCTTGATGGACCTCTCTCGGCAAGTTTGAGACGATTTTTTTGGAGCTATACTTCTGCAATTAAAAAAATTTAATAAGAAAAAAATGTAGAAGACTAATGAAGTGCGTTTCATTCTGTATATTAACATCAACGGATTTTATTGGCTAAGGAAAACCAACAAATCTTCATAAAATACTTTGAACTTTTCTTTGCTATTTGATGGAAACCAAGAAACAGAAATGATAGATAAAAAAGCTCTTTAAACTCGAAAATTGACGTAAACTATCACACCTTGTAAAAACAGCGAACCGAAAGTTGAAAAATAGAACTTATTTACTTTTTTTTGAAGTTTTTTTCGGAGTTTTTTTGTTTCTTGTTGAAAAGGGATTTTTTTCCATGAAAAATCAAAGTTTCTTTATCCTCAAAGGAAAGCTCACTAAATTCTAATTTATTTTCCAACTTTGCAATATAACGTACAGTATATTATCTTATAGAGCGAGTGAAAAATGCCCTATAAAAAAATTTCAAACAAAGAAACGATTATTTTTTTCTGCGCCTTGAAATAAATTCTGTTTCTCAGACGTTGGTTATGTTGATTGTGGGAATAGACAGGAGATGAGAAAAATTTTTTTCATAAATTATTCAAAAAAATAATTTGTTCGCCCAATTGAACAAATTGATGGCCATAGATTGAATTTTGAGAATTTTATCGGTGAAGCCGAAGTAAAAAAATGCTGCAACATTCTTTTCAATTTTAATTATACCGACATCAAAATCGTGAAAAAGAGGAATAGTTTGAATGTACTCAAAAATAAATAATTTTTTTCCTCAACTTCACGCCAAAAAAACATGGTAAAAAAATAATAATCTTAGTTTGAGGTATGAAAAGTGCACAGGTTATTATAAAAATAACTCGTTTAAATATCGCTCAAGAACAAACTTTGAAACCGTGACGTTCAGAAAAAAATTTGTTTTTCACCTAGAGACAAATTTTGTTGAAAAATTTTTTTGGAAATTTAGAAAAAAATAATTTTTTTGAGTATTTTTTTGATGATGCGCTTTTTTTATTTTGAGTAGAATCTACAGATGGAGATTCGAGGTTCGAAGGAAATTGGTTCATCTAAAAAATTAGGATCATCCGAGAGATGATTTTATCCGATTTTGATACGCTTCAAAGGATTTTTTTGCGACTCTTGAGATCGTATGAAGACGTTGGGAGTAGCCCGCCAATAGTTTCAATAAAATTTTTGAACTGACTTTAATACTTTTAGGATCTCCATTCAGTCCATTCAGCTTTATTTCGGTCTATTTTAGAGCCTTTTTGAGTTTTTTGTTAAATGACCTTTTTTTGTGTTCAATGTGATAAGAACTTCCAAAATGAAAATACAGAATCGTTTCTTTTTCACAAGAACTCATTTTTAGAAAGGACATGATCATATTTCGAATCGAGACATTGCGTGTGATTGAGATTGTTGCATCATTTTGTGCGCCGGATCGAAGCCCCGCCTCTTTACACGCGTCGAATGTATAAAGGAGACCCTTAAGAGCTCGTCCATCAGTATCTTTTCAAGCTTCCCGACTCCGATTTGGTTCAGATCTGCTTCTAGTCCATCGACACCGACTTCAACAATGTGCGGAATATTTGCTATCTGTCAATGTCCGGCTCGTACTGGGAAGTTCTTCGATCTGGAGAAGGCTAAGGAGCTCTCAAAGTAAGTTTCATACTAAGGCGTTTCAATTTTTAAAAGAATGCAGAATTTTTGTTTTTTGTCTTTTTCATTTCATCACATAACAAATCTTTACGTGATTCTGCTCATGGAGAGATGATATATTTGCAGCCGCCAATACCACCGTGGACCAGACTTTCGAGGATTCTACCAAGATTCTCTGAGCGGAGATATTCTTGTTCACGAACGCCTGGCTATCATGGACCTTGGAATCAGTCATCCTCTCCAGGGAAGCAACGAACGCAGCCAAGTGAGACATTTCCTTGGGGAATCCCTTTCTCTCCTCACGTCATTTTTATCTTATCTCTCTGGTTGCAGGTCATCCACAACGGCGAGATCTACAATCATCAACACTTGAGAGATCACGAACTCAAGGGCGTCCACTTGAGGACTTCCTGTGATTCCGAGGTATTTCAAAAATATCAGAGCAGAGTTTGATAACTCCCTCAGGTGATCATCTTCTTGTACGAAAAGTTCCGCGATGGAGCTTTCTGCAACCTCCTCGATGGAGTCTTCGCCTTTGCTCTCTGTTGCGATGGCAAGTTCCTGACGGCTCGCGATCCGATTGGGGTCAAGCAGATGTACTTTGGAGTTGACTCGGACAGCCGCTTCTTCTTCAGGTTGGTCCTCAACGCCGGGAAAATTCATGGAAAAAACAAATTCAGCAACGAAATGAAGTCCATCGAAGACGTCTGCGGGAACACCAGGGTTTCTCCGTTTCCACCAGGTCACTATTACACTCCGGAAACAGGCTTCGTGAGATATTTTGAGGTAATACTATCATCTAAGTTTTTTCCAAATACCTTGGTTATTTTAGCCACTTTGGTTCCAACCGAAAAACGCCATCAATCCTCTCGATCTCTGCAGCCTCCACGACAAACTTGTGGCTGCGGTCCACAAAAGACTCATGTCAGATGCTCCTCTCGGAGTTCTTCTCTCAGGCGGACTTGACTCGAGTTTGGTCAGGTAAGACGCTTTTTTCAAGAAAGATGTACAATCTAAGCTATTCAGTTCGATCGCCGTTCGAGAAATGAGCCGTCGTGGATACACAATCCATTCGTTCTCTATCGGCGTCGACCACAACTCTCCAGATGTCGTCGCTGCTCGGAAAGTGGCCGACTTCATCGGCACCATCCATCACGAGTTCTACTTCAGCATTCAGGTCCGGCTGCAGAACAGTTTTTGAAAACATCGTGTGTTTTCAGGAAGGAATTCGCAACCTCCGCAAGCTCATTTGGCATCTTGAATCTTACGATGTTACTTCCATCAGAGCTTCGACACCCATGTACTTCTTGTCGGAGAAAATCCGAGAAATGGGAATCAAGGTGGGAAGAAACCAAACTTCCACTCGAATAGAAAATGTGCTTCAGGTGGTTCTCTCCGGTGAAGGAGCCGATGAGATTTTCGGAGGCTACCTGTACTTCCACAACGCTCCGAACAACGATGAGTTCCAGAAGGAAACCATCGACCGAGTCCTCCATCTGTACACTTCTGACTGTCTGAGGGCCGACAAGTCCTCTATGGCCCATTCTGTGGAAGTTCGCGTGCCTTTCCTGGACAAGGCCTTTTTGGAAGAAGCCATACTGACCGAGCCCGCCTTCAAACGGCCTCAGATTCTGGACTGTGGTCGAAGCTGCGAGAAGTTTGCTCTCAGAAGCGCTTTCAACCATGACGTAAATGAAACCTGAAGATTGGAGTTTGTACATGAACTTCTTCCAGGAAAACCCCTACCTCCCAGCTGAGATCCTCTGGAGACAAAAGGAACAGTTTTCGGACGGAGTCGGCTACGATTGGATCGACAAACTCATGCAGCACTGCTCTGACCAAATCTCCGACGAAGAGGTTTTTCTTTCTTTTAAACTCCATCTTATTTCAAAAATTCAGTTTGCCACGGCTGCTGACCAGTTCCCCATCAACACTCCTCACAGCAAAGAAGCCTTCTACATGCGGAAAATTTTCCACGAGCATTTCCCATCGAAGGAAGCGGCAGCTACCGTTCGTAAATGGATTCCGAAGTGGCAGAAAAACCAAGACCCCTCAGGTTAATCTAAGAAATATCGTGATTTATTCAAGAAATCGCTTCACAGGACGTGCCTGTACGGCTCACTTGCAAGCTTCGCATGACATTGGGATGGAAAAACTTGAAGAGACGGAGAAGATTGCTCAACGCCCACGAAAAGCATAAAATTTGGCTAATTTTCCTACCTTTTTTTAATTATTGCATAATATCCGGTATAATAATATTAATAATAAATGGAAGTTTTTTTCAATAAAAATTTTAAAAGCCGTATTCTTTTTATTGTTTTTTTTACATGCAACCAACAAAAATGGTCTTCAGAACAAGTTGGAAAAGGAATTACTGGAAGAAAGCTAAGAAAAAAATCAAGCGTTTCTGTGATATTGGACTGAAAAAGGATGAGTTTAAAGTTGTTCAACCAACTTCGGCTTATACCAACACTTCCTATGTTTTCAAAAAAAAAAACATTTTTAGCAAAACCGCTTGCCCTCTTGCTCTTTTTTGTGCCTTGTGAGGTAATCCGAATCGCTTCATTTCATTTGGTAAGCGTTTTCTGACTGGGTGTTTTTTTTAAATGCGAGTGGGTGTGAAAGCTTGTGATTTTCACTTGGTTTTCTGAATTCTCTCTTTATTTTATTTTTGAAGATTTTGAAAAAAATTCGGTTTCAGTCTATATAGAAGAAAACGTATTTGTCTCATTTTCAACTCTTTTTCCGATTTCGCAGGGAGACTTGTACAAAATTATAGGTTTCGAAAATATCCAGATGTTCCAGTAATTGAACGTTTGAATTTTTTTGTGTTTTGGAAATTCTGTATTTTGAGAAGACAGCAAAACATGTTTGCATTGGTTAACTTTTTCATTTTTCGGAGCTGTGATCTCTGTTTTTTTTTCTTATTCCTGGGCTCTTTCATTTGAGATATGAGTTGCGTTGGTCACAGCCACCTGCGCCGAAATTTGAGTATATTTCCTCCAAAGAAGGGGTACTAACATTTTTGGAGCTGGAAGAGGTCATACATTGAGTTTCAATGGTGGTCTTATCTTTATTATTTTTCAGTATATTCACTTTTCTTGCATACAAAACTTGTCCCTTGGAAAACTCCCTTGCTCGGACACAAAAATGAGAATCCATGAAAAAAACCGGTTTTTGCCCAACTTCATAGAAGTTCGTTCATTTATTCGGATATCGAACAATCATAAATTTCTTGTAGTCCAGTACAGTGCTGCCGAATTTTCTTTGAACTCCGCCAGAAATAGGATGCGAAGATATGTGATTACTGAGTTCTTTCGTCATAATGCGTCTTTAGAAAAGAGATTTTGAGAAGAAAAGGTAAAAAAATAGGCTGAATAGGGATGAATAGGTTTCGTCACATGGTAATCCCTCCAGATAGGCTAATTTGATTGTAGCCAAAAGCTATGCAGAGCCGGCGTGCGAATTCCTCGCTGGAGTTGCCATAGCAGCCCTCTTTCATAAATTTTCGCGCGTTTTCGTTTATGGTTTTTCGTTCCAGACTTACCATACGATAATTCTTCAGGAAACGACTTGCAGACACGAGCGTCGCTTTTTTTCAGGTAGGCGTTTCCAAACGCGCTCATTTGCTATTGCCAATTAAGGTTATTACCGTGTATCACATTAACTGGATGAATGTATTGCGTTCTCCGGGCTTATTAAATTATTGCCAAAATGTGAAAAAAAGTGAAAAGGAACATTTGTTCTCGTAGTATGTTGTATTTTCATTTTCCAGTTCAACTTTGGCGATGGGAAGTTGCAGCTCTTGCGTGCGGCTTATGCTCGATGCGGAGTCCGACGTCAAAATACACGGTTAGTCTTGAAACTTGACTGAAATCTCTGATCGAGGATTTATAGTGATCGAACCAACTTCTATCAACGGCGGCGGGGAACAGTCGGTGATACATAGGGAGACTCCAGCCGAACGAATGCGACCGACTCTTGAAGTACCCCAGTTCCATCGACCGAGGAGAGAAGAAAAAGAAGAAGAATCCTGAGCGGTCCTCCGAAATGTGTGTCCTTTTCACCAAAAAGTAGGTACAAGAAAAGATTATATCGGCTTCTGAGTTCCACCTTGCTTTGTGTCTGTTCCATTATCATCATCATTATTTTCACGTGTTCGGAATCAACTGCGGATAAACTACAAAAAAGCCATTTTTCATTTGAAAATTTCATCTGATTATTTCATTTTAATCTTCTCGAACTTTTGTAAGATTGGATATTATTGCAACATTATACATTGGTGGAAATATACTGTTGCTCACGGGAAATTGGGAAACTTCGAAAAAAATTGTAAAACTTGTCTTGTGAATAAAAAGCTATATAGTTGTCTAAATTTTAAACCCGGCAGATTATTGGAATTCGGCGGTTTATCAGGTACGTGATAATCATTTTTCTGGAACTATCATCAAAAATTGGAGAAGATTTAAGATTTTCTCAATTTTGAGTTCCGCTCAGTTATTTTTTCTTTGACTCAGTATCCGATCGCATAATGGGCAACTGCGCGAACTTTTTTGAAAAATTTGTTTTCAAACTCACGAAATGATGTTTTCAGGCATATTTCTGTTTCAAAAGGATACATTGAAACTTCTTGACCCAAAAAAAGTTAAGCGACCAAATTATTATCTAGACCCCATACCTAATTCGTCGCAGAGTGTTCGAGCTAAAGTCCTGAAAATTAATGCTTCTTAGATTAAAGAATGCATATTTTTTGCTCTTGAAAAGATTTTCTGATTGTTGATGCTATTTATCATAACTGAGCAGATAGGTGGTTTTCAACTTTGAAAGGCTTCGAATGATTGAAAGACCGGCCCTGCATCATTTTCCTCAAAACTTATGGTAGTCGCATACGTATAAAGTATCTGCACTGAAATATGACTTATCTTCATCATAACTGGGTCAAATACTCCAATTTAATTTTATTCCGGTCATTTATTGCAGCCAAAAACTGTTTTGTGTAGTACGACAGTATTCAAGAAATAGAGGCATTCTGAGTACGCCGAATGAACTACAATACTTGTAGGATTGAATAATTTATGCTATTTTTCTCAGTATAGGAGTTGGACGGAAAAGAAGCTCGCAAAAATCAAGGCCAAAGAATAATAATTATGGTTTTTCCCACCTTTTAAAATTTGCATTATCTTAACTTTGTCCGGATCGCCTTCTCACGTTGTGCGGTGTTAGATCAATCAACTTTTAATATTTGAAATGTTAACTCATCAAACTTTCCATGTGCCTTTCATGAAGCCGAAATTCTTTCACATACGACTCCTATCACGCTTATTTCGCTTCTGAAAAATTCCATTTTCAGCAGTTTGCTCATTCGTTTCTATCATTTGCAATTGTTTTCCGACATTGGTCTACACGAGAGAGTTCCGCGTTGCAAAGGAAATGAATTCAGTGCTTGGCTCTTTTTCATGGAAGTCGCTGAAAAATAACAAATTTTTTTAGGGCCATAAAAAAAAAAAAAAAAAAAAAGGACATGAGAATTTTTGTTTTAAAAGCAAGAACTTTTGAAGTTATAACAAAGAATTGCCTTTGGCGAACGAGTAGTTGATCAAGTTGAAGGCATGATTTTACTGCACTTCGCCTCGGTTCTATGAGCGTAGTTCATCCAGATGCGGCTTGACGAGCTCAAAATGTATCAGATGTTGTAGCTGGAGTATGGGGACCGTGCTTGAGGTGGAAAAAGGCGAACCACATGAGAATGAATGTTTTTTATGAAGTTCAAGCTCGAGAAAATTACTCACGTTATTTTTCCGTTAATTTCGAGATAGTCCAATCTTCGTTATTCATTTTCTTCAACAGAGAAGTAGACCTTTTTTTGGATGCTTTTCAAATCGTTATATTACCTGAAGAAAAGGGTTGCAGATAAACTTTTCATGAACTTTTTTGAAGACACTTTATCGATGATGATGGCTGCAAAACATGTTTGGTTTGACTTTCTTTGTCTAAAATGAGAGCCTCGTTTTTTTCAGGTGTCAGGATGGCCGCCGGACGCTGTCGAATCTTAATTTAGCGGGGTACTTTTTGTGTTGTCGCTTTTCAAAAACGAATAAGATTAAATACTCCAACCTTCATGTGTTCTTCCCGACTCTCAAGCAACTGGAAAAGTTGTTTTGAAAATTTTTTTCTAAACGAAGCTCTCCGAAGGCTTCCATCATCAGGATTTAGGTCAACATAAGTTGAAAACACCTTCGTTTTGTGGCCAACCTGATACTTGACATACTCGAAACTGTCATAGCGGCCAAAGAAAGTTGAACCAAATGTTTTTACATGTATTATCATTGACACTGTGTCTTCAAAATAGTTTATAAACATTTGTCTGCAAATCTTTTGATCATGAGATACATCGATCTGAACGCCGTCCAATAATCGGGTCCTCTCCTGTTGGTCGTTGTAAAATGTCTTTTTATCAAAGATTTACCCCCAGCCTCATTTTTCTTGTAGCAACTATTCTTTTCTGTAATATCTCATCCATCCAATCAAGTTTTATTTCCATGCACAAAAAAAACAAATCTCGATGATGCCACTTAACATTTCAGACTAAAAGCATAACGAAGACTTGTGTAAACAACCAACCGTTAAACTATGAACAAAAATAAATTGAAGAATAATGACGCAATAGTTATCACTTGTTCACCAGCTTTTTCCTTAATGAACCGAAACATCAAACTCAGCGATATGTTGGTCGGATCGGGTTTTTGGAACCCTCGACAGACAGAAAAACTTTGTCAACAAAATGTATATTTGAAGAATTTTGACCAACAACAGCGTTATGGAAACCGGAGCGAAGAAAAGAAAGTTGGAACTTGCAAATTTTCACGCAAATTGGCCTTTTTACTGGAAAATCAGCTTCGGAATTCAGAATTCTCAAAGTCAGTAAGAATCCAACAGACAAAAATCATCAATTAGTTAGACTAGCCAATCCCGCAAAATCACTGGAATCTGAATAAACAACTAAAAATTGAGCTTCTACGTCTTAACAAATTAATTATTTTCAAGTGGATCAGAAACGTCTCGCGAGAACTTCAGTAGGTCATTCTTTGAATTATTTATCAATTCTGACAAAAGAAAAAAAAACTAAATTATGCTGCGGATAGAAAAAGAAACACGGAACTTGCAGAACCCGAAGGTGTGATGAAATTATTGAATTGAATGTTTCTACTCAGATACTGGCTTTTTTAGCAAATTTGACCCAGTGTTCAACGGTTTGTCTTCCCAAATCCAGAACGATCGATTTTCCTTCTCCTCTTTCGTCATGTCTTGAGATGCTAACGCGTTCTGGAGCTGATGCCAACTCTTTGGGAAACTGAAAAAGATTCAAGTAAGAGTTGGAAAAATGAGAGCTGATGAACCTGTGGCTGGAAAGGCTCGTCGTCGTCGCTGCTTTCTCTCCAGCCTTCGCTCGAATCGTAGAGCGGATTGACCCTCATGATAAACTCGCACAACTGTTCAAAGTCTCGGCTCTACAAATTTTCCAGAATTTTCTAGTGATTTCTTGATCAAAGAAGAAACCTGCATCTGGAGACTGTTTCGAACAAAGTTCCCGTCGCGGCTTCTTCCGGATCTCCCAGACATCCTGGCCGACTTCATTCCAGCTGCGTTCGACCTTCTGAACAGATTGAAATTTCAAAAGCTGCAAAAAAAGTTACCTGGAGACGTTGTGACGTCCGTGCATTCGGAAGGGGTGGCTGGACCGTCTTTTTCTTATTTCGTAGCGAATGAAGGCACATGTTATTATTTCTTTGTAAGTAAGCCGCATTCTGTCGTTGAAGTACGCGTAGATAAAGGGGTTACACATATGATTGCAGAGCCAGACCTGAACGTATCAATTTTTGGACAGAAAATATTCTAAAACTCTGTCTCCACTTCTTCAAAACAGTTTTATTTCATCAGCACTTATTTTTTTTTATTCTTTACAGTTTCTGGACGTTGGTAAACAGATTTATAATTTGGATATAAAGGCTTCATCCAAAATTAGATCTAAGGAATCTCCTTGAAAAAAAATTACCATATGCAGCAAGACGAGCTGCCAGCCTGTCAGAGACGAATACACGTAAGGTTTGATGAAAAATAGAGCCGTTGAAATGGTGCAGAGGATCGAAGGATAGAAGAACTGGAAGGTCAACCGCGCCTGCAGAACTTTCCCAAGTCATCACAAAAATCAGATTCACTACAAACCTGTTTTCTAAATCTGTTCGCGGAGTTTTGGTTCAGCTTATTTTTGCTTATTTTCTTCTTGACTTGTCTTATTTTCAGCAAAACTAAGGTCGAGCAGATCCATTGGGCACTTAGTCCGACAACGTTCGCGCCACAGAGAAGGGCGAAAAACAGGGCTGAAGTAAATTATTTCGTCATTATTCTTGGACAATTTGAGTTACTTTTGTGTGGCTGTTCGTTCACGAAACTGATTGTCCAAAGAGGCCTCTGGATGCCGATCATGGAGAGTGGAACCGTACCAACAATTGCTAAAAAAGAGATGATTTCAAGCTGATGACGCTTCCTTTTTTAAACGGATTCATGAATATTAGTTCAACGAATCTGTTTTCTTTGAGATTTCGTCTTTACAAGCCCTTCTTCTTACACTTATTAGTGTATATCACACCTTTACCACAGCTTTAGAACATGTTTCCTTTTCGTTTTCAGGAAAAAAATGAACTTTTTAATCTTTCATTACCTTTTCAGTCACTCGAGTAAGAAAATTCCCTTTTCAAGACATAATGGTTGAAAATAAAAATAATTTTTTTCGGCTTCGGCTCTTTGAAAATTTTTAAGGAGCTCAAAGAAGTTCTTTTTTTTTGCAAGTGGCCAGGCTAAATAAACGGAAGCCCTGATTATTTTCAAGAAAATCGCTGAAGTTTGTTATATTCTTCATAAAAGCGTTTCTACTCCACAAGATGATCACCTGCGGCTATGCCGACCACCCACGTGGTTCCAGAACATCCCAGAGCAACCGAAACGCGGTTGAGAACTCTCGCTTTAGTACCGTAGTAGCAGATTGCTATGCAACGGTTCACTCCGAGCATGGCGTAACTTATCTGGAAAATTTTCCGCATGATCTCCACGTTTCCGCGCGAAACTTTGTTGTTTCACGCATTCAAACAATTTCAAAAAAAGAATTTTTTTTGAAGTTATGGGCTTGGAATTGGAACCTTTAAATAATTACTTTTGTGGTTAAGAAAAAACCCACAACTCCTGCGGTCCATGAAGCGATGAATGCGAATGTCAGTGCAACATGAGTCTGAGATTTTCTTGAAGCCAAAGTTTCGTTCACCGACATCTCCATCTGAACTTTGTGGCTTTCCAAGCTTCAAGAATTCCAGAGAACATCATTTGTTGATCTTTCAAAGTTCATTCTTCTCTCCAATTTGTTTTTCTTCTTTTTCAAGCTTTTTTTTCGCTCTTTGAACAGGGCAATTGAAAGAGTTTCAATTGGGGTGGTCTCAAAAATAGGAGCAATTGACATAATTATACACAAAGGAAATCAAGACTTCAATTTTTTCACACGGTGAGAATGCTTCTGTTGATTGGATTCCATATCCAAATTGTTTTTGTAATCGACCTCAGTTGGCGCAGCTTCGAGGCTGGGAATGAAGGAGTGCTGGTCGTTGACTGGGTCCGGCCACATGATATCCAAGCCACAAGCCACGCCGGCTGGAAGAGAAGAAATTGAAGGTCGGGGGCTTATGATATACCAATGAGCATGACTATGCTATCGGCGAGTGCCACGTTGGCCATGATCGTGTAGGCGGAAAGCCGAAACACGCGGTTGGTAGCGATCATGAGTACTGTCGTTGCATTGCACAGGAAACCTAGCAACCCTGAAAGCCAAGTTGGGCGCCGAGTTCAATATTTTAAATTTTGCATTTTCTATTTTCCAGGAACTTTCACTTCCTCTTTGATGAAACTTCCTGTTGAGACTGACAGCTGAATTTAGGAAAGAGTTCATAGAAAATGTCAAAACAAGGTTGACAGCCTTTTTTGCTAGAAACTTTTTCTGGGTATGTGATAGAAAATTCAAAAAGAAAAGCTGTCTATCTGCAAGAAGGCCGAAAGTTGCCAAAGACGATTTCTGTACTGCTAAACGTCAGAAAAGATACGAAAAAACGCGACTTTGGTAACAATTTTCTTGTGAAGATGGCGATATTTCTGAAAGTTTTTGAAGCTGCGCTTTTTTTCTGTGAACTGAAACTTTACCTGAGTATTAAAAATAAAAGTCATCACAACTCCAGAAACTTACAGAAAGATTGAATTCCTTACAAGAAAGTTGTGGCTGAAACCGAGCTTTTGTATTTTTTCGGACAGTTCTGTATGCTTCTCTAACGGATGCAAAGTTTCAAAAAGTTGTATTCAGTTTCCAACAGTATTATTCAAGCTAACATTAACAATGCTGCCAATGAAGTTTAAAACTCTCTGAAGTTTTTAGTTTCAAGCTGTTGATGTTGGAGAACAAGCGGGAAGTTTTTGATTCGAATAGTTATTAAAGGGTAAAAATGATTCTTTCCAATGATAAGAACAATTTGTACTAACCTACAGCGGTGTAGGCGACACCTACGATGGAGATGTAGGAGTCGAAGGTGAAGAAGGAGATCATGTCGGCTCGCTGCCGCATCGCGCCTTGCATCCTCAGCCTATCGAGCAGCCCAACTACCACATTTCGCTGCAATTTGTCCCTCAAAAGCCACATTCAAGCACCACTTGTTAATTTTCCAGACACGAGCGTCGTAGAATGAAAATAGAAACAGCACGGGAATAAATTCGAAAAATATTTTTTGGTCTTGAAACAGTGAAATGAGGTGAATAGGTCGATTTCGAGAAAAGAACTTGGGCGACTTTCAGAAACTTCTATGGAAGGGAAAATTAAAAAAAGACAAAGATTTTGTTATCACTGGGACGATTGAAGCTATTGATAAAAATAAGAAATTGTTTCTATTGAAATCAGTACAGATGAAATTCTACCCTTTTCATTCAGTCCACAAAAGACTCTTCTACGAAATGAGATTTTTCATTCAAAGCGAAACAAAGAGCAACTACTGGAGAAGAGAGATTTTGAATGAAAAGCGCGTTGGTTGTGACAAACATTTTCAGGCTGTCGGTAATGCACCTGCGGCTGGGTTTGCAATTAAAAAAAGGCAAGGAGATAGAGTGCTTATGAGAATCGAGAAGTCTAGGAAAAAATTAACAGTTGAAAATCTACCTAGTTCAGAAAACTCGGAGAGTTTGAGTTTCTGACCTGAAAACTCTGTATCTGAGGTTATTTTGCGGCCTCATTGGCATTAGCTCGAATTTCACTGTAACTGTACAAAAAACAAATTGGAACGAGAAAAAGTTTTGAAAGCTTAACCTATTGAGAATTTTATTAAAAAAAACCTGCAGTTGCTAGACATTCAACACTTCTATTGCAAGAAATAAAAACGCTTCATTACGGTCTACTTGAACTGCAAAGCGACTTAGAACACATTTGATATTTATGAAAAGCGAGAGAAGCTGGAAAGTGAGTTTCAAATAAATGATCAAAAGGCAGACGCTCAGCACAATACGAGCATTATCTTAGAAAGAGCAAAGCTGTGCTCTTCATTTTGTTCTCTGGTTCAAACCAGATTCAAAAAAGAGTAAAAAACAAGCGCTTCTTTTTTACACATTTACTGGTTCAGTGACATGAGAAGAAAAGTTTTGTCCAAAAAAAGTTTGTTTTTGGGAGTAAATTGCACTTTTCGGGCTGCTCACTCTCAAAGAGTGCTCGTCGGTTGGATTAAAGCCTTTAAAAATTGAGCTGGTTTGAAAAACAAATGATAATCACGAAAAACGACTACTTGCTTAATATTTGTCAGGATCTACAGTCAAGATGAAACTTTAAAATCAAATATTCTCCCAGAAAATCAGCTCTTATATCATTTAAATGATGACCTTTTGCCGAAATAAAAAATTTTGCCAGATCATAATTCTGAGTAAATATCTACAGTACCAAATGTCTATACAGAAACCGATTCAGAGAGGAAAACGTGAAAGACAAAAAAATAAAAGTATTTCGAAATGAGTTGAGTTTTCAGAAAAGCTGAAGTTCTTGTTTCAAGAAAAAGGCTTTGATACAGCTGCAAGTCAGTGCAGTTCTTTCAAAAAAAACTATGCATCTGCTCTTTTCTCATTAACCAGGAATTTGAATAACTAGACCACCGTCAGGAGAAAAAAAAATCAGTAAATACCTGGGCATGGTGGGTAATGGCCGCTTTAAGGGAGAGGCTCAAAAAAGGCAGCAAAAAGGCAGCAAAATGAGTCCCTTTATCGAGCTTTATCATTTTTTCTGGAATTTTAAAGACTCAAGAAATGGTGAAAAAGGGAGAGGCAGCAAAAATGGTGCGTAAAAGCTGATTAAATGGCGCAAAAAGGGAGCCTTTTTCATCCTAAAAGGAGCATTGCTATAGTCTTTTTCCACCCTTTCCAATTTTGCGTATGTAAACTCAACAGTCTCGAAATTTTTGCTGATAGCGCTCTATAATAAAAAAAGATATTATTCTAAATTAAACTGTTCCTGCATTCAATTTTAATTAAAAAGCCTCGAAAATAATCATGATCCTTCATATGTCGCTCCATTGAGAAAAAGTCACGAAAAGAGGCCGCCGGAACCAAATGAAGGTCGGCGGCGTTCGGCAACTAGGGATGGCTCTTGTGCCTGAAGTCGTGTTTTCCGTCGAGCACACTCAGTCGAGATCGATGTCAAAAGAAAAGGAATCTTGTTAACGCACTGCCCGTGAGATCAAATCACCGCGTTTTGAGAGGACGGCCGCCCGACGAAAACGCATCAGGCAGATATAAGAGGGGGTCGCTAAAAAAAAAGAAGAAGCTCGCCGCCTGCGCAATTGTTTTTGCATGTGAGCAATGTGATTACGCACGGTTGCACGGTGAAAAGTCGAACAGGTCTCTTTTTCAAAGACTTCGGAAATATAATTTTTTTCTTTCTCTTTCAAAAAGCTAGTGAAAGAGGCTTGTGATGTTTTTTTCTTCGAAATTTTCAATATCCACTCTTGGAAGGGAGAATAACCAAGGAAAAGCAGAAAGTTACCATGCGAAAGACATTTTTCAGCTAGTTCTTGGAAGCCAGTTCCAAGTTTTTTTTACAAGAATTCTTTCAAAAACTGTGTTAGTTCTATTTGATAATGGAAAAACGTGAAAATTCCAAATCTCTTATCTTCACAACTTTCAGAAAAAGACACAACAGTTAGAAGACTTTTGAATAAACCTCTTATTAAAAAAATTCCTGGTTTGCAAAGTTCAGCGTTTTTTTTAAATATATCACCTTGCGTAACCAGAAAAACGGATGAAAAATCTCCTCTTCATGAAAACTTCAAATTTTTTCAGGTTTCAATTTTCCGAAAAGCCTCACATAAGAAAAAACACAAAAATAAAAAAAAACTAGTGAAACCCACTTTCTCAATGAAAAACCAAACTACTTGTGAGGTGAATCAAAAACTTACAAAAGCGTCATCTTCTTTGTTTTGACTCAACTGCTACTGGCTGACCAATTCGTTTCAGAAGCCGAACTTCTTGAAGATGACTGGGAAAAACTGAAGGCGGGCTTTTCTATTTTGAGCCGTGTATTTACATAAAGATTTTGTGGCGTACTGGTTGCTAAGGCGTTGAGAGGTAAGAAAAAGTTAATGATTTATGTTGAAATCTTCCTTCCGAAAAAAAAAAATCTTCTTTCTGCTGATGATTGGTACAAAACAGAAATTTTCACTTTTCAACAAAATTGCGCCTTGTTTGGGAATGAATGGATATTAAATTCAATCTTCATAATTTGGTAATTCCAATATATAAATAACAGAAATTCGTAAAATTGACTTCGGAACCAAGTACCGTAGTCTATGTGTAAAGAAACAGATAACCAACGTAGCGTGAAAAATTGTTTTAGAAAACCCCATGAAAAAGCGGATGCAAAAAATACTAGAAGGCTTGCGTGAATGAAAACCATTACAAAGTCCATAAAATTTTATGTAATTCTGAATGAGTTGCTTTTTTAGATTCAAGTCGCAAAATGGGCCATTAATAAAACTTTCAAACCACGAGGCAGCTTGGAATGGGTTTGGAACATCCAAAAAATAAACTTGGAAGGGAGCGGTTTATTTTTTTGCTTTCGAGGGTAAAACTTTGTACAGGGAAAAACTAAATTTGATTAAAAAAAGCTGATATTAAATTATAAACATTCCAAAAAAAGCTAGCTTTTTTTATTATGGAATAGAAAGATTGAAGAAAAACTTGCGGATCCGAAAAATGTTGATCATGCTGAAGGATGGTGAGAAGTCAACAGTTTCGACAGTTTGATACAAAAAATCATTCCGTACGTACTTCTCAAAAAATTACAGCCGAATCATTAAATCAGATTGTGTGTTTAGCAGATTATAATGGAAATCCTTTTGAACTCTCCTACTTTGGGAAAATTGTTGGTTGGAAAGTTATCATTTATACTTACCACGGGCTTTTATCCATTTTTAAAGCATAAAAAAAAGATTTAGTTCAAGTTAGGGCTAGATTCAGTTATTCCATTCAGTGACTGGACATCGTTCACATCTTTAAAAATATCAAAGTTAAAAACACTTATTAAAAAAAGGCGAAAATGACGACAGAAAAACTAATGAGATCTCTGGGGTGGAACAAAGTAAATTGAGAGAGATATCTTCAAAAGTCAAAAAAGACTACCAAGCATCAAAACGGAGCGGCTAATCGAGTGAATGGTTTGTGAATGGGTGTCGAGAATCTACGAGTGGAGAGAAGCGAGACGGACCTACGGTTTTGAAGTCTCTCCTGAAATGACGAAAGCTCTCGGAATGGCCAGGGCCCACAGCTGGGAGCATCACTTCAAATGACTCGGCATTCGTCCGAACCCACTCGTTTCATGTCCAGCTTCACTTCTCTTTTCTCTTTAATTTTAATTAAGGCTTTCCTTTTTGCCTGATTTTATACTTTTCGCACCTGCGTGGTTTACGGTGCCTCACACATGTACACTCGTCACACTTGACTTGTTCAAAGTAAAGAAAAAAAATGATTAAAAGGGTGAACAGGTGAAAATGGATGGCAGTAAAGAGCGATTGAAAACGCATGACAAACGGAAAAAAGCAAAAAGAAAATTTTTGATTTTTCTTTGGGGGATTTGAAATAACACTGTGTGCAAGTTTTGAGGCGCGCGGTTGCGTAGTGGCTGTTTTAAAACTTCAAACTGGGTTGAATTTTCAAAAAAATACAATATTTTTTTGGGCAACTCACAAAGTTTCAGATTGATTTCAAAAAGAAAAAAAGTTTTTTTCTTGTTTTCCTGCCCGATTTCTTCCTCAAGAAGAGAAAGTTTATCTTATTATATTAAACTGTTAAAAAAATACAAACGCTCAATTGAAAAAAACTTTAAAAAAATTTCAAAAGAGTCGCGGTCATGTTAGCCTCAACACTCCAGGCCAAACCTCGATTTAAACCTGGAATGCCGGATCCGGACCGCAGACTCTTCATTTGACTTAACAAGCGCCATTCTTTTTATACCCCCCTGTTGTTCTTCACCCGACCGGCCGTGGTTTTCGCCATCGGATGATCGCGAAGGCCGGCCACCCTTTTCCTCGCCGAAAGTTAATCTTTTTCTTGGCAGTTTGCGTACAAATGCAGTATTGTTGAAATATTCAAAGTAATCAAACATTATTCCTTCGAAAAAATTAAAGAAAAAGGAAACATAGAGACTTCTAAGGAAAATATGGTCAGCGGCGCGCCACATTTTCAGTCATAACTTTTTTCATGCTTCACCTTTTTCCGAAAACTCAACTGTTCTGAATTTAAAATTGAAACAGCTATCCGGTCGTACAAACTTTGAAAATTAAAAAAATCAGGAAATTTCGAAAAATTTCAGAGAGAATTCGGCAAGTATGCGTTATGTACAATTTTTCGTAGAATAAAGCTGACAAGAGGATGTTAAGAGAAATAAAACTTTCAGTATTACTTGCAAATCATCCGTAAAAGCAGAATCATAGTTTATTGATCAGGTGAAAAATTTTCTCGTTTTGAAATAAAACACTTCGAAAAAAATTGTGTGATGAAAAAGTTTTCTAAGTAATCTTGATTGGAAGCGTCAGGAAATTCAACATGTGCCCGAGATCTAAATAATAAATAGTTGGTCTGGACACGACTGAGAAAATAGCGACGTTTCTCAGAGCGATTTCGGACTTAGGCGGGCAGATGTTCTCATGGGAAACAAGTAGAAACAGACCTGTTCTGAGTTTTCAAACTTTTTCATTCAAGGTTGTAACGAATGGAAAGGATTATCTTCGAAACAAACCGGGAACTTTTGATTTTGACATGGAAAAATGGAATGAAGAGAAGAAATTGGAAAAAGAGAACTTGTCGTTGAGAGATCGGCGATTTGTATGAAACCGCAGACGTTCTGGAAAGCGGGAAAAGGGCTTCGAAAAGCCTTCCTCGTTCTTCTATTCACCGGAAACTGACATAATTGACCGAAAACAAATACGAACGCCTGATTGCGAGGATTTTGTGGATGAAAAGAGCTTTGAATATTCTTCTTTATCCAGTTCATAGTACACATGTTTGGCTTTTTTTAAATCGCAAAAATTTATAATGAGATTTTTCAAGCTTAGTGAGCTGATCAAATGTATTTTGTTTTTGAAACAAGGGGATTACAAAAAAAGACAATATTGTTACTTCATTGAGAATATGAACCATCAAGGATTCTCAGCTTTATGGTAAGGTTCGTTGACATTACTTGGTAGGTAAATGTTCATATATTTATAATTTTTTTAGCCAGAACACTTCAATCTTGGCTATTGAAAGAAAAAAATGATATTGTGTGAAAATTGATGATTATTTAAAAAAAGATTTCACTTTTTTTATTGAAACTTCGAAAAACTTTCAGAGCGAAATCAACCAAAAAAATTCAAAATGACGAGTTTGTCAAACTATCATTTATTCATCCATTTCTTGCGTATGAGCTTGAATTTTCCCCTTCTTCAAGTTGCAATTTCACCGCGAAATAAAAAGTATTTGCGTGGGAATATAATCGCAGTAAAAAAGTGTTTCTTCCTGAAAGTACAAGATTAAAGATTTTCAAAATCGAAAAAAAAAACGATGAAAAATCATATTTAAAACGGTAATGTTTAATTTTTCTTGGAAATTACATGAACTGTGTTAAAAAGATTCTGGTCAAGTTTTTTTCTTAGAAAAATCGCTTTTTCAAAAGTTCAATATATATTTTTCCTATTTGGCCGGTTTCTGTTGTCCGCTAATTATTTTTCCGTGAACCACGAACTTGAAAAAAATGTTCCTAGTAAAAACATGTTTCGATTAGGAGATCTACCCAAAATTCACAAAATTTGACTTTTCACAAGTGAAAATAAATAGATTTCTAGTTCCCTAAAATGAAGATACCTGTCAAAAATCACTTTAAATGAACACTATGGAAATTTTTAACAATTAAAAAAGGTATTTTATATCCCTTTTTTCTTCAGATATACAATTTTCGATAGTTTGAAGGATTAAAACTCTGTAAGAAAATAAGAAACATTTATTTCTCGATTATTAAAAATGAAAAAAAAACTACTAGCTGTGGCTGAAGATTGTTTGTAGAGATGGTCAAATCTAATGAGAGCCAATATGCGAAATTGCTCGCAATAAGCATTGTTGTTGATGGTGGGGCTCTCTTTTCAGCGGATTTCCGCCGTGGCGAGAGGCTCGCTGACTCGCCTGCCCACTTCTCAACAAAAGAGTCTTCGATCTGCGATGATTGGCGTCAGCATATGAAAAAGAAGAGAACACCTTCTGATATTCCAGAAATGAAATGAAAGAGAAATAAGTCTGAAGGAGAGAAAAACTACTGAAGAGGTCTCGGAAACATTCCTCGCCTTCGGAACAAGCCATATTTCCCATCGAACCGTGCTGATTCAAGCCATTCTCAAAACAAACTCCGATGAAGTTTTTCACGCTTTTTGTCTTTTTTTGGTTTTTTTTTAACTTGAACGTTCAAAAGGTCTAAACATTTTCGGAAATTTCTTTCAACTTTCATAATAAAAATAAGCTCCCGAAAATGTTGCTAGTCAGTAGGGCGCAGTTTGCTTGAGTTAAAAGTTGATTTTTCGACCTTTTTTTCATTTTTGGTTTTTCTTGTTTTTTTGAATGTTCAATGTAGGATTGACTGTCTGCGTACCGGGCGCAGTAATCGACGACAATTCGAGTTTTTGCAAGAACTTTCCATTTATCATTTTTTTCTTTCATTTTGAGCTCCAGTTTTTCCCTCAAATTGGTTTGCATTGAGAAAGATATAATATCTCTTCCAAAAACTTAAAAAAATTATGATGATAGTATCAAATATGGAATGTTGTAGAATTTGTTTTATTCAAAAAAACCTATTCTATCACTACTACCATAATATTCAAACTGTAAATGAAGACATGAACCTTTCGGTCGATTCGATTAATTGACTTTTCTGAACCTTTTGATGCTTCAGCAAAGCCATCGTATTTGTATTTTTTCAAACTTCGATTTTTCCATATCTGCGCCAAACCGCAAAGGCAGTTCCAAAGCGAGGCCGACAGAAAAAAAAAAACATCAATTCACGGTGGAGCCTTTCAAACTCCCACTTTTGTTAACAATATCCCAACAAGTTTTATTGAAAATAGGGCAACTACCAGTTGACAAAAACTTCCGGTTCCGACATCGGAAAGAAATATTTTCAACCTTGTCTTTTTTTTTGGAACAAAGAAATGTACAATGAAGCGAAGGTGTGCAATTTTGAAACTTCTTCTTCTAACAGGAAATATTTCATCACATTGAGGACCATATGGCTTTTCCGTTATTACCAATCGTTGACGGAGCTGAGCGAGGTGCTATCCTGCGTTGAGAGAGTTCCGTTAACCAGCAATCTGGGGCTGTTTTCTGAGTAGAACTGCAAAAACCACCTGAAAACCAGATTTATTGTGTCATTGATGGGATAAAGAATTGAGTGAATGTTTTGAATTCGAAGCTATAAGCGGAAAATATAACAATAACAGGTTGAAATTCTTTGAAATATCAAGTTCTTTTTTAAGTTTGATCAAAAGATTTAACGTGGAAAGAAAAATCTTCTAATTTTTTGGTCCTGACAGATCCCATTTATAATTTTTCTGAGCATTATTTTGACAATTCGATCTACTGTGAAAATATTTAGTGGCCACTATAGAGGCTTGCCAAGGACTACTTAGAGAGGACACTGAAGTGGCCACTATTTTCCGGTTAAGTGGCCGCTATAAAGGTTTTCTATTAAGTAGTCATTCCAGTAGTTTGTTACTCAGGATTCCTTCCAGTAACTGTGATAACTCTAAAACAAACAGATTAGACCAGTTATGTTGATCCTTTGACCCCTGAAGTGGTAACTTAAATTTTTAGTGGCCTAGTAGTAGCACTTCGACCTCTGTAGTGGCCACTAATTTCAAACCTCTCAAGTCTCTTCTAATTTGACTACTATAGTGGTCACTGAAACGTCAAAACCCTATAGTGACCACTAAAAAATTTCCCAGTATAAGAGCCATTCAAACACTGAAAGTTTATTCGAAATCACTAACCTGCGGAATTTTCCAATCGGTCCATCGTTTCGAACGAGAACTGGATTTTTGATAAACTTCTTGTTGCACCATACGTAGATGTCGCGTTCAAACTATAACCGAACTTAATTGGGAATAAAAATGATAGGAACACCTGAAGGGCTTCGCTCTTCAAGAAAAATTTGCAGAAGAATCGGTTGATATTGGAGTAGAAGCGGAACCGAACTCGCTGCTGCAGCGGCTCTTCTGGAGTCACGTGCTGAAATACGACGCCGCGACCCCAGAAGCCAAAGTCGAAGTGCATGTAGACAAGTCCGGGTCCAATCTGTAAAAAAAGGGTTGAGTATTGAAGTCACGTTAAATATAACCTGTTCGGCAACCAGTTTGCTTGAAGTCAACGGCAGTCTCCATCCTTTGAACTCCAGATGCTGGTCCAAGTGAAGAACTCCAATGTGTGGCTCGCCTTCTTTCACCGCCCATCTGCCGTCCCAAACATGTCGGATGAAAGGGAACACGTTGCTCAGGTTCAGTGATAAGATGTTTGAACCTATGGAAAAGAGTATATTTTTCACTTTTCTCTGTGGTTTCGTGATACAGTACCGAGTTTCGGCCACAATTTCCTTGTAAGGATGTCCATCTTTCTGGAACTTTCTGGAGCATTTATGACTGTTATTTTCAACACTCTTATGGACTTTCAATGCACAGAAATAAACGCAGCTCTAGAAAGTTTCAGAAAGATTGAAGTCCTTACAAGAAAGTTGTGATCAGTCGCTTTTTTTTGTTTCTTTTTCGACTATACTTTGTATTGGTTAGAAATCCAAGAAATTAGTAGTTTAAGGTATATTTCCGGAGCTGTCTGTACAGTTATGAAATTTTTTTCTTGAATCAATTCCAAGTAGAATATTAAGAATCATTTCAAGTTCTTGTTTCGAATTTGGGAGTTTATAATAATAACATCCCTTGTCAAAGTAGTAGTCACAACTTTTTTTATCTACTATTCGATGTGGTTTACTACTTGTTGTGTTATCTTTTTTTTGTTATCAGTTTTTAGCCTACATTTTTGGCTACTACAGTCAAGTTATTCGAATTCACAGTCCTTGAAAAAATGGCTTTGAATCAAAAATTTAATCTTGATTAATTAAAGGAACCGTTATTTTCCCACATCTGTAAGGTCAAGTTCCCCAGGGCTTCTAGAAAATTTTTATGGGTTTGCTTGATCAAAATCTGATTGAACAAAACCAAACTTAACCAGTGGCGACCTTCGCAAAAATGTATTTTTTGGTGATATAAGTTTAATTTTTTGTAGTTCCAGGCTTCATGTTGTTCAAAAAGGCATTTATCTATAAAGTAAAAGATTGAAAAAAACCACTTTTTCAAAAAAATATTGTCAATGAAAAAGTATTTGCGGAAGTTTACAGAAAGTATGGAAAGGTCAGGTTAAATGACTCTCAGACTAAAAAGTTGAATCCAAAGAACAGACATACTTCCTCTTTTCGTCTGCTATCCGATAAAAGCAGGTGGAACTTGGTCGAGGAAAAAATGTTGCAGGCTTCAGATAACAGCTGATAATATTATTACTCAGGACTGATTATTTTTGTTTTTTTTTCTCAATTTTTTCTACGGGATTTTCAGCTTCATAGGATAAAAAAACGAATTATTAACGCGTACTTGGATTTTGTCAGTAATGTACTTTAAGGCTCAGTTCACTACGTCCGAACTTTTTGAGCACAAGAAAACTTGGTCTTTGGAAGTTAACTGCTCTTGTAGCTCGCGAAATGAGAAAATAATTTATGATTTGACTGGTTTTATTGAGTTGCGCGGAACTCAAGGCAATGCTGAACTTGAGTTAACTTTTTTCTAATAAGATCAGAACCTTCATTAGGGCCCGGATGGTGCAAGTAGCCGAGATGAGCAATGTCGGAACCATTTTCAGGAACTTCTTGGATGTGGCAAGCGATTTCGTGCTCTGTTCTACCACAGAACTCCCACTTCTCTGTGTACATTTCGCCGACTCCAGGAACTTCCCAGTGAGGATCCAAGCCTTCTGCGTGATGCCTGAAACGCTTGTCTTACAAGCTTCAACCTTAAAACTTGCCATAGGTAAATGTGCTCGTTGCGTTCAACCGCGTGGTATGTGTCGATTTTGGCTTGATCCGGAATCCGGCCTTGGTCATAGGGGATCTCAACGCATTTCCCCGTTGAAACGTCAAACTTCCATCCGTGGAAAGGGCATTGTAGACAGTTCCCATTAACCATCTCAATATTTACTATTTATGTGAAGTCTTCGAAGACTTACTCTGCCTCCGACGGCTAAATTTGCTCCAAGATGAGGACAGTAAGAATCTACAATGTGAACTTTCCCTTGTTCGGTGCGGACCATAACCAGAAGTTTTCCTGTCCGTTTTTAGACATTAATTCCGAAAAATGTTCTGAATACCTAATGCTGCGATTTGCTGAACATCTCCTTTCTTCAATAATGCCGACTCCCCGACACAAAACCAAGAATTTGGGAAAACTGGAGGAAGCTCTCCCTTGATTCTCATACGCTTCAAGCGTTCCATATTTCTCTCCTTGAACGAATCGTTTTTCTGCAAAATCGATCAAGTTTGTATTTTGAAAAAGTTTATCCGAATCTCACCGCATCTCTCAAATCGAAGCCGATATCTCCCAAAAGCCGGACATGATTAAGAGGTCGGGTCATCCACAAGTAGATGATCATCAACACGGCGTAGGGTAGCAGAAACGCGGTCACACCGAATTTGAAAGCAAGGGGCCATGCGAACAACAGATAGACACCGAACAGAAGAAGTTCTAGTCGCAACATGACCTCTGAAACAGTTTTTTGAACTAACGTGAGTATGCCTCGTACTGAAACGAAAATGATAAGAAAACAAGCAGCTTATTTCATTGATAACAGCCTTTCCGATAACTGAATTTATGGAATGCAAATAGCCATTTTGATTACTTTTTTTCGACTACCGATTCGTATTATTCGCGCAGCTGTACAATCATTTTTAATGATGTAATCGGGAAATAAAAAGTCTGAGATAGAAAGATACAAACGTATCAGCGGAAAAGCAGGCATTTATATGACTAGAAAGCTTATCAAAAATTGCGAACAGGACGAAGAGTCCCGGAAGTCACGCGTAATTCATTTACTACAAACATTCACACCTAAAATAGAACGGCAAATTTTTGAAACTACAGGAGGAAGGTAGACAGCTCGGTGCCTATCAGAAACGTTTCTATCATTTTTCGAGGAGGTTATTTGATAAATTGGTCCCAAACGTGGCACACAACTTCAAAACGTCAATTGAATGCGGAGCCGAAGAAAGTATAGAGGCAGGTGAGTTTTTAATACAGCTGTTCTTTCTAATGAGTTTTAGCGGAACGGCAGGAAAAATGAGCTTCGACCCCTTTGAATCAGGCTTTCCCTACAACCTTTCAGAAGCAATTAGTAGAAGAGAGAAATAATAAGTTTCAATTCTTAGGCTAAGCAATTTTTTTTTTCTAGTGCAGAAATTTTCGCTTGAAGCAAGATTCAATCACTGAGCTTTGGGGCGGAGTAACGAAACTGAACAACTAATACCAGTTCTCTTTTTATATAGCGTTCTGAAAACGCAATTGATCTCTGCTCGTTAATTAACTCAAGCGCGCAAATCGCCGAGAAATCGCATTTCATCATGTCGCAATAAGCCCTGCCAGTTTTTATTTAGTCGAAACAGCTATTTTTCTCGGATTCTCGACGTTTTGTTTTTTGAAGACCTTAGAGAAAAAATTTTATTTGAGAGGTTCGATAAATTTTAAACATCGTGCATAAACATAAGACTGGGGTTTGTGAAAGAAGCTTGACTGCTCCGTCGAGAGTTTCGTCTTGAAGGAGCTGTGAACGACGGGATCGGCAAGTATGAGGCCAGAGATCCTCTCCGAAGGTTTTCGATTGGCGGAATCCCAAGCTCTTTGTCTAGTTGAGCTCGCCGAACTGAAATGAATCCTTTTTTGAAATAACAAATTGGATTTTTTGAAAAATTATTTTGTTCAATAAGTTTTTTTGGTATGAATAAAAAAATTATTCCAAGAAGTTCATTGAAAAAGATTTTTGCGCTTCATTCAGAAACTTGATTAAATGTCAAAAGTTCGAAAAAAATCATTTTTTTCATTGTGTCTCGTCAGCCAAAGTAACTAAGATAGTTCAAAATAGAATTTTTGGGGCACAGAATTATGTAAAAAAATATTAGAAAGACTTCGAGTAAAAACTTCCAAAAATTTTTGATTTTAGTTTCATAAAAAAAGAAATTTAAGGATTTAAATAAACTAACGTTTTTGCTTCGAGCCCTGGAACATACTTCAGCTTTTCAACAACGGTAGGGAATCTCCTGAAAGAATCAAAATTACAAAAATCTCTCAAAGGTAGCCTCACCGAAAATAAAGAAAGGCGTGCAAGCAAGCACAGATTTGCACAGGGATGAATGATAAAGCGGATGAAAAGAATGGAGGCCCTGAAAATCTGATAATTTATCTTTGATTTTTCGGAATTCTATTAACCGTATACGTAGCTGAACTTGCTTGGTTCACCAGCTGCATTTGGTTTCATTCTTGGAGCCAGTTCGTCATCGACCACACAAACCACCATTAACACTGCTGTGCATAAGATGATGCCTTAACTTTCTATGAATATTTAAAAAAATTCAGTTCACAAGTGATTGATTTTTCATCTAAAAAATCTCAGTCCAATTGTCAAAAGTCATTTTCTGTTTGATAGTCAATCCTTTTCAAATAGAAAAACAAGATGGGTAGATTACCGAATAGGACGCGTTGATTAAATTTTTTCCCTGGCCTTTCTAGAAGCCGCACCGCGTACGCAACGCGTCACATTTGCCAATCTACTCATTTTGCCTTCAATTGGTGAAGAATGAACTTTATTTTTTAAGTTTTTGAGAGCTGAAAACGGGTACTGTTTTCAATTTTCAGAGATTCCGAGTTTTTTTTTCGGTTTGAAAGGGTTTCTCCCTCAAGTTTCCATAAACAAAACTATGCTATCTGGCTCTACCAATAAAAATAAATAAATTATATAGAATGAAGCTTACTTCCACAAATATACGTAATCGAAGAAAGCAAAGTGTGATGAGAGTTCCTGACGTGACCAGCGACGCCACAGAAAAACGCGAAACAACAAATGAAAGCTCCGCCGACGTGAAGCAATGCAGGCGATCCCAATCTCACTGAAAGATATTCTGTTAAGGATAATACTCAAAAAATCAAAATTCGTACTTATAACAGCGAGAGAAGCAACAGAAAAGTCGGTTATGTCGTCTTGCGAAAACAAAGGATTCAAATGACATCGATAGACGCTCTCCGTTCCTTGAAAATCACAGTCCTTGCTTCAAAACCAAGACGACAAACTTGGAATTTCTTTCTCGTCGTAAATTATTCCAGAGTTATTATTTATATGAACCCGGCAAATTTGAAAATAACCCGCGTTGTAATTGAAAGTGCTCTCCTAAAAAGAAGATTAGCAAGAAAGTGCAAATTGTACTCACCAGTTGCTCGCCATTTTCATTAGTTTTGTTGATGGGCCTTGGCTCAGTGAGAAAAACCCAATTGTTCATGAAAACGGGAAAAGTTTGCATCATGAGAACACAGCCACCGACAGCCATCGCAGCAGAAAACAGAATATTGTCCGTACATCTGGCTTGGATCACAAACTGAAATTCATATTCATGTTAAGTTCTACAATACAAAAAAAAGCTGACAGCTTGAAATTGATCAAAAATCAAAAAAACCTCGGAAAGAAAAAAAAGCTTGTCAAACCTTGGAAACTTTTTCGACGACGGTCATAGGAGAGAGCTCCTCGGTTTGCTCGGAAGAGTTTTGGGTGGAAGGTTGTAAACTAGTTTGCTCCTCGACTATTGTTCCAAGAGCCATTTTCAATTTGGCCACCTCTGACATGCTCTTTTATGGGCTGTCCAAAAACAGAAAAGCCGCAGACTGGCTTTTCCCACAGCCACGAAGCTCGACCTCCTTGTTCTTTTTGAGAGCCAAAAGTAACTCGATAGTATAGGAAAGACAGCAAGATGAAGATGAAGAAGGATTGATGCAAAAAGGAAGGAAATGAATCGATAAAGGTGTTTTACGAGCTTGGGCACACCCGTAATTGAATAGAAACGTCGTTGCGCCTTCAGGGCACAAGATTGAAATACCTCGCGAAAGCTTCCGAAAGCTTCTGGAAGTGCCTCAATTTTTTTTACGCACTACGTCTTTTGGAAGAAAAATGATAAACCGAAGAATGGGAGGATTGGTCTTTGAAAATCAAAGGACTGATGTTCTGAAGTCGCTGACTTATAAGTCTGCAAATCATACTCTTCTGCTGGAAAAAAATTTCTTATTCGAATAATAAGGCTTCTGGAGCATTTAATAATTTTTTTCAGAACATTTTTTTCAAGGTATAGGGAAAAAAATACAGCTGCGGACTGTTAGGGATCCTTATTCAGAATTTTGAAATTTGTTTGAACACAAAAAACTAAAAACTCAGAAATTCAAAAAGTTGAAAATCCACTTTCTTGGTGAGCGTCAAAATTTACAATAATCAAGTTATTTTTTCTCTTTTTCCTTGCTTTATCGTAGAATTTTTCAGAACTTTTTTTGATGAAGATTGACCGATAAATATGAAGTCGAATCATATCCGGAGTATTTAGGGGCCGGAGCCTTCATAAACTAATCATAGCTGTGAATGTTTATGGTGTTGCAGGCGGACGTGGACCATTAACGAGCGTCTGATTGGTGTTCCTTCCTTCAGATTTCCACTCATTTTGACATTTTTTTGACACATTTTTTATGATTATCGTCATAGGTTACCTCTTGACCAAGCTAAGAACCAACTTTAAAAGTTTCTTTTCAAAAGTCGTCAGAAAAAGTAAACTGAGAGTCGACCTAATTACAGTTCGCGTAATGATTGCGCATGTGTTTGGTATCGTATTACCATAGCGCAACATGTTTTTATTGCGCTGGCTGGGCACTGCAATCTTCTTGCGTTTTTATTCTGGCTCCATAGTCGAGGAACTCCTTGATGTATGCACGAAAAAACCATGAATTTTCTCTTTTTTTTCTTGATCTGCGATGTTTTTCTTCTACGTCTTTTTTTGTTTTTTTGAAATCTTAAAATAAAAAAAAGTGTTATAAATGTTTTTTTCAGTCAAAAAGTTGTGTGTCTGCAGTTTGAAAATGATTGAAAGTCTCAAGGTGACCATTTGCAATCGCCTCAACCGCTAAACGCGCGTCTTCCAATTGCTATTGTGTCTACCTCTAACGGATCCCATTTTTTACCCTTGATTTCATTTTGAAACTTTTTTCTCGTGAAATATATTTCATCGTCATAAGTGAAACTGTGAATTCGTTAGGGGAGCTGTGGTTGCTTTCCGAGTTTTAGCAGTTCACCAGTAAAAGTTTCTCTGAGTTTTGAGAAACAATATTTTTGGACAGGTTCCATTTTCGAGACTTGTTATTTCCGTAAATTCCCTTGGAATCAATGCATGCTAAATATGTCGGTATAAAATCTCAACTTTTTCAAGTTTTTGAAAAAATAGTTTATTTGATTTCTATGAACATTTTTCAGCTTAAGGTTTCACCAATTACATTTAAAAAATCAACTTCACAAGTCAATTTACACAACTTTATCAGATGTTCCGAAATTTCAAGAGTAAAAATAAATTTGCAATTTTTCGGGTTAAAACCATTTTTTTCGAATTTCATTATAACAAATAATTTATTTTCTTTTGAAACAGAACTTACTTTGATATCTCCGCTTACTTTTGATCGGTTCCTACTTTCCTGAGAAAATCTTCAACCTTCAGGCTTTCAAAAACAAAACCTATGAACATCCCTCAAACCAATCTCAAAATAATCAGCTAGAAAAAAGTAATTAACCTTGGAAAGTGAGCGAAAGCTGATTAGGACAAAGCCAGTTAGAGTCCTCAGCCACTTAGAAGCGACGCAACCAAGCCTATTCAAAACAAATTAGCGCCGGTAGCGCACAAACTAAGTGACATTGGTTCCTCGGCAGGCATCAGCCTAATTGTTGGTTTCACTGTCAGGCAGCCGTTTGTTTACAGAAGGGCACCGATACCAGCAAATTTGCTTCTCGACACCCAATATGGTCATGCCTCGGACATATGTTCCGCACTTGTTTGTCCATTTCCTTCTTTTTCTACTTTCAAGTATTTTTCCTAAAATTAATTGGATGTATCAAGTGTCTTTGTCATTTTATTCTTTTCCATCGGTGGTATGATACAAAACTGGAATTGGAAAATTCAGCTCTGAAACTTCAATTCTTTGGCATAGTGTAGTATTATATGCCACTTTTATAAGTTTTGCAAGTGAAATTCTCAAAGTTCCGGTGATTTTCTCCAAAAATATGTAAGTGTCCCGTTTTTCGAAGCAAAATAGAGCCTTCCAAGTTCACTATCACGACAGTTCTGAAAACGTCGAACTTCATAGGTTTGTAATTTCGGAGTCGTTTATGACTTTTCAAACCTTAAAGCGAAAAAAATTTCATTTTTTTTTTGGAGAAAAAAAACTGCAAAGTAAGGAAGTTCTCCATATTAATAAGTGAATTTCTCCGGCGGCTAAACTTCACCCTAAATGGAAAGTATATTGGATTTCAACAAAAACTTGGAATAAAATTCCTGTTTAGGCTGCAAAAAAACGTGAATCATCAAAAATCCAAAAAAATATCTTTGAAAACATTTGCATTGCAGTTCTAAAAAAAATAAAATTTTTCGATCCTCTACTTTCCGATATAACTTTCTGGACCCATTCTAACGCAATCCCGCAATTTTGTGTGATTTTAAGTAATTTGAAACCTCCTATCTTAATTAATCACGTTTTCGACCTTTTTCATTCGTGAGCAAAAAATCTAGAATTAGAACTAAAAGATCCCATGCTGCAAGTTTCATTTATAAACTTTTATCTATTCGATTTGGCTTTTTTGTTCTTGTACAGTATCTTATTTGCATGCCTATGCGTATTATTTGCGTCGGAGGAACGCCAATATCTGCTTATTCCTCAAGTGGGGTCCTCTTGAGCGCAACACTGTCTTGTCATTTGATCTTTTCATTGTGTTTGGCGCCTTTTTTCTATTACGGATTGTTAAATGTTCTCAAAAAACTCAGTAAACATCCAAATTTCCCGGTAATCGTATAAAAATTGAAAAAGTTGGACGAAAATCCCACGTTCGAGCATTCTCCATAATTTTTAAGCAATCGAAAATTCTGTAAATAAGAAATAATTCAAGCAAACCCGTCGCGAAATTTAAGCTTGTTCACCTTTTCCCGAATTTTGAATTGGGTCTGAAAAACTACACAGGCTTAGTTTTAGTTTGTGTTTTGAAAAGGTGTGTTGTTTCTCAGGCTGCTCGGAAATTACCTCAATCGCCTGCTTTCTTTTGCATATGCTCATATTCGCTGTATACTTTTTCCCTTCTCAAGCATTCTCATTTTTGTTGGAGGTCCTTCTTGAATTTTTTTGTTGAAAAAAAGAAGCAAGGATAGCGGGGCGGATGATTTGAATCAGATTAACTTGCCGCTGACGTCTCTCTTACAAGACCGCTTCATTCGTTTTTGCGTTAGTGTGTATCTTGCAGCCGTTCCTTTCATTTTCACAATGTTGCCGTTCGAATCTCGATCTGAAAGTCATTTATTGAGGTCCAGGCGCAACTGCTCGAACCCAACATCATTACGCACCGGAAGCTTGTCGGGCCTAGGTTGAGTCATCTCACTTTGCTGTTGTAATACACAAATTGGACCTTCAAGCCCCGTCTTCCAATATTCATTCGATCGCCAGTTTATCGCTGTTGCTCAAGTTTTATGGGAAATTCTGAGTTTCCTATAAATTTTTCTCAATATTTTCAATCAGACTCCTCAATCGAAAACTTGAAATTTTTTTTGGACCTTTTTGGAACTGAGAAAGAGCTTCTTTAATTTGACTTATGGTTAGATATTATTGATTGAACTTTTAAAAAACTTTCTAGAGTTTCTTTTTTTCAATAATTTTTTTCAGATTATATGTCACTGTTTTAAAAAGCTTTCTAATGAAAATTGTCCTTGCAACAGGTGGTTAGACTATAAATCCCTATTTTTCTGTTTTTTTCTGTTTCATCATCACTATATTGCAAAACTCTTCGAGAACTTGAAAATTTTCATTTTTTTTTCTTGCTTCACCTCGCTCTTTCCAAGCACATGAAAAACCACATGTCTTTCTCTGCAGCTCCTTGACCAATATGTTCGGCGGGGGGCCAAATCGCGTTCCGAAAGCATCCATTCTACGCCGTTAATTTCTCAACAGAAGTTCGCCGGTGGACAAATCGAGTTATGCGAGAAATGAATAGAGCACAGCGCTTCCCTGCGAGTTCAATCCGGCGCTACGAACGTTCTTGTAAATGAATTTCGTTCGAGGTCGAGGACCTTTTCCAGTCTTTGGCTTTTTCTGGGAAACCTTTTGTCCTCTTCTTTCTCCGATCGGAAAATTATGCTTGTGTAACTGTAAAGTCATGAAAGGTGGTTGTGGGAATTTTCGAGGATTTTTTATTAAATCACAGGAAATCGCCCCAACAAATCTTTTTTTTCCATATTGAAACTTCAAAGAAAAGTTTTCTTGACTTGAATTTGAGGTAATGTATAAGAAAAAAGTTTTAATAACTGCCTATAGTTTTACAGCATCATACTGTTGATTAAAATTCCAAAATTTTAGTGATTACCTGAAAACTTAAAAACTTGCAACACCATTTCCAAGCGTCTAATTTGACACAATTGCGTAAAAATGAGTTGAATACCTGGAATCGAAGTCCAAAACTCTCAGTTTCTGGCTCTCAGCTGTCCAGCAGTGGACAACGCAATTTGTCCCTTCTACCCAGGCCATCTATTTTTCAAACCAAATGATCGCCGCCACGTGTGCAAAACGCTCCACGGCTGAGCTATTTGTTCTTGATTGCTTCACCCAGATCCACGTTTCAAATGTAGTTTCTCAAGGAGCTTATATTGTGAATATGAGAAGAAAAAGTTGTTGGGAAACTTTTTCAAAGAAAATCTGAGATTTCTGAATCTGAGGAGTTCCATAATTCCAATGAGCAAATGTTCCGTTTATTCAATTCTCTATAGAATAAGTCCCAGAAAAGTTATTCATTAATTGGTTCACAAACTAGGGATTAGCTGTTGTATACATTTGTGAGGAGTTAGACGCCATATGCTTACTGAAGATTCACTGGCAGTCGTCTTCGCTCTGTCGTATTCTTCCTGCTCAACATTTTTGGAGTTCTTCTTCTTCTGCGGAAAATGTTTATTTGAAAAATTCGTAAAAGACTCAAAAAGTGAAGCTTTTCGCAGATTGTAAGAATAAAAATCAAAAATTCCGATAGCTTCCATTATTGCAGAAAAATTTTTCTAAAATTTTTCTTTATTTTTTTACTCACTTAACCATTTTTTTCTTTCATTTTTTTCCGGTTTTGAAGTTTTTTTAAAAAAATTTTTGAAAAATTGCCCATATTTTGACCTGTTTTTTATTCGAATTCGAACCATCCAATCGAGAAATGTTTCTGACGAACATTTGAACTTTATTCTCATGTTTCATTCGTCGTAGTAAATGTCAGCGGCGAGCCAGGTCGTCGACAGTTTTTTCAAACTCTCAGCCCAATTTTTTTTGGCCATGTGAGTCATTTTGCGCTCCTCTTTTGATCGTTAGGCCGCATTGTTTTACTTCATTTTTCGTCTTTATTTATATTGATAGCGCTTCTTTTTGTACTGTACAACAAGCTGGCGGCAAGTATGATTCATTCCCGCTTCTTTTATGTTCCATCTGAAGGCTACAATGCAATGTTAACAACGGAAAAAACCGTTTTTCTTACTCGATTCAAAATTTATTTCACTTTTAACCAACAAAATTTTTGCGAAATATGCTTTTTAAAGCGCACGTGTTGAAATATTCGTTGGGATGCAGGAAAAAGTTTCGTTGGAGTGTGCAAAGAAAAAAGTTGTCCGAGTAGGCGCTGACCTCCACTCGCTTTTTTTTAGGTGTGGGGAGTATGGGAACGGCAGGACACGCCCAGAGAAAAACCCTCTTCTCTTTCGTTCCTAACTTTGTCTCTGTCTCTCACTTTCATTCCTTTAATTCGTTTAATCAACGCGCTTCTGCTTTGTTTTCTTTACATTTTTGAGCGAAATGCAAAGTTGGCCTCTTCTAATCACGTTTTAAAAATTAAAGAACAGCAATAAAAAACTGAGAAAGAGTTTTCGAACACTTTCCCTCAACAATTTGATAGTCAGTCCCACGCATAATTTCTTTCTCAATTTCTTTTTTCTGATTTTTTCCTCACATTTCTCTTTTTTTTCGGATCGCCACGCTTCATGAGCAATAACTGCCACTTATAACACACGTATTCTGTGTTTTTTTCTGCCGCCACTTGTGAATCCAGCCATTTATCCAGAGCTTTTGTCCCGATGGGTTCAAGCTTCTTTGTACAAACCGCTTCTGCCGGCCTACGAAATCACAGAGATACTTGACCCAAGCACAATTAACGGGATTAGCCTCTTCACTTGTCGCGCCTGTCATCATCCTCCATCTCCGCGGCTTTGGATCATCGCCATTATTTGCATGACAAAGTTATTTCAAACTCATTCTTTGGGATAATTATGAATTTTTTTCTAGTTTAAACTTTTTTTATGATATGATGAATTTTTTTCTGAATTTTTTTAGACGCATACCTCACTTCAAGAATATTGTGTAGTCTGAAAATTGAGCTTCACTTATTTCATATCCGTTTTTTATGCAGCCACAAAAGTTCAGTGGTCATATTTGTGACAAAAACTAGAACTAACAATGCTGAAATCAAAATTTTACCAATAAAGATACAATAATCAGACACTTTTCATGCATTTTTATTATACCTTTATCCCAAATTCTTGCTTAAAATCTAAGCCCGTGTGGTTTTTTTCGTGATAAGTCTCCAAAAAGTCGAGACGCATCAAATTTCCTATTTCTACATCTTGGCATCACCTTTCCAAAAATCATACTTGGGAGTTAGTCTCAGGAAATAAAAGCATGGAGTGGAACACGGTAGCAGAACACCGGACACGCCGGCGAGTGTGTGCTCGCGCGCATCTGTCGGCGCCTATTTGTGCTTCTTTCGGCTGTTTCCGCGGCCAGACCGTCGTCCGCCCATTACAGATCTGAATATGCAAACCTGCATATCTCGGCGACTTTCCATTCTTTTCAGTTTTGTTTTTTTCTTCTTTCTAGTCAAAGTTAGGGACCAAAATCGCATAAGATTTTTTTCAACTTTCTGTTTCTGAGAGTTATCAAAATAACATCCTGAGCTCTGAAGTGAAGAAAATTTCAAGAAAACTCTGAAAACAAGTTTCTGGGACTAATTATTGACTATGTTCTTTTTTAGATTGCCTCTTGTAGATTCTCCTCTATTTTGCTATTTATTTGTCGGATGATATCAAAAATACTTACACCACTTGAGCATTCTCTGCTTAACAGAAATTCATAAAAACTCTTATCTCAAAAAGTATATGTAAAACTCAGCTTTCAACAGAACATTATCACATTTTTCGACCCGTTCTACAGAAAATCCTTTAGATGACTTTTCTGTAGAGGGCCATTTTTTAACTTACAACTGGGTCATAAAATCCCGCAAATAGGAAAACCTGAGCTTTAAGCCGTACAAGCCAAAGTCCAAAGATATTGCTTTTTGGAACGCCATTCTTTACGATATGTGTACTAGCCGCTGGCTTTTAACGCTTTAACATAATGACCCATGAAACCCATAAAGTTTGGCGGGAACTTTAAACAAATGGCCGACTGGGGAAAAGATAGGTTTTCGTAGAGGCTGTCGAGATTTGAGCGCATGAATGAATGCCTGAGAGACATTATGTGTCGCCTTCCGCTGTACAAACATCTAAATCAACCTTCTCCCTTTTCTGATTATATCATCCATGACCCTCATCCTTTCTCTCTCACTCTTCTGCTGCTGACAGACGGCTCTTGATACGCCTATTATCTCTAAGAAATGCAGTTGTACACAATCTTCACTTTTTTGTTGGTTCTGCAACATTTATTTTGCATTTTATTCTACTATTTACACTCTCTGAAACGGTAATTTGAATCATTTCGTCTCATAAACTTCTCAGCAAGTTCAACGGCAGGGCGACAAGCTGTCCATTACCACCGCTATGGCTACTTTTTTCCGTTCTCCTCTTGGCTCTACGATTTATGGGGGCTTACGCTTATCCTCTGCAAACGGAACGTTTGTGAAAACACCTAGCCGAGCCTACTTTCAACTTCTCATTTCTCAGCTGAATCCTTGAAAAAGCGTTTTCATTTTTTTTTTCAATTTTTTTCTATTCCTTCCGCTTCAAATGTGTAATTTTGGCGTCAGGAATTTTAGATTTCTCGCTCTCAAAAAGCATAAAAAAGTGAAGTTGAAAATATTTCAGAAAAATAATTTTTTTTAATCGGTAAAAATGTGTCGAAAAACTTTATTTTTCATAGTATCAGGAATTCAGATGCCAGTCATGAAGTTTATTAATTAAGCTCGTAAAAAAATCGTTCATTATGCTCATATTCGAAGTTGCTTTTTCAATTTTCTGCTAAAAAAAATTTCTTTCATTTTCAACTTTTCCCCGTAATGCAAAAACAAAAACCCCAAGTCTTAATTTTCACCAATTATTATTTTTTGACAATTGACTATAGCTATTTTATCCAAAAATAGGTCAGCTTCTGCCTAACCGCATATGATAAAAGTTGTAAAAAGACGGTCCACTTGATTCTGAAGCGCCGCGGTTGCGACGGCGACACACCTTAACCATGTGTTGCCTCGCCGTTTACGACTGTGCGTGCTCCCCGGACCGGTGCGTTTCAGAGTTTACGAGCACGGATTCGCTGTAAAACATTGTCCGGATTGGCGGAAAACAGAGCCGTTTGCATAGCTGCTAAATTGGCGGGCGATAAATCACTTTGCCGTCTGTTTTGAATTAGGAACTGTTAAGTTACACCTTGGAGATAGATTAATTTTCATTCCAATTTTTGTTTGCGGGTAATTTTTTCTTTTTATATGATAACTTAATGATGAAAGTAATTAACTAACTCTTCTCAGAAAAAACTTCCTGTTCTGATTTTTTCCCGAAAACGAAAAGGTCTCCGTAAAAACTTTGAAAAAAGCACTTCACATAGATTCCTGCAAAAAAAAAGTTTTTTTTTGAAAAAACATAGTAGGACTCAAGAGAATGAGCGAATGGAATCTTAAAAATTGAGACTTCGAATGACTTTTGTGAATTTTCTACAAAAAACTTTTCAAGCTAAAAGTTTTTTCTCGCAAGAAAATTGAACCATAATTTCTAGGTTTTCTTCAGTAGTTTGTGTAACCGACTAAGGTAATTTTTGCGATTTTGTCGGATATTAGATTTTTTTGCCTCCTCTTCAATTATCTCACAAGACAGGTATTCGTCAAAGGCTTGATCAGATATGACAAAATCTCATTAACCTCTACTGAAAAGTTCTCCTGTCGAGCCTGGACGACGTTTCGCTCTTGAGGACAACTTGTTGTTGCCACCGCGATCCATTCAGACCCATTTACGTGTTTGCACAACAGGTGCAGAAACACCCGAGGCGTTGTCTTTCCATGTGCAACCGCACGCGCCATCCAAGCTCCGCCTTTTTTCTTGGCCTTTCCTCACGTTTCAGATCTTCTGAACGGACCACCCAGATCTTCATCCAGAAAAGAGGCATCGTATATTTTCAATACTAGCAAGTTTTTTTTTGATAAGATACGTTGATTGAACGTTTCTCAATAACTATTTTTGAATGAGGTTACTTTCTAATAACCACCCGAAGTCAAGGCTCAATGAGCTTGTTTTTTCTGATTTTAGCTTTTTTTCCTTTTTTTCAGCTCAATCCATGGAAAGCTTTGGAAGTTCGAAAGCATTTAAAAAAAAAATTTTTTTCTGAAACTTTTCATGCGTTACTAGGCTTGGAATTTTTTTATCTACTTCAAAGAAAAATTAGTCTTCAATTATTTTCTGATGCGTTTGAAAAATTCTAATATAAATGGAAAGTTTAAAAAAACAATCGATTCATCTTGTTCCCTATCAAAAGTTTTGTAATCCTTCATGGTTTCCCTGAATATTTTTTTCAATTCATCCTCCCTTCAGGCAAGTTTCTCTAAGCTTTGTTTTTTGAAAAAGACTATAGAAATTGAATTTTTTGCTCAAATTGCAAATCTCTTCCGTATTTAGTCAATGCTCAAGAAAAAACAAAAGCACTACGACAAAAAAAGAAAGCTTATTTCCTCAGCTTGCAGTGTCAACAGAGCATGCCAAACTCGCTTTGGACCACGTCGTCAGTAAAATTCGTTAGTTGCATCTTCACACTCCTTTTTACTCGTCTATTGCTCAACCTAGCCCTTTTTTTATTACTACGGCGTCCTTCGGATATTGCTTCTACTACTCTCTTCTTTTTTGGTGGCTTCTTCTTCAGGAGGACAACATGCGGTTTTTTTCATTCGACCAGCTGAAAAAAACTTTTTTAGCTTCTGGTTCAATTTTGATGAAGCTTGAACTGTACTTTAGGGCCTTTTGATTCCAGAACAAAAAAAAATCTCACAATAGATTTAGTTTTCAAGTAAAGACGCTTTGAAAGTTCGAGGTAGTGATTATTTGTCATGATTTGCGTATTTTATGAATTTTAAAACTCGAAAAACGAGCCATTATGAGACATGTTCGTGAATCAGGATGTCCTAATGGGCGTTTCAGCAAAGTTTCCTCAAAGGTTCTAGTGATTAATTTTTCGATAATAAATAGATAATTTGATGAAGAAGATAATTAAGAAAGTACTAATTCTATTCCTGTTTCATTTCAGATTCTAATTAAATTCCACATAACAATTTTAGTCTTTTTATTCTTGAAATCGCACTTTTTCTCAGGGTCAAAAGTTATTTCGTCTTGTTAAGGGATTTCTGAGTATTTTTTTATCCTTCACTATTCAAATTTTTTTATAGTACTAAGATCCACAAATCTTCGCGGCCTGGACCAGGGTCCAAGCCTATATCCACCCAAAGCACGCCATTACCGCGCAACTCGGAACGGCATTGTGGTAACGCTTCTCGGAGTGACCGGATTAGGAGAAGATGTTTGCCGGCAGAGCCAAGTGCCGCCATTCGTTCACAAATGACCCGCCGCGCACTGTGCAAACGACAACCGACACCGAGGCTTACTGATATCGAAGGTCGGGATGGGTCATCCACGCTCACTCCGCCCAGCCATTTGTCATATTCAACACTCGGCTCCATGCGTTTCGTCCCCGACTTTTACTCCTATTCTTGTCTTGCCCCACAAATCTCGTAGGAAGTCTTCTTAGCCTTTGTTGACGATGACCTTTTTGTCTGAAGTATTCAAACGAATGGATCTGCAGAAACCATCTCTTTCTTGAAAATTTTTTTTCCTATTTTGAGCATCGTAAAAGTGGTTTGCTTACGTAAAAGTTGAGAGGTTTTTGCTTTCGTTCCCTCGAAAAGCGTTAGGAAGCTTTCCAGCAAGTGTTCAAAAGCCTTCTACGTACCTTCCCAACACCTCTTTCACCTTTCAGAAGCCTGCCGGAAGGCTTATCTCAGGAAGTTTCAGGGTATTACCTCGCAAAGACCCTCCAACTACCTTCTGAACACCTTCTCAAGACCTTCCAGATTTCATTCACGTTCCGACTTTCTTCTCAGATTTCGTCTGAGTCTGAAAGATAATGTAAAACAGAGCTCATTTCGAGTAGCTTTCAACTTCGTTCCATGTTACTTTTCTAATGTCAGGCTTCTCCAAAAGTCCTTTTTAGTTTTAATGGTATTTTTCCCAATGAATTTTTGATAATTTCATGAACTCGGAAACTGATTTTTTTAGGAACTCGAAAAACTAATTTTTTTGGAAGAGATCACGGTTATGGGTCTATTTTTTTGAGTTTAAGTTTCAGAAAAAAATTGAAACAGAAATATGTAATTTGATTAATTCAAATAAAACTTAAGATGCCGCGTTCTTATCAAATTAGTTTTAAAGTACTTCTTTTTCATTAAAAAAACTCTGAAATGTTTTTCAAGAATCAGCCGGAAAAATTATCTGGAACATAATTCTTTAGTTTTTTTCAAGTTTTTTTTCATGATATGCGTTCAGAAAAAAATTCAATAAAACAAAAAAATAACAAGTCTCAGTTTTTTTTAAAATTTATTTCTCTTTCTTGAAAAAAAGTTTCAGCATAACTTTCGCTTTGAGACTGGGAAAAATTTTTCCACCATTTCGTCTCTCCAAAAAAATTCATTTTCATATGATTATTCAAAGCAAAGAAATGTACGATAAAAACTTTTCAATCGATTTTTTCGGAACAAAACTGTGACTACATTTTTTTTCCAACAATCAAATATTGAAGCAGTCTTAGTATTTGTGAATGAAGAACTTGTTTCGAAAAAAAAGACCAAGTAAAAACAGAGAAAGGTTTTACTGCGACTGACCGCCATGTCAGCGCACGCGCGTCTTGGAAGTGTTGCAACCGGTTGTTGATTTGGCCTTTTCTCGCTGCGAGACGCTTCCTTTCGCTAATCATTCGAACAGCCCGGAGATTTCTGGTGACACCTAGGCCCTCGCAACATTTTTCAAAACCGTATGTCTGCTTAATCCGTCCCGTTTTGGCGCGTCTAATCGCGTTGACTTCAAATAATTCTTCCTCATATGAATTGCTTGACCCCGCCCTTGTTGGCGAACTGATCCGTTTCTCTTCTTTTTGGACCAAGTAGAGGCCCGTTTTCTAGTCTATTTGTTTGAGACATTCTTCTGTTTCTGATTCTCCTTTTCTTAACCTTTTTTATTTTTGCTGATTAGATTTGAACTCGGTGAATAATGGTTTGTTCTTATTATTTTTTTTGCGATGTTAAAATAATTACTTCGATTCTCGCAAGGAGTGAGAAAAGTATTCTGGGTGGATTTTCGACATCGATTATGCTTTAATCTGATTTTTTTCTCGCTGTTGCATTTACGCTCTCGAAGTTTTTTTTTTGTGAAAGATAGCTTCATTCTTGATTTTTCAAATAGCAACAATCGAAAATTCCGGCAAACTTAGGCCAGCCTTTGATATCGATTCGATTTATTTCAATTATTTTTTGAAAAAAAAAGTCTCTAACAACATCTTTATAAACGAAAATTTTCATTTTTTTGAGAAATATAGATTCAATCTGTTTCAATTATTATTTATTCACTCTGGAAAAAAATGCATTTACGGCATTGCTTTCAGCTGAAGTTCTCGGTTTTGAAAAATTTTAAGGAAAAAAAAACATTTATCATTGTTTTTATCCTTTTTAGTATGTTTATATTTTTAGACTATCCATCTGAGTCACCGGCTGTCTTTGATGGGATTTTGAGATTTCAAATTTATCGATTTTCCCTCACGATTTCCTTGTTTTCGTACAAGCTCATTGTCTTTCGTATCCTTCAGTCGGACTGTTAGAAAGCGGCTGCCGGCGCCGTTTTCAAGCACTTTTAGTCGCCGTCCAATTGTAATTTTGTTTTGAAAGCTCTTTAGGCACATAGTCCCGTTTGTTTCCCGAATCGCCAAAAATCTTTCTTTGTTTCAAAATTCCGATATTTTCTGTGAAACCTGCGCTGTAAAGTTTTTTATTGCAGCGTGTCCACGCTCCAAAACTTTCACAATATAGAAAAAGTTTGTCCTATCCAAAATATTCCTAGATCACTATACCGTTTCAAAAAAGAAGACCCACGTTATCGGTAAAATCTTCCACGCCCAAAAAACCCGACAGATTTGACGGGTGCGACCATTCTTTGTTATCTTCCGGACCTTGAGATCCTCCTTTATATTGTATGAAACTGTCAATACGATTACGCAACGATCGGAATTATACCTTTCGAGCTACCATCTGGTGTCAAAAACCCAACGCCTCTGTGCCATTCGACTTATAATTGCCTCGATCTCAATCATTTCTCGCTACCTGGCAAGAAAAAAATGGCTTTCCTTTTCAGGTAATGCGCGAATAGAATCAAGATGCACTGTAGCTGGATAGTAGTGATTTTCCTATTGCTGCTTGGCTACAGTTCAGCTGAATTGAAAGCTCGTGAGTTTTTCTTATTTTGGTATGGTCTTCAAGGAAAGTTTAGAAACGTACGAACTCCCCTCTCTATTGGTAGACGCCGACCAATATTTTTTGCAAAAACGGTTTCCAACCAATTTGACTTGCCACCTGGCTCCAGGTTATTCAGAGGTACTCTATAATTTCAAATCTTTCTTGCTCATGAAACGTTTTAGGCAAGATTGACCTTTGTCCAGTGGTACAAGGACGACGTCCTGCTTGAAAATATCACTGAAGATTACTCATGGGAGGACAAAACGTGAGCGTTTTTATAGACTAATTAATTACTCAGGTCATTTTTCAGGCTCACAATTTTTGGAGTCAAACAACAAAATGAAGGTCTTTACCAATGTCTGGCAGACATTATAAATATTCGACTGTCGAGTCGGCAACTTGTGGACACGCGTCTTTTCTCGTCTCCGGTCAAGATCAGGAGGGCACGTATGACGAAATTCGACAAGATCAGCGATCATGTGAGAATTTTTTTAAATTTCCCTGCTAAAAATTTTTTTCCCCTTGATTTATCAACAAAAAAATTTTTATTAAGCGAGAAATGAGATATTCAATTCATTTCACCCAGAAAAAGAAACAGTAAAGTTAACTTTTGGATCCAATTTTGTTCCCCAGTACAAACTGCAACCTTTTTCAGTAGCCAAATAGGGTTAGTCATAGATTTTGACGCAAATGTCGTGTTTTTTGTCCTGATTCTTTAGGGAGGTCTCATCTGCCATGTATTTGAAAAAGACAATAGAATTGGCTCGCGTGACACTTGACGAAACCCGTTGCAAAATGTCTCAAACTTTTTTTTTTGGCTTCTGTTTTTGAGAGTGACTGAGAAGTGCTGAAAAAAAAGGGCGACCACAAAATTTTTTCCGCTAATTGGGAACGAAGCATCGGTGTTGAAAATGAAGCTGTGAGAGTCTGAAAAAAAAATGGGGATTGGAAGTGGTCGGATAAGTAAGAGCGAAACATTGATTGCGTTTATTTTTTCGGAAAGGTCAATACAGCTGGATTTTTTTTTCTCAGACCCTTATTTCTTCAAAAAACTTGTTCAATCCTTCTAAAACTTTTTTGAAACCTAGGGAAAGTTGACAACAACTGAAATGCTTTCTCATATGAAAATGCTTTGAAAATTTTTTTTTTTCTGTGTCCGATAATAACTAAGAAACTGAGCAATCGGCGAATTCAGTCCTTTTGAAGTTTCGATCTGATAATCATTGAAGTTTCTCAGACCTGAACTTTAGGTGTTCATAGTATTGAAAGCTTCCATGTGAGTAACTATCTATTCTTTTCAAGAAAACCAACCACAAAGTTTGGGCCTTTAGAACCAGCTTGGCGGCAAGTCTTATGCAGATGAGCAAGATAATCTTGCACCATCTGGAGTCGCACTCCACTGTTCCTGTCGCCTCATTGTGCTCACTTAGTTGTCACACGCAGACGCCCATATCCCCATGACAAGCCAGATGAACATGGGAAAGCCGAGCCTCCAACATTAAGCACAGGCGTTGAAATTAGGGCGTCGGACCAGCGAACGGCAATGTGAAAATGAGCCGTCTTTGTGCCTCTTCTTTTCCATTTTAGGGTTTTGAGAAGTGGAGGTGGACAAAGCTGAGTTTGGGGTGACCTTATATGTGACATCGATACGTTCTGATAAGAGACGTTGATCAGAAACCCTAATTTTCTTAAGAATTCCGACCAAATCGAAACTTTTTTTCTTATTAATTTCGAACATTCTCCGTTTCTTTCAACCACTGTGAGACCTTGAAAATCTTTCGATGATTATCAAACAAAAAAATTTTTTTCCAATAAGGATCATAAAAATCATTGAAATTATTCCTTTATCTATAGAAATCTTCACTATTCATAACAAAAATCAGAAAAAGAAATGAAAAAAACTCATGAATGAAAACATCTCATGTGCTTATCTTTCTGAGAAACTCAATGAAAATTGAATTCTGACACCTCTGGAGATTACTCAACTCATTCTTATGGCAAATTCAATTTGCACTGACAGATGAACCTCATCCCAGTTGTCTGCGGAATTAAGCAGCAAAGCTTGGAATCATCTCAAAATTTCCGGGTAGTTATCCTCTACTAACGACCAAATATGTTGCATGGATAATAGCCGTTCCGGAGGGAGAAACAATGCAAATTGGATGATTATAGGCAATAACAGTGCGGGAGAACGAGGTGGCGCGGCTGCCGTGCGCCGGTATGCCAGATGTGGTGCCAGGACCTGCGACCATTTGCTTCGAACGTCTTGAGAACGACACTTGCCTTGGGGCTAAAAGTCGGTTCTTTTCAATTTTCGAATTTTCTGAAAACTGCGAAACAGTAAAATTAAGGAAAATAAAGTTTTTACCAATCACCAAGTTTGAGAAAAAAAAAACAGGAAAAGCTTCACCGGCTACAAAAATATTTATTACCTTGTGATTTTGAAAAAAAGAGCGTTGTGAGTTTTTTTCTGTTTCAAAAAAATCTCAAAAATTCTTAATTTTGATATCCATGATTTTTTTGTCAATGAGACAGTTCGCAAGTCGTTTCTGGTCGGGAGATGGAAAGAGAAAAAAATATAAATTTTAATAGACTTGAAATTTTTTTCCCGCTAAAACCGGACGGTTCAACAAATCAAAAAAATGAAGTATAACATTACTCTCCATTTTTTGACGAAACATGTGATTTTTCAGATAGCACAAAATACCTGACGACACTAACCGGCATGCAGATATCTTTGGTGCAGCCTTCAGACGCCGGTTTCTACCACTGTCTAGTCCGTAACGAATACACCAACATGACCAGACGAAGTCCCAAGCCAGTTCTTCTCTATGTAAGCTCAAAAAAGGAAACCTCTTTTTTCATTTCTTTTTTTTGTAGGTCAGAGAAGCGAACAGTACCGATGATGAGCCTTCATCTGATTCGGAAATCAAGCCAACTTTGACGTTCCCAGCTAAAGAAACTACGGTCGACGAACCGATCCCCGTTGATGTCGTGGAAGGAGATGACGTCCTTCTTGAATGCGTCATTGCTTTGGCGAAGATTGTGTGGATTAAAGTGAGTGATATAAAATGAAATTTTCACTGAAGATTATGTTATTCCAGCAAAATGATTCGACACCTATAATTTCGATGAACGACAATAACTCGAGGTTTCAGCAAGTCTGGGGAAATTTGAAGATCCAAAGTGTCGCACAAGGTGATTCGAACCCATTAATTATTTTCAACCAACTTTTTCCCAGGAGATGCTGGAGTGTATTCATGTTTTGGACTTCCGATCGTTGGGTCGAACTCGGTGGTCGATGAGAATACTCACCCCAGAGTGGACTATAGAGTCACAGTTCATTCTCCATCAGGCGTCCATCTTGGAATAACTCAACAAGCAGATAAAAGCTACATGGTAAGACAATGATTCGACATGTCATTCTATAAAGAGAAACTTAAGCTCGAATGTCTTGCTACCAACTTGGATTACGAGATTCCAATGGCGTTCATCAATGGTACGCCATGGACCGAAGCCATTCCAAAAATGGGAACGATAACAACCACAAACTTTTTCACGAACCCTATCAGAGTTTTGTTGAGAGTTTCGGATCTCTTCACGGGAAGCATTCAGGTTATTTTTCATCCTCAAAGAATACATTTTGATTCTGCTTCTTCCAGTGCATTTCAAGACCAGCTATGGAAGAAGCTGAAGTTTACGGGCATGGAATGGAAAGCGGGAGATCGAATAACTTCTTTGTGATCAATAATCCTTTCGCGACTGATAATCTGATCATGCAAGGGCCCAACAACTTGACTGTTAGAGCAGGCGGAACAGCTGATTTTCCATGCTTAGTGCAGAGAGTTCGTAGCAAATCCTGGAAAAAAAGTAACACTTGCATATTTTTTCTAGTTTACATCTACCTTTCAGATGGGAAATACATCAGTCTGTTTTCGAACAAAACACAGCTTGTCGGGTCGAACTCTTTGAGAGTGAAAAATGTGGATATGAACGATATTGGCTGGTACACGTGCGTCGTCATTGGTCAGACTCTCCAGCAGAGCGAATCAAGCGCCTTTCTCAATGTCATTCCGGCCGACGCTCCAGAATCTGAAATTCCTGAAACTTCCACTGAACCCTTTCTTGCCAAGAAAAAAGTGAGGCTATTATAATTCTGTTATGACAAAATGTAAAGAAGTTCAATGAGATCGACAAGAGAATATTAAAAATGTAGAATATTTTGTTAAGTGAATGGTTTCTTGATTAGTTTCAAAACTATACTAACTAAAAAAAACTATTTCTAGGCTCATCAAAAGATACAAAAAATGAAAAGAGATCCCCATTTTTCAGGAAGAGAAAATTGATGTAGAAGATGTCCGTGGTTTCGTAACGGGAACTCAAGTACGAATTCAATGGTCTGTTTTTGGCAAAATGGAAGCTCTGACCACTATCTCCAACTTCAAGTTTTTTTCTATCGAATTTTCGATGATTTTATGATTTTTTCAGAATTGAAGTTCAAAGATCAGGGGCTCCAAATGATTCTTGGATTGAAGCGGAATCGGTTGACAGCCATGTTCGGGCCACGACTATCAAAAATCTGATCCCGGATAACAAGTGAGACACTTGAAATTCAGTTCGAAATGGTCAAAATGATCTTATTCAGATACAAATTCCGAATTCTCTTGAATCGGGACAAAGGTGCGCCGGTGATAAGTACACCAACTTCTTGGATGACTGTTGAGCAACCTTCTCGCGATGTTTTACCTACCCCTCCATTGGTTGGATACGCTCAAAAATCTTCTAAATTCTCCTGATTCCAGCTCGAAGTTTTCCGTCAGATTTCCTGGGACAAAGCAATCGTTAAATGGTCTCATGAATCGCCAATTTCGAACGGGGCTGCCAAGACTTTCATGATAGTTCACAGTGAGAAGGACAGCAACAAATCTTCTGTGGTGAGAATATTTTTTTGATTTGGAAATTTCAATGGCTAAATGGTTTTTCAAGGAAGCTGTCCCGTGGAGTTGATTTTGGAAAAAAAAAATTCAAATTTTTTTTAAAGATTGATTTATTCCAATAGAACGGAAAAATGAGGAAATTAATCATTTAATTTTCCAATAACTTAAAACAAAAAAAGAAAGACTTGTCATGTCAAAAATTTCATTTTTGAAGATTAATTGCTCATTTTGATAGTGCTCTGTTAACTTAAGCTTGCAGTGACTTTCTGCATTTTTTTTTTTTTTCAGATTGAATTATCAAATTAATTCCAAATTTTTGTTATGATAAGGCCAATAACTATTCAAATCTGATTTTTTGCTCTGCAATTTTCCCTTTTTCAGACTCAAGTCGACGGAAATCAGACCGACGCTGTCATCAGCAAGTTGCACATAGGCCGGGTATACACAGTGAGCATGGTGGCCGAGAACGCCGCCGGCAAAAGTCTTTCGAGCAACGAGTTGGAATTGAAAGTCACCGGTGCGTTGCTTCCCAATTTTTAGCTAACAAAAAATGTTGGAATTCGAAGCAAACAGTCTTTTTTTCCTGTGTTTGTGGTGCGTTGCGCAGTTGTTATTCCACGTGCACCTGCATGTCGGAGGAACCTGGCTTAACTCTAAGGAGTTGGGTTACTTGGCTTCGCTCGTTCCAGTTGCACTTCTTTTTGAACTCCGGCTCGACTACTGATAGTTTTCAGTTTTTTTTAGATTCTGTAATGTTACGAAGGGTTCAAAAGTTCTAATTTTAAGACATTCAAGTTTTATTTCTCGTCGTATCTCAAAGCAAGTTTATTATTAAAATCTGAAAGTCATCTAAGACTCCTCAAAAATCTGCCTATAAAATTCAAAAGTTTGATTTTCTCCGAGGTTTTGATATTTATAACGGAACTACCGTTGAAAATACTTCATTACTTTTAAAAATTCATTCTTTTTAAAAAAAGATTTTGAGACAAAACGTACTTGAAAAAAAGCGCTTAGAAGCTCTCTGAAACGGAATGTTTAGCTTGAATATCATTATCACTTCCTCAGTGCTCAGGTGCGAAGTGACAGGAAAATAATTTGGATTTGCGTTGCGAGCCGTCCCGCATTACTATTATTACACTGTGCGGCGAGCCTCGGCTCTCAGTTTTGCCCTGAGAAACTGGACTATTGTCTTCTTTTCCCTCAAAAAAACTTGAAACAAGTAGTTTTCTTATCGAGTTATTTTTTTTGCTCCTTTTTGATAAATCCATATTTTTCTTGTTTTCAGAGCCTGAGGTGACAATGCTGGTACGGGGTTATTTCGAAACCTTCTTGACTCACGTGACGTTCCGCAATTTGGCTTTATTTGGAATAATACTTTTTGTTTCTCTTTTGGTCATTCTCATCTGTTGTTCTGTTTTTTGCAACTTGAGATCTGGGAAGAAAAAAGCGCCTCCTTCTAAGAATCAACGTGAGTGGAATCAATAGAAAAAATCGAAAAAGTGAATTTTTCAGCAAATGGGAAGTTTTTCGACGCTTCATTCCGGATTTTCAACGAGCAAAAAGTTCACAAGTCACGAGCATTTCAAGAGAATGATTTGTTTGACGGTGATTTCGACGAAAGCAGTCCTTTGAAAAAGGTTTGAGATTAAAAATCATCTTTAGACAAATGGTCATTTGATATGATAGCAGTATTTTTCTAGAAGTTTGTAATTTTGTCTTTGCAGAGTGAGAAACGGTTGTCGGCTCATTCCCTCAAGTATGATTTCACGGAAAGCGGAGTTCTGCCCAACTTGTATGGTGGAATTGGGGAAGATCAGGAGGACAGAATATCTCATGATCTTCCTAACGACTCCAATTTCGTACGACAGTCTAGTGCAGGTGACTTTTGGTTTCTTTTTCGATATTTAGGGGTGTCAAAATTGAAAAATCGCTTTATTTATATTAACAAAAGATACAATGAGAATAAAATAAGATTTATTGAATATTCTCAAACTATAACCCATATGACTCGCCAAAATAGTTTTTTTCTCTCTCTGTTAAATTTTCTGGCGGAGCACGCGATCATCAATAGAACAAACTTTTTTGATTGGAAAAAAAATTGCAAGCTTTCTCAGTCCCACGAGAATATGCGACCCATACGACGGCTCGATGTTATTCTCCAAGCAGCCGAACTTCTCATGAAATGCTCGTTTCTTATTCACAAAGCATGGGCCGATCTTCGATTCAGGATTCAAACTCTCAGGTAACACAAGATTTTCATTTTTTTTTGTGTTTTTTATTCAAAAAATATTAAAATCATTCAACAAACTATCAAATTTGAAATTATCAAAACGAGGAGTGTTTAAGGAAGCTTTCAAAACCGAAAAAAAAAATCAATAATAAAATTAGACCAAGCAGAAGAATAACAAAAACTACATCTGATCGCTTGAGATTGTACCATTTTCATATATTTTCTGAAATAAAAAAATCCGACCTTTGCATGGAAAGAATTGGTATCATACAACTCTCTCAACTTGTTCTTGAAGATCTGCGGAACCCTGTCGAAGGTGACGGCGTACAAGTATCCCGACTCGCTTCTCTATTCTCCCGGTACCTCGTCGTCAATCGCAGATACGAGCAGCAGTGGGATCGTTGTCAACAGAATGAACTGCGACTCGCCGACAAATGCTCCGTGAGATCTTATAACTTCCGAAAAAGAAGTCGCCCTTTTAAAAAACAAACTATACCACTCTTTACCTTCTTAGAAACGCCTTCGGTCGCAAACCGTTTGTGGTCGGATGCTGTAGAAGACGTTATTGAACACTTTTGTAGCCACCCATTTTTTTCAGCCGTCACAGCACCTCGAAATTTCGCAAAAAATTACTTTTTGATGAAAAAATCAATGTTTCAGAACGGACGAGAGCGACCAAGGAATCCGTTGCGGATCTTCTCGAAACAGTCACATTTCCTCCACAGATTCAAAAGCCATTCCCATGCACACTTTCAAACCAAACATCGTTACTTCCTCTTTCATGAGCACCTTTGATAGGAGGAAACCGACCCCTGTGCTACAATAGATTACTGATTCAATCTTTTTTCCAAATTCTCAACCACCAAACCTCTTTTTGCGGCTTTAAGCGGGAACCGCGTGCTTCAAACTCGCAGCCCGTGAGTTCATCACGGGTTCATTTTTTTTTCTTTTTTTTTCTCCTTTTTCCACGTGTCATCATAAATTATCACAATTTTTTCCTCTGTTCTTCTTTCTTTGATCTCTGTCCTTGTACAAAAAAACTCTGTCAATATCGGAAATTTGATAGTTTCTAATAAAAATCCAAATCAATAAATGATAATTTTCAAATACTCTCTCTGTCGCTTTTTTTCAGTTTTATTCGCTTTGCTATTTTTCTCTCGAAATTGTGCCTTTATACGCTTTCTTTCTGATTTTTGCCGACATTCGGCATTTTCTTGCTCTTTATGCAAACAATGAACAATTTTGCTGAAGTTGTTGGGATTTCAAACTTATCAGCCGGACGATTTCTAAATATTTGGAAACATGCTCAAAGAGTAAAATGATTTTATGAAGCCTCGAATGAGAAGTTTTAAAGATAAGAACACAAAGTATTCAGTTAGGGTCAAAGCGACTTCTTTTGAAAGCTCGAATTGAAGAAAAATGTATTTAAGAACGTTATTAAAATTTAAATAAAGCGCAGAAAAAGTAAATTTTTGTCTAATTTCCTATCAAGATGTTCACTTAACATATTTCAAGTTGGATCAGTATTTTGAAACCGCGTGGCGTTTGCCATAAAGGCGTGTGCAACTTGCCTAATTTTGCGGGAAACCAAAATTTCAGTCCATTTTCTTTCACGACCAGTAAAAACTGCTTTTCATCTCTTTTTTAAAGTTTTTGGTCTTTTTTTCATGTCTTATGAGCTTAACTTTTCTCTCTAGCGCCATGACTCATTGTGGTTGTAAAGTCAGAAACTCTGAAAAAAATAGAAAAGAACGTATATTTCGTTTCTGTTTCTGTGTAACCTTGAACCAGTATCAAATCGATAGTTTTTCCGTCGCCCTGCCGGCGGTCAATTTATGCCATTTTTCCTTTTTCAGTCTCTACTTTGCTTCAAAATCACAAGCGCCGCAAATAATGTACGAAATTGTAGATTTTGAAAGCCGGTTGGTATCTATTTTGCCTATTTGAAAGAATTTAAAATTTAGGCCAACCGAAAACGAGTTGAAAGTTGCATGGCCTTACCCTAACTCAAAAAGAACTGTCGAAGGCGGATGTGACGACAAATTGATCGAGAACGTTGCGTTCGGCAGATTTATTATAATCACGGTTTTTTCGGAGTTCAGAAGTTGACTGATCTGAGCGAGAATTCCTTGGGGACTGATGGAGTCTTCAGAGCCAGAATCGACCAAAAGACCCTCCTCTTCTCAAAAGAAATAGAATTCATAGTCTACTTCCAAAAAGGTATTTTTCGATTTGTTCATACGAGTTTTTTTTTTAAATAGAAAGTGAGAATTTCGAAATGGTCGTCGTCCCTCAGTCAAAAGCGATTCTCATTCAACCAGGCTTCCTTTTTGCTGTTGATAAAAACGAGTTGGTCAAAACTTTGAATCGCCAGGTGGGTTGATTTTTTATTCAAACCGTTTTATTGTGAATCTTAGACGAATGGTATAGTTTCTGAACGTGATCAATTGGATAAAACGAAAGAAGTGAAAGAAGTTGCTGGAATCAATGCTTCTTTCGTCAAAGAAACTGTTAGTTTTTGCCATGAGTTTTTTTTTTCAAAATATACATATTTGAGATTTCACTTGCCGATGAAGACAGCTTGAACGATCATAATTTGATCGACCTCGAGAAAACCGATGAGAAATCAGAATTCATCATTACGAAGAAACAACTGAAAATCCTAGCAGTTAGTTCTTTTTCAGTTATGCTGAAAAATGTTTTTTTCTCTGGTTGTGCCTGCCAACTTCCCAGAGAGTACTGAAGAATCTCAAGTTGGAGTTTTGAGAAATACTTTTACAATGGAGTGGGAGGACCATCCTTCCGGCAAGCAAGTTCTGTTCACCGGTGAGTTTCTTTTCCTTGAATTTGGACGTTTTTCCTCTGTAAGGAACTGGAGGCGCCTTGACCGAAGGAAAAGGAAATCCAGGCGTGGTATTCGATCCCAACTCCAATGAAGTTCAAGTCAACGTGAGTCTGATTTTCGGGATTTTTGATCTTCGCTATTTTCAGCTCCTGTTAAAAAGACCCGATGGAACATTTTTCATTTCTTCAAAATCGCCTTTCATCATGTTAGTTGCGGAGTCCGACAAAGATGGCGAGCCGGATAGATCAACTTTGAAAGCCATCAAGTATTATGACTTTTCTTTCTTGGTCTTTAGAAAGATCCAATTTTCTCGCAGACTTGGATAGAAATGATTAAAATTTTGAAAGAAACTGTTTAGATTCACCGACGGGGTTCAACTAAAGGCTGACACTTGGCATTCCGTCCCTTTTCCACTTCCAGATGGTTCTTCGATCGATCTTATCGAAAAGGTCTTTGCTTGACTTCTTCAACTTGAAATTGAATTCAACAATGTTTCCTTCCAGGTCGCCGAGACAAATGCCAACATCGTCATTAACGTGAACGAAGAAGCAGGATCTCCAATGCGAGTTCAACTTTAAACATTATTTTTCTCGTTTCTCTGATAAATTTTTTTTATGAGACTTTCAATGTGTTTTCAACCTTACTGAGAACGAAAATAACGGATTGGTTCATAAAGAGATTAGGCGTCTATTCAGAAGATGAAAACAACGTCAGCCACGTGTTGAACTTCTCGAGTTCACAGATTCTGCTGATGATTCCGTGATATTTTTTGGGTTTGAAATTTTCCAAAAAGTATCGAATCTAAAAATTTTTTTTCTGTTCTTCCTTTATCGCTATGACAAAGTTCCCGCATTTTCAAAGTTTTTTCTGATAGCTTCATCCAGATTCGCATTAGATAACGTATTTTGTTGTTGGAACATATTTGCGCTCTTCGGTAATTCGGATAAATTTACATGATGTTTAAAGAATATAATCCGAAGTTTGAGAGAACTCTCGAAAAGTCGACAAGAAAAAACGTAGCTTGATTTCAGCCCAAATTTCGGCGAAACTCTCACATGGAACCTGAAAATGACAGCTTTGGACTAAACTCTCGGACTAATTTTTCAAAAATTATGTATTTTCGAACCTTGATGCTTTTTGCATATTGTTTTTTTAAGCAAACTCTTATTTTTTGTTATCTTTGTTTAATCTATTTTCGAAGAACGCTGAAAGCTCTCGTCCCGGCTTCGACTTGAAAAATAGGCAGTTTATCATTTCTAGCATTTTTTTTTCTCTTTTTTTCAGCTCAGAACATTCTGAGCATCTTTTATGTGTTCAAAACGGAAAGAAATGAGGAAAAGATATTCATCAAGTGAATACTTGAGTGGTGTCGAAGTCGCTTTGATATTCCTTTAAATAGCGATGCTTCGTACTTTTGGTCCAGCTCCGTTTTTGAGATAAAGTTTTCCAGAATTTTTCATTTTCTGAAACTTTGATTTCTTTTTCCAAGCAATTTTTGTAGTGCTCGAGCGTTGATTTATTTTTTTAACTTCAATTTAGGAATGGTCGATTAGAAGAGCGATCAGGAAAGCCGTTTGACATAAAAGTAAAAAAAGTTATTATTTCCAATCTCTTCAATTCATTTTTACTCTTCAGTGTGTATATTCTTGCATAGTACCTGTCATCCTTTCCCCTAAAAACTTGATTTTTTGTGCTTCAATCCCATTTTCCATACGTATTCTTCTCTCTTCCTCAACTGAAAAAAAGAAAAAGAGTTTTGAAAAGTAATTTCCCGGTAGGAAGGCAAAGTTTGGCAAAAGTTTCCCGACAACCAACCTGTCAGAACTCATCAAAAAGGGCACGAGGAAAAAGCAACGGGGCCAGAATATGAAGAGAAGTGCTACATCGCGTGGTTGATGGCGATTGGAAGGCGCCTGGCCACGTATTTCCGGACTCGGTTGCGTGCTTCAAGGCTCTGAACTAGCCGTTTTGCGACTATCACTCAAAACGTTCCAAATTCCTCTTCGCAGTGCATCACCTACAAGTCAAGAAACTTCCATTTCTTCTCGGCCAATTATATTTTCCTCGGGTTTTTTCGAGTTGCAAGTAATTAGAGACGTCCGGCGTTTCATAAGATTGAGTTCAGAGTTATATTATTTTTTGAACCCGTAATTCATAGTGCTGCTTGATCTGAGGCATCATTAAAACAAACTTGAATTTTGGTTCAGAAAGGAATTTTCTCACAAAAGAGGCCTTTTCTATAAAAATCCTTCTAACCTAGTAAGTTTAGAAATTTTTATTTTTTTCGCCATTTTTTTGTTTTAAAAAGGTTGAAAGCTTCAAAGCGCGAACTTTCAAAAAAATTTGCTTGCCGATTTTTCTGCCGTTTTTATTTTCATTAATTTAATTTTTTTATAGGCCGTCTGATGCTGTATTTTTTTAAATCGCCTTTCTTCGAAAAATATTGGACAAAAAAAGTCATGAAATTTGGAAAAAGTTGCTCTTGTCTCTCAGTTTGAAAAATCATTTTTTTCCCATGTTTCTTGAGCACTTTTTATCATAACTAAGATTTGATTCCAGTAGAGATGAAATCTATAAGTTTAATTCATTTTCCAATGCACAAAGTTCTTCTGTTAATATCATCAGTTAGAAATTTATTTTCACTCTGTTGCGGCCGTGGATCCTTTCGTTTAATTTTGGAAAAACATGGAAGTAATTTCTAAAAAGGCTCAAGTGCAATGGTAACGTCAGCAGTCTGAGAATTTCAAAGGCGACCTTTGAGCCCAAAAAACCAAGATAGCCGTTTTTTTCCAAACCATTTATCTTCATCAAAAAATGATGAAAGTTGTCTGATCAAAACAAGGAAGAATAGGATTTGTAGTCTGTCTTATTTAGTACTTGTAGTTCTTAGTGATTCTTGATGTCCAAAAAACTTCCTGATACATTCATCCATAAAAAAGTTGTAAGCTGAATCTCAAATTCCTCTTATTTTCGATTCTGCCAAACGTTGACTAATCCTTTGAATTTCCAGTCCATATATTTTTCATAAAACCATGAATAAACGCCCATGCGCCTCTTTAAATATTGTCCTCGTTTAATCATGGCCTTGCCAATGTCTGGACCCCCTTGGGAGCTTCTTATATACATATGAGTCTAACAGAGACAATTGCCGGAAGGAAAAGACCTTACCTCTTTGAACACTGGAATTACGTCGCGCACTTCCTGTTTTATAATGCTAAAACGTAGTTTTGCAATTTGAAGAGTGGTTTTAGGAATTTCAACCTTTATCAACTGAAAAGGAAAAAAAATTTACTTTCTGAAGTTTTTTGATTTTGTTTCTGAATTTCTGCGAATCAATCAATGATTTACTTTCAAAATATTTTTGTGGTGTTTGAGTTTATTTTTGACGGTGGTTCTTCCGGAATTATTCTTGATTTTGAGACCTGTTCAATTTTTACCCTCATAAAGAAATCTTTGAGTTAAAAGGAACTTTCTGAAGGCACCAAACTCTATATGAATTTGCACCGTAAATCGGATTTGTGGAATCCTTTTCCACTGCTTTGTGTAAAATGCTATATTCCTAGAAATAAAACAAAAAAACCGCAAACTTTCCGGTGATTACTAGAATAATTTAAAAAAAGAGCTATAGTTTTTTTCTCTAAAAAAAGTCGAATAAGTATGAAAATTGTTTTTCTCGCTTTTTTTAGGATACATTTTTAACTCGTTTGGGGACATTTTTTTATCCCGGTTGAGCTTTTGATGAAACATTGCTGAAGTGCATTTTTGGACCTCCTGATTGCAGAACTAGAAACAAATTCTTGCAATAGATCCTGTTTGATTTATGAAGCTTCAAAGTCAGCGGAATTCCATCAAAACTTCAACCGACGACTAAAAAACGCCCCCTAGTCAGGTAATAACGGAAATCGAAACTAGGATTTTAATCTCCTCCAACAAAATGCGAAAAACTGTTTGATTCCCTGACTTGCGCTCTGAAAAACATTCTAGGCTGTTTGTGCATTGGAGCCAACTTGTCGGCTGATAGTTGCAATGGAGAGAAGCTCCGAAAAGTGGCTCGTGCCAACCGAAATGGCAGTTTTTGGTGAGTCGCGACATGTTCATGATGAGCTCCCAAGAACCCATTACCCGCGCACCGTCCATTCATAATTACCCAACTTTCCGCTTCCTGCAGAACGTTTGGTGATTCGGAAGGGAGAATTGGTAGTTTGACTGCTTTTAAACTGGCTTTTCAGTCTGTTTTTCTGCAGACTTTCTTTTGGAGACCCAAATTTAAAGCACGAAATGGAAATTTTTGACGTTTTGGTCAGGTACTTCCTCATTTTCTTTTTTTATTTTTTAGCCTTACTTTCTTTTTTCATGCTTTTTTTAAATATGAAGACATACAGTACCCTCAAAAACGACTCGAAGAAAAATTGCTGTTATTTCCAACACTCTGATAAAGTTTCAGTTCACAGAAAAAAGCAGCTTCAGAAACTTTCAGGAAGATTGGATTCCTTAAAAGAAAATTGTGATGAAAATAGTTTTTTTTCGTATCTTTTCTGACGTTCGAACTTGAAATAAACTTTTCCTAGAAGTACAGATTTACCAGTATTTTTTCCTATAAAAAGCTACATTCTACTTGAGAACGTAGTGGATTTTAGGGCAAGAATGAGTGAAGATCTTTTCCTCAAGCAATCTTAAAAGCACGTACTCAAAAGTTCAAAAATCCTACTTTTTTTTTTGCAAAAAAATTTTCTGGAGTCCTATTTCAAATAATTCTATGAAAGTATCAAGGCAAATTCCAAAAGCAAAAACTTCTTTTCTTCAAAATTTAGCTTCATAGAAAGCATTCAAAAGTTCATGCTCACATATCCAAAAATTTCCCCGCTCATAAACGATTCTACATATTTTTTAATTGAATCATCCATTTCCTGTTTTTTTCTTGAAAACATAACCGCAAGTTTCTTGTTTCAAAAAAAAAACCGGAAAGAGTGACCTCGCTAATAAGACGGAGAAGTTTAAGACCGCGAGAGCCGGAAAGCAGGTAAGATAGAGAGGGCGAAGTCTCTTCGCAGATCTTATTTCAGTGTTGTTTTTCACGCAGACAAAGAATTGACAGCTTATGGAAAAAGAAACCCTTAAGCCAGACATTTTTTGACCACGAGAAACTTGAATCGTTGTTTATTTTTTGTGAAAGAGCTTTTGATTTTTTCTCGAAAAAAAACGTCTGTATTGTTTATAAAAAGAGAAAACATTGATCGAGTTAAGGTGACCAAAAATGGGCTCACCTTGGACGCCTATTACCGCTCTAATAGAACGCATACATACATGCATAATAAGCCTTGGCCGGCATAATCTTCTCAGTCTTCTTCTCAGTTTCGCCTACTTTCTCTGCTTCTGATAGTTTTGATAATATTCCTGCTAAAAATCTTTTTTTCTATCAAAATTTTGAAATTTTTTTCAAAGATCTTGTTCGGTTTTTTTATGATTTTTGAAACGCCCTTGCTTCAAATCACAATCTCGTTTTGAAATCCTGCGCAGAATTTTTAATTCAATGACGAGAAAAATTTTTCAATTATTCCCTCGAATGCAAAAAAACTTTATAACATGTTTCAAAAATCTAGAAATTTTTTTCTTAAAAAAATGTCGGGTTTTGGAGAATTTAAAAAAATACCTTGTGCCAGGTTGACCGAAAAAAATCCAATTTTTTTCAATTAACTTGCTCCATTGAAGGTTAAAGCATTTTGAATCTTTTTTTCACTGATATTTCTTTTTTTTTAACATTCCAAAGTTGTAAAATGATTCCCTTATCGAAAAAAATTTTTTCAAATTTTTTTTTGGCATGACTCTTCTTTAATCCAATTTCTTCTTTTCTCGGAATTATTCAGTCAAAACTGATCAGCCCCTGACGTCAACCATCATCTCATAATTTCAAACTTTGGAGCTAATGTCCGGTTTATGTTGCAACTTGCAATGTTGCATGACCGAATTTTTAATGAAACTCCTCGTTGAATTGAGCGTTTTGAATAACGTCGACTCTCTTTTTACTTTTTTCCTTCTTTTTGCTCTTTTCATTTCAGGAACTTTTTGCGACTATTGATCGGAACTGTTGCGATTTCATTTTCACATTCATTTTCACTCACCGTAGGGATAACTAGATTTTTCGTATAACTAATCTTGTTGATAAGCCGCGTTCTATTCTGTTCGCGGTCAAAACCTGCCCTCAGTTTAACCTCAAGAGAGTATTTTGCCTCGAGCAAGTTGATATCTTTTCTCAATTTTGAAACAAAATTTATTTTCATTTTCAGAGATCGAAAAATCCAAGATCAAATGTGTTTCCCTATTTTTCTAACAACTTTTTTCTTTGCGATTTTATTTCTTTTTTAATGGTATCCTATTTTAATTTGAGTCTTTCAGATAATGAACGAAACGGTGGAAGAAGAGAAAAACTGTACCTATGTCGAAAGATATGAAGAAATCGACCTTGTCAGCACATACATCTACCTCTTGGTACTTCCTGCCGTTTGTCTAGTGGGCACTCTAGCGGCCTGTCTATGTGTCATCGTGTTCACGAGAAAGCAGATGAGGTACGTCAGAACAATTTGATATGCATGGTGTTCATTAACTTTTTTTTTCGTTCAGCGGGTTTCGGAAACTTTGCTCTTTTTGATTCTTTTTGTATCAAAGTTCAACTTATTTTGAGAAGAAAAATTCACAAAATATCTCAATTTATTGATATGAATTCAAATTGATTCAATTCGCTTTGAGTCTATGCCAGAAATCATCAAAATTGCGACAAGCCCGTAAAATTTTCAGATCGTCGCTCAACATTTATCTAGCCGGGCTATCAGTTTTCGATCTTATTCTACTGTCCTTTAGTGCTTTGATCTACACACCTCTCCAAGGATGTGTTCTCCAGGTATCAATTTTTCTTGAGATCCTATTCAATTTCTTTCAAAACTTCAAAAACTACTTAGTCAATAGATAGAAGAAAACTCAAAATATTTTCAGAGTAGAAAATTTAAGGTTTCAAAGTTCAAAGTCGACTAGTTCGTGTGTCTGAGCTCCTGTGGTAGGAGGACTTTTGTTGATTTCTGAGACTCTCTAGTGTATTGTGATCTCTGACTTTTTTAACAGAATTTATCATAGACCTTTAAAATATGATCAGCACTGGGAAACTTTTTGAGCTCATTTTTTCACCCGTTGAAGTATACATAGATCTTTGGATAACTGATAAGTGAAGGCAAACGCAAAGTAAATTCAATAACGCGATGGCGAATTTATGAGAGTTTGATTATGTGAATGATGAAGTCTATATTTGAGGCTAACACTATCGAGCAGCAGTATGTCAAATATTGAGAAATAGGTTTTCTACTTTTTCGATACCATGAAAAAGATGAAATCCCCTGGAAACATCTTCAAAAAATCATTTTAAGGGTCATGGAGACACTGCGATATGCCATTTTTTCTGGAGATTCACCCCATATTCCTTGCCTATCTCCAATATCGCTCAAGCCGGCAGTGTTTGGACTTGCGTGGCAGTTACTGTAGACCGGTTTCTGGCTGTGAATTACCCACTTCACAGCAAAATTTGGTGCACTCCCAAACGAGCAATTTGCATTTTGGCTGTCATTACCGTTGTCAGCTGTTTGTTCCGGGTGAGAACGTTTTTCTGTTAGAGACGTGTTGAAACTTGGAATGTTCAACTTGTTCATGAGTTTTCGACGTATACATGTGGTTCTTAAAAAACAATCAATATATTCGAAAATTATCTGGCTTGCTCTTGAAAACTCAAAAGGAAGAATACCTTCTCTCCATCTTTAAACAACCCAAGAAAACTGAAGGAATCAGACAAAAACTTTATCTCTGTCTTCGATATAATCCTTAAAAGTCAATGGGTCCATCCTCTCGCGAATTCTTTTTTACTCTGGCTTCAAATAACAGAGAGGCACTAATGACGCTTTTCTTTTTGACTTCCGGCTGTAAAAAATGAGATAATTGGGTGCTGATATGTAGGTCATGTCCTTTTGAGTCATGGAAAAATGAAGTTTGAAACAGGAAAAGGACCGAAAAGACTCTTTTACAACTCTTTGAATAGGAATTTTTCGAAAGTTGAAATTTCTTTTTTGCGATAGGACACCCCGAAATCCGTACAAGAAGCCGTTTGGGGGCTTTGAGCACTAATTAAAAAAAAAAAACTATGAAGTTAGGAAGATTGAAACTTCCTGGATCTTTCTCTAACACAAAAAAAGAAAGAGGGCTTTGGCCAATTTTTTTAAGAAAGTCCCAGCCGAAAAAAATTAAATAACCTCATTACTAAGTTTTTTTCTTTAACCTTTTGAGAAAGCTTTCACTGATGAATTCTTAAGAATGAAAACCAAACGATCTCTAGGCACCGATGTTTTTTTCGAACTGACCACGAACGAATGTGGGATCATCGCCATGACAGGACTTCGGCGAGACGACGACTACAGAAAATATTATGTCATGTATGGATACGTCGCCGTGATCCTTGCGGTTCCCTGGACAGCCATGATCGTTTTGAATACGTTTGTCGTACTTGCCGTGCACAGAGCGTACAAAATCCGCAGGACTATGCAAGGCGGCAAAGCCAATCAAGAAGAAAGGGATCGCAGGTACTTTTGTGATTTCGGTTTGTTGAAAAAAATGCCGGAACGCTCATCTAAATTTTCTGGATTCTTCAAATTTCTGCATTTTTTTGAAAAAAGGAAGCTATCCGTAAAATAATTTATTTTTGAGATACCCCAAAGTTGGAAGAAAATAGCGTTTCTTTAAAATATGCTTAAGGTGTACCTTGATGGCTCTCGCAATGATTTTAACATTTATCGTGTTCAACATCATCGCAGCGGTCAACAATATTGCCGACTCTCTGGACATCAGTTTTTCTGTAAACTGGGGACCAATCGGCAATCTCTTGATTTGCTTGAACAGGTGAAGATTTTAAGAAGTTTTTATTTTGATATTTGGGTTTCAGCGCATCAAACATTGTGATTTATTCATTATTTGGGGCTCGTTTCCGGCAAATGTGCGTCGTCATGTTGTGCGGAAGGAACAGTAACTGGATGGAATGGCTTCGCACTGGAAGGTGAAATTTTGAAGCTGAAAAAAGTTAGAGTCGTTTGAAAATATTTGCGGACAAGGCGTGTGAATATACACAAAAAAGATATTTGTGAAAATGAAGAAAAAAAACTTTGTATTTTCGAAATCGAAGTCCATTAGATTCTTTGCCCTAACTCTCTTCAAAGTTAGGAAATCTCAACGAAACTCGGATATTTTATGAACTTCGGTATATCAAACTGTGCAATTCTGAATTCCAAGCGCTACATAAAAAATTGAATAATAAAAAAATGCAAAAAAATCGACTTTGCACAATTTGAAAAAAAAATTGAAATCAAAGCTTAAAATGATACGAAAACATTGATACTTCACCCGTATGTTGAAACGGCAACCGCACATATTCGGCGAAAATTTGCAAGCAATCCATACAGCTGACAAAAAGTTATGGCACAAAACCACATGGTTGATTTCTTTTTGGACGGTACTGTATATAAAAACTGGCGACCACAGTTTTCCAAATTTCAAAACTGAAAATAAACCTTGATCAATTCAAAAGAAAAAAGGTGATAAAATAGTCTAGTTACAGTTCTCGAGGGATGGTAAGCGACTGGGACGTACGCGATGGAACGACACGGAAAACCAGCCTCGACGCAAGCACCGCTCTTCTCAGCGCAAGGGTTTGAATAAAATCAAATAAAATTCAATCCTAAACTCAATAATCGATAAAAATCGCGATATTTTCAGAGAATGACTATCGTTCATTACGTTTTGAGCGACGTAAGTCTCACCATGGAGTTGATCAACCCCGCATGCTTAACTTAGTTTAACAGTACTAACATTTTCCTAACTAATGAAAACTTTGGTTCTGGAACCCTTTGTGAAACAGAGAGTTCATGTCTCATTTTTTTTTTCAGAGCTCGGGACGTTGGAGCAGAAAGAGTCAGTTTGGAAGAGACGGTTCGATCAGCATATGTGGACGAAGGGATACTGTGCTTTTCTCGAACGTGCCTAGTAGGATGTCCTTGCAGCAGCCTCTTGCCTAAGATTCAGAACTTGCCATTTTATTTTTGATACTGCATTTGCCACGAAAAAAATCCTTTTCAGGTTCATTTTGAATGAAAAAGTGAAGATCTAAAAAAAAAGGACAGCTTTGGGAATGATTCCAAAATGTCGTCTAGGGTTCTATTCTTGGCAAACGCAGTAATTATCATCTTTTTTCATATCAATTGTATCAATTTGAAGGTTTTCACTCTATTAACCGCTAGCTTGAGCCTTAAAGTTTTGATTTAAATTTTTTGGTTGATTGTGATATAACTGCCTGAATCTTTTTTCAAGCCAGCGGTGAATGAACTCCATGGGTTACCTCATCGAAGCTTGGCTTTCTAGTGAAAAAATAGTTGTTTTAGCGTGCTCCACTTGCTCTGAAAAGACGTTCTTTTAAATGTGCATTTGGAGTACGACCCTGCTAGTGTCATTTCAAGCATTATCTTATATGTAATTGTATTTTTCCCGACAGTCCGGGTTATCGCGCATCTGAGCCATTTGAATTATATCATTTTGAAACAATCGCCGGGTTCCGGTTTGGGTATTCTTCAACGAGCCCCATTTTCTCTATGTATCTATCATAACTTTGCAAATCGCTGGTATATTGAATAAAAATCAATTTCTGAAGACACTTGTGGCTATTAACAGAAAATATAGCGTGAAACTGTGAAAGTCCGCCTCGAAAGCTCGACAAAAATATGAGAAAAATCATGCAATGAATAAAATTACAAACTTTTCGCTGATAGGTGCAGCAGGTTTTGAAGAAGGATGTTCAGGTTTTTCTCAAAGATGTATGGTATAAGATTTTAAGGTTAGCGGGCAGTTTTTTTTCCAAAGCCCGGCATTTTCTCTACTCAAGAGGTCACTCTCCGCGCGCGAAGATGGTAACCCCTAGCAACAGAAAATTTAAGCTCCAGAACTCTCCGAAAACTGGTCGACCTTTCTCGAAAGCAAGGCTCTTTTATTCCTGTCAAGGTTTGATTTTCATTCAGAATGTCTAAACCTCAACCGCGAATTATAAGAGTGATCAGCAGTGAGATGTGAGTTTTCTCCTTATATTCTTCAGCTTACATTTCTATTTGATCCAGTGCATTATAAAAAAATAAAAAGGGTGAAAAAAATTAAAATGAAAAAAATCCAATGTTGTGGTAAGAAGCTTTTCAAAAAAATTTTTGAACATCCATTTCGAAATTCAATTTTTTTTCTTAGCATTGAAAAAAATATTTTTTTAAACATAATTAATTTCTTTTTCACTATTTTTTTCAAGAATTTCTTTTTGTAGAAACGATCCTCCACCACCTGAAGAACCGCCAAGAGAAGTCAACGAGGACGTTCATGATGGAAATGATAACCCTCCTGAAAAATCAAATTTTGAACCTGAAACCGCTCCAGAAGAAATAGAGGAGGCTCAACAAGATAATGAAGACAGAAATCCAGAAGATATTCCGGAAGACCCACAGACCAGTGGTCCTACTCGGCGACGATTCAGTTTGCCCAAAATACCGGCTTATCCTTTGGAGAAGAAAGTTCAGGTATAGCTTTTTCTTAACTTGGTATGTTATTTTAACACATAAAATCGCATAAAGCGAGTTTGCTGTAAGAAAAAACTTTGCCAGTGGATTTCCTAATAGATTTCCACTTCGCCTGGCGAGAGTCGTTCTAGGTCGGTTGCGCAGCAAAAATACCGTTTGCGACTGTTTATTAAACTATTTCACATGAAAACTTCAATCTTTGAGTCAGTGCAAATCGAATAAAGAGGACCTATTACTAATAAAAAAGTTTCAGGCTGGAAAATCAGAAATAGACCCTGAGAAACGGAAAAGCATCAATCTAGACATCTACAAGGACTTCAGACAGTCCAATGATCAAAAAGGATACCGATATGAAGATCAAATCGTACATGTGGAGTGCGAAGGTTTCTCAATTTTTTCCTTGTTCCAGTTTATTTTTAGTGTTCTATTCAGCTGCTGGTGGTTTTAAGAAAGTTCATCGAATTAAAAAAATTCATCAGCTTGATTTCAATTCATGAAAACAGAGAGCTTTTTCAGGAAAATTTCAAACAATGAAGAAAGGAATTTTCCAAATTGAGAGGATGCTGGAAAAAGAGCACCGCGAGGAGATGGAAAAAAGAGAAATGTTCGTGATTCCTTCTCGTTTGCACGACATCGGTAGTGCCTATCACCTACAAAGAAGCTTCAACAACTTCAGCTCTATTATTCAAGGTTTTGATGGAAAACTACAAAGAAAAGAATAATTTTGCAGGTTTTCTGGCCGGGTTGACGTTGGCCTTGGCTGTCTTTGCTTTCAACTTTGCAACCGAGGTAGACCATTACAAGCCATTGAAACTGAGAAGTAGAGTAACGTCAGAAAAGATACGAAAAATTGAATTTTCGTCACAACTTTATTGAAAAGAATTCAATATCTCTGAAACTTTCTGGAATTGAAATAACTGTTATTTTCAACACTCTGATGGAGTTTCAGTTCACAGAAAATAACGCACTTTCAGAAAATTTCAGGAAGATTGTTTTCCTTACAAGAAATTTGTGAGCAAATTTGCGTTTTTTCGTATCTTTTCTGATGGTATTGTACATTTGAAAATTATTTTATTCACAAGTTCGAATTTTCAGGATCTTCTGACTCGCGGGTATCGCTGGATGAGCATGCCGATTCATGCTGTTTTTACCTTTGCTTTCACTTTGGGACTTGTCACGTCTATAGACAGGTATCCACGTTTCATAGTCAATCCTTCCCGATTTGAAAGAGATGGGTAGATTGGCAAGGATGAAGCGTTGCGTACGCGAAGCGGCTATCTTGAAAGCGAGTCACATTTTTTGTGTACTTCTTGTTTTTGATAGTTTTTCGATAACTTATTATTTTTCATGGCTTTGAAAAGATTTGCTAGTATCAATTAAAGTACAAAATTAATATAAAGCTCATTTTTCTACACTTTTTCTAAAAAACATGAACTTTTTGCTTAAAGCCGCGTTATGGACGCAACGTGTCAACCTTTCCAATCTACCCATATTTCCTTTCAAGTCAGGAAAATAATGAATGTACTCGTTTGAATGTATTTTTCTCAGAATCGGAGTCTACAAAATGCAACACTTTCTTTCCTACAAACTTTTCTGGGAAGCATTATCGGATAATTCATTCATTGGCATTGTACTTTGGTCTGGCGGCCTTTTTTCAACTTTGATGTGCATTCGTTTCGATGAAGCATTGTCACCTGTGAAGGTAAAGTTAACAAAAAAATTTATTTTTATGTGTAGTCTCTAGCAAATATAAATAAGACTGCTCCATAAAAATTTCGAATCTTTGTATTCGTCGTGGATCTCTTGAGGGAATGGTTGTCAAGAAATGAGCTTTTTGCAGCCTCACTTGATGCGTAAATATTTTTGCTATTAACTTGACTCAACTTGAAATTTTATGGGTATAAAAAAACCAATCTTCCAGCTCCAAAATAATGTTTGCTACTAACCGACATTTCTCTCAAAATTTCATGAAAGATGGAAGAAAAGTTGAACAAACTTTATCCAAAGTTATATACTATTACTGTTCTGACAGGAATTTTTCAGGAAGAAGCTGTTCTGACGCCTTATCTGCTTCTTCTTTGGCGCGTTTGCAGCGTTTCTCGAGCCGTTTGTGCCGCTCTGGGTTGGCTGCTTTTTGCGTTCCGAAATGACGCCGACCTCGTCAGCAGACACCTCAAATTGTATGTCAAAAATAAATCAAAAAATCTGTGAAAAAATTGACAATTAAAAATCAATAAAAACAATCGCCAAGATTTAGAGGAAATTGGTAAATTTAAATAATAGAACTTAGGAATTTCAGGGTGTCCGTATAGGGGTTAGGGGGAAAAAGCAGCCCTATAGGGGTAAAATTGAAGTGGTCCCTATAGGGGACTAGGGTCTGACCATTTAGCCCCTGAAGTTCAAGTGGGCCCTATAAGGATTGGTAAAGTGGTCCCTCGAAAGGAACCTCCTAGGGCCCCTAGAGTAGCCCCTACAGGGTCCACTCTGCAGTTCCTAAGGATCTTAAAATTTCCTTTAAAATCTTCAGACGACGTATTCAAACTGATTTGGAGCGTTTTCTAAACTTTACGGTTTCCTTAAAGCAATAAGAAAGATTCATGAAGTATAGAGATGTTTAATTTGATGATTAGTTCTAAAAAAAAAGGCTGAAAATAACTAAAAAAGATTCTTTTGATGAATATTCGTCCACCCTTAATCATTTAGAACTGGGTTTTTCAGCGCCGTGATTGAAGACGTCAAACATTCGGAAGGCGTGACAGCTGAGAGCATCGCCGAACGGAGGCATCTCACGCTCGAAGCCCTCCGCATGATCTGATGGGAACCAGCCTTTTTTCTGAACTCCTCGTCCTTCTTCCGCAACATCGAGCAATAAATTCGATCATGTTCGCTCTCGAATCTAGAAGCCAATTTTTTTCATCCGTTTTGCAACTGCTGTTTTCGACGTCAATGTTGAAAGAGTCTATATTAACCATTTGTTGGATTTTTGTCGGATCTTTACTTCCGTTCAAAAAGTTTTTGAAAATAGTCTTTGAAAAAAGTTCACCTTGCGAATCTTGATTGCTCAGTTTTGATAAAAAAAAAGTTTGATTCATGGGCTGAAATTTTTTTCTAAAAAAATAAATTCATTCTTCTTAATCTCAGCGGCTACTTCAAACTTTTCAGTTTTTTTAAATTCATTGGAGGTCTTTGAAAGCCGATGCTATTTTTACATTTATTTACATCTGTGTTAGTAAGATATGTGAGAAATCTGACGATTTGTAATAATTTTGAATTTTGGAGATTAATCAGCTTGCTTTGTTTATAAAATTTTGTTTATTAAAGCATCTCCCAAGCCTTGAGATTGTTTTCTTACTAGAATAAAAAGGTCTTGCCATGATGAACATTCAAAAAACAGTTTCCAAGGACTTTCGGAAAAAAGTCTCAAAGACGCTTTTTTTCTGGACCTTTTTCTTATAAAGACATTCGGAGAAGGTAAAAAAAGAAAGAGGGAAAAACAAGGTTGTGACACCTTTTTAGGAACTCGAACAGGCTCTTCTAGGGGCCTTTTTGAGGCCCTTTGGACTTTGCCTTTGAAAATACAGGGAGTACATTTTCGGATGCTGATCTTTTACGTTTTCATATTCTTCTGATCAAAATCTCTAGCAATAAATTCATGTGAATCCTCTTTTTTGTAAATTCCTGATGAACACCAGAAGAAAGTTTCAATCATTTTTTCACTTTTCAGCCTTGACACTCAATTTTTCTCCCAAGAAAAGAAACAGCTCCGACACCAGAATTTCTCTCACAATCTAATGTCGCTAGGAAAAAAGAAAGTTATCAAGGAAGAAGAACAAGCCCATCTCGTTGAAACGGCTGTATAAATCAAAACATCGGTGGGAGACATTTGCCGGCAGCTCGGATAAGCTGAAACGCGGCGGCATGGGGCAATCGGAGGCGGAACGTCCCCACGTGCATTTCCAGCTTCGGACTATCTTCTTGGGGTGTCAAGCTCGCTGGATGAAGAAACTCGAACCCATTTTCCTGTTTCAAAATGTTCCGAAGATTTCTTTGAGCTCCTGTTTGCTCGGAATGTTACTCGAATTTTCCTTTGGTTTTCTAGAATTTTTGTCTCTTTTATCGCTTGGATCTGAGAGATCAGTTTTTCTTTTTCGTTTTTTTCTGGATTATGATATTTTTTTGATTTGACGTTTCGAATCTAATTATGAGCGATTGTTTGACTTTTTTTGAGATAAGAACTCAAAATTTGCTTACTGCGAGAATTCTGATTAAAAGCGCTCAAAACGAAAAAAAGGGCTTTTTGAAAACGAAAAAACTTGAAAAAAATAATATTTTTTTAGTCAACCATTTCAAAAAAATTTTTATTAGAAATCTTTCAACTTCGAATTTCTGTAAATGGAGATCTTCGAACAAGTTCAACGATGGTACAGGCTATTCAAAGGGATGACTTTTATTTTCTATTATCAGTTTAGCCACCTGTTTCCTGAATATCTACTCTCGTTGTCGATAACTAAGTTCGAAAATTTTTTTGAAATCCTCAAAAAAGTTCAAAAATAAAACCAAAAAAAAAACCTATTTTCATGCTTAAAGGTCGTGCGAAAACATACTTTCATAAACTTATGCACGCAAGTCTAAGTACTTGAAGCAAGCAAATTTGTTGAACTTTTTTTGATGATGAGTGAAAAAAATAGTTCAAAGAGCGTGCAACTCGAAAAAATTTTATCACAAGCTTTCTGATGCTGAAAATCAAGCAGCTGTGAAGTTCAAACTTTTTGAGAATAAAAAGTGATGACATCACTAGACTTTGTTTGAGGAAGAGAACGCTTAAAGAGAAATTAAGGCGTAGGTTTTTGTTTTCTCGCGTCTAGTCACAACGAAGAAAAAAAATCTACTGAAAAAGACACTCGCAATTAAAATGTTTTGACAGACCCTAAAATTGTTGTGTGTCAAGAAATGGATCGGCTTTCACACAAGCACACGGAGCGTTGAAATGATAATTGGATTGGATTTCGGAGGGGATGCCTAAAAGCAGCTCATTCTGACGAAAAAGTTGGAAGCGCACTCCTATCTCCTACCTCTTGTGGTCGACGACGACCCCTACTGTAGCCGACGTCGCCTCAAGAGGCTGTCCTTCGTCATAAAAAAAATAGAGGCGGTTTTTTTGGAAACCGAAAATGCGCAAGATATGCTCATTCGTTTTCCAAAGAGACAGGAGTGGGATATACTGGAGGAGCCAAAAGTCTCGGAAAGATTCCTCGTGGTCCTGACGCCTTCAAGTGGTCTCATGTGAAAGCTCGAGGGACCGATTCTTCAGACTTTGTCGACCCGGAGCTTCGGAGAACGCCTGGGTCGGCCTGTCGCCTCACTCATTTTTTAAATTTATTTTCGTCCTTCTCGAGAATTTCTCAATTTCTTCTTGTTTTGTTTATGTTCACTCGTTTACGCCTCACAAAAACTGTTATTAAAGTCATAAAAAATTCGAGAAAGAAAGTATTCGATAATATTGAAACTTTGGAAAGTCAGTGAAAGTAACTCTCTTTCGGAATAATTCGTTAGAATTTCGCATTATTATTCAAAAAAATATTCTTTTTCACAATATTCGCAAAAAGAGGGAACTTGAAACAGAAATATGGTTTAGAACGGTTTTTTTATTTTTTTTATTTTTATTATAACTTAATTTCCCACCTAGGGTTCAATTTGAACTTATTTTTTTATAAGTTTTTTTCTTTTTTTCTCATTCAACTAAATTTTTTTTGTTGTACCAATTAAAGAAGTTCTTTGATTTGAAAAAAGTTGAAATTTATGGAATTTCCTTAAAATGAAGTTTATGACACATCTGTTTTTGATTACTCCTTGAGGATTTCAAAAATGTTCCATGTTTTCCATAAATATTTTGCTAATTGGAGGCTCATTATCTGTTACAGACATCCTTGATTGTCATTAAAAACGACGGCAGACCTGTCTCGATGCACAGATGGATCCAGGAAAGTAAAGAACGCATTTTATTTGCTCGATGAGCATCAAGCCGTCTGGCTTTGTTCGAAGCAGCTGAAGCTTTTGTTTCCGCAACGATGACCGAGGATCAACCCCACATGTATCAAATTGTGGAGGCAGCTCTGCTGATAACTGATGAGTCGACGTTTGCTGAACCAATTTATCACGCAAGTGTTCATCCAAATGTCTCGCGGCTCAAAGCCAATCAGTCACTGTGCGGTTCCGATGTCACATCGACACCTTAAAAACACATTCTTAGTTGCTCCAAATCTCAGGTTTCAAGTGAACTTCTTTAACTTATTCATGTTTTTTTCTTTTCTTTTTTTATTTTTTTAGAAATATTTCTAACAGGCATCTACGATAGTTTTTTTACTTACGTCCAGCTACCATTTTCTTTATGCTTGCTCCTACAAAGTTCATATTCAAATTTCTTTTAAATATTCTGCCTAAATTGCCTTTTGATTGAGCTACAAGTAGTTTTTTTAAGTTGATACCGAGAAACACTTTGATTTCGGCTTTACTGTAAAAAAATAAAAAGATTTTAAAAAAATCAGGATGAGAGGTCAAAACAAAAATTTTTTTTGTTCGTTCTGTTCACTCAGATTTTCTAAACTGAACTACAATTCATTATGGAATGTTTTGTTATGAGAAGTGATGCAAAAAAAAAATCCAAAGTATTTCATAATTTTCTTTCAAAAAAGTTTCTTTTTTTTTTCATCTCTGCTTTCTTCACTGAATAATTTTTTTAAGGAACTTTTGTTCTTATTTTCCTGTCGTTCTTTTAAAAAGCTAATCAAAACCCAGAGTATTACTTTTTCTTTCTTTGGTTTGATAGTTTTGGGATAATAATAATTTTTTTAATAATAATAATTTATTGACAGATCAGCGTGAACCCTAACGAGTTCACTTGGATCTAGAATTTGAGAGAATACATTATACAGTTAAACATCATTTTGAGTCGTGGAGGAATAGACAAGAAGATCTCGTGCAATGGTAGATTGACCAGTAAATTTTTTTAAAGACTTGGGGTGGTGGCTGAATTGAAATTTGGAAGTGAGTTTGTTCCAAGTAGGAATTGTTTTAAAGAAAAAATCATTAGAAAATAAATAAACCTAGTCTGATTAGAAGCTTGTTCAAATTTCGAAAATAAACAGTGGTAAAGTTACTCGGTAACAGCCACAATTTTCAGGACCTTCATCATATAAATTTTAACTCAATTCGTCAGTTTTTGAATTAAAAAAATAACTTGATCCTTTTTTTAAATTCTCCAAAAAAATTTAAAAAAATGAAAACACAGCGTTAACCCTTCAACTTACCCTCCTTTCCAAAAACCTTTTCAAAATATGTTAGAAAGTTTTATTTGCGTGTTTTGCGTGTCGGTTTTGTCCCAAAAACCAAATTGCCATTATTTATTCGGTATTATTATTTTGGCTCAATCGGTTTCACTGCTGCCTTTTCAAGAAGTGTTCATCTTAATCTTATTTTTTTTATCCACGCATAAGATTTCCACCATTTTCTTTTGCATTTTGGATGTTTCTTGCAACAGGACAAACATGAATAATTCAGGATCCCATCAATATTAACTAATGAAAAAACTATTCCTGAATTTTTTGGAGGCGTACTTCGAAGGTGCAAGAGAAATTATCTCTCGAAGACTATTAATTCAGTGACGTCGGGAGAACTTTTTCATGTCGTCATGTATCAAATTTGGAGAGATGAATTTTTCGGCACAGAAATCAGAATCAGAAAAAGCAACTGGAAGGAAAGGATTAAATTTTCGTTTTGAAGTATACCAGAAGTATCATAAAAGAAATTAATCCAGAAGGTTTTTCAAAGAAGAATTTTGATAATAATTCATTTCCGAATTCTTCAAGAGATATAATCGTTCCGTTTAACTGATCCATTAAAAGGAATTAGGAGAGCCGGAGAAGCACAAAAATGTCACCTTATTTTGTAAAACCTGAAAGATATGCTCTGTAGACCATTTCAAGCATATTACGAATAAATATTCCCCTTTTCTCCTAGTTTAGAGCATTGTTCCTCTTTTTCAAAGGCTAATGAAGTGGTCCAAAAGACCTTGGGTTCAAACGAATCGGTCATCATATAAACAAGGACATCTGGGGACCACATTGCCCTGGAGACTCACAAGGATTCTCATAAGTTTCCGGAGACTCGTGAACGATGCGGAAGCATGGCGAGATTGAACCAAATCTTGACAAGAGCGCCCTCGTTTTTTTTTACTACGTCTTCTCTTTTCTAAACGCCTCCAACATGCAAATGAATGTTTCGCTGCCAGTGCCTTTTGTGTGTGTCTGGTGGAGTCATTAAAAGTTTGATTAACCCTTTTGCTGAAACCCTTCCTTTTAACAAGGTCTCTCTTTTTGTTCAAATCCGGGATGAATGAAATGAAAACTTTGCAACACTCGAAGCTGCAGAGCAAGTCGAGCCTTTTTGATTTTCTAGATGTTTATGACACTAAATGGTTCATTTTTTTCAAATATGTGTCTCTACGTGGTCAAGATCATCACCCTTTACATCACTGTACATCAAAGAAATTTTCATTCCTCTTTTCAAAAAATGAGCGGCCTGAAAGATGGAACACTCTCTCATTTGCGTCGACCTCATCGTTTTGTAGAGGAACTCTCTTCATTGGGATGAACGGAGGCGTTGCGTCTTCCACATCTGTTATTAATACTAATATAGTGCTTTAATAATTGCGGCTGCACTAATTGCCTTGGGCCTGCAATCATTCCATGTGTTTGCACTTGACGGCTGCTTCGTATCATGGTATTTTTTTTCTTTGGGTGGCCTTTTTCTTGACGAATCATACCACTTCCTAGTTCGCCATTTTAATTATCAAACCTTGTGAAATGAATTCGTTGCTTTCTGTTTTTCCTGTTCCTTCCTTCAATTATTGGTTGGAAAAAAACCATGGCGTTTTCAAAATTAAATCAGAAAATATCACAGTAGGCCATTGAAAATCAGGCAACGTGTAGCTCGAACTATGAAGAATCTGGCTCCGTGATCTTAATTTCGGAGAAGTTGATCAACAAATTTGTGAAATTTATGATTCCAAATTATAGACAATAAGAATGTGCTCTAACACATGTTAATATGAAAAAATTGGGGATGCGGTGAAGCTTTACAGCAATTTTCGCTCTGCCTACCACATCCTATAAAATTTCATGAGGCGATTTTCCTTGAGGACAACCTAATTTTCTCGAGCTTTATGATCCTAACTGCTATTTATGAATGTGAAATTCTTAGCTCAAATCGAGACGTTTGCTCAGAAAAGGTTGCTAGACGCTAGATTCTATTGACTGGAAAGGTCTGAAGAAAGCGGAAGAATTCATTTCGAAACGGCGTTTACTCTTTAGTGGGTCAGAAACAGCTCGATTTTGTTAAAAATGCCTTTTTTTGCGTGTTCCGGCCACTTTTAGAGCATTTCGAAGCGCGTTTTCGGCTGGCTGGCAGCGATGGCCAACCACACAATCTTGGCACCATCTTGTCGATGATGACGTTTGTTGTCATTCTGGCGCTTCTCCGAGATTTCTACGCCTTCTCTCGCTATTTTCGAGCTTTTGTTGCCTAATTTAGCACATTGTCAAATAGGATTCTGTTTGCTCTTTGCTATTTTTTGATCTCTCGAGACCATATTGAATTTTAAAGATAAAAACGGAGCTGTTCCTCTTCAGACTTCAGTTTTTTGGGTTCTCGTATCAATCTCTTCAGAGTGAGAAGTTCAGTAGATTTCAGCCTTTTTTAGGGATCAATAACCTTTTTTCTTCAAGTTGAAATGACCTAACTTTAATTCTCAATCTTAGGGACAGAAAACAAATTAGAAATGTACCTGAAGCATTCTTCTTCCAGGTGTAACTATGAAAATTTTGAGTTGAGCTCAATTTTTGTGAGATTTTTGGAAAGTACTCAAAAAAATATTTCTCCGATTATTGTATTAAACCAAAAGCCATCAGAAGTCCTATCTGAAGCGACTGTTTCAAAAAAATTTGAAAAAAATTTCATTTTTTTCACCGAGTTTGAGTTGAAATATGGCGTCATACGTTTGTGCATTGTTTCTTCTTGCTCAAGGAAAATGAGTTGCAAATGGGCGTAGGGCCTCTGTCGCATTCTGAACACAACTCAATCAGCACCCTCCCCACGGAAAGATTTGCCACTTTGAACCGACGGTCGTCTAAAATTCTATTTTGTCATCTTTTTTTCACTACGTTCTATTTTTCTGGTGGATTTTCGTGCTAAGATCTTAAGTTTCAGAGAAAATAAATCAGGGGCAGTGCACTACAAGAAAGTCATTGTTTTCTATGGCTTCGGATATTTAAGTAATTTGCTTGAATATTTCAGCGACTGGTGAAAAAAAAGAAAAAAAGATTGTACAGAAGTATGAAGAGCTTTTTAAAACCGCTCCGTTAGAATTTGAAGCTTTGAATTTGGGGTTGAAGCCGTGTAGACTTCTAATATATATCTAATGAATCGCGCTCAAAACAATTGGGAAGCTTAATCACTTCCACTTCGTTTAAAAAACCTTTTTGATAAAACAGAACCTTGGATTCATGAAAAAAAGTTTTGTAAAACGCCGTATGTATTTCTTGTCTCTTTATTAATCAAAAGTTTGAGATTCCAGAGAAAAATGAGGCTCGCGCTTTGTAAATTATACTCAGAGGAGTTGCAGAAATGACGGTGTCTCAAGAAAATTTCACGCGTCGTGATTGGTCTCCGCCTTGAAACTGGGGGCAGTCAGCTTGAAATTTGCCTGGCTGTTATTATCTCTACTTGGAAATCTTTTGCTTTTTGGAAAAGTCAACATTTTGCGAGTTCCCATCTTATTTCTCAACCTTTCTTACCTGAAGTGTTGACGGAAACTGCTTGAAGAAAAGTCCAAAAGGCCGCACCCATTCCCACGGCTTTCTCAATTTTTTCGGACATCCTGTGAGAACTCACTCGCTGCCGCAATCTCAATGTGTTCTTCCAATAAACCACCACGGATGATCCACCGATTCGATGGAGCGTTTTCTATTTTACGTCCAGCTTTTTTTTTCGATTCAGTTCGGCAGCTATTTGCAGATAAACCGATGGAGTGATGTCAGAAATGGACGAAATCGAGCAATTCAACTTGAGCGTTCCAGCCGGCTGTGACCCGGATGACGTCATCTATCAGTCTCTGAAGCAGCTTCTCTATCATGACATAATTGACACACCAATCAACTTCAATGGTTGCATGCCTCAGGTTCTTTTTGCTGGAAAAAAAGTTTGAAATTCATTATTTCTCAGTGTGGCATGTGCTACCGTGGATCCAAAGAATGGGACTACATCCTGTTTAATCTCGCAGTCGTTGGAATAATTCTTCCAACTGTTGGTGTTTTCGGCACCATCGGCAACGGGATATCTGCCTACATATACAGTAGACCAGGTTAGTCATTTTTCGATTGAAAAAGGGGTCAGAGAATACGAAAAAACTTATCGAAAGGGCTAGTCGAAAGATTTATCTGTAAGGACAACGCCTTGAAGTTCAAGAAAAACCAGGAAAGAAAAGTTTGAAATGAGCCGCAGACCTTCTAGAAGAAGCGCTAGAGTTGATTGAACTATTTCTGAAAACAATCCGAAAATCTCTCTCTTCCAAGCAAAGCCAAATGTTTCAGAAATGAGAAGCTCAACAAATTTTTACCTGTGTGCGTTAGCGTGTTCGGATATGGGTGTCGCTTTGACTGGAATTTTCCTTTTTTCTTTAGAAACCTACAGAACTTTTTCATTAACTGTTACTCGATTATCCGGGGTGAGTTTCAAAAAATTTCAAGGTCATGAAAAAACTTTTTCAGTTTTTCTCAATCATCGTTTATCCAATAGGCATGATTGCCCAGACTTGCTCTGTTTATTTCACCATGTGTGCAGGGTTCGATTGTTTTGTACAGGTAGGTTTTGATTATTTTCCAGAACTGATGAAGTGTAAAATGAATTATATACCGATTTCAAAACCATTTGCCTCAAAAAATGGTATTCTTGGTTTATATTTTGATTAATGAGTCAGCGATTTATCATTTATAAGTTAAGGAATAACAAGACTTTTCCAGGTATGCTTGCCCGAAAAAATCAGTCGAGTGTTCTCAAGACCGTGTACTGTGCGATTTTTCGCTTTTTTCGTTGTTCTGTTCGCAATACTGTACAATGTGCCTCATTTCTTCGAAGGATTTGTGATCGACTGCTATCACAAAGAAATGGGCGGAATGTCGAAAGAAGTCTGTCCTACAACTCTCCGTTATAACGAAGTGTGAGCTGAGGCTTGCTTTTTCAAGTTCTCCTGGTTATTTTAGGTATCAAACAGTCTACTACAAGTACATGTACACCGTCTTCCTTGCTGTCGGACCCTTGATAACGCTCATCATTTTGAATTCATTCATTATCGGTTTTCAATCTTAGTTGACTTCTAAAAAAATGCATCTTTTCCAGGGTTTTCGGTGTTTGGTTCAAGCTCAGGAAATATGGACGACACGATGTCTTTGGTAGTTTTGATCAAATTTATCAAATATCGTGGAAAATTCTCAGGTTCTTGTCGTTCTTCTCTTCATCTCGTGTAACACAGTCGCCTTGATCATCAACATTTTCGAAAGTCATTTATCGGAAAGTTTGGGAAGTAAAATCAACTACATAGTGGATGTCTCCAACTTTCTGGTGGTCTTCAATTCAAGGTTTGTTTTATTGGGGTCGAACTGAAAAATGGGTTTCTGTGTGAAAATGTTGAAAGACAAGCCGTTATGATGGCAATAAATCTTTTTCAATTTGGCCAATGGGATTGAGACAAATGTTCTTTTGGAAATGAAGCCTTTCCTGAGTTTTCATTGACGATTTTTTGAAGTACAGCTGATCAAGCTTTTTTTTGCCTGCCTGAAACTTTCACTTTCGATGGAATCACAGTTATCATAAAGCTAATTTATAGAGACTTTTGAAATTCACAGCGATGAATTTAAGAAAAAAAATCTGACTCGTTTCACGTACAAGTTTAAGAAGTTCATTTTGAAATAAGAATTAACAACATATAAACCTTCAATGAGAAAATTTTCCAAGCATAAACGAGGCCTTTCAGTTTCAACCTCATCATCTACATGAAGTATTCGCAGCCCTTTTACGACACTTTCCGTATCTACTTTGGTCGGAGAAAGCAAAAAGCGGACTCTCCTGGTCCCGGTCCTCCAATTATGATCACAGAAAAGGCCAGCAAAACCAAGATCTGCAAAGAGCGGCTGTCGCGGCTTTTGGTCGCATCTCAGCCCGAGGTATTGATATGAAGCGAGGTGCGTGTGTTTGATTGTCTGGTACCGTTTTTTTTTTTGAAGTGAAAGTCTCTCATAAAAGCTTCGAGTTGAAAAAAATGTTTACAAATTAAAAGGGAAGTGAGAACTTTGTTCTATTAGTGTGTGAAAATAACGTCAAAAAAGTTGTTTCTCAACACGGCGATCAAGAAATGCGTTGATATTAGTCAGCGTGAGAAGAAAGTTAAATCCAAAGAACATTCGCAAAAAAAGGGATTTCCACTGTCGACAAATGTGTGTGTGTTTTTCAGTAAAAGCATTTTGTGAAAATTGACCTGCTGGTTTTCATTAGATTTATTGACAGTTTGAAGTGAGATTTGATTTGTTTTCGTGCAATTGAAAATTCAAGTTTGGTTTGTGAAGCTTATGTGGTTATTAAAGTTTTTGCAGTGACTGATCTTCAAAGTAGAGTTCAAGAAAAGTTCTGTTTCAGAATAGCACAGCTACAAAAGAAGGCTCTAACGATGTTGTATAGACTGCGTCGATGTCTCTACATTTCAAACTTCAAACCGATATGTGATAAACGACGCTTGAATAAAGATTATCATTCTGATTTTTTCTTTTTCAAATAAAGATTGATTATCTTCATTTTGTCAACCTAACATAAATATGTAGTTTGGGTTTGAATGGAAAAAGAATTGATTCTACACTCTGTCAAGTACGATCTTTTATTCACGAGGGAGGTAATTTTACTTTGTGGTTAGGAATACATTAAAATTTGGCGAGATTATCTCTTACTGTGATTTTGAAAGATCCTGAAAGACTCAACTTGCTAGTTTTCGAAAACTAAGTGCTGGAACTCTTCATATAGCCGATTTTTAAGGTTTTCCGAGGATTTTTCCAACTTTGAGGCCTTACTTCTTAAAAACTATGAAATTGTGCAGCTTGAGACTTCCAGGATCTTCATATGGTTCATAAAGAAATATTCTGACCACTTTTCAGGAAATTCTCAGCGTAAAATGACCTCCCTTGTCAGTTTTCTGAAAAAGATAAGAATAATTAAAAAGAAGTTCAAAGCTCTTTTTGGATTTAAAAGCTTTTACAACTGTGTCGACGGGTTCCTACATGAAGTGTATGAAAAAAATACTTTCAATTTTTTTAATCAGAAAAAAACCCGCACATTTTTTTGATTCAAAGAAGACAAAATATCAAAAAAATTTTTGAGAAGGTGATTTGAAATTGGATAATAAAATTGATCTCATAGCTGTCTCTTATGGGAAATCACTGGACAAGTGCTACAGAAACTACAGAAATTTTTTTCAAAAAAAGCTCAGGTCGGATGGTATTGGCATTAAGAATGAAAAAAGCTTTTTTTGATGCATATGTTCCCATTTATCAGACGAAAAGTTGGATATTAAGTGAAATTTTGTTAAAAAGCAACTTTTCATCCACAAAAACATCCTGAAAGGAAGTTTCATCAATAACTAAAGAAAACAATCAGGCGTTTTTCGTTTCCGATATAAATGGTATAATTCTCGAAAATTTCCAAATTTTGTAAGCGAGCGAAATCGTGCACGCACACTGGCAGAAAATCGCAGAGTTGCGTCAACTTGGTCGGAGGCTAATCCTTTTCAACTGTTTCGCTTCATTTTGTTATTTTCTCTCTGTCTATCATTTTTTTCGAAAGCTCCCGTTTTTTTTAAAGCGGCAATGAAAAATTACGGAAACTTTTTTTACATAGTGAAAAACTTTCATAATTACTTATTTATTTCAATTTTTCCAAAAAGTTTGAACATGTGAAGAAAAAAAGGATAGAATTGATAACCAGGAAAAAGTTCTTTAAATTTTTGCAAGAATAGCTAACAATTTTTCACTAATCAGATTTGATAATTTTAAAAAGGAAAAATTAATGATCTTTATCGATTTTTTTGTCGGTTCTTAGCCGATAAAAAAATTTTTTCGTTCGTCTAAATAACTATGAAAGATGAAAAAAGTTGTATAACTTACGGAAAAAAATAAATTGACTCGAGAAAGGAAAAATAAAGTTTTTCCTATAATCCTAAGTTTTTTTAACAAGATGATTGCAAATAAAAAAACTCGTTCAGGCTAAAAAAAAAAAGATTCTAATCATAAAAATAAACTGTCAAGTTTTTTCATCTGTAAAATCTTCGTTCCATCGGTAAAATCCTCGTAAAATATCAATTCAAAAATAACAGTAAGGTAGAACAATTACGTAAAACAAAAAAATAGAAAAAAATTCTTGTATTATACTTCGAATCAAAAGTTTTATGGGTTTCATTTTTTTAAACGGCTACAGTCAACTTTCAAGGAATGTTTGCCAAAAACTGCCATTCAAATGAAAAAGAATTACAATTAGAAAAACCCTATTTTCCGTGAATTTAATGTGAACCTAATAAACGTTTAAAAAAAAAATTAAAAGGTTGGATGGCCCAATTGACGGACGCCTCATCGGCCAGTGCCAACGTCGGCGGGAGCAGTGACACGGCGTCGACGAGCTATCAAACCTGTGAGTTCTTATCTTTCGTCCGATAGTACACATTCTCTTTTTCCTTGTTGTTATTTCCTTCTAACTCCATGTCAGATGGTTACCTAATCACTCAGAATCTTAACTATGTCAAAAATTGCAGATGCGGATCTCAGTGCAGAGCAAGAATATTTCCTCTATGAGCTCGAAACAACAGATTCTAGCAGCATGGGCCTCGTTTTACGGTTTTTTCCACTCAACGAATAAAATAATAACTATTTTCCAGAGCCATCTATGACTGCGGAGACGTTCACAAGTTCAGCCGTGCTCTTCAGCAAAGAATCCATCAATACGACAAGAACATTCAGAAGGTAAACTTCCAGAAATTATCCCCATAAAAAAGGAAATCGAAGGTTTGCGCGTTCCACTACCAGGGCTTCGTCGACTCAATGAAGGAGCTCATGACTTTGAAAGATCAGTGTAGAGAAATAAAAGTAAGTTCTGTGGAGTTTTTGCTTGTTTATAAAAATGATAATAACTCAGAAAATCGAGTTTTGGTAGAGATATAAAAAAAAGGGAACGCCAAAAACATTGACGTTAAAATTGGCTCAAATTTGTTTTTGTCCCGAGCTAGCGGCCAATCGACTATTTAATATTTATATTGGACAAAAATTTTTCAGGAAGATTCTCTGACGATTGACGCCGAAGTTCAAAAAAAGCCAGTGAAGAAATCGCGCAGAAAAACCGAGGAAATCGTAAAATACAGGTTTTTTTAAAAACATTACATGGTTTTCTAAAGTAATATAATATCATTTTAGGAAACTCATGAAAAAAATGCGTCCACGGCCATCGATCAAATTTCGGTGTGCCTGCCAGTCTTGGAAAACTATTCAAAATTGCAAGAGCTGATGAATATGAAAAAGTGCGCTTTTTTTTCGAAAAAAATATATTCATAACATTTTCAGGTACTATCAAGCTTTGAAGGTCCTTGAAGAGCTTGAACATACTCATCTTGCCCTTGTTGAGAAATATAGGTTCACTCAAGTTCTGGCAAAAAGTATGTCTCCTGTTAGAGTGGAAATCAAAGACAAGGTTCCATTTTCACGAGAAAATATAGTATCGATTTTTTCAGGCTTATTCTGAATTCAAAGATTTTCTCGAGAACATCAAAAAAGTTGCTGGTCGTATTGGAAAACACGCCAGTCGTTGTGTAAGCTTTTTTATTTTTCAAACGCAAAGATAAAAGGTTTTTTTCTTTTTCAGACCGCGGAACAACACTCTTTCGGAATAAGCGACGCTGAGAGGACTCGAAAGTTGCAGGAAGAAGCTAAACTGTAAGATTCGAATTTTTCTTTTGAGATTTTTGAAGCAAAGTATAAACCACATTTTATCCTACTTCACTGTTTCATAAAGCTTTTTTTAACCTAATAAATAAGTTTTCAGAAACTCGGGACGAATGGAAATTCAAGTTTCTGCTGACGGAAGCATCGTCAAGAAAAAGTTCCACGCCTCGCAAATCTGTCACCCAAGAAGTTCTTGAGGTAAAGTTTTAAAAACTCAATAAAATAATTCTGATAAATTGATAGGACGATGAACAAATGTCGGCCCAAGATCTCATCGATTTCACGCCGGTTCATCGGTGCTGCCAAATTTTCAACGTTCTTGGAGCCAAAGAAGAGTTTGAGCAGTATTACAGAGAACAGCGCACAGAACAGTGCGAGCTCGTCATTTCCCCAGCTCAGGTGATTTTTTCAAGAATCTCTGAATAAATCTCGAATTTCAGCTAAAAAACATCAAGGATTATGTCAATTACTTGGACGAGATTATTGGTTTCTTCGTTGTTGAAGATCACATTTTGATCACGGAACCAAGCCTTGTGAGAACAAAAACATTTTTTGGAATTTTTATAATTATTTTAGGTCAGCGCTGCTTACAAAGATAACTTGTGGGAAATTGCTCTGAAAAAAGTCATCAATACGCTGAATTTAAAATTCGTAAGATTAAAAAAGATTTTCATAAAATAAACCAAGATATTTCAGGGAGGCTGTCCAGACGTTGAAATGATGCTGAGAATGAAAAAAGTAATTCTCCTCTTTGTTTTGACAATGAAGTCCTACGGTTATGGGATAATACCGCTTTATTCACTACTTCAGAACTTCAGGTTTCCCTCCGTTATTTGAATTTTCATTATTTTTTTCTCAGAGATCAATACAATGAAATTTTGATGAGCGAGTACTGCGCGCAGTTTGAACGAGACCTTGAAAGAGACAATTACACTCCGATCTCAGTCAACAGCGAGGAAGAGTTCAAGGCGGTCATTCGTCAATTTCCGTTCTACAAAAGAAGCATGGAGCAGGTTTGTACCTTCAATAAGTTTTTGGGAAAAAATCATACTTTCAGGAGCCCTTCCCGCGTAGATTCCCTTTCTCGCGATTTGTCATTTCTGTCTACAATCAAGCAAAATCTTACTTGGTTGGCTGTTTGAAGTTCATGGAGCATCTCCAGTTGAACAACTCCGAAGTTGACGACACTGTGAGGAGGTCAGACACATTCCATAATTTTTTACATCGCGAAATTGCAGATATGCCAATGTCTTGCTGGCACGATGGTCTGGAAGTTTGAAAAGTTTTGTACTGAAGAAAATTTCCCTCGTCCAGGTTTAAAAAGTACAATTGGTTTTATCTTAACTTACTGTTAAGCTCGTTCAAATCACAATCAACATCGGTTATCTGGAGAAGTCATGCGAATCACTTGGACCTTTCATCACTCGTCTGACAAATGGCGAAGACGCTATTGGAACAACTTCTCATCAAGTGGTCTTGTCGGAAAGAGTCTTCAGGGACGCCAGAAGCGAGGTTACTATGTGGCCAAATTTCTCGATTTTCACTAGGAAGTTTTGAACCAAAATCAACCTCTACTGATAATCTTCTCTTCCTAACATTTTGAAAAAACTGATCATAAGTAAAAAAAGTTCTAGAGACAACCTGTTGCAAAAAAGAAAAATAATTACCCAGGTCGAGCAACAAATCGATGAGTGTATCCGCGACAAAGTGGACGCCTTCATTGAGCTGGCGAGCTATGACTGGGAACTTCCAGCTTCTTCTGGCCATGCTTCGGACTTCATTTCTGACCTCATCAACTTCCTTCAAACCACTTTTGTGTCTTTCACGAACTTGCCTTCTCAACTCGCTCGACACGTTTGTATGCAGGTTTGATTGACCAATTTTCCGATTGACTTCAAATTTTCTTGAAGACTTGCAAGCACTTGTCCCAATGCTTGTCGGAGCTGTTGCTTTCGGCAGAAACAAAGGCTATATCAACTGGAGCCTTGGACCAATTCAGTTTGGACGTCATGCAATGCGAAATGTTCACCGCCAGATGCCCTGTGGCCGGATTTGACCACCAAACTTTGCCTATGACTTTCGCTCATCTGAGGTTTTACTGGAATTATAATTTTCATAATTTACTTGATCTTCCAGACAACTTCTGGACCTGGTAATGAGTGCCGATTGGACAACTTATCTAGCGGAATATGGACAGGAGAACGGAAAATACGTACGCGTAAAAGCTTCAACGGCTATCATTGTGCTTGAAAAGTTTGTAAATCGTCCAAAAAATGTCACAGAGTTTATTTAAAGGATGATCGAGTTTGAAAGAAGAGGAGCTGGCTTTTTCGGCATCAACAAAGGCGATCGAAAAAAGCTTCTGGACACGATCATACGACAATTGCGCAATTTATCAAACCAATGATTAATATTTTTTAGCTTGCCATTTTAAATGACTCTTGGCGCCCTCTATCAAATGTGAATTTTATCAAATTTTTCTCATATTTTTTTGATTTATCTAATATAGCTTGCAGTGATTATCAATGAAAAAATCAGAACTATTCGTTTGCATTCAAATGATGAAGTCTCAAGCAATATGAAAAAAAAGTCAAACTGTTGCTTAAAATTTGGTTATTGCATTTAAAGGATAGTCGGGAAGTTTCGATGAGGCTTTAGAAGAAAAAAACTGTTTTAAAAAATCTGAATTGGGTTCAAAAAAATGCAAACTTTTGAAAAACACAAAAGCGTCTTTTTGAAGGAAATAGATAATTCTTTCAAAAAGGCGGATTGGCTATTTGATATAATAATTGACCTTGATTTATGATGTCCGAAGATAACTTATCTGTTTCAAAAAGGTTTTTTTTTTCTTTTTGTGGCACTTTTTCACTGCAAAAGCTACACATTTTTGTGAAGTTTTGATCCGAAAAGTGGGGTAGGATTAATTATCATGACTTTATTTTCAAATGAGAGTTTTCGAAAAATCGAGTTTTCTGTAAAGAACACAAAAGTCTCCTTTACACCTATAGCTGATCACGACAGGAAACATGAACTGTTAAATGCAACGGAGAGATCATTTCCGGCAAACAGGTCCTGACAAACTCCCACAATCAGTCATAATGGTCTCGATTGGATCACACGATAAGAAGACCTAAGTCAAGTGTTTTATTGCGCTTTTCCGTGCCGCCGTCCGGTCCAGTCGTCGCAAAAAGCATGAGGGGAAGATGAGCGCCCCACCGACGGAGACAATGTACATGCATCGCGGATGTTTGTCCGCACTCGCGGACGACGGCAAACGTCCCTCGGCTCCTGAAATTTTGCTTATCGATTGATTTTTTTGTTTCATGGGCTTGTTTTTTTGAATAGTCCTTTATTTGAACTCTTTTGATTTTCCGAAAATTGAGAGCAGAGCTGTAGTGAATTAAGAAGGAGTGCAGTGGTCATGTTTCAACTACGATAGATCGATAGCTCCTATCAGATTCTAACAAGTTGATAAATATCAAAAATTCTGATAGATTTTTTTCTACATTTTTTTGTAGTTTTATAGCTCTCGTACAAAAAAACCGTTTTTTTACTCGTGATTCATTGAACTTGTGAAATTTCTTCCAAAAAGTTTTTTTCTGAGAAAGAAATTCCAATAACTCATGTGCTATAAAGTCTGAAACTTTTATATTCACATGGATTCTGAATTCCATGGTTTTCACGACATCTCGGAATTTTTTAAAGCAGCATCATGGGACCAACTTTTAAACGGCGATTTCTTTTATTTTATTTTTTTCTATTTTCATCAATATTTCTCAAAGTAGTTCTTTATTCCAAATTTTATTCCGACCTCAGTCCAAAAAACTTTTTTTTCGAAATTTCATATTTGAGATGTTGTCTCAAATTGAATTCTTAAGCTATTTTGTTTCTGCCCGATCCTTTTTTTTTGATTGGTTTTAAAGAAACCTTCTCAACTTTTGAATTTTCTTTTTCTCAATGTTGAAAATCCTATTGGAAAAATCCCAATATTTTCTCGAACAAAACAGAATGACCTCTCCCTTAATATCTCAGAGTTTATTCGTAGTTGACCCCGAAACATCATCTGGATGCGCTCTCAAAGAATATCGCAAAACTTCTTACATCTAGTCTTTGTTTCGACATATGGAAAAGCTTGACATTGCATCCAAAAGTCGGCTGACCTCGCTTCTACGGCAATCCTTTCATCTTGTAAACATTCCGAATAGAAGAAACCTAACTTTTTGAGCTATACCGGAACACATGTGGTCCGCAGAAGTCTGCTGTTGGAGGAACATCAGAAGTGGATAAACAATTTTTTGAATATGAAAAAAGCAGATAAGCTGGAGTTGAAAATTTTGAGACAGATCATCGTTTTTTGGAATTTTTAAGCAACTGAGGTAAAAGAAATACTCATCGGGTGGGATTTGAGATAAAATTGTCTTTTTGAAGGGCTTTTTATTGCGTGTCAAACGGTTTTAAAAACTTTAAAAGACATTGCTTTTATCTGAAATCATGTTTTTACTGCCCATGCGCTCCTGATTAATTTAATTTTTTTTGCCCTTCATTGATTTACTATTTTTTTTTCAATTCTCAAGTTGTTATTTAATGTTTAATGGTTCAGAGAACGAACCGCAGATGGCTTTACAGTTGCTAAAACGACCGCGACCTCTTCCATCATTCAAAGACGAAGAGAAAGGAATTCACGCTCAATGGAAAATTAAAGTCTGAATTTTTCTCATTTTTCATAGCTTTTTGTGTTTTTCCAGGGCTACTACTACAAAAAAGACGGTTTGCCGAAAATTTCAATCAGAGGCCAAGCACGTGTACAGTACGCGCAGCTGGTTATTGAAGGAAAACTGCCAAATACGGTAACGAAAAAAGCACTGGTAAGTTTTCCAGATGTTTTGCTTTAACAAAAAATTTTTCAGGTTAACATAGGCTATATTGAGAATTCGGGCGATATTCTTGACATCCGCGGATGCAATTATAGACTTCTTATATTTGGGGTGGATCATGTAGAGGTTTGTTTTTTGTCAATTCGAAGTGTGCTCAAATCACAAAAAATGATCAAATTGAGATAAGCCTGAGAATTTTTCACCGATCATGTAATTGAAAGAAGTTTGTTCAAAGATGCTTTGGGGGATTTTTTTGAACTGTTCTATCCAGTTACTTAGATTATGTCGTATGCATTTTGGGCTTCCAAACTTCAAGCAAGTGAATTTATTTTAATAAGGATCTTCAGAGCTTGAAACATATTTTCAACAATGCTCGAAAGTTCGTTTTATGCATCTGTAGTTGAAATGAATGTTTCAAAAAAACGTTTTGCAAAGATTATTCTGAATCACTTTTTGTGATTAACATTATTCTTTGAATAAAACCTTTTATCATGAGATTTTTCATAGTTAATCTATTTTTAGTCAGGACAGCTTAAAGTTCCCCATTTGACAAGCGGAAAGTTATAGGCTATTCCGCGCCAGCTTGTCAAAATTTTCGTTTTCATCCGAGCAATCGTTCCATTCGAAGCGCGCGGAATTTTTATCTGCCTGCCTCTTATTTCATTTGGTTCAAAATTTCGGTTGTATTAATGGCGCAGGCAAAGATAATCTCGCGTACTTCGTAGGGAGGAGTCCTGGGCTCTGTAGCTCGAAGGTGAGCAAAAATTGTGACAAGCTGGCGTGGGATGTGCTATAGAAGAAAATTATTTTAGTGTTCTTCCTAGCAAACATCAATACAATTTTATTAAATACTGTCCGAGAAAAAAAACTATTCGATTTTTTTCAGTTGATTCGAGACTGGCTAAGATTTTTGGTCATCCGACAGCGAATACCTCATTCGCTCCTTGGTTTACCGTTTGAATGGCAGGTCATTTTGAATAAACTTCATTAATCTCTTTGATTTTATCAATTTTGCAGGTGAAACCTGTAAAAGACGACCAACAGCTTCGAATATCCAAACTACATCCTTTTAATTGCTTCAAATTTTGGTGATTTTGCACATATAATAATAAATGTTCATTGAAAAACAAAACTTCGAGGTACGTCAAAGGCAGAGGAAAGGTATTGCAAAAGATGTAACAGGAGGGTAGCACCAGGAAAGCAAAGAAAATACACTTTTTGAGCGATTTTGTTTAGTTTTGAGATTCCTTCGAAAGAAGCATGATCACGGATAAATTCAAACAGCCTGATATCTGATTTTTAGCTTTTTCGAGGGAAGAGGAAACTTGATGCTTTCTTTTTGGTACACACGGGTTCGAGTATTGTGAGCCATTTTTGCTGGTAAAAAAATCGATAGTCTTCGAAATTTGCTTTTTATCATTCAAAGTGTTTTGAGAAAACTATCCACGACCATACTGAAATCGAAGAATTAAAAAAAAGTTAAAATATGGAGATCAGTAAACGAATTTTTCTATTCCTCGGAACAGTTTGGAAATGTTTCCTTGCACGTAAGATCCTGAGAAAGGTTCAGGACAGTCTCTTCCTTGATCTCTTTCGCCTCCTCCAAAAAGTTCGACTTTGATCCTCGAACCGCATGGGAGAAGTCCGCCAGCACGCATTTCACGTCTGAAAAAATGGAGAATTTTTATGTCATATTACAAGTAGCCTGGTTCGTTGAGTTCTAATTTAAAAAAACTATAGAAAAATCTTCAAGATTGGATGAAAAAAAGTTTTTGGTGGACGAAATACATTTATGAGCTTCACAGCCTACTTCATCGAGTTCTCTGAATAAGGAATCCAATAACCTTTTCCGAAAATTTTCTTTGCGGATTTGAGAGTACCATCGCGATGGAAAAAAAGCGACAGATGGAACATCTGCTTGGAAGAGAGATGGCATACTGTAACTCGTTTGCTTTTTCGAAAAATGTCGAGAAAGGATGACGAGAAGAAAACATAAAAATGAACGAAGATCCCAAGTTTTTGACTGTGGAGAATTATGAAAATGCTTTCATCTCAAAAAAGCGGACAAAAACTTCAAATTCTCAAAAGTTTTTGGATCAAAAGTAGGATAAACGAAGTGGTTGATAAATTATTCGGTTTTCAGATTTGAAAATGATTTTTTTGACCTGACGAGCTAAAATAAAAAAGGAGTTTTGGTAGAGCTTCCAGAAGTCTCAACAGTCCACAGCACACGGTCGCTTAAACTCAACTTTGAAAAAAATATTTTTTTCCAAATCTAGTCGTTTTTTTCAGTGCAGGTTTACTTTTTCAAGACACTTGACCAAAAAAAGAGTATTTTTAGCCTATCTCAAATTATTCATCAGGCTCTGCTGGATATATTTCTTTTTGAGGTAATTTAATGGTTTAAAAAAAGTTCGAAAAAAAGACATCGACTTGAAAGATCAATTTCTTTTTCTTATTTGTCATGTAAACTCTGTTTCACAGGTGCTTGGAGACGTACCTGGTCTTAGTTCTACGGTTCTGGAACCACGTCTTCACTTGTAAATCCTGGAGCTCGAGATCTTCGGCGAGTTGCTTACGGCGATTGGCCGTCAAGTATTGGCTCACCTTGTAATGCTCTTCGAGTTGCGCAATCTGAGCGAAAAAAGTTGCTTATGTTCATTTTCTCTGCTGAAAAGCTTAAGAAACTTGTTTTTGAAATTCAGAACACGAGCTGAATGAGTCCTTCCTTGCTAACCAAAATTTTCATTTTTTGAAAGTCGTTTTTTTGCTAACTTTCTGGCTTTCTCTTGTTTAATTTAAATTGCTATCAAAGCAGTAACTAAACCTGATCGGCGCTGAAGGAGTTCCGACCGCGCCTAGGAGTTTCAGCTTTTGCCGAAGACTGCTTTTTAGGCTTAGCCTGAGGCTTTGAGGCTTGCGGAGTTGGTGCAGCGGGAGCCTGCGCAGAGCCGTATGAAGTCGACAAATTGAAAGGATGCTGCAGACCGAGTGGCGACAGCAGCGTCGACATGTTCATACCGTTAGTGAGAGACAGCTGTGAACTTCTTATTTCAAGAAATACTCTTCAGACTTACAAAAAACGGTCTTCCACTGTTCTCTGCCTGTTGCATTCCGCTCGCCATCATGTGAAGAGTATACTGGTCCAACGGATGGAGATGCCCGTGAAATCCCATGTCTCCGTACGTGAATGGGTACGTGCTCGCACTTCTGCAAGATTCGGAATGTTTTTCCAAGTTTGCAAAAGGGAATACTAACATATCTTCCGGACTTGAGCTGCGGTCGTCTTCGATCTCATGCGACTGAGAGCCACTCGAAGCGTTTTCGTCGTTTTTTTCCTCATCCATTTTCTTTGGAAGGGTTGTTACCTAGAAATAACGGAAATCATTGATAGAATGAATAAAATCAATATGATGGCAAAAAAAGTTTATCCGAACATAAGATTTTGGCTGTTTCTCATAAAGGTTCAATTTTTTTTTTGAGTGATAAAGAATACCTTCTTATAATTGTCGAAATTTCTTAACTCCATTCCAGAGTTAACTCATAAATGTCGAAATTTCTTAACTCCATTCCAGAGTTAACTCACAGATTGTAAGTTCATTAAAATATAATGACCTTACTCTCAAAAATTTAAAAAAAGTCCCCTCAGCTTCTTTTTTTCGAAGACCGAAAAATCATGTTAAAAAAATCTTACGGTGGAGAAATATCCAGACGCCAATAAAATTTTTCATGAACTGAAATGTCGTTTTTTTATATTCCATAGAAATGGTGCTTTTGATGTTTTTTTAACCTTAAGCTTAATAATAAAGTTATATTAGATATGGGGTCGATTTAAGTTTTAAATCAGCCTAACGAGCAAAATGAGCAGATGACGACAAACAAGTTGGTTTTGCTTATTTGACGGGTTGCGATGAACGTGATGAAAACACATTTGACACTTTATGAGTGCGGGATGGGCAAATTGCGATTGGTACAAAGAAGGGGCTGGCGAAGGCAGCCGTACAATGAGAGCCGCATCGGAACTTAGGCAGACGGAGAAGTTGTCACAAAAGGAGGCTAGCTGCACGATATGCTGCCAGAATGGAGGCGTACCGGCACGCGCACTCCTTCACAACTTCGAAATCCCATCACCCTTTTTCTTTTGTTTAAGGCAGTGCCAGATGCAAACAAATCCGACGCGGTACACACCTAACAGCGTTTCGAATCTTCTTGCGTCACTGGGAAAGGAAGCAGTTGAGAATAGACGGGGTAGACTTGTTTTGTGAGCCGCTTCAAAAACAGGCCGACGCCCTGTTACGCAACATCTTCTTGAATGTTTCCCGCGATGAAAGCTGACCTCAAGGAAGCCCGATTTTAAGGTCTGGAGCTCGTGTTATTTTGTCCAGATATTTTCGAAATAAATCTGATTTTCCTCTTGTGTTTGATTAATCAGTTAATTCATTGACGCGGTAAAATTTCACAAATTTATTCTGACGTCACGAAAAATCATCTCAATTCGTCAGGACATGAGCTCCGCTCAATTATGTTTCCTAGCAACCTCATCAGTTCTATCTCAACTTCTATCTTCAATCCTGTTAGTTAGTTATAGTACAAGTTTTTTTTTCAAATCTATGAAAGTCCCAGGTAGTATTTTTGCATTCCTCATTAGAGATTTTTTGAATTGAGAGGGAGACTTCAAGTTTTCTTTAAAACATCGAGAAAATTTACCAAGGTCAGGTTTCAAATTTTTTCTCGAAGCTTTTCCGCGATTGTTTGATGTAGATCAAAAATAAAAAAAGGTTTATTAAAAAAACAAAAAAATTGTTTAGAAAAACTTAGAAAAATCCGTCAAGAAACCGCTTTCCGCTGCAAAGTACTCTCACAACGTCATAACCCATTCCGGGAACCTATCGCAAAGGTTCTACAGAAATGACCAAATATTTATGCACGGCAATTTTTCCAAATGTGAATGTACTTTCACAAAGGGACTTTTCACTGGAATGAGAAAGTATTAGAAGAACGCTTCCAGAAAGCCTTCCAAACTGTTTTCATGACGTCATCTTTTGAGAAATTTTACGTTTCTTCTTTTTTCTACGCTTTTGTATTGCTTGAGCGGCGTCCCCAAGTCGATTATCCGATTCTGATATCAGTGATAATCAGTGGACTGGCTCTAGTGATCTATCCGTATTTGTGTGTGACGGCTGGCGATTTTTGAAGCCGTGGTTTCCATATCTTAAACTTCTTGGTTGGGTCGAGGCGGAGATCGAACTTATGACCTTGTGGACTGTAGCCAGGCACACAACTTGTTTTGCTACGGCGTGCTCCTTTCGAGAGATTATACTAGGAAAAAAAAGAGATCTAAGCACAGAGTTTATTTGTAGTTGACCCCGAAACATCATCTGGATGCGCTCTCAAAGAACATCGCAAAACTTCTTTCATCTAGTCTTTTTTGTTTTGACATATGGAAAAGCTTGACATTGCATCCAAAAGTCGGCTGACCTCGCTTCTACGGCAATCCTTTCATCTTGTAAACAATCCTAACTTCTGAAGCCGTACAGTGACACATGTGGTCAGAAGGAAAAATCTGACGGAAAAAAGCCAAAAAATAGAATTCAATAGATATCGATAGGACTATATTGAAAAAGCTGAAGATTAAGCAAATCATTGTTGAGTTCTTCGAAAGTCCTGAACTTCCAGTCGTTTCTACAAGATATGAAGAAAAAAAGCGAACAAGTAATTTGAAAGTTACATTGAGACTTTGATTTTAACGTTGTTAATTAATTTTTTTGATCCAAAAGTTTTCTGGAATTTCAATTGAACAGTAAATCAGTTATAGCAGATCCAAATAGAAAAAAATAGTTTCTTTCATTTTCAGATATTTCTTGGCATTTTTTCTAAAAGAAACTTCGAGAAGTTTTATTTCAGCTGCAACCCAATTTTGGTTACCAAAAAAAGAGTTTCTTTTTAAGTGTTGAGCTTTGAAGCTTTGATTTTTTTTATGTGAATAACCCTGAGCTCATATCTTCGACCGCCCATGGTAGATTTGTTTATACTACAGTTAGAGAGGCGGTACCTCCGCGCGCGGATGAAGCTTCACCGCATTCTCCTCATCCATGACACTATCCAAGTACGTTCCGCCCTGCTCCTCACTACAGCTCAGTTCATCAACCAACCTTTTCCTCGAAATGGAGGTCAAGACGATCGAAGCTTTTATTTATATAAGGTATCAATTTTTATTTAATTTATGTTCGTAGCTTTTCATATCCTGTCTGATGGAATTTTCAATCAATGATTGAAGAATGATGGAACTTTTTGAGTCTCTGATACGGTATAAAAAAGTTTGGACAAAATATTCTCAAGTAACTTGAACTTGGAGTTTGAAAGAAAGTAACTCCACTTTGTAATAGGTTTTCCTGTCGAAATTGAGCCTTGAATTTGCGACAAGTATTGTATTAAAAAAACAAGAGTTTGATGAAAAATTTATCGTCTGCATGGACGTTCATGACAGATGATCTTCGAAAATTTAAAACAACTTCTGGATATTTATTTCACCATTTTACAAGGAACAAAAAAATACAAGTAACATTTATTTCTCTGCGCATATGCCAAAAGTCAGCTTTCTTTCGAACAAGCTCGTTTTTTTTCTCGCATAGTAAAAAAACGGGAAATATCGGCCTATCTGACTTTTAAAATATACGTCACATGAAGTGTTTCATTTTGACATTTTTTAAGGTGAAATCAAAGACCTCGAAATCGAAAAAAAAAACCTTTTTTTTCCCAGCTTCATAAAGCTCCAAATATTCAAATTTCGATCAATTCCATAAATTATTCACTTTTCACAAACCCACTCCTTGCTCTTACGTAAAATAAAACTTTAAAACTCTTCTTGGTTTTCTTAATAAAATCGTCAAAAGTTGTTGCACTCTCTAACGGAATTTTGGCGCAAAGGGAAGCTATCGACGCTCCACCGAACAGCACAAAATGCGCTCCTTCGCACGACCTACTGGCTTTCGAAACGTTAAAAACCAATTAGCTAAACTATGTCCATTATTTTATCCAATTGCAATTTCAATTCCTTTTATTGAAATAGGGAGAATTTAGTAGTATTTTTTTTTCATATGCGAGTCTTTTCTGCTCCTGCGAGTCATATAAATATAGTATGATATAAATTTTATGAGGACCAGCGTAAGTCTGAACAGTCTTTAAGGGATTATTTTTGGGCGAATTGAACATTTTCTTGTCTTTTATTTTTGGCCAATGGATTTTGCTCACATTTGACGAAAGCTTTTTTTCTCTGATTTCTGAATTTACTTCAAAAATAATTTTTTTTGCAATGTTTCGCATGTTAAAGCGGCAGTTTTTTTGAATGCAATTTATTGAAATTATGAATGTTTGTTTTTTTATTTATGAATTCAAGGGCCTTCAGAAACATGACAAAAAAATTCAAAAATAGTTACTTCCACTTTTCAAAAAAATATTTCTGAATTTTCAGCGTCAATTTCTTTGTGTACCTCCCAGCTTTCGATTTTTTTCCTTTCAGAAAGCTTTTCCCCGGAAAAAAAATCTCAATGGACTTGAAAATTATAGAGCCATAGATGAATTCAGATTTTATTTGAAAATGGACGCACGCAGATTCCACAAAATTACACGTTGTCAGGAAACCAATTCAAAAAAATGAGTTATTGGTACATTTATTTTTGAAGCCTAGCCATGCCTGTCTCTATTTTTATTCTTTCTGTGTATGACATGAACGCAATCTTTGAGCTAGGCAAAAAATTTATTCCTTGAAATTGATTGCTCACGCATGTTTTTGCCCATTTCTGGAAAAAAAGCTTTTTCAATAATTTATGTTTATGGGAGAGCCAAAAACGCTGGACATTTCATTTTACTGTTTCAAACCGTTCTCTGAAGGCAATCCATAACAGTCGTGAGATTATAAGGTGGGACGTCTATTTTTCTTCTGTTTCTCTTTTTTTTTTCGGCACCGCGACCGAAAATTGGCTTGAGAAACGCGTTTGCTGGTTTCAACCATATTTCTTTCTCGACGATTGCTTGGGCTGTGGTCTTTTTTTGGGCGCCTTCTAAATGTTTAAGAAAATGTTTCCCATAGACATTTTCCCAACATTAGGGCAGTAGAAGCATGTGCCCACCTAGTTTTCTTCTGATTTTCTCACCTCTACCACGTTATCTGCACTTTTGGTCGTCGTATAACTTCGTCATTCTCATCAGAGTTGGATTTCAGCTCAGTGATTCATCAAAATGAATGACAACAAGTGGAAAGAATTTATGCTTACGTGCTAATTAATGAAATTATCAGTGCCAGCATAAACCAAACAACGCTGCTTCATTCTTTTCAAAAGTGTGTGCCGGCTTTTCTGACAGATTCGACGTGCATTTTCGAATTTTTCGCTTCGTTCTGCTTTTGCGGAGCTCTAACATTCACATTCACTCAGAAATTTCTCATACAGTGGCGTCTGATAATGACCCAAAAATTTCTGCTCACAACTTCCTTGTATAGAGTTCAATCTTTTTGAAACTCTCTGGAATTGCGTTTTTTTGCCGACAAAAATTTACCAGAGAGTTACAATCAATTATCATCTCTCCAGGAAGTTTGAACTATATATAAGAAAAATTGCTTTCAAAAAAAGGAATAATTATAAAATTATAGAAAATTATCCTTTACAGGATTCCTATAAGCATTAATTCATTAGAAATGATTCAAATTCCAAGAAAACAATCATTCAACTACATCACAATTTGTGCTTTCCATTTATGATGCTGCTGTAACAATGAATGCGATTTCGATCCCCTCGTTCCATTTTTTCCCATGTGCACACCGCGTTGCGCAGTTCCCAGCGCTTGGCGCAATCAATTCGAACAATGCGCTTCGCCCTTTTTCTTTGTTCCGACACGGTCAAATGTGAAAAACAGCGAAACAATCTTGAGATCGTCATTTTTTGAAACAGCTCCCTGAGAGCAGAAGAGGTGCGCGGCGGATATCTCTTTTGGCGAAATTGCTTTTGTTCCATAGCGCGATAGTTGATCCAATAATCTAAAATAAGTCATTTCCATTGCATTCACAACTTAGGGACTCTAGAGTGGTCCCTATAGGGGCAACCTTAGAAGCCCTTGGAAGGTCTCCTCTCGGTACCACTTTACCAACTTCTATAAGGGCCACTAAAGCTTGCAAGTGGTCTCTATTGAAGTTTCAGTTAGTGGCCCCTATAAGGAACATGCTAGTTGTTATGAGCCCTGAGCAAAAATGAATTTCCATGCGAAAAGCTGAATAAATAAGCGTTTTTTTAAATAAATTGAGAGGCCCCTATAGGGTCCACTTAAGGTTTAGGGGCTAAGGGGTCAGACCCTAAACTCCTATAGGGACCAGAGGGATCTTTTTTTCGGCCCCTAAAGGAGTTGTTTTCTCTCCTAACCCCTACAAGGACCACTCTGGAATTCCTAACAATACTCAATTCAACTTTGTCGATGATTCACGGGAAGCCACGATAAATCAATTCAAAAATATTTTTTTCATTTCAATTTTCTAAAAATCGGACATGAAAGTTTTTAACAACTGGATATAGACTTTTCCGGATTTACTATGACTAAGAACGTTTTCATCAAAGATAAACGGATCCAAATGTCAGCCGATCACACTAAATCTAGAAAATTTCAACTTTGAATCATTCTATCTCAAAAAACCGTTTACGTGGGTTCCGTGCCTCAACCTGAACCCTTACGCTTTTCGGATTCATTGCACTCAGTTAAAATAAGTTTCAGGAAGATCAAAATGCAAAGCGAAGGAGAAGAGCAGAGCAGCGAGAGCTCCTCCTCGGGCAACAGGACCAGCGGTTTCCACTCTCCGAACGGATGGTACCTGCAGGAACTGCGCTACAGAAACTTTTGGCGCAAATCTCATCCAGCTCTGCAGCCAAAGGACACCTGGCAGGTCTACGAAATCGAAGTGCCCAACACTGTTGTCGGGCTTCTCATCGGCGTCAAGGGTAAAACCATCCAGGTGTGCAATGCAAACCGAAGAATTTGAATTCAAAGCTCAGCTCAAAATTCGAAAAAAAAGTTTTTTTCAATTTTCAGAAACGAAAAAAGTAACAAAAAAATGACGAATTATTAAGTTCTTAACTTCCAGGAGCTGAGCTATCGAGCCCATGTGATCATGACCATCCTTCCGCACAACAACCCAGAACTCACCGCTGATTACCAAGTTTGCCAGGTGAATTTTATTAGATTGAACCTCAAAAAAGTAGTGTTTCGAAACTTGCTGCGACTTCGAAAATACATGAAGCTCTTCAAATAAGGTTCTAAGCTCTCCCGAAAGATTCATTTTTAAGAAAGCACCCTCTAGTAAAAGTGGATTCGATAGACAAAGTCTGCCCTGTGAAAGAAATTTTTGTAGTTTCGGCGCCCCTGGATTTGTAGTTTTCGTGTATGCGGAGCCAAGATGCAATTTGAATGTTTCGTGGCGAATAGGAATAATCTCTTTCGTTGAGAAATATCTGACCCGGGATACGATAGACTGGGAATTGAACTTACTTAGTCCTGCGCGAAGTTTTCAATTTGGGGATCTGCACTTTCGAAAATTACAACTTTTAACATGTGACCATGCTCTTGAAGCTTGCGCAGGTAGTGGCTATTTGGATCAGACTCCTAGATTATAGAAGATTGTTCAGGTGAATCAAAAATAAACCCAGAAGCCTAGATAAAAATAATCCCTATGTAGAGAAAAAATTCGAGCTAAAACTGCAACTGAAGTTTCAGAATATAATTTTCCTTCTCCATGAAAATTTTCATCAAAGTAACTTCAGCTCCGTGGCGAAAGAGAGAACATCAATCGCGCCCTGCGTTTCTTGCGGCAGCGCTACCCGGAGAACCGTTTTCCAGACCTCGACCTCAAGCGCGTGTTGGCTCCCAGTTTCTCTCTCGAAGGACTTGTACGAAACACTCAGCGTATCAGCTTTGTAAGTTGCTCATTTCTTTTTGAATCCCTGTTTAAACAAGCTTCAAACTACACGCATTCAGTTTCATTTTACAACGGCGCTCTTGGGAAAAATCAACAGAAATAATAATTAACCAACAACAATATAAAAGCACATAATCGCTGAGTGGTTCAACGTTTCAGTCCTCATCAGAGTACTCATATTCGACGTCGGACCCGAGCTCGTGAAGTCCATCTTGAACTTCGAACTTTTTGGCAAGAGTTGGGAAGATGGCGTTGACTCCAGGTTCATCCTTGACGAATGACATCTCGAACTCCGAGACGCTAGAAGATAAAAATGAGAAATGGATTGCGAGCTCTGAAAGTATTACCTTTCGTTGGATTCGTTCATCTGATGAGCCCGAATCCTCAAGAAGTATTCCACGGTCCGCGTGCCACACTTTGTGGATCTCAGCTTGGTGTACAACTTCGAGACAGGCCTTCAAAGATATCACGTCCGATGGGAGAAAGTTCGATATGACATACCTGCACATCTTCTGGTCCATAAGTGAGGAGGTGGTGTGAGCCATGAGCCTCAGAGCGGCGTCGGAGAGCAGAGGGAACATGGTCCTGTGGTCGACCCACCAACGGATGATGGCATCGTTCTGCGTTTCGTTGCGGTTTGGACGGTCAGAGACGATGAAGCTTCTGTATTTCAGAAGCTCGTTCTGTAATGCGAGAAATAATATTACTTTTTTGAGTTCTTCTCACCTGGAGGATGACTGGACAGCTTGCCTTGAACCTCTTCAGACCATAGTTCTCGAACTTTTCATCACCCTCGCTGTCCGAATCGGCGAAACTGATTTCCTTTATTTTCGCCACCTCAGGACAGTTGAATTTCAGCTCTTCGTGGTATTCTGAAAAGTTGGAATATTTTTTCGAAATGCTCCACTGCAAACCTTTTATGTACTCCGTCACTTCCTCTTCGATCGTCACCCAACCATTTTTATCGAAAATCTTCTTCGTGAAGAGATATCTTGGGTCCAAATAAGAAGCCATTCTCCAGATGACATTGTTTTTGGCAGTAGCCAGCTTCATAATCGCTTGCTCAACCAGCTCATTCTTGAAGTCGTTGGCCAGAGGTGTCGATACATCCAACCTGAGAAATTGATTTGGTATTGATATTTCAAAGCAACTCACATTTCAAGAGACTTCTGGAGCATGGACAGATTTGGAATGACTTGCGAAATGAGGCAGTTGCTGCTTTGCATCTTTAAATAGAGAATCAAGTGTTGAAAACTTTGATGTTATTTAAACCTCCATGGTTTTGTTGTAGAACGGCTGAAGAGCTTTTCTTATCTGAGCCACGTCATCCCAGTCTTTCACAGCAAGTGGTTGGAAAGCGACCGCCTGACAGAGCTCTTCGAAGGCCGTGCGATGCTGGAAATTGTTCTTTTTTCCGAGAAAAAGGAAGAAATCTAACGATTTCATCAATCCAAGAGTACAAGAAGTAGAGCGAGTTCCACTTCTTGGGGTCGTACAAAACCGGCTTTCTTCTCAGTCGTCCTTCATATTTCAGCCTGAACAAAAGCTCAGTCATTAACTCATACATAATTCATTTGGAACTCACTTTGACAGCGCCTTTCTACCACTTTTGGTCCTGTAGATCTCCGTCGTTAAATGGTTCAGTCTATCCGTCAATCTCTTGACAAATTCGACTTTCCTCACAGATTCAGTGACGATGACGTTCAAGCTATTACAGGAACAACTCGCTCTGAAAAAATTCTCTTTAATGATTACTATGTGATTGTAACTAACCGGTTCTGTTGAAGCATTTCGAAGGCTTGATTGAAGTTAGGAGGGCCGCAGTAAGTGGTCCCGGCCAGCTTTCTTTTCAGTACTTCGTCATCGTGACAAATTTCTTCCAGGCACATGGCCACGTGGAAGGCCAGTTCTTCCGAGTTCAAGCTGAAAACTTTGATGAAATAGTGATAAATTGAACTCTGAATACCCAGATTCACACTCTTTCACTGAAGCCACGATCGATTTGGTTTCCCCGTGTGGGAAAAGGAAGTTGGCGACAACTGCGAAAATCATCTTTTTGTGTCTCTTCAGAGGCCACAAGCTGACGTTGAAACTCCATCTAAATTTTGTTATACAGTTTCTTCGATCTGAAAAAAAAACTTACGATTCACTGAGTTTGACCATTTGCCGGATTTCAAGGTCCAAGTGAGCGACGAAAACTTGGGCTTTGTGAATCACTTTCAGTTTAGTAGGAAGTTCGTAACAAGGATTCACGGACCCAAGAAAGTCGTTGAACTCATTTGAACCGAAGGCGTTCAAACTGAGACTTCCAGATGTGACGAGCCTGAGTAAGATGAAAAGATTAGGAAATCTTTACTGGTGATAGGAAACTTGAGCAAAGTTTCATCGTCGCTAGAAAGAGTCTCTTGTTGAACCGACGGAGGAGCGGCGCGGAACTCGTAGTGAATCGGCTCGAATCTCTCTTTCAGTTTCAACTGAACTCAAAAATATTTGTGTTATTATTTTTCTAAAAAACCGTTTCATTGGATGTGGCGGTCAAAAAGTCTTTCTCATGAAGCCGTCGGAGGTGAGAAATCAAATTCGATGTGGATCTCCCATTTATTTTAACGAACTTCTTCTTTCCGGATCTTTTGCACAAAATGCATTCCATGAGACATGGCGTTGGGCCATCTAGGTAGAAAGACCAAGCCATAGACGACATTGTGCAGCTGAAAGTTTTTTTTTTTAATTATAGTTTCGAAAATTCGAAAATTTGTTATTCAAAAGACGACAACGAGCAAAGAAAATTTATTTTTGTCGAGTATGATGTAAAAGAAGATATAAAGTTGTGATATTGACTGTTTTCTGGAGATTTGAAATGGAAAAATTCAGTTAGTGCCTATTTTTGCACTGGAATTTCCAGCTAATGAAAGCGGAGAGAAAAGACAGCGTTACGAAAATAGTGGAGAGTAAGTTAAGAAAAAACAGAAAAACCGGACGATCGGGAGCAAAAGAGGCGTTTGACTCGTTTGAATTTATGAATAAAGCGCCCGCGAAAATGAATGAAAAGGACGCAGAGGAAGATTACATGACTGAGGGGGTCGTTCATGACTAAAGAGAGAGTGCAGCCAGACAGTCAGACGAATAACGCGGGCCGATGGGAGGAAAGGAGTGCGATCGATACTTTGAGGCACGACGATCTGCGAGGATGCCGGTCTACACTGATTTCAAAATCAAATCTTCGAACAAAGTACATAAATTGAGGAAAAGAAAACCTTAAGATAAATGGCCTTTTCTGTTTTTGAAGCGTGGAAATTTGCACTGAAAAAAATGAATTTTCGCAATCATTCGATTTTTTTCGATGATTAAATTTTAGATAACTTTCTATAGTGTGATGATAATGATGATTCTCGGAAATGAGAGTTTGCATTGGTTTTGATAAAATGTTGTGGAAAAAGTATTTATGATTTCTAAACTTTGTTTCAAGTTCAAATTTCCACATAAATCAAAAAAATCAACGAGAAAAATTTTTGAAAAATTAAACAAAAAAAGTGAAGTAACTAGTAAGAAAAACATATAGAAAGGTTTACTTATTCTTACCAGAAAAAAATATAAGTAAAAAAACTTAAAAAAACTTTTTAAAAATACGGATTCTGAATCCGCGAAAAATTAAAAACGCAATTTTAACTTTAAAAACTATTTCGAAGCGTACATGGTATCAGATATAACTATAAAAAAAATCCCGTCAGAGTCAATTTTCGATGGATTTCGATTGTATTCCTCAAAAAATCATTGCTTACACTTTTCGAAAAACAGATTACTTGCAATTAAATGAAAACCTCAAAGACTGTTGTGGCGTTCTAAACGGAAGAAATAATCAGCAAAAGTACCGGATTATGAGCGGAATAAGTTGGACGAGGTGTATAGGAGAAGACGAAAAATGCTACGTGTCGGAGAGCGACTTCTGGGTCGAGATAGTCGCCTTCGCGCGCTTTTTGCGCGGGCTCGAAAAAACGGAGATCGTTTTTATCATTGGCGAAAGGTGAAAAGTTTGCGAGTCTGAAAGCGATGGTTTACGGGAAACGATCAAAACGCTTTCAAAAGCATCAAGAAAACTTTGATATAAAAAGCTGAATGGATCGAGAATGTACTTTACATTTAAAAATAAAAAATTTTTTTTCCAAAATTATTGCTAAGGGGAATTTTACAGCTGCCAATCCTTCCTGGTCAAATCTGTGACGTGACTATGACTTTTGCTGTCAACGTGGCTCAGTTCTTCCTCCAGCAGCCGAATGACCCGACTTTCTCCCAGCTCAACGAACTTCACACGCAGCTGAACATTTTCTACCGCAATTGGCCGAACTATCCTATTGTCACCGTGCCGATGCATGCGAACGGTTCGTTTTGAATGTTTTCTTCAGCGAAAAAAATATAATCAGTATTCAGGTGAAAAATCTCGATTATTTTTTTAATCTTTGACTACATAAAAAAATTTTTTTATCATGTTTTTTTAACCTCAGGCAACAGAAAAAGCGAACTTTTTTTCGCCTGAAAAGGTTTCATCAAAAATGTGAAAAAAATTTGAGAATGTTTAAAATTTACTAGGTTCACCCATTTGAAGAAAAACATTTCTCCACTGACGAGATCAATATTTTTTTCGCATGGCTATCATTTTTTTCCGAATACTAGGTGTAAACTTTTTGAAATATTTCTCCAGCCAATTTTATTAAAAAAACTGGAATATCAATAAACGAAAGTTCAACAACAAGTTTTTTTCATCATTCTCTTATTTTTCGGTGATTTATCAAGAACCCTTTTCCAGAAACCCAGTATTGCGCGGTTTACATGGGAAACACTTTCGTGAGAGGCGCCACCGTCGGTTACATTGTCGAGTCCGACGAGATGATGGTTCGTCTCATTGATCTCGGCGGCTACATTTCTCATCCGAGATCTACTCTCAGGAAGCTTTGGTAAGCTTTCAGTTCTCTTTCTTGAAGTTTTTGAATTTAAAATGTATTGATTCCAGCGAAGAAGCTTTCCACTTGCCGGGACAGGCTATTGCCTCTCAACTCGCTTACGTGAAGCCTCTGACAGGTTAATGTTTCATATTTTTTTATACTATATTTTAGTTTTCTGATTTAGATTGAGAGATAGAAGAATGTTAAAATCTTCTAGTACAATAACCACTAGCTTGAAAAGTTATTAAGTAAGAGTTTCAAAAAGATGAAAAAAAAACAAGATTCATGAAAGAAAAAAATTTGGAAAAACCAAAAAGTTATTTTCAGTGCACTTCGACCCGCGTGGAGAAGCCGTGATCAAGGAACTCTGCATCGGTAAAAGGATCAAGGCTAGATGTCTCGGATACACTTTGGACAGCAGTCAGGCTTTGGTCGAACTCTACGTCACTTTTCCTGACCAAAAGGTAATAACTTTGCGATTCCAGAGTGGTCTCTATAGGGGTTAGGGAAGAAGTAATCCCTGGAGGGCTAAATTTTAAGTGGTTCCTATAGGGTTCAAGGGCCTGACCCCTTAGCCCCTGAATCTCAAGTGGGCCCTATAGAGGTCATTCATTTTCATTCAAAAACCGTTTTTATTCAGTTTTTCTCATGGGAATGCTTCTTCGCTTAGAGTTAATAACAATTATCGCTAGCCTTTCCTTTAAAGGGGTCACTTTTGCAAGCTTTAGTGGGCCCTATAGAGGTTGGTTAAGTGGTAGCTAGAGGAAATCCTCGAAGGGCACCTATAGAAACCACTCTGGAGCTCCTAAAAAGAATAATTTTCCATAGAAAAATGTAAAATCAAACCATCTGAATCATTTTCCAGATTGAACGCCTTGACATGTTCCTGCGCCAGAACAACTTTGCTGCTCCTTCCGAGATGGTGGCCTATTCTCCTACAGTTCCTGCTCTCTTCTTCCAGAACCGAGTTTGAACCAACTTCTTCTTTCTTTTGTTCTCATCTGAACTCCCGCCATCCGCAGACGTCTTCTTTTCATCCAATGTGATCAGTAAACCTGTAGCATATTGTTTTTCACAACTTTTCTAGATGGTATTCAAATCTGTTGTTTCCGGACCTTTTCACTTTTAATAGTTTTCCACATATCAATTGATCCTCCCATACTTCGCTTCTTCCCAAGTCTTTTGAATACTTTGTACCCTCCTGTTAGTCTCCTGTCTAGCCTTTTTCTTGTTTCTGTTACGTTCTAGAAGCAATTGATCACAGAAAAATCGGAATTGGTCTTTTCTGATTGTTCTTGATGTCACTGCCCTAGCCATTTCAACTTGTTTCTTCCTGTTATTGAATATCCAACCTTGTTAATATGTACGATCATTTCCTTCTTGTTACCCTACTTCAATAGTCTAACTCTATTTCAATTTCGGTTATCCTATCTAATTTCTTTGAAAATCTGTCGGTTTTTTCATCCTGCTTTATTATCATTGTTGTCTCGTAGTTTAGTACAACTGATTACTACAAATTTTAAAAATGAGTTTTTTTATGCATTAACCCGATTATGAGAACTTTTCCGGGCTTAGTTGAAATATTTTCCGGTAAGTTGTACACTGTTATGCGTTTATTTTTTTCTTTTTGGAATAATTTTAATAACTTGGTTTCTTCTGTTTTTTTAATGTTTTTGGAAAAAAATTTTTCGGTCAATAAATCCTCTCCTCCAAGTGGTGAAAAAAACAAATGAAATTTTTTTGAAATTTCGAGCTTTTTTTCAATATTGCTAACAGAAAATCATTTGAAAATGAGTTTTTCACAGATATTTTTGAAAAATCCTGAGGCAAGTGAATTATTTTTTTAGGCCTAGTTTAACTTGTCAGTTTTAAGTTCGAAATGGGAAAGAGAACCCTTTTTTGTTGAGCTTTAAGGCCTGTCGCCGCTAAAAAAAAGCTTATTTTAAGTTTTATATTCAATTCATTTTTTTCTAATACAGAAGGCTGCCCTTTGTTCAAGGGTCCCTCTATAGCGATAAGTCTGCAAAAATGCAGTTTTTCATGTTTTTTTTAATCTACAACGTCGATTAATAGCAAATTCTATTTAGCTTTGAACATTTCCCCAAACGATTATTCAAAGCAAAACGGCTCGCAGGAACGCGTTCGTGTTGAAGCTTCAGCTAATAGCATAGGCAATTTTTTATAAGCCTCGGATATTGCTCGGAACAAGTTGATGGATTGCTCAAAATGAAATGCTGAAGGAAAAGCGCGCAATTATTCGCAGGAGGAGCCGTTTTGCTCAAGGAGGCAACCCATTCAATCATGGCGTGTCTTTGCACGTCTTCTTATCTCTACTTCCGCCGTTTTTATGTAACTGCTGTTTAAGCTTCAGGCGCGCCATTTCTTATTTTTTCTCAAAGCTTGCAAAAAAAGGAACAAAAAGCTTGACCTCAGCTTGGCTCATTTTTCAATTTTCAAGCCCATGTTGCGTTTCTGTTCGAGTACTTTTGCTTTCGAACGAGGTTCTTGTAGGAAAACTAGATGATAAAAATTATTTTTACAAAAAAAAGTTAAGGACTCAGGGCACCCTTTAGTAACTTTCTCAAGGCAACAATGATTGAAGAGTGTGGATAAATAAATTATTGTTATCAAGATAATGAAAAAAAAAAACGCAGAAAAAGAGTAAAAATCTTTTTTCTCAAGCTTTCTACTGAGAATCAAAGATTTTTTTCATTTTTTTATTCGGTTACTCAATCAATATCTTGTAACACGTTTTATTAGTTGACGATAAAGAAATTTGCATCCGCCTCACTCAATCTCTTCAATTTATTCAAGCTCGTACCTTCCTTCAAATCTTTCCTCGGCTTTATTCTTGGAACAATTGACCACAACCACAAATACGCTTTTGTTGTCAAAGCAGGACTTTTGCAACGAAAATATTTGCACTTTCCATATGTTTATTATGTTTTGTTAAGACGTTGCGGAGAGCCCAGGTTGAAATTTCGCTTCCTGGATTATTTATTCACGAGTCTTTTAGCCCCAAGCTTTTGAAGTGCTCATAAGAATCTCAGAAATTTATGCAAAATGCCCGAGGCGCAGAGCTTCCGCAAGTTTCTTGTTTCAGGCTCTTCTGTTTGAATTTGTTCATACACTGCTTTCTGAACTGGTCGATTTTGTTCTAGTCATCTAAGAGAGCTAACATTTCACCGTGTAACTTTCAGTTCTGTGGTAAATTATTGAAATTCATTGTTGGAGCGAGTTCATACACGGCCGTGTGAAAAAACTAAGCAATGGGTGATGGCGAAAATAACTCCTCAACATAAAAATAATTGAATTTATTTTTAATTTAATTTTGCCCTTCTATATTATAAAAATGCCATTGACTTCTTTCTGAGTTACATTGCATATTCGAGAGCCGTCCTGATCAAAAAATATTTGAGCCGTCTTGATCAAAAATATTCAGCCTTTCTGACGAAAAAAGTAAATCGAGTCATGTCGTATCCTCCCTAAAATTTATTTGAAAAAGAAACTTCAATTTTTCACTTTCTCATTCATCTGACCTTTCTCTTATGTTGTCAAGGTTCAGATTTTTCTTTTCAATGGTTAGGGGTAGTTATTTCTGTTCTACTTTTCCAAGGATAATCCACAAAAAAGTGAGGTTTTGTTCCTAATGTAGAACAGAAAGTTTTCAAAATGCGACAACTTCCCAAAATCAATCGATTTTCCTATTCTTTCTGACCATTTTCGCTTCCTTCTCAGTTGAACTTTCTCAAAACTTGAGAAAATCTATATTTTAAAGAAGAAAATACACGCAAGCTCTGTTGAAATCCAGATCCCGTGCTGTATATCTCAAAAGCAGCGGCATTTTTTTCCTGGCGCAATCGTCAAAAAGCATGAATATTCAGGAAGGAACGACGAGATGGGAGCCGGAATCCACAGGAGTGCGTCATTTGCGGATGGATGCGGATGGGACGGGTGGCGCGAATTTCCATTGTTGCCGGCTGGCCCCTTCGTTCAGGTGAACCGGCCCTCCATGTGTTTCCTCTTAACCTGTGCGACTGCTTTTTGGTCAAAAATGCCTTCCGCGCCTACCCATTTACTTTTCTTCCTTCCTTACACTTCTTCAGACAAAAAAGATGAACTGCTGATTTTTTAAAAATTAGAACATCTATCTTGAAAGATGTTTGAAGTTGTGAGTGACCAGTTCTTTACAAAAACTTTAAGTTTTACTTTTTTTTATAGATGATTCCTGTTTGATTTCAAACCTTCATACTTCCTTTTCAGTCCGACAGTTTCCTTTCTCTGTTTTTTTTTCAGAATTTTTCTTGCCTTTGAACTGCTTTTGAACTGCTTTATGACTCATAATCGAAATTTAATTCATTTCCTTTCTTATTTTTGTAGTCATCCGCTTTTTCACCTTTTTTTCAATTTTTTCTCACTTTTACCTTTTTCAGACTTATTTCCTTTAGAACTAATTTTACTCATTTTTTGACGCAAAAATAATGAAACTTTTCCGCCGTTAAATCGCTTCCCGGATTTCTTCACAGGAAAGGTCATTTTACTTTTCGCTTAACTCTTTCCTGAAAATTGGCCAGAACGTTCCCAAAAAACGATTCTGAAAGTCTCACCCTGCACAATTTCCTCGTTTTTGAAAAGAGACGCCTCAAAGTCAACGACAGGCCTTAAAATCCATAAATAAATGGGTTTTTAGCCCTTAGTTTTCGAAAAATAGCAAGTTGTGCAGGTTGAACCTTCAGGGTCTTCACCTGGTACATCCAGAAATGCTCTGGCCAAATTTCAGAAAGTTTCCAACCGCAAAGGAAAATGACATCCCTGTCAGATAAAAAATATTTTCTGAATTTTGACTTCTTCAACTCTTTCTGTCCCTTTCATTGTTGAATTTTCAATTTTTCTATTTAAAATTCAGTGTTTTTAATCAATATGAAGGGTGAGAAAGTAAATATGGAGAGGACATTATTATGACAAGGTTTTCAGGAATATCAAATCTTACTGTTCAATATATTATATATCAAAAAAATCGTAGTATTCGTGGAAAAAAAGGCCTTTAATTTCTTCAAATTGCAAGATCTTTTTTTTCGAAGCCGGAAACTTTCCGAGAAAATCGCGAGGAAACATCCAGGAATGTCCCACTCAAAAGTCAAAAATCGTTTGTAAGGACTTTCGCCTTTCCACTAATCGGTTTCACTTTTCAATGAAGAAAAAAGTTTCTCGCGGATGGGCCGGTTCTTCAGAAGTTTATTATCTCGACGGCGAACCATTCTAATGGTTTCTTAGTTTCCAAAAACTTTCTTTCAGTCTACGATTCAATATCAGATTTTTGTCTACGTGCTGAATCATCCTGTATGAAGGTCCGAGGCGCTTCTTTTCTATTCTTTTCTCAGCTGAAGTCGTATTTTTACAAACAACAACTTTTTTTGTTTTTGTCTTTAAAAAACAGCTTGATATCCAATTTTTGCAAAAGGAAATAATCTTATCAATAGAAAGAAAAACTTTTTTTCATATTAAACTAAAAAAATGGGTTATTTTTTTAATTTTTTTGATATCAGGCAAATATCGTCTGAACACCCAAGTTCATTTATATTTTTGACACTTCTTTTCAATTGAAGATGAAAAATCTCTTAATGTAGAACGTTTTTACCCCCGTTGAACTTTTTGATGAAGTTTTTTTCTGAAGAAGTGTACTCTAGGACCTCCTGATTCCAGAACAAGAAATTGTCTTGCAATAGGGCTTTTTGGCATAGCTCACATATAAAATTTCATAGTTTTCTCGAATTCATGCTTTCATAACTGTTTCCACTCAAAGACGAGTCTATTTTCGAGACAGATCTGATCAAATTTCGGCTAATTTTGAATTTACTCAAATATTCTCCTTGTTTTCATGAGTCAATCAACCTTTTCAAAAAAGAAATTCCACTTTTCAAGGATCTCGGTTAAACTCAACAAATATCCTTGTCGATTTCTTGCTTCAAAGACGGTTACCTCAGAATCGGCAAAAACACGCGTCTAATTGTTGCGAAAAAGTTGGGACAAGCAAGTGTAAGTCGTCGTCGTGCGTAAGGCAAACGAGCAACGTAAGAGGTTCCCAAATTGGCAATCGCGCCAAGCAGAGCACTGGCCGGCACTTTTGCCGCTTCTAAGTGTTCTTCTCCCTTTCTCATCACACTCCTGCTTCTTATTAATTTTTTTCTTTCAGGACTTTTTCTCGAAGTTGTTTCTGCAGATTCGAAAGCCATTTTTAAAAATTTTGAATTTTTTTAAGACTTGAAATGTTTTTTTGACTTTTTGGTGGAAAAAGGAATGAATCAGCCATGAGGAATATGAACCCAGACGAATTGTGATAAGCGTATCAAAAAAACTAAATGTTATATTATTAGTCTAAAAAAATTATTTATTCTTTGTTTTTTTATTCACAAAAAAATATTTGATCGCTTTTTTTATGCGCCTTTGGCGTTCCGTTTGAATTGCACTTTTTGTGCGGTCCGTATCTACTTGAATCGGGAATCTCACGTTTCCATTGTCGCTTCACGGTTTTGCGAGCCTTGCTAATGGAAAATGAGACAATTGCGCCTCTGAAAAACGATCATTTTTTGCTATTTTTTATTGCATTGGAACATTTCTTCTACCGAAAACCAAATTATAACTTTTTCAAGCAGTATTAGGAGTACGCACAGTTGCAGAACTGATAAGATATTATCAGCCCAAAATGCTCATTATCAAATGATATCGTTGGGAATTGGAGGCTCTACGATAAAATGAAGCTATCTACCGTCGTTTTATGAAAACCTAAAGAGTTTTTTTTTTAAAGAAGAATTGAAAAAAAGACAAACTTTGATAATGAGAGCATTTGGGTCCCTCGTGGAGAGAGAATAAAGTTAAAAAAACTTTTTGGTGTTTGCAAAGTTGCTAACTTTAAATTTCTGTAGAGGTGTGTCAAGGCTTTGAATTTTTCAAAATTTTCAAATCTGTTCAAGAATTCTGTAGAGGCGTGTTAAAGCTTTGAACTATTCAAAATCGCTTCTAGGTTCACCAATTTTTACTTTATATTGATTTAAAACATTTTACAGTCCACACAACCCCACACGAAGGTTTGGGAAAAACAGCTTTTTCGAGCTGGTTTCAGCGTTCTCCTCAGAGAAACAAAGTTTTCGTACAGTGTTGTAAAAATAAATTGGAGGGAGGGCAATCAATCAATAAAAAAAGGTGGCTCACGCACTGACCTTCGCAGGTCCTGTGCAACAATGACGCGCCAACCTGTATATCCTCACAACACCTCGTTTGTTTGGCTATTCGGCCCGCTCTCTTGTTTTGCTCGTTTGGGCTCTGTTTTTGCCTGTTTACTATTTGAGCCGTTGTATGGTTCCTTGATTGATAAGTTATCAGTATGAAAATTGGGGACTCAGCCATTATGCGCAGTGCAGTTCGTATTTGGTTTCTACAGATTTTGATTGGGTAGGCAGTTTTTAATAATCTTTCTCGGACCAGCAGTGGCTCTCAATTTCACCATTTCTTGTACTTAATTTGTTTATTATTCTGCGCTTTTCTCTGAAAATGTTTATTTTTGATACAACTGAAATAAATCTGTCAAAAAAACCGGTATCGGATTCTGAGCCCCGGCAAATTCCCAAATCATTTTTCTGAGGCTTAAAAAAGGTGAGATTTTTTTTTACATCTTACGAGTTATTGATTTTTTGATTTGTTTAACGAGGATGCATGGAGATTTTATTCCGCTATTTAATGAGCTACATCGAGCAGATTAGGTTTCAATGAGTTAAGTATTCAATTACTGCCTTTCTCATCTGAAAATTTGAAGTTCACAATACGGCCTTCAAAAGAAACAAGAATAAAAAATAATTTGATGCTTTCAGAACAAAATATCCTACCATACACCGTAGCGGCTCTTCACCCAGCCTTTTCTAGCTTTTTTTGTGATTTTGTCCCATTTTCAATTCTGTCGCGAAGAACAAAGGAAAATCAGCTCTGTACCAATTTTCCCAGGCATTCAACCTGACTATGGTGATTTGTACCTGGAATGTCTTTTCTTCTGAGTAGAACACTGCGCGGCGTCTGTTTGCCTACAAATCTCCTTCCTGACCGTCCATAAATTCCCATGTGCCGACGGCGCCAAAAGAAAAGCGTGTAAATGATTAAACTCTGGCGTTTACACAAACATGCCTGGTCGCTAATCGTCGGCGCACGGTCTTTTTAGTTGCTCCGTTGTTTCGCACGGCTGGTCACTTCTTCCGTTTGACCGTGTCTAAACGCCGAGTCTTTACGTTGATTCTGGCGAGTTGAATTTTTTTTTGTTCCTAATCTTTACGCAGACTTCTCAGCGAAGTGAAAACCGTTTCGGACAGTTTAGCAACAGAGACTGAATTTCTAGAATTGGTCTCCTTTTTTATATCGATTTCTTCATTTTTTTCATCAAGAGCTTCATGAAAAAAAGTTATTGCACTCCAGTTATATTATTGTCACGGAGGCGCTTGATCGCTGAAAGAAATGGAATGAAAACTGGATAGTTAAATATTTTTTTAAAAAAACTGTGAGCTCATGAAGGAGTTTCAGGCGGTTTTCAATATCTAAAAAAATTCAAAAAAATCGGCAGCTTTTTTTAGTTTTTTTAAAATTTTTAAGTTATTCTTATGCATATGTTATTAAATACTTCAATTATATTAAACCTCCAAAGTGAGGTTTCATGTTTCCGAAGCTTCATTTCTTGCCTTCTTTTTCAAATCTCTCTGGCCAAGTCTAGTTGTTTGAAAATTCCACCGTAATCCCTCGATTCGTCGCGCTGATTTGACTCTTAATTGCCGCGTTTAGTTCATTGAATTCAGTCACAGATGGTTTACGGCTGTGGCAACTCGTGCATAAAGTTGCTCTTTTTTGTCGTCAACCTTCTGATATGCGTATTTGGCGCCCTGGTCTGCGGCTTCTCGTTGTGGGCGAATTTGGACAAAGACTTTGGAAGTCATTTGTCGGACTTTGTCCGAAATATTGACGGCCAAGATCACACGCACATTGATGAAATCGCCAAGGTGAGTTGGCCTATAAATCATATAATAAAGGCTTACTGGGCCTTTGGAACCGCCTAAACGCAGAGCTATCAAACTTACAGGCTCACCGTTTTTATTTTCAGAGGTGAAAAATCAAAAAAATTGGATCTTTGAACGTTGATCAACCAAAACTTTTCTTTGTTGATGGGTTTAAAAAAACAAAAAATGTTTAAAAAAAAATAAAAAACCTAGCTTTTAGCATAGGCAAAAGCCAAAGAGGGTGAAAAGGCTCCATAGCAGTGTTCCTTTTAGGGTGAAAAAAGCTCCTTTTTGCTGTCTTTTTGCGCTATTTTATCGGCTCTTGTGCACCTTTTTTGCTGCCTCTTTCTTTTTCCACCATTTCTTGAGCTTTCAAAACCTCAGAAAAGTTAAAAGCTCGGTGAAGGGACTCTTTTTGCTGCCCTTTTTGAGCTTCTCCCTTTAGCGGCAGTTATCCACCTCTCCGACTTTGCTTGAGGAAAAATAAGTGAATAATGATCCTTTTTCTTTGCTGTGAACATCTTATATTTTCCCATCAGAAGTTCTCAATTTTAATTTGCAGTACCAAGCTTCTCTTTGGATCCTCGTCGCAGTTGGAGCTTTGCTCTTCTTCGTGGGATTCCTAGGATGTTGCGGCGCTGCCTGCGAGAGTCCTGTCCTTCTAGGATTGGTTCGTTCAGAATCATTTTTCTTGAGCTCAACAAGGCCTTACAGTTCTTCTTCATCATCGTTATCCTGACCGCAATAGAGCTCGGCGCCACGATCTTTGCGATGACTAACCGCGAACATTTCGTGTCCGCCGTTGAACAGGTTGGTCTTTTGCGGCCACTCTGGTTAAACATGTACCTTTGCGCTCTCTTTTTCTCTCAATTACTGTTTAATCTGACTCATTGCGCAGCGCTGAGTTGAAAAGGAACCGACTTACCTTTGGCGGCGATTTTTTTGAAAATGTGGGTCTTAAGGTTTTTGATACGGAGATCAAGTTTGATTCAAAACTTTTGCTTATCGAGAAAATTAATTTTGAAGATAGTTTGGTGTGTCAAAATTTTGAGTTCCGGAAAGGTGTGGCCAACATTTCTGATTTGAAGATGGCTGCATTTTCAAATAGACAGGGACGGATGAATCATGAAGACTTTTTTTTCCACCAAAACCGATATTAATCAAGACATCAATAATGATTTTTTCAGGTTCTGGAGAAGTCATCAACGACGCCTCAAATGCGCCTCAACATCAAGCCGATTCAAGACGTTTTCCACTGCTGCGGAGCCACCGCCGCCACCAAAAACCTCTATGTGACCGATGGAATCTGCACAGACCCGGCCCTGGTTAGTTTTTTTCTTCTCGATTGCTATTTGATGATGAGCAGATTTCTGTTTATCAGTGATGCGTGGAGTTACTGATCAGAAAAACTATGCGGCACGTGGTCGCTGGTTATTTATGAAAAAGATTAACTTGAAAAGTGTCAACTGTGCACTTAGCGCAGTAAATGATAGGCTCTGGGTTTTCAATCTTTAGAAAAGTTTCCTGTTAAATCACAAGATGGAGAAAGTTTATTATTTTTTTTTAAATCACAAGGATAAAGTAAAGTTTCCAATTTCAATACTTTTTGGAACTTGATCAAAAATTTTCGAAAAAATTGCATGGTCTACTATTTAAAAACTTTATAAAGCTCGAAAAAATCCAACATATTCAAAGTTTTCTCTTAAAGATCAGTAAATTGGATACTTTGCCGGAAATGGAAACGTAGAAATTTTTTTTCTTCTCAAAAATCAATTTTTCTTGCTACTTTTCGGATTTCAAAAACCGCCCGAAAATTTTGAAAGAGAGTTACTTTGGTATCGGACTTGAAAAAAAGATAAAACTGCGTTTTTTGCAGCCAAACTGCTTTGATCGGATCTCTCACATGGTGGACTCTTGGGGAGAAACGATCGTCGTCGTCGCCTTCGTCCTGCTTGCCGTCGAGCTCTTTTCCATGCTATTCTCTTGCATCTTGTGCAGAGCTTCTCGCGAAGTCCGTTATTCCTCGTATTACGCTTAGTAGAATCAACTCCTCTTCATAGTAATATCAATCAAAGTCTTCTGTCTATTGTTACATATTCTTCTGTCTCTATAAAAAACCTACAATATTCCACCGTATACGGGGATTTTCCAACTCTTTAGTTGCACGCCTTCATTGACTCTACGCCATACATCTGTTCTCAAACTTTTTCATGTTGTCTTTTTTTCGTTTTCAACATGTTAACCTGCAATAAAATTGATGCGAAAATACTTTTGGGAACAATACACAGACAAAAGACTTAAAGATAAAATCATCCAAATCTCAGGTGACTATCGGGTTTCTTGTAAAACTGCATGAAGTTCTTCCGGAAACCAAAAACCCAGGTCGAATAAGTCGATTCCAAGTTACTGATTCGTTGCCAACCTCTGGAAACATGCGTATTAGAATGTTTCTAGAGGCTCAAATGTCACCTTTCAACGAGAAAAGCCCTTTCAGCCAAGTCAAAAATAGACTGGTTGACAAAAATTCGAATTCCTGCAAATGTCTTATTAAATTTCGACGTAGGAAGGATTTCCACCTGTAGAGGCGCAGGAACGGACAGCTGCTTTGTGCAGGGCGACGGCTCCTGTTTTTAGCTGCCTGAACTTCAACGACCTGAAGTTAGAAGCTTTCAGAAATGAATGAGGAGCTCTTAAAGGACTTTATATTTCGAATTTTTGGAGAGTATTTATTTCTTTCAAAGAAACTGGAAGTAAGAAAAAGTAAAAAAAAACTGTATTTCTTCATTTTTCTTTTAATACAACTTCTCGTTTCTATGAAAAAGTCTTAAAAGAATGACTTCAAGCGGAAACTTTGAAGCTCACTCTACTAAAAGCGACTCGGGCCCAGGTCGCATCAGAAAGTGCTAGACGACTTTACTTTTGCTTTTGCAACCCAAAATTCATGATTTCCGGAGATATCTGATGTTTAACGTTGTCTTGTAATTACTAATGCCTGAATGAAACATTTCTGCCTTTTTCAGCTGCCTCTTGGAGGAAAAAAAACTTTTGCAAGAAGCTACAAACAAGATTTATTCCAAATAAATTTCAAAATAAATGATATTACCTGTAATGGGGTTCACATTTCGACTCTTCAAAATAGTCCCAATATGGACTCGATTTTTTCACGTTGTCACTGGGCTGCGATGCACAAATACAATTGTTGTAAGCGGCTGGTACCAGGTTTTCAGCCACGTGTTCGACCGTACATTTTGGCACACAGGCTGAAACAGTAATAACTGATATTAAAAAAAAAATTCTACTGATAAACGCCTTCAAAATCTTTGACATGCTCGGATATTTTTGCACTTTAACAGTTTCAATACAATTTAGAGTTTGGAGTTCAAAACGTAGCTGAGCCCGCCTACAAGATTATTTTCCCTTCTCCTACAGAAACTAACTACGTTTCAGTGTTATTTTGTAGGCGCGATGAAAAGGCGAACTTTCAGAAAAATCAGAAATGTTAGTAACATCGTCACGCGTTGCATTATGCTTAGAGATCTCAGAAAGCCGTTTGAAAACCGCAAAAATCGCTTGAAAATACCACAGAGGATTTTTTTTTAATGTGAATAAATCGCCGGTGAATTTGAAAAAATGTAAAGTTTTTTTTCACTGATTTTAAAAAATTTGTCCATCAAAAAAATGCTTACATCAGTTCCGATATATAACTTCGGAAAATGTTTTATTTTTATTCATTTTATTCTTTTATACCATCTAATGATCCGTTAATAAAAAAATAATTTTGTGATTCAGAAAAAGATGAAAAAAACCATTCATGATTGAAATAATTCACGGATAACTTTTCGAAAATCAAATTTGGATGTTTCAAAAAGTTTTTCAAACAAACCTTGAAAACTTGCCAATTGAAAACCAAGAAGAAAAGCAAAAATTATCATCCGACCAGTTTTTGAGTTGAAATCAACGCCGATGGCGGGAAGAAAAGAGGCGTGAAATGTCAACAAACACAGATCAAAAACCGAAATGAGAAGCTTCAAATATATATCATCGGTGGGCGGCTTCTTCATTTACTTTTTTTGCATTAAGACAAAAAAATGATATCAAATGTTTATTCAGTAACATGAGAAGTATGAAAAAAACTACTTTTTTTCTAAGCGATAGTGACTCACAACATCTGAAACCGTTAAAAAAACCCAATGCTGCTTTTGCCCAATTATTTTTTTCTAATTGTTTTTTTCAGGTCCATAGGATTGGCAAGTCGGTGGTAGTAGCAAAAACACAATTATAATTGCAATTTTTTTTTTTGGCTCACGGAGAGCAAAATTTATCATCGGAAAGAACTTTTCAATTCAGAAACACAACTAAAACCCCATCAAAGAGTTGCCGTAGGTTATTATTATTTTGATAGCTTGCACAGAAACCTAAAGAAAAGTGAAGAGATATGTGAATTGATTAGGGGTCTACAGTTGCTCGTCAGTTTCTGGGTTGAGTGTCAGACATTCTTCCGGTTTACGGTAGGTCGTCGTCGGCTCTGCAACCGACATGCAAACGGTTCGCGCCCTCGTGTTCGGCATGCCCTTTTTAGGCGGCGGCTCGCCAAAGAGCATTAGCCGCAACGAACTGAAAAAAGCTCATTTAGTTATTTATCGGGAAGATGTTCATCTAAGAATATACTCTTTTCATTGCTGAGTTCCTTGTTTCATGAATAAGTGAGCAGAGTTTTATTAGCTTCGTTTAAAAAGAGCTGTTAGACTTTTTCCTTTCTACGGTAAATGTTTGAAGATCTTTGCTGTTCGTGGACTATAATAAGTTCACAAATGCGAAATAAACATGAGAGCTTCTTCTTCAAAAACGATGACTTTCAGAAGTCGACCAATTTCTTACCTGAGGCCAACTTTATCGAAAAGAGCTATGAACTCTGTACGGAAGTTCTGATTGAAAAAGGCATAGATGAGAGGGTTCAGGCAAGCGGAGCACATCGCAATGACATGGCAAAGACTGAAGAGCGAAACGGAGAAGTTCTGCACGAACTCGAACGTGTGTACCTTAATCGAGATCATTTTTAATAAAGTAGAAGCGATTGAACTAACCAAATGAAAGACGTTGAGTGGGAACCAAGCTATGGCGAAGACCGCAACCACGCACATGAGCAGGAGATGCGTCCTTCTTTGCCGTTCCACCACAGACCTAAATATTAGTCATTTCATTCAAAATCTTCGGAACACGTGCAGATCTTTGAAACCAGAGGATCTCCGAAAAATCTTTCTTTCAGACGTTTTACTCATTCATTGAGGAGAAAAAAGAAATAATAATTCAAAGGACCAATCCCACGTACCTCCTACGTTGGCTGGAGTGCAGCGAGTGTGGGAACGAGACGTTGTTGGCGAACCGAAGCTTCATCCTATGGGCTATCCGGCTGTAGGCGAAGACCAGAGAAAACAACGGGAAGGCGTACTGTGTGGCAAGTACTGCCAAAGTGTAGGTTCTTTTCGAAATGAGCATCTGAAGTGACATAATGATTATAAAATTCATTATCCTCTCAAAAAAACTTCACTGGGCCATTGACACATAAAAAAATTTAATTATTGTGTCTGATGGGAACATCACATTTTTGATTGCAACCCTAGGTTTAAATATTATGAATAAAACCTGCTAAGCGCTGAGGTCCTCAGAAAAAGCAAGTAGAAAATTCGAGCTTTTTTGCGTACCTTCAGGACCGGCTTTCCCAGCACTTTTTGGCGCTTAGCAGATAATTGCTTTTTTTGATCATGCATGCTTTAGGAAACTTAACAGTTTTGCGATTTTAACCTCAAAAAAATTCCCTAGAAAATTTATCAAAAATGATATACAAAAATTCTGCAAAAATCGGTGAGAAGTTGACATATCCCAAAAAGTTTAAACGATTTTGTTTTGTTACCAATTCATCAATCTCATTAAAGCCGTAAAAACTCTCAAGCGTCGAAAATCGCCTCTTTTTTCGAAACTTCTTTGAACGCGTCGTTATGGCCCCTATTCGTCAAGGTATGACGCGAGATCTATTTTTATCCTCACTAAGTGAATTAGCAACTGAACTCCCAACAAATGGTCGCCTCTTTTAAAGAAAAAAACTAATCTTAGAGATTAAAGAACGCTCTCCATATGAAACGTGCATAACATTTTTTCTAATTGTTTATCAAACGATCTAAGGTGTTTTAGATGTTACTTATCATTTATTTTCCAGAAGAAAAGATTTTCGAAAATTCAGTGAGTTGAAAGTACCGTTTCCCAGATTTCATTCTGCTCGTGGCAAATTTCGAGCACGATGCCACATTTCGAATCCTCGTACACCATGTTCAAATCGGAGGCCAAGAGAAGTGGAACCGCAAAAGACAGAGACACGATCCAAATCAGAATGAAGAAAATTATTGAAAGACTTTGTTGCCGGTCTCGTTTTGTTGGAAAGATTATAAGCACGTATCTGAAAAATTCTTGCTCATTGAATTTTCTCAATTTTCTTACCTATCCAACGCAATAGCGGCAATCGAAAACGTCGACAAGAAAATGTTGAACCCTTGTAAGGAACCCGCTATTTTGCACATTGCCGTTCCAAACGGCCAGAACATGTATAATACAGTGTATAATGTGATAGGAGCTGTCACCGTACAAACCTGGAAGTTTCAGTTATAAATTAGTTATACACTTCTTCTTACAAAAAAGTCGGACAGCGCGAGGTTGAGTATGAAAAAGTTCCTGGTTGTCCTCATCGCAGGATTCAAAATGACGACGAGAATTGTCAGGAAATTGCCAAAAGCTCCGAAAAAGATGACGATCGTGTAGGCGGCCACAATGGCATAGCCGAGCTGAAAATATATCGCGATGAATATAACAAAAATAATGGAAATTTTTTGGATGGATGAGGAAACGAAAGAACCTCCTTGGAGTTGTATGGCGATCCTTCGATGACCATCTCATCGCGAAAATATTGGTTGATGCTCTCAAACTGCTCGATGAAATGTTCGCAAGTTTCATTTGACATCTCAAAGAAGCTTATAAACAATGCTTGAAAGTAGATAATAAATGGAAAAATTCCACAAACGCGAAACAGAAAAAAAAAACATTGCAGACGTTCTTTAATCAACAACCTTCTAAGAGCTCGACACGAAAAGTGCCGGTCAAATGTAGCGACTTTTTTTTTGCAGCTGCTTCTCGGATTGACCGAGAAATACAACTTCAAAAACCAGTAGCTCTCAGAAAAAAACCTACCGGAATGAGTACAATCTCGTGAATGTGAGGAAAAGGGAAAAAAAAATCCACGATTCTGGTTTCAAAAAGGGCACTTTAGGTGGGAATGGGCACGTTGAGGTTTTCATTTTGAAATTTTTCGATTTTTTAATGAAAAAAGAAGCACTTAAACCCGTGAAACATTCCTTAATAATGGGTTTTCCAGATGATTGAATTGTTAAAAGCTTTGATGGAAGCATTTAAAATCGTCAGAAGCGTGAAGATAATAGCGAAAAACGACCACTTAACAGCGTTTTAACCATCGTAAATGTCAAGATTGACATTAAAACTCGAAAAAAAACGTTCGCCTCACAGAAAATCGAGCAAAAGTGCGTTAAACTCGACAAAACTATGGATGGGCGTGTCCTTGCCAAAACTTGCAGAAAAAGACATAAATAATGTTTTTTTAATTTTTTGGAAAATGAATGAACTTCGCTGAGCTCCATGACATGATTAATGTGGATGATTTGGAAAGAGATCAAAAAGAAACCAAGTCGGAGAAAAATGAAAAATTGCCAGAGCCGATTGCGGAGCCGTTAACAAACCCATGCGTTTTGGAGTTTGATCTCAACCGAACTTTTAAAAACAAAACCGAACGTTTTGAAAATTTAAATCAAAAGCACGCATATCCTAATTTTTATCTGATATTGATTTGAAAGCAAAGGTGCACAAAGTGTACTCATAACATCATTGGATTAATTGTGTTAGTGAAATATATCATGCAAATATTTTGATAAGATTAGATTCAGTTATTTTGGCTTTGAAATAAACAGAAAGGGATCCCAAAAAATTTGGTTTTTCTGAAGAGTGTGAACTTTATACATCGGCTTGTGAACTACGACACCAGAAATGAGTTCTAAAAATATAAATGTTTATTACTGCGCTTTTAATTGACAATCTAACTTTCTGATATCACAAGCGTCAAAAAAACTAAGTAGAATTAAGCGAAAATACGTGAAGTGATCAGAATTTGCCAGAACTACGAAAATTTTAAAACTGCTTTTTGAAAATAATTTTTTTCCAACTGGAAGTTCCCCATAAAAAAAGAAAGTCAGACAGAAATTTTCAGAACTGTTCAAAAAAATGAAAAATATCGTCAAAAGAGCATTTGGTCCGAATATCGAAAGAACAACCAGTTTACGAGCTCCGCAGAGGAATAATTAACATCTGATGAGAAGCATGGGAAGGAGAGCGTGTCCGAAAAACTATTCACCGACCATTCATGTACTGCGACATTCGCAATGACTTTTCGATTGGCGGCAGCGGAAATTTGTCTCTCCTGTTCTTTTTATTTTTGGATGAATCAAAAATCCTAGAAATTGTCGCTCTTCCTTTTTAGTTTTTTCAGAAGCCATTGCTTACTGATCCATTTTTTCTTCAAAAACTGATCAACTGTTGATTAAGTATAGTTCAAAACGGAATATTTTTAACTCTGTGCTGGCGCTGTGCTCCCAAAAATCCGTCCTTGATCAAAATCTTCCTTTTTTGAAAACTTCCGTCAGATGGAAGAAGAGGCGAGAGTAGCGCAATAAATCGTACATTTTTTTGAGCTTTGGAAAGAGTAAATTATGATCCCTAGTTTGAGGAGATTTGAAAACTGAAAAAACTTGAGATTTTTAGTTTTTTTAATCAAAATTCAATTCAAGAAATAGGGATTCGCTTTTTTTTGAAAAGTCAAAAAAAGAAAATTCTTAGAGAAACTGACAGGAATTGTCAGCGTCAGCATAATGGCCTGTCTGCACCGCCACGTTTCCAAGGGTCACAAATTTTATCTTAGTTGCCACTCAACCGAAATTTTTGCAAAAATTTGGGCCATAGGAAGCCACCCCTTCAAAATTCTTAACGCGTGCAAACGAAAACGAACCAAACGACTTCTTTTCAGGAGTCACTGGACCTCCAGCGACGACACTCCAAAAGAAGATGATGATTGATTGGCAGGAAAGAGAAGATCGAAGCTTGCATATAAGAAAACTTTTTTGACGTAGTGAAGACCAGAAACGTGACCAACGTTCACGCTAAGTTGGTTTGATCTACAAACGTAGTGAGAATCAGATTTGCGCAAGGCGAGAAATTGCACAGCTCTAGTTTCTTCAGGCTGCACTGAGTTCAGCACAACTAAAAATAAACGAAGGTCCGGAAAAAGAAAGAGTGCAATTCTTAGAGATTCCTTTCAGCGGCCTCGGATTTTAGATATTATTCAGATTTTATCGCGAAAAAAAAAAATGAAAAAAAGTAATTATGGTTTTCGAAATACGAATTTGGATTAAATGTCATCTGTTAAGAAGAAAAAGACGGTTTCTTCGTACGTAGGAGATGATCAGGATGAATGAACGACCAATAATAAAACTTCTCGGAGCTTAGAAAAATGAAGCTATCCAATTTCAAGGCAGAAAATTTTAGCCTGTTGAGAAAACGCCTAAAAGAGGGTCTCATTAATTTCTCCACTTTGTTGTTGTTCAGACGCTCGTTATGCTGAATTAAAAGTACATAAGTTGGAAGTACTTTGATCGTCTCTGTTTTTCTTTATTTTTTCCAAACGATGTCGTGTTAACAATACTTTATTCACCGATTTACCACGCGTTGGTGGAAAAAGAATGAAGTTGAGTTTGAAAACCTCTTTTTACTGAACTGAATATTTCAAAAATTTATAAAAATAAATATGAAGTACAAGCGCACTTAAAAGCAGCCTTTTGACTAATATGCATAAATAACGAGTTTTCATTCGGAAGATGCTCATTTGACAGAACAGAGAAAATAAAAGTACATGGGTATATTTCTGTCGAAAATAAAAACTTCGTTCATGTTGCTTCCTCGTTTTACTATGACAGGCTTTCGGAAAAAAAAATGAGAATGAAGTTTTGAAAAGGAAGAAAGACAAGATGATACGGAATTGGCCTATGGCACGCTCGATGGAGCACAAATCCTCAGATATTATTCGTAACTCATTCGAAGAATTACAAAAAATCGACTAATGAAACAATAAATCCAAAAATGATCAACTTATAAGCCCTCCCCAAGTTTTTCAAGCGGTCCGAAGACATTTATGAAGGCAAGGTGATTTCTGAAAAATAGTACACTAAGCCTTCTTCTTTTTTATTCCCAAGGGAGTCGGCAGAGAATTTCATTTGAGGAAAGCTTTTAATGAAAGTTTGAGGAAGTCTTTCTTTGTCTTTTTTAGAATTAAAACTGTCATTTATCTGATAATACAAAAAATCTAAAATTAAAGAGCGAAATCGAAAGTTTCGCAGAGTTTTCGTAGAACGCTCATCTTTTGGGCAAGCAAAAAAGTTCCGAGTCATTTGTAGCCACCATTGTTAGACTGAAAGCCCAATTATTCATTGAATTCTTGAAGCTTCTAACTCCGAAACACGAAGGCGTTAACGGAAAAGCCATTTTTGAAAACGTTTGAAAAATGCGTCCGTTCCCGTTTCCAAGGCAAGGCTTAATTTTAGAAAAGACTCAAAAACTGGACGGAATAATCCAGGTGAAGGCCGGGGATTTCCGGAAAATTGTTATTTTCCAGGAAATTTTGCGATAGGAAATGAGTACCGAACATAAATGGAACTTGATGAAGTAAATAGACCAAAATTATGACGTAAATCTGTTTTGAATGCGCTTTACGACAAACTAATAAACCTTAAGGATCATCAAACTGGATCTCTGTTGTTGAGATTTCCTCAATAACTTGAAAAAAGACACCAGTAAATTATAATAGACTTTTAAATTAAAACCGTGATTCTTACAGTACATTTTGAATTAAATTTTCAAAGCTTTCCGAGTAAAGATTTTGGAAAAAAGTGAATTCGAAAAGTAAACATTTACAGTTTTTCAGTGGACAAAAGTACTGGTTGAAGAGGAGGAAACAATTTTTTGAGTCTTCCACAGGTAAATCGTTTTATTTGAATGGGTTACCTCATTGAAAAAAATTAAAAGGTCAAAGAACTGGAAAAAAAACGGAGAGAGCAAATATCGCCATTTCCGTCACTTTTTTTTTGAGTGGAGTGCGAGCCATCAACGTCGCCGAGTTGTCACACGACGTCATATCACGCATAGGAACTTTGAAGACGTTGGCTGGAAGGCGGAATACAAAATAAAGAAGAGGTGGTAACCCTTAATAAGATGCCCCGTTCTCAGGCCGCCGCATAACCTTTACCTTGAATGATATTCTAGGATTTTTCAGAGAAGAAGTCTCGGTCCTCTCTCATTATCCTGAGAGAATCCGCATTTGTTGAATGGATCGCGGTTTTAAAAAGCATTATCTAGGCAGAAATCTGCTTTGGACCCAGGAAGTGCGGCAAAAATAAGGGAAACCAATGTGTCCAATGGTTCATCAATTAGCGCTGGACTGTTCGGTACTCAGGCAAGTCCTGCGAAGGCAACCAGCAGAAGGTTGGAGGTTTATGGAAGCTAGAAAGCCTTAGAAAATTCTTTGGAAGATGTTCGGAAGGTTTTTGGAAGGTAATAATGGGAAATGCCTGCCAGAAGTCTTCCAGAAGCCTTCCAGAAGCCTGCTGGGAAGCATCTGGAAGCCAGCCGTCAAGTTTTTTTCTAAGTAGAAGGTGTTGGGAATTATGTGGAACGCGTTCGGCCATTTGTTGGAAAGCTTCCAAACGCCCTCCGAGGAACCGAAAGCAGAAGTTTCCCAACTTTTACCTGAGGTATAAGCTTTGAAAAATGCATATTAACTTACCCAATCTCCTCTTGCATATATCAGAAAGAGAATGAATTCTCAAAAACCTCAAACACACAAATAAC